GATTCTTGAAAGCTTTGTTTTTACTTATTATCTCAACAAATTGCTTTTTTTTTTTTTTTTTTTTTTTTTTTTTTTTCTGGTTTGAGACGCTTTCATGTTCCCTGAATATATTTGGGCTAGTTTTAAGTATATATAAAAAGTCTATTAATTCGAGGATTGACGATTGGTAAATTTTCTCCGAACATAATAATTTATAGTAATGATAATAATTACAAAACAATATCTAATTAATAGAAATTTATTATCCTGTTAGTTGTTATCTTAACTAAATACAATATAGAACCACCTGATATAGTTAACTAACTAATTAATTAATAAGGAATTTCACACCTAACCAATAATCAAAATGGCTATTGACAAACAAAGACAATGACTTTATATATTAACCCCACAGTCACATGGGTTAATCTCTCTTTTCTATATCAAGCCCTTGATTCTTGTAATCTTAATCTTTCCTTTTTCTTTTTCTTTTTCTTTTTTTTTTTTAAAAAAAATCTTTGCAGCACCATCCAAGCCAAGACATAGGAAAAAAAGTGGGCTACTAAATCTTGGAAATTTTGGTAAATTATCATTACACACACATTCTTAACACCTAATCACAATTTTTTGTCTTTGCTATCATAATTCCTAATATCAAAACCCAGTTATTGACTCAGTGCACTTTATTTATTTTTTTTTTCAGATGCAATATTAAAATTACTCTATTTATAATATGAAAGATCATGAATTCGAGTCATGTAAACAATTTCTCTACAAAAATATAGAAAAAACTACGAATAACAATTTTTTTTAAAATCAATAAAATAATAATAATAATAATAATTACACGTATTAATTCTCCTTAAATCTATATATTTAAAATGTTTCGTACACGAAATCACCTTTATATACAGGTAAGAAAAAAAAGTTAAAAAAAAGATGATAATTATTTGGAAATGCTTTTCTGAGCGTCAAGTGTCAACCTTAGCATTATTATTCTGTATTCGCTTAACCAATCCTTTTTTCACATTTCCATGGATATATATATATATATATATATATATATATTATATATATATATATACTGATATATACCTGTCTCTGTTTTGACTTTATGATGGAATTGTTTTTCCTTTACTTTAGCAAACCATGTACTTGTTTTTGACCACCCATTTGCTTAGTAACAACCATTCCCATTCTGTTATTCTCCACAATAATAATAATTTAATTTTTAAAGTAATTTTATTATTTATTTTTTTCATAACTTAATTTCATGATATGACTTTAGGATCGAAATTCGATTTTAGAATGGACAGCAACTAAACTTGATTATTCATCAACTAAATTATTTTTTTGAATTAATTAAAACGAAATGACAAGAAAGCATTCAACAAAAATAATACATCAACCATATATTCTTTGTACATGTGGTGGTTATTCATCCATCTCTATGTATTTGGCTATGCTCTTACATACATATATTATATATTTAATTATATTCCTGCCTAAAAAATATTATATATTTAATGAATTAATCCTCCAAAAAAAAAAAAAAAAAAAGCAAAGAAGAGAAGAGAAAAAAAAAAAAAAAAACCGAAAAGAAGAGAAGATTTGTAACAGTTGTCCATTTGTAGTTAGACACATTCTCTGTGTAGGATCCAAATACTATAATCTATGTATATAAAACATAAGGAAACAAAATCACGATTACTTATGGGATTAGAGACATGTATATAAATTAATTAAAATTAATTTGCACACTGCTCAGTGTCAACTGACATGTGTCGGTGTGGATTTGGATAAAGTTTATTGTTAATTCTGTTCATTTAATTTCTTAAAATAATTATGTTTATTTAATTATTATACAAAAAAAGAATCAAACATTTGTGGAGTTGTGTGTGCAGTCCAAATTAACTTATACATAGTATAAGTTATTTTTAAGAAAAAAATAATATAATCTATCGTTTTCATGCACACGTGTCTCCGTGCTAGGATTAATAATTTTATTAATTAAATTAATTTTTTTTTATTAAATTTTAAAATTCTTCTAGAGTCACGATCTATTTTGATTGTTTCAACTACCTATTATTATTTCCTTTTCTTATTATTTAGGCATGCAAGTTTTGCATGTCCGCATGAAACCGATTAGGCAAGAAAAATTATTATGTGTATGAATATTATTATTATTATTACAATCAATTATTAATTTTGTTAGTATATTTAAAAATTAGGTCGTTAAATTGGACCCACAAAAATGTCAACCCCACATGAAGGCATGTGCAGTCTAAAGTTATAAAACAGGCAAAGGCACACACATTACCACTTGCATTGATTGTAGCAAATAACATGCTCTTGTCTTTTACTATATTTGTAGCCTCTTACTTGCCTCCACGTATATAACCAAAATCACCAAATTCTAAATTCTATATTATATATACACGTAATACGCGTATCGTGGATTGGGTTTCCTTTGCCCCCACTAAGCTGCCACGTCCTGTTAGGTTTGCTTATTGTATTTCAATCTAAACTTGAAAATTTGAATATTTTCTGGGAATTTCCAGTTAGGTGTATAGTGAAATCAATATTCTTATCTTCCCCAAATTATTGGCCGGTCCATTTTTATATATATATTTTTTTATAACAAAAGTACTAAGTTGTCATGAAGCTCACTTCAATTTGGCTTGCTGTATCAAAATATTTCATATATTAAATAGTTTTAAAAGCGAAATTCGGAATAAAAATTAAATAGATTTTTCAGAAATATATTTTTCATTGCCCAGTTTTACGGAAGCTTGTTGAGAAGCCTTTTAAAACTTGCTATAAATATTATCGTTTTGACAGTTTCTTTTTGCAAGTCGAACCAAATGAGAAACGATCACTTCTTCCGACACAGTTAATTAAATTTTTTATTTTGAATCCAAAATATGAAGGAAGTAATTATTTTTATTGTTTAGTTCATATGATATCTTTCAACCTAAAGATAGATCCAGTACAAGGTGAAATGTATGTAGAGAAGATCGGGCCAGACCCCAAGTTAAATAACAAAATTTTGTTGATCTTTCAGCCCGCTCCAGATTAATTTTGACAGACTTTAGAATCTTCCAAGGCCCATTTTGGTTCAATTAGTCCAAAACTCAAGGCTCAGTCGACGAGGGGCTTAAAAAAACTCAGTCGACGAGGGCTTAAAAAAAAAAAAAATATAATAGTATATCTATATATATAAAGAAGAAATATTAAAAAATGCATAAAGAAGAAATATTAAAAATGCCCCCACGCAGGATCGAACTACGGACCTTCAGTTTACAAGACTGACGCTCTACCACTGAGCTATAGGGGCCTCATTGAAAGCTTGTCATACATTTTTAATAATAACGGTTATTTCAATTTATTTTGTTTTCTTCCCTACCTTTATTTAAATACAATCAATAGTAGCTCAAGATATAAGTTATGAGGATATTTGTGTAATTTAATTAAAATTTCTGAATAATTATTAAGTCTAATTTTTTTAAGATAATCATTAAGTCTAATTTGTACAATATTAAAGTGAAAATGACATGACTTTTATTATTTTAAAATAATTTATTTTCTTAAAATTTTATCTGTTGTTGAACTTTTTGGGATAATTAACGGAGCAATAAAAAAAATGAGTTTGACTAAATTACTCTTCATTTCATTTAATTAATTACTCCAATTTGACATTAAAATTAGGAAAGAAGAAAGTTTATTTTTTCATTAATGTAAGAATAAAATTAAAAGAAAAGAAAGAGAAAAGTTACCTGATGTATCTTAGGATATCTTAAAAAATAATTATCCTATTTACTCGGATGAAGAAAAACTTAATTAATATTCTTTTATTTTTCAATGAGTGAGATAATTGTGGGACAGAAGATAGTAGTATTTTTAAAAAATAATAATTAAAAAATATAATATAAGATGAGCAATTATCTTTTAGCAACCGATTGGTTTATTTCAATTTATCTACTAATTAATAAAGTAAAAACTAAATTAAATCAAATAAACACTTTAGTTTTTTGTGAGAAGCCAAACTAAATCGACACAAGGGACAATAAGATTTCTTAATACACGAAGCTCTTATGCAATTTCGATAGGACATACGAGGGCAAGATAAGCAACTCACGAAATCTATAAGTTCCACTTCTTGCAAGCAAATTGCACAGAGCCTCGTCGATTCAGATCTGTACCCCTAACCCTTAAATCTCATGTCCTCAAATGAAGAGGTTAATGATAATATATCTTATGTTAGAAATCATAGAGATTAGGATACCTTCGTGTAATTTGAATGAATCGCATGAGAATCTGAATTCATGACAATGATTTTTCTTGGTAATGGTGATAACGACTCAGGGTTAGCAGAGAATAATAACGATTTAGGTTTATCACGGACATGTGCTTGTGATTGATAAGAAAGTTTAACGTTAGAGGTAATGAATAGCTTGAAACTGGACAAAGTATTGTCTTCAATAGGCTTGCCAATTTTCCAGGCAGAGACATAAACCTGATAATCAAGGTTGGATTATATCGAGAGAACCATTGATGTTAGACTAATTTTGAACAAGGTAAAGGAAAGATAAAGGAGAAGGAGGAGGTTGCTATTGAATTTGAACGAAGCGTTGGTAGTAATAGTTATATAGTATAATTTTCCATCTATGTGAAAATTATTTTTCTAAATCGAATTTATAGTCACGCTTATGAATCAAATCAATATCAGTAATGATTTTTTAAAAAGTGTTTCCGATTTTATCTTTTTTTCCCCAATATATGGATAGAAATACAATCGTTTTAATAAAAAATTTTATTCTCGTTGGTTCGGTTTATGAATGGTACCATAAATTCCGTCTAGTTAAAAATTTTTCTAGTGGAAAAGTACGTGTCATCTGATCCTACAAGGAATAGGACTTTTGGATTTCTGTTTTCAATACATTATTAAAAGTAATAACTAAACGGCGTCGTTTTTGCAGCGTAGACCATCAAGGCAATCTTTATCAGAGACATTATCGGCCTACAAAAATCAGTTGCACGGCTGTGGCGGGAAGGAACAAATCATCAGAACATTAGTGTCGTTAAGATAGCTGTACAATTCTGAAGCCCGAATTTTCTTCTTCACCAACTCTCCGGATACACAGTCACTTAACTCTTTCCTTGAAAAAAAAAAAAAACATCAGTTTCAGATTATATCCACAATTCAAACCCTAATTTCCTCGATATGTCCTTCCTGGATGAATTTCAAGCCAGTAAGCGATCTCTCTCCCTTTCCCTCTATTATTGCATGATTTTGTTTTTCACTTTCTAATCTGCGTATTATAAAGCACTATTTTAGGCAAGCCTTTTTCTCATTTTTCAATTGTGTGTTGTTTTGCCTTCAGTTATCCTATTCACAGAAAAGCTTACAACTTTCACTTTCAAATTGTTTAATAGAGGAAGGCGAATTAAAAAGCAAATTAAGATAAAAGAATTGGGTTCTAATTGAAATGTTATAGAGTATGATTGTTATTGACCTAATCCATGTCTTGTTTTCAAATGTTAATTGATTGAAGAGATTCTCTTTGGATTAAGAATGCTTTGTATCATCAATGGTGGAAGGTTAATACATTCTGGATTTGGTGCTTGATACTTGACAATAAGAATTTGCAAAAAAAGTCTGAGATAAGCATAATTTCTTGACATTTTCTTCATAGTGGTTTGTTTAGGACTCATTATTTGAGAATGTGTTATTGTATGTTTATAATAATTAGAGGAGTATTTTATATTTTAAGTTTGTTGTCTTTTCACCTCCTTTCTCCCTGCTATAATGCTTTCTGCATAGTTCTAACTTTCTTAGGAACTAAGATTTTGAATTACTGCCTTGACATGTGATTCATTTTGAACATTTTGTTTCATCATACATCAATAGGTGTCTTCTTTTGTTTTTTATTTTCAACCAATGGATGACTCTAAACTGGTTTCCTTGTACAGATCTGGAATCATTACCCAATATCCTGCAGAAGAAGTATGCCTTGTTGCGTGATCTAGATAAGAGTTTGCAGGGTATTCCTTTAAACTTAATACTTTTTTGGAAGGATTTAGTATTGTTTTACATGTGTGTATGTGTGTGGTTAACTGGATTTGTCATTTCAGTGTGTCTAATCTCTGCTTGAGAATGAGACAGGAAGGAATACATATGTATTCCCTATTCCCTGCTTTGCAATAGATTTTGTATTGTTTTCCTCTGAAAATCCTGCATTGTACATTTGGGTGCAACTTGTAGCGCATAGAATTTTTTTTCCCTTACACGCCAATATTCACACTTCTCCACTTCTGACTACATGCTTTCTCTATTTTTATCCTCATCTCAAGGGCAACCTTTTTCCAAATGTAAATGAACAGAAATCCAACGACAGAATGAACAACGTTGTGAACAAGAAATAGAGGATATTAAGCGAGGAGTTAAGGTTGGAAATATTACACCAGATACCTCGCTTATCAGATTCTCAGATGAAACACTTGATGAGCAAAAGCATAGTATCAGGATTGCAGATGAGAAGGTTGCATTGGCTGTCCAAGCGTATGATTTGGTATGTTTAATAACTTTTCTGTATATGATTGATAAGTCTGTCATGTGATCTAAATGGTGATCGACATAGCTTGCATATTTCATATTATTTGTATTTAGTTGTTAGTTCTCTTGTTTCTTGATTTTTTATGTTGGTGCAATTGCTGGTTATTCGTCAAGTCTCTCCAGTCCTTTTCTTGGTAGAAAGTAAATGGAAAACTTTTCTAGGAAACAATGGAAATGTTGAGAAACTGAAATGTTTTATAACTTTATCTAAAACTTCTTATAAATCTACAATTGGAGTGCTGATCCAAAGGTGTGTATGTCCTTGATTACATCAGTCATTCAATTGCATTGAGATAGACAGTCCTGATCCTTAGAAATCAATTTAACCTTTTGCACTTTCAGGATTATTGAATGCATTATATCTTTGACTGCTTTTAGTCAAGTCCTTCCCTTTCCTGCCTTCGCAGGAGAAGTTAATACTTTCCAAATGAAAGGATAATGCAGGATGTCAGTGCTGCACTATTTTCATATTTGTGTACATGACTTCATGTTCATTACTGCCCTTATTTTGGATGAAGTATTACCTTGTCAACCATGCTTTTTCTAATCATGCTTCAGGTGGATGCTCATATACAACAACTTGATCAGTATCTGAAAAAGTTCGATGAAGAGCTTCGACGTGGTAATTTAGTTTCTTACCTTTGTGATGGCATCCTATGTTAAAGTATCTCAACAAGTGTAATGCTTTATGGTTAAATTGGTATCACCAAATTTTGCGTCCATGTCATAATTTTATGTAATGATGTTTTTTTTTTTAATAGAAAGAGAGAATGCTGCAGCAACTGCTTCGCCTGGCTCAAGTGTTGATGGCAGTGCTAAATCTGGAAGGGGTGGTGAGAGTGGTAGAGGAGGGCGTAAAAAGTATCCATCTCTTCTAATCATGATTTATTATAATGTTCTTATTGATTACTTGACACACGATAACTAGATTAAAATTTTAATTTAAAATTTATTGTTACTTTCTTTCATTGGAAGTTCTTTGTTGAGTATTATTTGGTCAATGTTTCTGTTAGACAAGGTTTGGTTTGATCATAGTAGTTTTTTCATCCTGTGCCCAAGCTGCTTGCAAGCAGTTGGACAATTCTTTAACTTGACTAAAGTAGCTTATTTAGAAAGTTTGTCATTTATCATGGAAAGGAAGGATCAATCCTCAAAGGCACTCATTGAGAATAGATTAAATTTTAAAATGATTAAAGGTTTTTGCATTTTTAGTAAGTTGTACAACAATTAAAAAAATTTCTGCAGAACACGCCTGGCTACAGCAGCTGCAGAAGCAACAACAGCTGCAACTTCTGCAAATCCTACTGGTATGGAATTAGATTGTCCGGTGGATCCAAATGAACCAACCTACTGTTTCTGTCAACAAGTTAGCTATGGGGAGATGGTAGCTTGTGATAACCCCCACGTATGTAATAAAATTCTCTTTGCCTGTTCTCTTCCAAACTTTTTTGCAGAAAGTGCCTAATCACTATTTTCAAACCTGCAATTTGATGAGAGCCTCTTTTTTTTTTTTTTTTTTTTTTTTTGATAACCCCCACGTATTGTAAATAAAATTCTCTTTGCCTGTTCTCTTCCAAACTTTTTTTGCAGAAGTGCCTAATCACTATTTTCAACCTGCAATTTGTGAGAGCCTTTTTTTTTTTTTTTTTTTTTTTTTTTAACCAGTGCATATAGAATGGTTCCATTTTGCCATGCTGTTTTGGTCTGAAAAGAACAACCAAAAGAAAATGGTATTTGTTCAGGAAGGGGTGCTTGCTGTTGATTGAAAAAAACCTCGCCGGAAAGGCAGATGACATGGGAGTCCTTTACTCGGGGAAATTAGTACTGTGGATGTTTAGCTAAGATGTGATTTCACAATCGTATGTGCCGCCCCCCCCCCGCTCCCCACCCCCCCCTTTTTCTACTCCCTTTTTCTCTTTTTCGTCTCTCTCTTTCTCCCACTTTTTGGTGAATTCCAGGTTTCAGGAATTTCGTTTTGTTGATATTATATGCATATTAAGTGATTTCAGCATCTAAACTGCAATTCTGTACCCTTTTAGTTGTAGTAGGAGAATTTCAGTACTTTTGGTAGATGATTGCTGCTTGCATTGGCAATAAACTTTTGGAGCCTAGATTCAATCCCATCTTGTTTTTATCTTCACTAGGGACGTTGTAAATGATTTTCTTCTCTCTCTCTCTCTCTCTCTCGCGCATGTATACATAATTGCAGTTGTTACCCGAGGTAGTTAGCATAAGGATGTTGTAGATTATTTTCTTTTCTCTCTCTCTCTCTCTCTCACACACATACATAATTGCAGTTGTTACACTGGGTAATTAGCAGTTGGGTACTAATAAGTTTTTGTATACCATTTGAAGACTAGCTCAGGAATTGCACGGGAGGGCCAGATATCAGCTATGGTCCACCTCTGAATTGCTTTCTGTTTCCTTCCCCGTAAATCTGCACAGAAGCATAGTTGAGCTGTTTGTTATTAGCAGTTGTCTAAGTTGCCCTTCGACCTGAGATTGCAAAACCCGCGATACCCAAGTTTGAGTTAGCGAGTGGACATATCACACGAGACACTATTGATACATTCACCTTTTGATGCACATGAACTGAAATCATGGCCTATAAAACTCATCAAATCCAATTACTATGATCGAAACCATCGAGAGATTGTCTATTGTTGCAAATAATTTAAATAGAAGTGAACTAATCCTCTAGAAATTAGAGTTCCTTCTTCATCTTTTTTCCTACTCTCAACACAGTTACCATGTGAACTGGTGGAACTGTTATATCTCGACAGCAAAATCTATCAAATAAAAACCAAAACAATAGAAACACAGATTACCAACCCACCAATCGACAAAAGGACCACATTGTTCTTATTGTAAGGGGACAAAAAAAATAGTCGTTACATGCCTTACAAACAAAAATCCAAGATCGTTTATCTTGAATAATCCAGTCCCCAACAACTACTACCTACAACCTGCGAACCTCATTATGAATACATGGATGCCTTTGGACCTTCACAATAATTACTCCCTAAAAAATGGACAAAAAGCCCGGTACTCTTGTTTATGTGTAGATTTGGGTGAATGTTCACGTGGATTAGTGTTTTCTCGAGGAACATCAGTAATCCATGCCCATGCCAGGAGGAATTGCTGCAGCATCTTTCTCATCCTTTGGAAGTTCAGATACAACAGCTTCAGTTGTTGTCATCAATGATGAGACACTGCAAGCAACGTAAAACAGAAATTTTCAGTCAGTAAGAAAAAATGACAACATAAAAGGGGAATTAGCAAACCAGTCTGAAGGAGGAGCTTATAACAAACTAGACAACACAAAACTTATTACAAGTTTATATGATCACCTTGCAGCATCAACTAAAGCAGTTCTAATTACTTTCAATGGGTCAATAATCCCTGCTTTCACCATATCGACATATTCACCTGGTAATGCACCAATTACCAATCGGCTTAGTATATAAATAAGCATATAGTTTCCAGTTACGTAACGAGGGAAAAAAAAAAAAAAAAAAAAAGTAGGAAAATATAGGAAAATGCAAAAACAACAGTCACAAGCAGGAAACGCTACTGACCTGTGGGCTTATGTCTCAGCAGGTCAATTGTTGGAATATCCTGCTCCAATAATCTTGCCAACAACACACCAGCTCCCGGGAAAAAAAAAAAAAAAAAAAGCACAAGCAAGGAACCATTACTGACCTTTGGCTGCATCATAACCAAGATCATTGTTATCCTGCTCCAATAGCTTGCCAACAACAACAGCTCCCTCCACTCCTGCATTACTTGCAATAGTGTGCACTGGAGTCTGCAATATAAGATTTTAATGTACGTTATAAGCAAAAGAGACAGCCACAAATAAGGCTTGATATCATATAAGATACATCTCAAGCAGGTATTTTCAAGCTTGTACCCTTGTAAAGCTATAAATTTCTTAAGATTAATGTACATAAAAACTATTAAATAGACAAACCTTCAGTGCGTTCTGAATGATTTGGACACCAATTTTCTGGTCAAAGTTAGCGGTCTGCAACTTATCCAACTCTTTTGAGGCATATAGAAGAGCAACACCACCACCTGCGAAAGAAGACCATATTACGAATTTTGCCTGCTGCTTTAAAATGTTACCGTCTTGTAAGGGAAACTCAAGACAGATAAGCTACCTGCCACAATACCCTCTTCTACAGCAGCTTTTGTAGCATTTAGAGCATCTGTAACCCTGTCTTTCTTCTCACCGACTTCAGCTTCACTGGCTCCTCCAATCTGCAACCAAAATTCCACTAACGTTAATCCCATCATTCTAAAACTCTATGCAGTATCAGAAACTGATGCAGTTAGAAGTTAAAGAGTTCGGCCAATACAAAAGCAGCTTTCTTTGTTTAATTAACAGAGAAGCATAGCTTTTTCTCTCCGCTTTCTTTTTTTTTTGGGTTTGAGCTGAGAGAAAAACATATCTTGTTGGTAACTACAAATAGGAATGAAGACAAACCTTGAGCACAGCAACTCCACCAGAAAGCTTTGCAAGTCTTTCTTGCAACTTTTCTTTGTCATAATCAGATGCGCTCAACTCTATTCCAGACCTTATCTGCAATAACATTGATAAGGCTTTACATTTAAATGAAAAAACATATAGAGCGTGTCCAAATATGACACAAGACAAACCTGTTCACATCTTTCCTCAATGGCCTTCTTGTCGCCAGCACCATCAAGAATGACAGTATCATCCTTGGACACCGTTATCTACAAGACAAAAACAATTATGCATCAATAGAAATAAATAATTTTTTATTAGAAAGATTTGCACTCAAATCTCACCAAACTACTGTCCCATCTGAGCATAAGGAACGCCATAGCTACACACCTAAACTACCACAATCTTCAAATAGAAATTTGACTTTACCTTCTTGCAACTTCCAAGCATGTCTATATCCACTTTTTCAAGATTGAGGCCAAGTTCTTCTGTTATGACCTGCAAAACAGAAAACAAAACTACTTGGTTATATGCCAGGCTGTGTAAACAAGGGACTCAAAAATAAATTTGGAAACTACACTCACCTCACCCCCAGTGAGAACAGCAAGGTCCTGCAGCCCAGCCTTCCGATTCTCTCCAAAACCAGGAGCCTTTATGGCACATACCTAAAGAAAAACACAATTTAAAATATTTGGACTAATACATACAATCTCAAGTCAAATGAATATTTTGGATCAATGTTTTCTCCAAACCTTAATTCCAGCACGAAGCTTGTTTAGAATAAGGGTTGCCAATGCCTCACTTTCCACATCTTCTGCCACTATCAACAAGGGCCTTTGTCTCTAAACAAAGATAAGGATAGCTAGTCAAGTCAAATACATACACAAGGATGAACAGAGATTTTAAAGAAGAAATGGACACATTCTATGCTCACCTTCAAAGCCAACTCCAATACTTTCACCACAGCATTTATACTCGAGATTTTCTTCTCATGGATCAGAATGAGAGGATCATCTAATTCCTGTGAGCATGTAGACATGTATATAAAACTAAGAATGCACGTAGAAATAACCATGCATGACGTTAATCAGAGAAATGATACTTAATAACATAAACAAAAACTGTGATTTGCATTATTCAGCCATGTAGAATTATTCAGCCATGTAGACATTACAAAGTCAAAAGATAAGCAGTAGGCAGTTAGCTTACACATTTTTGGTTTTTCTGGTTGGTTATGAAATAAGGGGATATGTAACCCCTATCTAGCTTCATTCCCTCAACAACTTCCAATTCATTATACAAAGTCTTGCCATCCTGTACAATTTTACATGAATTAAATACACAAAACTTGAGAAACGCATAAGGCCCTTTACAATCAAAATGTGTCCTTGTGGCTCTGAATTCTTACTTGAATTGTGATAACTCCCTCTTTGCCAACCTTCTCCATGGCCTTAGCAATTAATTCTCCAATTTCTCTTTCTCCATTTGCAGAAATGGTTCCAACCTGAGCTATTTCTTCAGATGTGCTTATCATTCGTGCCCTGCTTTTCAAATTGGTAACAACAGCATCAACAGCCATACTGATACCACGTCTTAGGTCCATTGCGTTCATCCCAGCTGCAACTGATTTGCATCCTTCCGTGAATATTGCTCGAGTAAGAACTGTGGCACAAGTAGTCCCTGCAACAAATAAAATAAAGATAGAATTGATCAAGGATCACAACACAATACAACCACAGGTTTCACAAGCTTACACTGGATTGACCGCATCTGAACCAAGACAAGCCAAATCATTAAAGAGCATATTGAAAAACCTTACCGTCTCCAGCAACATCATTGGTTGCATTTGCAACCTGTTTGACAAGGCTAGCACCAATATTTTTTACTTTATCTTTGAATTCAATGCTCTTTGCAACAGTCACACCATCCTTTGTCACTTTGGGGGCACCGAAGCTTTGTTCAATAACTACATTGCGCCCCTATGCACAACCAATCACCAGCCATTAGTTATAAAGAGGATACTGTATAGCATAAAGTATAACACTCAGTAAGTAAACAACCACAATCACACTTGATAAGGTTTCACTATCTGCTTATTAAAACAAAGTAAAATCAATATTAAATAAAGTGAAAATCAAATTGATTTGATAAAGTTTCAGCACATTGTGACCGGAGTTTGTACCTTGGGACCCATTGTGACTTTCACAGCATCAGCAAGCTCTTCAACACCCCTTAACATTAAAGCACGGGCTTCAACACCGAATTTGATGTCTTTGGCAGCATAGTTTCTGCTCCAACTCAGTCTACTTCCAATCTAGATTAAAATATATGGAAAAGCAACAATTAAGCCTCTTAAACGGAAACAGATCAAAGAAGATAATCCAAAATGTACAATCCAGAAATAAGTAACACCAGTAGAACTCACCTGATGGGAGCTATTCCTAGCGATCCTGAAATCCAAAAAACATTTGCATTAATATAAATCTCAAGCAATCACAAAATCAAAAATTTCTTTTTTGTCAAGAGAAAAAACTATATCCCATACTGATTTTAAATGAAGTGCTATTAATCCCACAATTTAAAAAGAGAAATCCCAGATCAGAAGCAATCAAAATCCAGTTAGCAACTAATGAGAAAGTGGACAGGAACTGGAAGTACCTAGCTTTAGAAGCGAGGCTAGAAGCGAAACGATACATGGTGTTCAAATTACAAACAAAGAAAGTGTACTTCCAAAATCGATAGGAGAATTGAATTGAGATGCAGAACGCGCACGAGGAGGATTGAAAGTGAAGAACGTAGGGCGCTTTTCTAATGAAAGAAGAAGACTCTAGAAGCAGCCTGGCAGCTTCTAGTTTCTAGGGTTTAGGGTTTTACATCCTTTAAATTTTTAAGGAAAAATATAAACTACCCGTTAAATGGCTCCGGATCTTATCCGGGTTACAAAACCTCATGGATCAAACCGTATTAAAAAACTGGATGGGCTTGAGGCCTGCTGTTTAAATTAATAAACAGATGGGCAATATCAAACTGAAAATGAATTTATTAAGGCCCAATTTCTCTCTATATGCTGCCGATAATTTTTAGGCGATCAATCGAATCTCCACGAATTAGGGTACAGTTATTTTCCATTATCCTAAGCCATTTTAATTTTTTATTTATTTATAGAAAATTTAATGTACTAGAATAATATTATACACTATAATATAAATATTAACATTCACCTAATGCATAATCTTTTTTGCAGCGAAGATAATTCAAATTTAAGGTGTATCTACATAAATAATTGTCGAATTGATTCAAAAATATGTTTTGACTTAATTATCTGATTCATTATCTCAATGTTTGTTTTATTGTTTTTATACATTTGGTTTGACAACCATGATAGTTGCATTTAAATTTTTTTTTTCTATCATCTACTAGTTGATTTCCATTCATATTATATTTAGACTATATTAATTTTATAAAAATAATTGTTATATTTTAAAAGACTAGATGCACTCTCGGATACCTGCAGTTATAGACTAAAAATATATATATATTTTTTTTCGAATTAATATTTTATTTATAATTTTTTTTTGAAAATAAATATTAAACACTATTAAAAAATTTTAGTTAGTATTTTATTTATATGACATGTTAAAATAGAAAATATCCTTAAAAAATAAACTAATATATTCATGATAGAGTAATGAGGGTATTGCTAGAGGAACAAGCCAGTGACGTATTCAAACATCCATCACAAGCTTTGTTAACACGTGTGCGTTTCCCCATCTGGACGATGAGGACACACATCCAGCTACGCTACACCCGACACCACTGTATTTCTGCTATTTCCGTATTCTCTATTGTCCCTCTTTCTCTCATTTTCACTTCACTGGTTCATCGAAATCGATTAATCCGATTAACTGATTCACTGGCAAAGAGACTCTGCCTAAGATGACTGAGGCGGTGATTAGGAAGAAGCCAGGGATGGCGAGCGTGAGGGATATGCCGATCCTTCAAGACGGCCCTCCTCCTGGTGGATTCCCGCCGGTCCGGTATGCTCGGAGGATCCCTACCAAAGGGCCCAGCGCCATGGCCATCTTCCTTACTGCTTTTGGCGTTTTCTCTTATGGCATGTATCAAGTGGGTCAGGGCAATAAGATCCGCAGGTAGATGTCTGGCATTTTTTCACACCAGTCTCATTTTGTTGATTTTCGTGTGTTCTAATGGTTTTTAACTAGAGGAGTTAGGTTGTTTTTTGAAATTATATTTGGAAATGTGGAAATTTTGCTTTTTATGTTACTCCTATAATCAGAATGGAGTTTATTAGGGTTTGGCATCTCAAAATAATCCCATTTGAGTATCAATATTGACATCCCCATTTGATTATTAATCTCATTTTAGTTCGTTATCTTTTTTTGTAGTATTTTGAATATTTTTGGCACCTGACTTTTGTTTGGTTTCTTACTCAGACATTATTTTATGTAATCAGTGGTGGTGTGTGGAGGTTAGTTTTTACTATTTTGAAACCTAAAAGAATATTGGTTTTTTATTGAATTCTTAAAATTTTGATAAAGTGTTGACATTTTGGATGATAGACTTATAGTGTACTTGTCTTGGTAGAGTAATGAGTAATCCTTGGTGTAGTCTATTTATATTCCTCTTTAGCAATAGAGTTGCTTCTACTCATTTTTCTTTTTTGTCATAAGGTTAGACATATTGTTGATGTTTTGACTGAAAACTAGAAATTGTGAAAGCCTGAAAAGTGAAAAATATTATCAAATTGCTAAGTTCTATAGTACTCAGCTTGTACTCGTTTTTGGTTTGTAGTTGCTGGATCTCATTTATGTTCAGACAGAAATTAGATATGCAGAGAAAATTTGTGGTAGGTCACAAAACACGAGTGATTAATTATGAGTTCCTATTGTTACTTAGAGGTTTTCGATGAAGAGTTGGTTTTTTTGCGTCCATTTTGTTCTAAAGATTCAAAGTTCAAATGTAACTAATTTTTGCTTGATTTGAGTGGTCAATTTTTAATATCTGAAATTAACTAGCTCAGAATATCTGATGCTCGAGTCAATTACGGATTAAATCAAATTGAGTTTTGTAGATGACAGCGACAAAAAAGTCTTACATTTTGGTGAAAAGTTTTTATGGATACAAGGTCACTTATATTTGAATAAGTTGTTTTATGTCTTGGGCTTTGTATGTTGTGGAGAAGTATCAGAGCTCTCTTGTTAAAAATTGCTTAAACTCAAAAGTGAATGTTAAGCAGAGAGAATGGATTTCATTAAACAAGTTTAGCTATCATAATGTGTACTTTCTGTTGTTGGTTTGGAGGCTCTACCTTATTGAGATCATCTAACATGGTACATTGGATTATGCAAGTGCATGATAGCAATACATAGATTATTTTAGAAAATAGAAGGTCTTTTTTACTTCCTTTTCTGTTTTTCCTGTGTGCATATGTGAGAGAGATTGATTTATCTCCTGCTACTACTCTCTGTTTGAGAACCTATACAAGGGAGTCTTTACCAAAGAGTTCTCACTTGGTATATTTATTTACCATCCTTTTTGATGATTTGCCTCTTCACCTTTAGAATGGTGCTAGATGGTTCAATTACTTGGTATACATTGGTTTTTCAATGGCAAATGAAGTTTTGTGGTAATGTTTTTTTATTTATTTTTTTTTATTGAAGATTATTGGCATAATTGATTGCATCTAGAAACTGGTCCCACGTTGTAGTGTTTCAGACCACCTAAGCTGGCCTTTGCACTTTCTCTGGCCTTATTAACAGCCAAAAAAGGATTGAGATAGTGAATCTTTTATATTTTTTTCCCATATTATAAAAATACAGTTTGAGTGGACCTTGCAATTAATAGTTCACCAAGGAGAAAATCTGCTCACTGGATGTGTTTTTCCACGTCAAACATGTTTTTTTTTGCTATCTAGCTCTTAATCTTTCTGTGTTTTATGTGGTAATATTTACTTGCCCTGATTTTGATTAATTCCAAATCAGAATGTAACCATGGGTCTGTTGTATACTTAGCCTCAATGTGTTTATTCTCAAATAAAATGTGTTTGCTGTGATCTATTCAAAACAAATGGATATGAGATATTCGCAATTGAGAGGCTGGATTATTTGTGTACTTAGTCTTAAAATGGTACATATGATAGGTGTGCCCATCTCTTATAAGATGTCTTGATAACTGCGGTTTTTACTTTAACCCTATTCAGCCACAAAAACCTAGTGTCTTGATTAATTTTTTGCTATGAGAAGTTTTCAGGTCATGCCATACTTATATTAATTTATGGTGGCATACTGGTATTAATTTATTGTTTTATACATAATATTTAATCGTTCATACATGGTAGACTGATAGACTCTATCACAATGGTTAGTTAGAGAGCAACTACAGGCAAAAATGTTCAGGCTTTTTGGCCTTCTTATTTTGGAACTTTAAACCTATACAAATTATATGCATGCTGCAGGGCGCTCAAGGAAGAGAAATACGCTGCTCGCCGAGCAATATTACCTGTACTTCAAGCTGAAGAAGATGAAAGGTAGATACTCTTTTCCACTGCTATACGGCCCACATACCTGATGTGAACTTCTGTTTCTGTATTCAAGTTTTTCCTATTTGCCTCCCCTTTTTGTCTTAGATTTGTCAAGGAATGGAAAAAGTATCTTGAGTACGAGGCAGAAGTAATGAAGGACGTGCCTGGTTGGAAGGTTGGTGAGAATGTCTACAATTCTGGAAAATGGATGCCCCCAGCAACTGGTGAGCTGCGCCCAGAAGTTTGGTGACACTATGTTCACAGAGTGCACATTAGATATGCTTCTCCTCATCCAAGTTTCTTTTGTTACTTGGCGTTTCCTTACGAAATAAAGATTTAGCTGATAAACTTCTTAAAAGTGTCGAAAATACGACTTCCAGAAATTGTTGTATTTTCTCTCATGTTCATCTTTTCCTGCTATCGAAAAAAATTTAGAGTAATGATTTCATTTTAGTTTGGACTTTTTGGCCGTACATGCGTCTCAGCTGTTGCTACATTGACTAAGCTTCCCTTGCCTATTTGGTGATAGTTGTTTGATACATGCTGCTCCATGGCTTTTGAAGTTCAGTTAATATTTTTGTGTTTTTCTTTTCCGGATCAAGGGCGTTGATCTGGCTTTATATTTGTGATTTGATCATGTCTTTTGGTTGCTACCACTTTGGGTTTTGCAAATTGACTAGGTTATGAGCAAGAATTTCTTGTTTTTTCTTTTAATTCGATTTTCAATTCCAAACTCGATTGGCTGTTTTGGCAGCATATGATCAATCTGTTGTGTGGTGTATGTGTCTATGCCCGAATTCTCCCGATTCAGCGGATGCAGAAACCTGGGACGATTCCCAATTATACCATATTGGTGACTTGATGGATTGTTATGTTACATGGACTTAAAAGTCTTAGAATGTAGTAATAATCAAAGCTGATTGTTGGAAGATTATTAGAATGAGAAATAAGAAGTTTTCAATTCAATCGTTTTTTTTTCCCGTTCATTAACAGACTAAGGTATAACGTTCCCAGTTCAGTGGTTAACTTTTGGAATTCAAATGTGGGGATCTCAAATTTGAACACTATAGATTAAGGGCATGGTGCTTATGGTGAGGTAGAGCTATTGACTGTTTCTATAGTTCAAATCCTGTATATTGTTCCAAAAAAAGAAAGTCATGTATATTATAGTTCAATAAACTTACATCAAATGTTTTAAAATCTCCTTTGTTTGACAAACGGCATTCTAAAAGATGAGCAGGACCTTTTTATTTTTGGTCTAAAAGCCCATAAGATCAAGAGCTATAAGGCTGAAATATGAACCATGGCCTATAGTCACGAAGCCCATAAAATCAAGAGCTACATATGGCTTAAATATGAATCATAGCGGTCATGCTTTTTTCCACCAAGTATACTTATCATCAGAAAAATAATAGCACATGCTTGTTTGATCACATTTTTCACCCCCTTCATTACGAGTAAAAACATCAAACTTTATATACTTGAAAATTATATAATGTTTATTCTTTTATATTTTTTATACTTTAAATATTATATTATTTTTAAAATTTTTGGCATTTGGGAAGAGATTTTTTATATATATTATTTATTAACTACTAAATAATAATTTATTTTAGAATATAACTAATTGGCAATGACTTACATATAAATATAACATACAAAATCCTAATTAAAGTTAGATTTCTCTGGCTCTTATTTATGAGATTAATTTTTGAAACTCCATAAGTAGCCCAACATAATTATAATTATAGATATTTGATTGTTTAAATCAAGATAACGAGGCATATAGTCAAAGTAAACAATTACATACAATAAATTCAAACTTCTCTTATACACTTATTAACAATTAATCACATATATAATTGTCATCCAGAGAGCTTTACTAGCCCGAGCGTGTACATACGTGTGCAAACCAAAATTTAAAAAAAAAAAAAAAAAAAAAAACGTGTGCAAACCAAAAATTTAAAAAAAAAAAAAAAAAAAAATCACATAATGGGACCAATTATGAGGATTTTCATCACTAAAAGCGGCCACCAGTTGGTGGCCGAAAATAAAAAAAAAAAAAAAAAAAAAATCACATAATGGAACAATTATGAGGATTTTCATCACTAAAAGCTGCACCAGTTTGGTGGCCGAAAATGGAAGACTGGACAGGATGACGGTAATAGGCAGGATCACTGCTATCATATCCATGCTTATAGTAGTTATATGAAGAAGAAGGCTGAGAAGCATAATAGTTAAGAGGACCATTCACTTGGTGTTGATCATAGTAATGAGCAGACGAGCTGTAGTGCTCTGGATTATAGGGTAATTGCCATAACTCTGCTCTTCTTCCCGTCTTACGCACCGTTTTAAGAACTTTTTTCTGGTCAGCCCATCCGGTGACCGTCACTTTCTGCAACTCCATGTCAATATCAACATTATCTACTCCTGCGCATATCAATGCAAGTTTAGTGTTGACATGATCATACAGTACACATCAAAGTTAATATTGAAATCAATCTATTAGTTACGCGACGAGTATATATAGATATACCTTTTAGTTTCTGTAGAGCATTTTTGACCTTGCTCTCGCATCCTGCACAATCCATATGTACCCTCATCTCTATGATCTGAATCATTAATTAACAATGGATTTTAAATAAATTATTAGTAAAAAATGATAGATTAATAATAAAAAAGAGACATTAAGGTGGTGTTTATTTGGAGGATCTTTTCTATTTTTATTTTCCATTTTTTCCAAAAAAAAAAAAAAAAAAAGAACTATGGAAAAATGAAGATTATATTTTGAATTACAGTAAAACCACTATATTTGTTCGAAAAAACGAAAACAAAGTGGGAATGATAGCTAAAAAACCTTATTTACAAGAAAATTTTCTTGTACAATTGAAAATTTCAAAAAATTGCATTTCATTAAAAAATAAATAAGAAAAAAAAAAAAAGATTTGAACATGTTTTCCACAAAAATGGAAAATTTTTCTGAAAAACTGTTTATTTTCCCTACAAATGAACGAGGCATAAGATTGTGCGCTTACCGAAGTCATTTTCCTTTCTGAAATTAGTATCTGAAGAAGTCGCTAAAGCTTATATATATATTTTTTCTCTTTTGCGTATAGAATTAATATAGACACAATCTACTTGCAGAGAAGAGCGTTCACAAATCCGAGTTTTATATCATGACAGGCTCTATATATAGAGAGAATATATATACAGGTCAAATGCAGATGATCACCTCATCTGTAAGAACATTTATTTATTTTCTGTTATTCTCCATATAGCTAATATATAATTTATTGGACCGACATTTTTTTTTTTTTCCTTGTGACTTGGCCATGTCGGCCTGCATGTGAGAGGTTGGAAGTTGAAACGAAGGAAAGGAGAGACTATATTATGTCAAACCAGAATGCCCTAAATTATAAGCCATTTACAGACACATGTATGAAAACCTAAAAAGATTAATATTTAATAAATGCAAGTGATGGGATGGGCACAAGAATGATGGAGCGTTGGAGCCGGTTATGGAGTACTGTATTGCACATGATAATCAAGCGATTGTAGCGGATCATGTTTGTTTATTGCTTTTGACACTTACTTCGTTCCGTAAACAAAATAAAAGCATACAATAATTGCTTCAGAAGAAGAAGAAGAAGAAGATGATGTCTTATTCTTGAAGACAGACTTCATTATAGTTAATATGTACTGGCTAGCAAAAGGGTTTTCTTCTACAATGGTGTGAAATAGAAACTAGCTTGCAGGTCATGGAATGGAAATCAAAGACCCACACATGTTTGCAGGTCATGCTTGTGTGACAATTATCAGCATTCAGAAAATCTAACAAGATGATTACACAAAAAATGTGAAAATAAGAGGATACCAATTCAAGGCCAGAAGAAGATGATCCCTATAAAACATGTAACCCTCTATCCAAATTGAAGGCCTTGTTTGTGTTGTGGTGTGCCCACTTAAATGGGACCCACATGTGTGAAAGTAAGAAAAAAAAATAGGAGCAGCCAGTTCAACAGTGATGGTTTTGAATTGAAAGTAAAAGGAAAAAAAAATATGAGCAGCCAAGTTCGAACAGTGATGGTTTTGAATTGGCTGCACATGGGCGCGTGCACTTGAAAGAGTTGTACCACGCATTCCTTACGCGCTTAACCTGCCTATAAATAGAGGGCCAGAGGCAGAACGCACAACACACACACAGAACGAAGAGAGAAAATGTAGCGAGTTAGTTATCTAGTTGTTAGGAAGGGTCTCCTAAAACTGAGGGAGAGGAAAAATAGTGAGATTATCTTTGGGGTGTGTTTTTGGGAAACCACTTTGTGTGCCACTATTTTTTGTATTTACTCTCTTTGTACCTAACTATTGTTTTAATAGTGGAAAAATATTCGGAAGTTATTGTCCCGTGACGTAGCCCCTAAAGAGCTTGAGGCGTGAAAAACCACGAAATTTCTGTGTGTCTCAATTTCTATTATTCCGTGCTGCCGTAATTATTTTTCTCTTAAATTGGTTAAAAGGGACTCAACAAGTTGGTATCAGGAAAGCTGATGCCTAACAACTTGTATCAGAGTCGATTATTCTAAACAAGTGCTATCAGAGCCGAAGGGTTTCCGGCCAGGTCCAGTCGGTGCCGGTCAGATAGCGGTACCGGATCCGTGGATATATTTCAAAAATAAATATACCACGACGACGAGAAAATTACGACGAGTCCATTGGTATTGTTCGCTCCGAAAGACATTGCAGAATCGACTTAGTGATGAATAGTAAAATAGTAACTTGTGGTTGATGGTGAACAGTTACTATTGGCGTTACTGTTGCTGAGCCGTCACTGTTAAACCAGCACTATTCACATATAGTACTATTCACATATAAGTGCTATTCACATATAGTACTATTTACATGTATAATTACTATTCTTGTATACTAGTACTATTCACGTATACTACTGTTCACGTATACGGTTTATGTTTATGATGATATTCTGCACAAGTCAAAATGGACAAGCAAAATGATCAGTCTGGTGCGTATTACCATATATGGAGAAATGAGAGATCTCCTTATGGTAATTAAAATGCATTTGCCTGTGTTTAGTTGAACTAAACCAGAAGACAAGACTGATGATATTCATGATTACTATTCACGTATACTACTATTCACTTATATGGTTTCTGTTGATGATAATATTCTGTGCAAATTCAAAATGGACAAGCAAAATGATCAGTCTAAATGGCGGGAATTACCATATATGGAGAAATGAGAGATCTCCTTATGGTAATCAAAATGAATTTGCCCGCGTTTAGTTCAACTAAACCGGAAGACAAGACTAATGAGGAATGGGCTTTCGAGCTTGCGTCCAAATCTCGGTTGGCAGATTTAATGATGAAGGTTTTTGTAGCACCTTCAGAAATGGTTAGCGGAAGCTCACAAAGGTTCAGTTGTGGTAGCTAAAGGAATGATAACTCTGGCAAGAAGGAACGTACTACCTGGATCGGATGAAGTTCACCTAGACAAGTGTCCTTATTGTATGGCGAGAAAGCAAAACGGAGTAGCTTTCATGATTACCCCTCCTTCCAGAATGAAGAATATTCAGATTTTAGTGGACCATTGACGATGTCATATGGTAGAAATCGATATTTTATGACATTTATCAATGATCATTCTAGGAAGACCTGGGTATACTGACAGCTTATTTCGCAAGTGTACGAATCGCTACAAGTAATATATGATGAGTAAGATATCGTTCCCACGAGGATTGTAATCCAATTACCAAAATTATGTTATCTTGATGCTTTCCGCAAATAGCATGGCATTCGACATCAAACAACACCTCCCAAGACGCCGCAAGTGAATGGTTTGGCTGGGAGGATGATTAGAACTTTGATGGAGAGATTGTGATGTTTACTCTCATATGCAAAGTTGTCTAAGAGATTTTGGGGTGACGCTTTACTCACAGCAGTTTATCGTTCACCTTGTTTCCCTCTACAGTATGATACTCCAGAGAGAGTATGGTCAGGAAAGGATGTTTCCTATGATCATTTGAGGGTGTTTGGTTGCAAAATCATTTGCGGGTGTTTGGTTGCAAAGCCTTCATGATGTCAAGACTAGACGGTTTGTATTTATTGGCTATGGCTAAGACCAATGTGGCTATAAGTTTTATGACCCAATCCAGAAGACAATTAGAAGAAATCGTGATGCTATATTTGTTGAAGATCAGACTATTGAAGATATTGAAGTAGAGTGTCAATAGATCTGATGAAGACTCAACAAACATACAGAGAGAGTCCCCCCAATAAAATGCAGACAAATTGGAGATGAAGAAAACATTCCACGAGAATAGGTGCCAAAGTTAGAAAATCCAGAAGTTCCTAATCAGAATGAACCATATGAAGATTATGGTGTTCATGTTCAACCACCAGCACCGGAAGGTTCTCAAAAATAAGATCTAGTAGAGTTTGACAACCATCTACTAGATATCCAGTCAATGAGTATGTACTGATGACTGATGGGGGAGAACCTAAAAGCTTTGAAGAAGCTATGGAAATGAACATAAGAGGAACTGGATTGAAGCCATGCAAGATGAAATGAAGTCCTTGCATGAGGTTGAAACATTTGAGCTGGTGAAGTTACCCAAAGGCAAGAAAGCTTTGAAGAATAAGTGGGTGTTCAGGATCAAGCAGGAAGAACACAGCTCCCACAGTGGGTGTTCAGTATTTCCAAGCAGAAGAACACAGCTCCAACCACAATTTCAAAGCTTAAGACTGGGTTGTGAAAATGACATTCCATTCGGACAGTGCTCGGAATGGCCACCAGTTTTGAACTTGAAATCGAGCAAATGGATGGAAAAAGGGACTACCTTTCCTAAAATGGGAGATTTGGAAGAAGAAATATACATGGAGCTGCCAAGAGGATTTCGCTTAGAAAAAGAGGATTGTGTTTGCAAACTGAAGAAGAGCCTGTATAGGCCTTGAAGGCTTGAAGCAGGCACTGAGACAGTGGTACAAGAAGTTTGAGTCTGTTATGGGGGAGCAAGGCTACAGAAAGACTACTTCAGATCACTGTGTTTCTATCCTCTGATGATGACTACATTGTTTTTGCTCTATGTGGTTGATATGTTGATTGTTGGTTAGAATTCTAGCTTGAAGAAACAACTAAGTAAGTCTTTGCCATGAAAGACTTGGGAACAGCAACGCAAATTCTTGGCATGAAGATCAAAGAGCCAAGAAATTATGGTTGTCACACGAGAAGTACATTGAGAGAGTACTTCAAAGGTTTAGAATGGAAAACGCAACCGGTTTTTAGAATGGAGAATTGCTAAAGCGGTTTTAGTTGTCCTCTTACTAATCACTTTTAAACTGAGTTCTAAACAGTTGACCTTCTACGGATGGGAGAGAAGAAGAAATGGAAAAAGATCTGCAGGTGGTGCCTTGTGTCGAAAAGTTCTTCCGACAAAAGGAGTTCGGGGCGGGCGTGTACCCGCAAAGTTGTAAGCGGCGACGGTACCAAGATGGTGGGCAGATCTAATAGATTATAGCTGCAGGGGGAGCCCGATGTCGTGACAGTCAAAGCTCAATTCACCTTTGAAAAGGAATTCCTCCTTCCATTCTATCACTAGATCGAGGATGTGTTGGAGATGAAGCTGTTTACAGCTGAGAAGATCCATACAGGAGGAAAATGGATCATTCATGTTGACGAAGATTCTTTTCAAAGGAAAAAAGTTTGAATACTGTCGGATTAGCTGCAGGGATGATGCGATGAATATGGCTATGTTCCCACTTAAGTGTGCAGGGGGAGAATTGTGTGTGTGTGCCCACTTAAATGGACCCACATGTGTGAAAGTTAAGAAAAAAAAATAGAGCAAGCCAGTTCAAACAGTGCATTTGGTTGAATTGCTGCACCATGGCGGTGCAACTTGAAAGAGTTGGTACACGGCATTTTCCTACGCGTTAACCTTGTCCATAAATAGAGCAGAGGCAGAACGCACAACACACACACAGAACGAAGAGAGAAAATTGTAGCGAGTTAGGTTATCTAGTTTTAGGAAGGGGTTTCCTAAACTTGACGGGGAGAGAAAAAAATAGTGAGGATTATTTTTGCGGTGTGTTTTTGGGAAACACTTTGTGATGCCACTATTTTTTGTATTACTCTCTTTGTACCTTAAACTATTGTTCTTAATTAGTGGCTAAGAAATATTCGGAGTTTGTCCCGTGGACGTAGCCCTAAAAAGAGTCTGAAAGGGTGAACCACGTAAAATTTCTGCAGTGTGTCGTCATTTCTATTATTCCGCGTGCCCGTAATTATTTTTCTCTTAATTGCGTTAAAAGGGCCTCAACAAGTGGTATCAGAGCTGATGCCTAAAACAACTGGTATCAGAGTCGATATCCTAACAGTTTGGAATGCATCAGCCGCGCTGTTATGCAAAGAAGAGATACCAATTATGGATTTTGACCATCGTATTTTTTTTTTTTTCCTTTTATATTATAACACTATATCATTATTAAATTTGCTGCCGTAATTATTTTCTCTTAATTGGTTAAAAGGGCTCAACAAGTGGTATCAGAGCTGATGCCTAACAACTGGTATCAGAGTCGATATCCTAACAGTTTGGAATGCATCAGCCGCGCTGTTATGCAAAGAAGAGGATACCAATTATGGATTTTGACCATCGTATTTTTTTTTTTTTCCTTTTATATTATCACGATTTCATTATAAATTTTATTTAAGGTAATTACACAAAATTAAGGAAATCATTAAATAATATCAATTTAAAAAGAAAAGTCATAATTGGCTAAATTATCTCTTTATCAATTTTTTATCTACATTGAACAATTAGCGCAAAATTGAAAGAAATAATTACTACTTCCATAATTTTCCAAAATAATTAACAAATTATGCAGGAAAAAATATTACCTTAAACAACATTAAGTATCGAGACAGAGATAATATACTTAACATGCATATTGTCGAAAATGCATGTATCATAATTCAAAACTTTTGCATAAATGCCAACTAACATTTCTAAAGAAAACAAAAATTACCAGTTAATATATATTCAAAATTCGAATTTCTTCTATATTTACCCTAATTATCTGCTTAATTAAGTTCATCGGTATCCAAACACAAATCATCACCTTCGTAAGAATTATCAGTTAACATTTTTCTCTATAAATATATACCAGAATAATAGCCCTTAGTGCACTAGAAAAAAAAAAAAATTTTCAAATATGATTTCTACATGGGCTCGTTTCTCGATTCTCCTGTTTGTCCTAGTAACATGTCATTATCATCAAGCTCTTGCGTTTGAATCTAAAAAGCTAAGGTGGTGCTTCAAGTTCAGAGTTCATGTCATCAATGGCCTGTCAAGCAACGAGCGTCCACTGTTCCTCCAGTGCAAATCTTTAGATGATGATATTGGACACCATATCCTCTACGTTGGAGGAGATTTCAACTTCAAATTTGGTCTGAAAATTTTTGGTAGTAAAACTCTGTTCAGTTGTGACTTCAAATGGGGCTCAAATTATAGGCATGTAGATGTTTTTGACGAGAATGTGGAGGGCCCTGAATGCTGTTCTTCTTTTACTGGTAATAATTGTTATTGGCGAGCACAGGATGATGGCATTTATTTTAGTGTGGATAATCATATTTGGGCAAAAAAATTTGATTGGTTCTAATCATAGAAGATTCATATGTATTTTCGTTTGTAGTTCCCACATATGGTTAATGCTTTGAATGGATTGAATAAAGTCTAATTTATTAGATTATTCTTTAGTATTCTAATTAATTATTAAATTTGTATTCTAGATTTTATTTAATATATTTAAGTTTCACTCATAATTTTCTTTTTTTTTTTTAATTAACCAAATATATATCTCCAGTCCAATACATATAGGTCTAAATCTTATTTAGGAATTTACTCATCTTTTATATTTTATTTTCAATATGGGATTAACCTCAGATACTTGTACATTTTGTAATTTTTTTATATTCAAAAATCAAAATTGAAAATTTTAAACAGCAAAAATACAATTAATTAAAAAGGTTTCAAATATATTTTTTTCCCATATCTTGTGCAGATTTAGTCTAAAGTATCAAGTCTAAAAATAGCATAATTTTGGAATTGAATTAATTATATTTTTTCCAAAATAAAACTTAGTCAATCTGGCTATATGTCTATGCAATAAACAGAAATCAAACATTGAATACTCAAATCAAAGTGAATCCTTTACCTTTAGTTCTTTTTTTTACTTAAAATTAATTAAGTCTAATCTATAAATCCTATCAAGCATGTCATATGGTAATAACAAACAAAAACGAAAAGAAAAAAACAACAAATTCTAAACATGTCTTCTTCTTTGAACTCCATCAACTTCTTCCTCTCGATTCTTTTAGCAATTTCCATGATTCATGCAAGAGAAGGACCCAGTCATCCTCGTTTCAAATACGACGTTCACATCATTAATGGATGTGAAAGTGGAATTGTAAGGCCTATAAGTGGAACTTGTAGATCTCCAACTCGAGAGATTGGTACGTTTGATCTTCCCCATTTGTGGGATGAATATCACTGGAGCTTCAAACTGAACCGGCGAAGCCAGCACGTATATAGATGTCATGTAGCAAGAGGATTTGGGCAACAGAGAACCTTCATGGCATTTGATCAGCAGGATGATACTAAAGATAACAGGTGTGGAAGAACTGGAATGTGCTGGTGGAAGATTACTGAGGTTGGCATCTATTTTGGTAATAATAATGCTACTTGGACTAAGGCTTATAATTGGGAAAATAGTACTAATGTTATTGTAAGTTAATTACTGTCTAGACCGTTAAATGAAAATGAGTCTGAATACTTTATGATAAACTCTGAAAAAAAATATAAATATTGTATCCAAGTGGAAATGATAATAAAGTTTGTTATATTATTGTATTTATTTGTTCTGGAACAACCATGCACAAGAATTACAGGTCTTGAGCACTACTATATTTTTACAAACACATATGTATACACAAAAAAGCTTGCACACTCCCAATTACTGCATATACGTATGCTAGCAGAAAGAACACATTCTAAAGCGAGAAATATACAACAATAATACAATATTTACCTAAACAAAAAGACTGGCCCAGTTCCACCTTTCTTGTAGGCATCAGGAACACTGGAGTAACAGAAGAGGTGGTTGGACATTTCCCAGCTCCAGTCCTGTTTCCTAGAAACTGACATCCGGGGCCATCGGTTTATTCTAACATAGTGCTCCCTGATTGTTCCATCAGCAATAAAACTAGTTACAACTGAAAAACAGCATTCGTGACCGCCCCATACTCTGTCACCAGGATCAGCAGTTTGGCTTCCATCTTGATGGAAGTACCGGTGCATGAGAGGCTCAGTGCCTTTCCAATAAGGGTCGAGATTTCTCCAATATTCAGGAGCCAGCTGAGGGCATATTAACATATATTAGACATTCATGAGCACAGAATGATAATCAGGATGAACAAACTGTACAATTAAACTTGAATCAATTCATGAGTTGGCGACTGATGGATATTTGTCTAAATCAGAGAATTAGAGACTTAAATATCATTAGCAATATGTTATTGGATATTATTGGGATTGCACAAGACACATAGGAAATATGAAGAATTTCAAATCACTGAGCAACAAGAGTGAAGAAAAGCAATGCATGTTAGGGAATGCATAGATGAAATTTAGAGATTAACTCTGTGAAAGTAACCATGTCAATGTTTATCAATAGATAAGTACAATTGAATTATTTGCAATATTTAAAAAAAAGGATGCTATTTTCTCGACCTTTTGTTCCTTGGAATTCCAAAAAATACTATTGCAAAGCATAATTATGAAGCAAAAGAGAAATGACAATGTCAGCTGTTAAACCTATCTATTATGAACATGTTCCAGGGTCATGCATCCTTCAAACTAGTGACTGCACAAGATGGCAGATTTTGTCAACAACCTACAGCAGTATGCTCTTCTCAAAATAATTGTACACTCAATAAAGAAGAACATACCTTCGTAAAATGGAACTCCCAAGCATGGTCACACAGATCATCCCTCATGATGCGAGTCTGGCACAAAAACAAAGAATCACTTTTCTTGGTCATACCCAACTATAGCTATTATCAAGAGTGTAAGTTTAGCACATGTAAATAGTAATCAAATTTATTGCACATGCACAATAAGTGCATATTGGGAAAAATTAAAGGAGAAAGAGTAAAAAAGGCATAGATTCCTTGCTACTCACACGTTTTCCATCCATAACAGATAGTGAATAAGCAGCCAACTTGGATATTCCCCGGATCTGTGACAAACGAGGTATGTGTGCTTTTCCAAGCCAGAGTTCCTCGCACTAAAAAAAAACTGCAAAATTAGGGTTCAAATTTCAAGTAATAAAGAAAGAGGATGAAGAGCGACACAAACCATAGGGCGATACAATTCCATCAAAGCTTCTTAAATGCAACATAAACTTTTTTTCAGAACTTGACAAAAAAATTCTGATCAAATGTTTAAAAACTTTTCTCTGCTAAAATAAATTTTGTTACCATGAATGCATATGACAAAAGTTGAGAGCAAGCACTGAATCCTTCTGAAAATTAGTAAATGCTTGACCTGACAAAAGCAACTAAACTCCCAGACAACTGAAAACTTGTTTCTCCAAGAAGAGGGAAAGGTGGTACTCAGACTTATTTTAGACATGACTGAACAAAATCGCTATAGGATGAATGCCTTTAAATGGAAACTCTGAAATCACAATCTCAATTATCCACACACTCAACTATTGAGAGCAGAAGATCTTGTCATGATCAATGATAAATTAGTAGAAAAAATAGAAAGGTTTCTCTTCACCTCCATAGTAGAATTATGCAGCTATAATCATATACCATTAAGAATTACTGATCCAAAATTAAATTTATTAAACAGTACTCTTTTTTCCTTATATGACAGGTAGATGCATTCTACATTTTCTTAATTTATATTTTCTATTAGATGAACCTTAAATATAATGTAATAGACTAATCGTTATATGACAATTAAAACAAGAATCCTCAAACAAAAATTTCCAAGCACTCAATACCTGGTAACCTAAACCGGCAATCAAGGACATAATTTAACTAAATTCTCAACAATTGAAAGAGATCATAACCAACCTTGGAGCTCCAGAGACGATCGCTAGAAGCAAGGCGGTGCCAGCCGCGAGAAACTAGAAGAGATAGTGCCACGCTGCGTGCGTCGAGATTGCTAAGAATCTTCAACATAATATCCCAACCAAGCCCCTCAAGTGGGTCCTGTCGAAGAAAATCTTCTTCATTACATTTCACTTCCGCTGCTTCATTTCCATTTTCTGTCTTCTTCCTCTTCCTCCTCCTCCTCCTATTCATCCATTTCCTCTCCTTATCCTCCTCCTCCTCCGCCTCCTCCGCCACCGATTCTCGTCCAACTAAATCAAAACACCTACGGCTAGGAGACGCGGTGGTTATGCTCTCGAGCTCTTCCATGTTGCTGCAGCCCTGCAAATCCTGCTGTTTAGTCCGTGCCATTGAAGAGGACCACAGACACAGCAGAGACAGAGAGCGGAATGTGTATGTGACGGGTAAAAGAAAGAGGGGTGAACTGAAATCACTTGCACAGAACAGGAGGTAAAAGATGAAGATGATGATGACGACGATGAGATCATATACTTATTTTATTTCCTATCCCATATAACTTAATTGTCGTTTTGTGTGAGATGGATTTTTGTCCACATACAGTACACCGGACCGTTTTTGGAAGCCTACGTGTACTGATATTGTAAGCGGCAAAGTCAGAGAAAGTAACGTGAGTGCACACATACTGATCCTCATTAAAGTCCAAGTCTAATTTCTAGTCTAATGCGTGACTAACACCTTTTCCCCACTAAATGAACGGAAGCTCAGGCCCAAGCTCAGCCCAACTACAAAATATAGATAAGTCTCTCTCATGAGCCAATCATATTTTTCTCTGGCCCAGTACTTTTCAATATAATCTTGAACTCACAAACTCCGTCCTACGCCTGCAAGCATTGCGAGCAAAATTCGGTAACAACTGAAAAATCAAACCAACAGATGCTATTAGTATTTGAGTAGTTGGATTAGACTGATTCAGTTTGATCAGTTAATAAATCTGAATTTGATTTTAGTTTAATTTTCTATGAATGATATCGAATAGACCAAAAGAATCAAATTATCAAATTGTTAACATAAATTTTTTTTTTTTTATTTGGATTGGAAAAAAAAACTAAATTCATAAAATTCATCTTAAATTCAATTTTATTATTTTAAAAGTAGCATTAAATCAATTTATTATATCTTTTGATGAAACGATGAATATAAAATTTCACAATTAATTTATTGAATGAATTTTAATCACCTAAGGAGAAGGACCAACGAAGCTGCCAACAGTGGTGGAAGAAGTTTCTAGAGAATATTAATATAAAATATAGATTGTGGATGACAACTTGAAAGATGGCCAGATTTAAATAGTTTTTAAAAGTCAACTATACATGTGATAAATATTTTCTTTCCAGATTTCTTAATTAGTTTCTCTGTTATTAAAGATTAATTATTATATATTTCCAGCTACAAAAGTAATATGAATAAGATTAAATTTTCAAAAAGAAACAGCAGCACCATTTATTTGAATTCAACCCTTAAACAAACTTAAATGCTCATTGATCACCATAACCAGACTAGTAAAGAAATTCTCGTTACAGAGACACTCTCAAAGAATGGCCGAAGTTAAGCTGCTAGGAGCATATTTTAGTCCTTATAGTTTCAGAGCAGTATGCGCTCTGAAATTGAAGGGCATACCTTACGAATTTGTAGAAGAAGATCTCATGAACAAAAGTTCTTCTCTTTTACAATATAATCCAGTGTACAAGAAGATTCCAGTGCTTGTTCATGACGGCAAGCCAATTTGCGAGTCCATTGTAATCCTGGAATACCTCGACGAAATATGGCCGGAATGTCCCTTGCTGCCTACCGAACCTTATGAGAGAGCTGTTGCCAGGTTTTGGATCAAGTATGTTGAAGATAAGGTGCGCAAGCTTTCATCTGCAGGCTGAAAATGCGAAATGTTTTATGCTGTTCTTGTAATTTGATTGTAATGATATATTTTGGCATTTAATTAATTACAGTCTCCAGCAATGTGGGTAGTATTCCGAACCAGTGGCCAAGAGCAAGAGAAGGCGGTAAAGGAAACTGTAGAAATGCTGAAAACCATTGAAGAAAATGCTATGGGGGAAAAGAAGTATTTCGGAGGAGACAAGATTAACATGGTGGATATTGCATATAGCGGAATTGCTTACTGGCTTGGAGGCATTGAAGAAGTCGTAGGCATCAAGATGCTTGAACCTCAAAAATTCCCTCGTCTGCATGCTTGGACTAGAAATTTCAATGAAACACCCGTTATCAAGGATAATCTTCCAGATCGAGACTCAATGTTCGCATTATTTAAACGCAGCAGAGAGATGATATTAGCATCTGCTTGAATCTTTTTAGTCCTTTTTGATTATTTCTCAGTATGGTCTGTTTTCTTTAGATAATTACAAATAATTCCTTCTTAATATAAGGATATTAATACAGCTTTTTCTTTTTTCAAAGCTAATCTTCCAGATGGAGGCTCAATGCTGGTATTCTTTAAACGCACCAGAGAGATGATATTAGCATCTGCTTGACATATTATATAAGTATTAAGTCTATAGGGAGAAGAGAAATGTGTCCTCCTGAGTTTTTCTCAGTATGTATGGTCTGTTTTTTTCAGATAATAATTTTATGAATATGCTTATTATAATTAACTTCCTTCTTGATTACTGCATAGAAGGATATTAATTGAGGAATTTTCTTTCTTCGTTTTGAGAGTGGGGATTTATCATTTATGTTATGTGTTTTTTGTTGTTAGTATATATATTAATGGTCTGTTTTCTATTAGATTAATTTACAAATATTCCTTACTTGAATACTTAAAGGATATTAATACAGCTTTTTTCTTTTTTTCAAAGCTAATCTTTCCAGGATGGCAGGCTTCAATGCTGGTATGCTTTAACGCACCAGAGAGATGAATATAGCATTCTGCTTGACATTATTATATAAGTATTAAGTCTATTAGGGCAGAAGGAGAAATGTGTCCTCCTGAGTTTTTTCTTCAGTATGTATGCGTCCTGTTTTTTTCAGATAATAATTTTTATGAATTAATGCTTATTATAATTAACTTCCTTCTTGATTTAACTGCCATAGAAAGGATATTAATTGAGGAATTTTCTTTCTTCGGTTTTGATGAGTGGGGATTTAATTCATTTATGTTATGTGTTTTTTGTTGTTAGCTATATATATATATATATATATATATAATTATATCATATATATATATTATATTATATTACTTTTTCATCTAAAATTAAAAAATATTTTGTTTTATATGTAGAATAATATAATCTTTTCTAGAAAAATAATCTTCTTGCCGACTGGCTGTATTAATTTTCAAGGCAATTAATATCTTGTATGGGAGCTAATTTTATGTTCATTTGAATTATTGCCGACAAGTTTTTGTCATCTTCTAAGAGAGAATCATAAATGTATAGCCTTATTTATATTCTCATTGGATTCGCAGACATTAGAATCCAAATTAAACAAGTTAAAATCATGAGAACTTCAAATCCTGTAGAGAAAGAAACAAAAACCCCAAAATAATATATAATTCAGCTTTTGGCTCCTTAATTATCAAAGAAAACTCAATTGATTGCAGCAAAGAATCAATCTCATGGGTACTGAAGTGAAATTGTATGGAGTATGCGCTAGTCCATATAATTGGAGAGTGGTGTTAGCACTAAAACAAAAGGGCATAGAGTTTGAGTTCATAGAAGAAGATTTATCCAACAAAAGTCAAATGCTTCTTGAGTACAATCCAGTACACAAGAAGATCCCTGTGCTTGTTCATGGTGGAAAACCAGTCTGTGAGTCCATCGTCATCCTTGAATACATCGAAGAAAAATGGCCACACAACCCCTTGCTGCCCAGTGATCCTTACGAGAAGGCTGTTGCTAGGTTTTGGCTCAAGTTTGCCAACGATAAGGTACGTGTATATATATAGCTAGGGTTTTTGGCCTTCAAGATTTACCAAACGATAAGGTTACGTATATATATTTATATATTATATATATTATATATATATTATTATGTGTGTTGTGATATATGTGTGTGTGTGTGTGTGTGTGTTTCATGCATAGGAATGAGAATAGTCCAATCAATTTGCCTGTTTCTTTTTTTTTGGCTTGGATCAGGAGTTTGGCTGTTTTCGTCAATATATAGCTTTTAAGGTTATGACTTATAGTGTTCAGTAATATAGTATTTGAATTAGATTCTATAAAAAGTTAACTCTTGTACTTAAACAGCTAACAACTAAATGTTATTAAAATAATTAACAGTTACCAAAACATCTAATTTCGAACAAACTCTTTATGTTGTTTAATTAAGCAATTCTATGGCAATGTGGATGCAGTTTCCAGCAATCATAAGAATGGTCCTTGCTAGTGGTGAAGAAAGAGAAGAAGCTATAAAGGAAACCTTAGAAATGCTGCAAACTCTAGAAGAACATGGCTTAATAAGAGAGAAGAAATTCTTTGGAGATGACAAGATTAACATGGTGGACATAGCATTTAGTGGAATTGCACGCTACTTGGAACCCATTGAGTCATATCTAGGGATCAAACTACTTGAAGCCGACAAGTTCCCTAATTTACTTGCTTGGATCAATAATTTCAAGGAAGTGCCTATTGTTAAGGACACCCTTCCTCCTCTCAAGCCTCCACAAAAGAAATTAGACTAAGAATTGTGTTAGGAAATATATGGATGTGTTGGATAACTATGGTTGTTCACGTAAGTATTGATGTCTTTATAAAAATAAAATTTTCTCTCCATATAGATATATATGTGTGTGTCTTTGTAACTACAAATAAAAAGTTTGAACAAAATTATTATTCCTCATATATTATCATTTTATTTCTCTTGTTTTCTTCTAGTTTTTTTTTTTCCTTTGTTCTTCTTCTTTTTATAGTTGTACTAAATTGCAAATATGGTTATATATAAGTGTTATGTACTTTCTAGATCTTATTCTTCATAGAATTTGCTTAATAAAATTATACAATAAACGGAAGCGTACATTGATCCATAGCTATTGATTACCTCATTACAGCAATTTGATTCTCACCGTAACAGTAGATTTGTGTTTCTTCACTCTGGCCTTCTGTCCGTAAGTTCTCTCTTAATGGTCAGACAATTATCAATAGCAATGAGAGTTATCTTTTCACATTTTCTCAAATAACCTATCACCACTATATGTTTGAGGTAGCCGTCACTCACACATAACATACACCGTTGATTTCCTTGATCTATTTTATAAGGCAGAAGAAGGGTATTAAAACCCTATCTGGTTCTCATTCCATTAAGTCCAATAACCATCATTTGGACTTATTGTAACCCTAATTGTTTTTGTACCTACTATTTTTAGTAGAAGAATTATTCGAAATTTTTGTCTCATGGACGTAGCCCATACAGTTGAAGGGTGAACCACGTAAATCTCGGTGTTCTTATTTTTCATCTGGCATTTACGGTAATTATTTAATTTTTACCGTTATTTAATTTTTACCGTGGTTATTATTTCTGGTGGATTCGATCGTCAATAACCAATACGTAATTATTGGAGGTATATGTGGTGATAGTACTTTTTATTTCACTTTTACCATCGGTATTTTTCCACGGCCCCACTCGGGATCAGTTATAATCCCAACAACTGGTATCAGAGCTGATGCCCAACATGTGGTATCAGAGCCAAGTTTGGAGCGGGCGTGAGCAGCAGACTGCGCAATGTGAGAAAATCTCAGTGTGACGGTGTAACAATAGGACCAAGACCGGAAGAAGATCTGCAGGTGGTGCCTTGTGTCAAAAGTCTTCCCGACAAGAGGAGGTCGGGCGGCGTGTCCCGCAAAGTTGTAGCGGCAGTACAAGATGGTGGGCAAATCTAATAGATTATCGCTGGAGGGGAGGTCACGATTTGTATGGTCCTTAGTTTGGGGGGAGGTTTGTTGGGATAACCTCCCAAGTCCCACACCAAATAAAAATGAGAAGGGGAACCAAAATATAATGGTTCAATCCAACCCATTAGTATGAGGCCTTTTGGAAGGTGCTCAAAAATAAATCCGTGAGGGCTTGGTCCAAAGTGGACAATATTATACTAATCCGGGGTTGTGTGAGGGTACGCGCAGTCCCAACATCTACGACTTTGTAATGTATGTACCTATTAGTGAAATGCATGTGGATCCGAACTACAAAGGTATTACATCTAATGTTATTCTTCTCGCAATATGTTGCTTAGTTCTTGTTTGGGAGAGATAATGAATTTACCCTCTATAACTTTTTGATACATGATAGACTAACAACTAAAACAAAGGTATTAAATATATTTAATATAAACAATTACACCGAGTGTTACAAATTAATAAAAAAATTTATAATGCTCGATCAAAGAATGATACTCATTTTGTATTTAATAGCTTTTAAACAGAATATGAAAAATATTGTAGCAAGATATAACTGGGAAAAGAAATTTGTGTATTGAATAATATGTAATCATTCACAATACAAGATCTAACTGTTCCTTTTATATACGTATGAGTTGTATCTATTAACTACCCTATAGTTTGTTAGTGTATATTATTGTAACCGCCTCGCCATGTCATCTGCTAGATAATTACGTCAGCTAAGTTTGTGAGGATATTTGTATTCGGTTTGGATTTTGGGTTGGTGTTTGGTGGGCTTATTTTGTGGGCTTTGTATATGTTGGTTCAACTTTATCTTCCACTGAAAATAACTATTTTGTCTACCTTATAAATACATGTATTTATACTATTGAACAGAGAAGAAAAAATTCTATCGATATATTCTACTTATTCTTCTCATTTATTTTTACTTCCATCAGTATATTTTTTTTAAGGTATTTTGCTTTTATTTCTCTCGTTGTGGCTGACTATTACTGTTTAAACGCATGAAAGGGAGTATTTGATTGTTTACAAATTTGATATACCAGCAATGGATTAAATTGTTCTCTAAGAACTTTAAAATTTTGGTTTAGAACTTTTCTTGATAAGGTCTCTTCGAAAAGTTGAAGATGCAAAAATAATTCCTCAACTCATTATAATTTTCATTAATTACATAATGGGTATTTTGGAATTTTAACATACTATATGCGTATGTTTAATATAGTAGATTATGCCATCAACCCCCTACAACTCACTGCAAACACTAATCCAAACTTCATAAACATTCACAGAAATCCACGCATAAACAAAGAGTGATACTTGCTTGCGTGTGATTGTTTATACATTTTTTAGGGTTATTTTTGTAAATGTCTGAAGACGTCCATATATTCACATTGAGAGTGGTTTCATACCCCTCCTTCTATTGTAATTGTTTTTTCGAGATTTCCATTGAATAAAATATATCCAAAGTTCCAAAAAAAAAAAAAGTAAAATAGATCTTATATATATATATATATAGTGCCACGTGTTTCTTTTTCTTTTCTAAATTATTATCATATTTCTTTTTTTTTATTTTTTATTTCATTTTTTTCTATAAAAATAATCATTTCTTACAAAATTTAAATGAAAGGATGACAAAATATCGTTTCTTGTAATTTTTATTTAATTTTGATATTTTCTTGTTTTAAGACAATAATAAATAACAAAATAAAATAATTCAAATGACATATATTTCTTTGAAATTTAAGAAAGAAAGGTCAAATTAAAAATAAGAATACTACACCCAAAGGGAGCTACAGCAAGTAGAGTAATAAGATTAGGGATTAAAATAATGGAGAAGAATGTAAAAAATAATTAATTTTTGTAAACTCTAAACGTTAGGGTTTTAACGTTTGACACAATGCTCCCTAACTCGTTACTGAATGATAGAACTAAAAAAATAGCATTATGACTTTGGAATACTAAAAGCTCTCTGAAATGTTGTTATCGAATAAGCTCGTAGTAGGTATTAGCTGACAGGTGTTCATTTTGCTCCATCTTTTTTGTTACTTTAGAGAAAATAGAAAAACTACAAAAATTAAGGAGGTCGTTAAACGTGAATTTTTGCTCCTTTTTTTTCTTATAATTTCCCCTAATCAACCTTAAATACACAATTCAATATAGCAAAAAAAAAACTTGGCCAGTATACGTACTCTTATTCGTGCTTAAACCCGGAAGGTCGAGCATATTTCTACTAAAACACACTTAAATATAACTGTTATTCATATTTTGGAAACATAAATCCCTGATTGCTAATTCACATTTTGTCTGCCACTATACTTGTTAATTGATAAAAAAAAGAAAGATAATATAGATTATTTAAGGATATTGTAAATGTATAAACAAGATATATGGAGTATTATTGATTCCTTTTGTCTAAAAGGTGGACTCTTCTTGTCCAAAACATGAAATATTCGATAAAAAAAGTGTATTAACTAAAAGTAACGAGCATATTTGGACGGAATGATGGCATGACACAGAGAGACAGAAGATTAGTGTTAATTTGAATATAATTTATGCTATATTTGGGAAGGAGGGAAGTAAAATATCGGGGTAAAATTTTACTATTCATTTTTTCTTCTTAAAATAGAAGGAATATGAAATTAAAATTTATTTTACACCCTCTTTAATATTTTACCTTGAATCAAAAAAAGAATTTTAATAATCATAAAAAATTTTCACCTTTTATTTTACAGCCATCCAAACAATGCTAAATCATTCGTTACATTTTTATCCTTCAAAGAAAATGGTGACTGTTGGCGTGGGTCATCATCATGAACCTCCGGTAGATATACCAGATGTCGTTTTGTAAAAACGTACCTGCCGGCGGTTCTGTTTCTCTCACCCACCAAATTTAAACAGAAGAAAACTTTAAATTTAAAAATTAAAAAAATTGAAAAAACAGAGAGAGGAAAAAAAAAAAAAAAAAATGTTGGCGTGGGTCATCATCATGAACCTCCGGTAGATATACCAGATGTCGTTTTGTAAAAACGTACCTGCCGGCGGTTCTGTTTCTCTCACCCACCAAATTTAAACAGAAGAAAACTTTAAATTTAAAAATTAAAAAAATTGAAAAAACAGAGAGAGGAAAAAAAAAAAAAAAAAAATCATATCGTTACATTTTTATCCTTCAAACGTAAAATGGTGACTGTTGGCGTGGGTCATCAATCATGAATCCTCCTCCGGTAAGATATACCAAGATGTCCGTTTTTTGGTAAAACGTACTGGCCGGCGGTTCTGTTCCTCTCACCCATTCGCAAAATTTAAACAGAAGAAAAATTTAATATTCATAAAATGTAAGGAGAAATTGAAAAAAACAGAGAGAGGAAATAAGAAAAGAAAAAAAGCGAGGAGATCTGCCGGGCCAGGACAACCTCAATTTGCACTTGCGCACAGCTCCTCTCCTCCGTCTTCGTATCCCCTGGATCTGATCGGACCTCTCCGTGTTGTCTCACAACTCAAAGAAATTCTAGGGTTTCCTCATCGCCCTAAATTCAAAAAAAAAAAAAAAAAAAAAAGCGAGGAGATCTGCCGGGCCAGGACACCTCAATTTGCACTTGCGCACAGCTCCTCTCCTCTCTCTCCCCGATCTGATCGGACCTCTCCGTTGTTGGTCCGCACAACTCATAAGATTCTAGGGTTTCCTCATCCCCTAAATTCAAACAAATTTCAAAATCGAAATTAGATATCAATTCAAAGCATTTCAAAAAATTTCTTTTGTAACATTTTCCCAAATTTTCATTTACAGTCTGCTCTACATTCAATTCAAAACTCAGGAGAGGAGTTTTGGTGCTGATTGGTGGCAGTTAGTTTATAAATTTGTTTGATTTATTTGGATGAGATTCTCATTTTTTGGGGATTTGGAGGGTTAAAATGGCATCAGCTCAGGTGTTGCCGACCTCACGGAAACAGGAGCATCTCGAAGCCGGAAAGCGGCGGGTATGTGTAATTTTTTGATTTTTTTCTTACAAAATCGTGATATTATCATCTATCTACCCGAATTGTTTTGCGATTTTTATTCATATACGTGATTATGCATCTGTCTATATCTAAACCGTGCATGACCATATTGTTAACAAGGGGCCATTGATATTGATTATATTTTAGTGTATTGGATTAAGAATTGACATTTAACATGAACATTTCTCATAATCGCAGAAATGTTAGTGAATTACCTAGGAGATTTTTTCACATTTTCTTTTTATGGTTTTCATGGGTTGAACTTTGATATATAATGTGAGTTCTTAGTAGTTTTCTGCTTAAGGATGTGTGTTTTGTCGTTCCGACTTAGAGTTCACTGTCCAATTGTATGGTCGTAATATTTTTCTTAGACTGGGGAGTGTGATTCGTGGCTTGAGACAAACAATTTTTTATATAATGGAACTGTGAATTAGTAACATATTCTGTCTCCTTCTACTTCTAGGGCTCAATTTGGTTAGAGGTCTTTGATAGTCTGAGATTTAGCTGCAACTGTTGTTTAAAATTATTTATTTATCTGTATTATCATTTTCTTAATCCCATTTCTTTTTCAACTCGGTGTTTTTTGCAAGTAAAATACATGAAATATCAGAAGGAAGATTGATTTCTCCCTTGCTTAATTATTTTCTAAATGTTTCAATTTGCTTAATGTCTGAGCTATTGGCTTTGCTTTCTCCCAGCTGGAAGAGTTCCGTAAGAAAAAGGCAGCAGAGCGAGCCAAAAAAACTGCAGCCACTAGTCAACCTCTTGCTGCCGATGTTAGTGTAGATCAGAAACAACCTTTAGAGGCTGAACGTGTAAGGATTACAGATTTAGATGGAGCCGGTACATCTAATGGACCTGGCAGAACTTTTGAACCCTATGATGGAACTGTTAACAATGACAACAACATAACTAATATCACCCCAAAACCTGAGCAAAATTTTTCAAAAGATGAAGAAGCTAATCCTCTCTCAGTGAGTGATTCCAAGGCACCTTTGGCAGATCTGGTGCAGAGACACACAAATAATCATGATTTTAAGAGACATGATTCTTCAGGATTTTCTGGAGCTGCAGATTTTAATCATCGTCAAGAGACAGATGAAATTATTTATGATGCCAACACAAATGCTGGAAGACAAGTTGGAGTACCTTATGGGATATTGCCCAACCATTTTAGTGCTCCATTCTCGCTAGAAGGTCGAGGTTTTGATAGCACTTATAATCAGTCTACTCGATTCCAGGCAACAGAAAACAATATTTTTTCAAAGGGTTCTGCATTTACCTCACCTCAAGATCCTGCCTCCCAACTGAAAACTAAGAGTAGTTATGCCAACACACTGGCCACTGGTGGTATGCCCTCCTTCTACTTTGGATGCAACTTTTATCTGTCTGATTTTGCATTTCTACCTTTCTAAATGACAAGGTTATGCGTTTGTACTTCATATGATATTTTTTTGGCCAAAACATTAAGCATCTCCATTTGTTTTTCGGGATTTGCAGTGGATTTTTCTGAGCCTAATAATTTGAGAGGGTCTAGTGTTGAGGTTGGGCAAGGCATTCATGGCCACGTGCACTTCAATGGTTCCCTAAATTCAGACTTTGGAGAAGGAAGCTTTAGTGTCATAACTGGTGGTTTCCCTAGTGTGTATAGTAATACTGTGCAAACATCCAAATCAATTGCTTTCAATTCAGATGTTAGGAGCTCCTCAAATCAAGTTGAGCTATTTTCAGGAACATCTGAACCAAGTTCTAGGAGATCTCGTCCATCCTTCCTTGATTCGCTCAATGTTCCAAGAGCTTCTTCAGGGGCTTCTTTCCAAAGTGCTGAACCACAGAAGGAATCATTTATGTCCAATGCCTTAAAATCAAATGGCATGGATAGTATACGATCATCTGGCTTACATGAATCATCTGTGCTGACTGAATCTTTGGAGCAGCATCCGACGAAAGTTTCGGTCCCCCCTGTTAACGGTGTTGATCCAATGATGCTGAATGTTAATGAGAATAGCTTGGACAGAAAGCATGATATTTATTCATCTAAACAAAATGAAGATTTTGCTGCATTGGAACAGGTAGTCATTTTGTTCCTGATGCTAATTTTGGTTGCTTGGTGATTGGGCCATTGGCAGTATAATGCTATCAATGTTATTTCAGAGTTAGATTTCATGAATAATTAGTTTAATATTATGTTGGAGTTAATGTGATGCACGTGTTGCATGGCAGAAGGAGTCCTGAAGGTTGTATTTTTCAGCATTTGAAATTTTAGCAAAATGCCATGATTCCTGAAATTATCACTGTACCTGGAAAATGCTGTGATGTTAGGGGAATGTGCAATATTGGGATATATTTTAGTAAGGATGAGCGAATATGTCTTTGGCATGTGCACTGGCTTTAGATTTCCTAGTTAATGTCCTGGATAGTACTTATCTCAAATCATGCCTTGCTTGTGATAAGACAGGGAAGATCAAAGAAACAATACAAAAAGATATTGCAGGGAGCTTTTGAATCTACTTATTTAGCATGCCATGGAGGCTTTTACCTCTAGCTAAGCTGGCACAGCTGGGAAGTGTGGCTGCTTAGCTTCTGTAATTCACTTAACAACCGATCAGTTTTACTACTCATCAGTTTTATTCCTCATGTTTGCAATTTTATCCATACATGGTTGTTTAAGTGTTTGTTGGACATGGTTTATCCTTCTACAAAATGAGGTTTTGATTTGGGAATTGTGATTAAGGACTACAACTATAAATCACATGCAATTTTTCCATGTTGCGTCATTTGTTCTTTTCCCTGTTCCCTGGAGTAGCGGGATCTCTATGTGTATGGGGTCTGGTTGTTGCTCCTTTTGATAGAGCATTCTGGATGTTGTGTCCAACCATCCCCCGCCTTCTGATATTGTTGCAAGATTTATAACTATTGCATAAATCATTTAAAGAGTGTTTTCTCAAATCTCTATGTCTTGAAGAGTTAAAGTATTTATACTGTTTATACAAAACAATAACTTCCAAATTATGTTTGCTTTTTTTTTTTTTTCCTTCTGTGTATTATGATCACTTAATGGATATTAGTTCCTGTTTTTACAAGTCTGGATTCATCCTTTTACTTTTTTTTTTCTTGTTTTTATTTTTTCCTTTTTTTTTTTTTTTTTTTCGTATTGGCATAATCATTTAAAAGAGTGTTTTCTCAATCTCTATGTTCCTTGAAAAGTTAAAGTATGTAATATCTGTTTATAACAAAAAACAATAACTTCCAAAATTATGTTTGCTTTTTTTTTTTTTTCCTTCTGTGTATTATGATCACTTAAATGGAATATAGTTCCTGTTTTACAAGTCTGGATTCATCTTGTACTTTTTTTTTTTTCTTGTTTTTATTTTTTCCTTTTTTTTTTTTTTTTTGGTAAAAATATGCTGCTGTCTTCCAGCATATTGAAGACTTGAACACAGGAAAAATTCTCTTTGCAACGAGCCCTTGGAAGATTCTCGCTGCTTTGGGCAGAAATCTCTGCTCTGAAAACTCATCAATTGACAGATAATTATATACCAAACAGGTAGGCTAAATGGGGCTTGTTGTGACGATAAAATGAAGTAATTTCCTTTTTTTTTTTTTTTTTGGTAAATATTGCTGCTGTCTTCCAGCATATTGAAGACTTGACACAGGAAAAATTCTCTTTGCAACGAGCCCTTGAAGCTTCTCGTGCTTTGGCAGAATCTCTGGCTTCTGAAAACTCATCATTGACAGATAATTATAACCAACAGGTAGGCTAAATGGGGCTTTTGTGACATAATGAAGTAAAGCAAACTCATAGATATTCCCTTTCATTTGCATATGCTTGTTTATTTACTTGTTTTCATATCCATTGAACTTTTCACCAGAGAAGTGTTGTCAACCAACTAAAGTCAGACATGGAGAAATTACAGGAGGAAATTCAGGCCCATTTGGTCAGTAGTAATTCTTTCTTAACTTATAGCTTCTTATGCATATATCAATATTGGTACTCGTATGGATGTCAGTGTATGTGTATTCAGACTTGCTCTGTTACTAGTTAGGGAACTTATATTTCAGTATTACATGCATTAAAATTCTATTTCTTTCAATAGATCTAGTGAGTTTAATATTCAGAGTTGCGATATCATTGATGCCTGTTGCCTACATTTATACTGACGTATCTTGAAAGTGCTGAAGTTCAGTCACCTTGATGATGATGGCCACGATTACCTTTTGCCTACATATTTGTCACTATTGCTCTCTAGATTATTTGAGTGATATCATGAGTTTGGTTTGGTTTGGTTTATTCTTAAATTTCACTTGAGCTAAATATAAATCTTCAATGTTCATAGCACGTAACTTGCCTCTCTTACATGCTGATATGTTGGATGTACGATGTGGGTTAAAAGTCCCACATTGGTTAATTACAAGCAAGTTGTAAGGCTTTCATGAATTTGGAATCTCCAAACTCAATGGCTAGCTTATGAGGTGCGGTATCAACTTGTCAACATCATAGCTAGTATAATGGACAATATTTGTCCACAAGCTGCTGAGATGAGATTTTTTAAGCTTGTGTTCAGAATCTCTAGTACTTTGAAATGACAAAAAGAGAAAGCAACACAAGTTGCTAAAGACATTCAAATGCATGTTCTAGGTGTTTTGGTTGTTTCATTTGTGAAGAATAACAATTATCCTCCTTTTGAACACAGAAGAAGAGGGAATAGGGAAAAGGGAAGAAAAAAAAGTTCTCTGACTGCTTGTACTGTTGTACCCGTAACTTGTAAGTCTATTAGGAGAACAAGCTTGGACCTTTTATCGTGATTTCTGCTCCTTGTATAGCCTGATTCACTCTTTTCCAAATAGGAACCCTGATTGTTTGATTTCTTTTTATTGATCTCAAGTTGGGTGAATGATAAAGGGGTGACCATTATATCTCGTTTATCATTACTGTTGCCCATGAGAAATCTTCACAAGTGGTTTCCATGTTTGCATGGATAAGAACAAATAGAAGAAGGAAAAAATTTGGGATGTTGAGCTTTGTGATGGGCTGAAATATAATTATTTTTTCTTGAATGGCGCGTATTATGGTCAATGGCTGCTAGGTGGTAAATGTTGAACATTGAGGCTAGAAGGAAAGGAAATTAGTTCTATGCACATTTGTAATACTCTGTTTTTAATGTGCATGTCAACAAAGTGATTATGGTAAATGCGGCAATAAGTAATTCAAGATGTAGCATAGTCAAACAAGTCTTGAAAATTTTTTCAGTCAAATATGACCGACAGTTTGTGAAAAATGAAGTGAACGAAGTAATTGCAACACATGAACACACTCTTTTATGAAGCAGAAGTGTATAACTAGTAACTAAGGGAATCAAGGAAAACTCGGATATCAGTATAAGATATTTATTTGTAGCAAAACATCTAATCTTCTTATTTTTGGTCATTATGTGGTAACTTAGAGTCTAATTGTTGTGTGCCATGTGTTGGCAGATGGAACTTGAGTCGGTCAAAATGGAATATGCAAATGCTAAACTCGAGTGTAATGCTGCTGATGAACGTGGGAAAATTCTGGCATCTGAGGTTATTGGTTTGGAAGAGAAGGTATTTGAATTTCTTGGTATGCTTGGTTCTTTATTCTTTGGAAGATTACACTCCGTTCCATCTTTTAGTTAAACCTTTTGTTTTGTGGACTTCCCAGATTCTGAGATTAAAAGTTGAAATGACATGATTGGATCCTATTTATAATTGGACCTTGTTAACTGTGCTTCTCTAACTTGAATTAAAATGTAAAATTATTGGCTTTTAGACTAATTAGATTATGCAATTGATCTCAGCATATGTATGAAGGACTTGTTTGTTGGCTTCTCTAGTTTTGATACTATGCTATTGTATGAGATGCTTGCTTCACATTCTGTTTGATCATTATTTGCTTGCTAGTATGAATGCCATTTGAAATTCGGTTTCTTGTTAGAAAAAATTGTTGACCTATGTAATGTTATAACAACTTATGGTTATCCTTCAGATTAAATTGCTCTGGTTTCAATTATTAAATTCCATCCTATGGTCCCATTTTAAGGAATGACTACAATTTTGTATGCACAAATAGGTAATAGAATAGTTTGAAATGTCAATTTGATTCAGTTTATAGATTTGTGTTTTGACCCATTCTTTCTTTTTCTGGTTGAATCCAAATTAACTCAGGAGGACATGACTAAGAAGATATTCTCGTGTAATCAAGTTTATGTAATTTTCTTATGTTGATGGTATCAGGTTGACTAAAGTTTTTGAATCTTCCTGCTTAACTTTGGTGAACAAATTTTCTATCTTATAAAAATTAATTGTGATGATACTACTCTTGCTTGTATGTGTGGGTCAGTGGATGATGTGGATTTTAAGGTTTTTTTTTTTGAAAAAAATTACTTAAACAACACTTTTTTTATAGTTGGTTTTCATGTATACTCATTTCCTTTATATTTATGCTCATTACATTGCACGGAAGTGCCACTTTTATTTTGCAACACAAGTTTTCATGTTTTAAATAAATTTGTAATGGAAGTGTTGTACTAAAAAAATGAACGATGAAGCATTTTGACCTGAATTTGCTCTAATTTTGTAAGATCAAAATATTATCTTGACCAGAAAATGTAAAACACAAGGGCATACTTTTATACACACCATGTGCTATAGTGATCACATTTTTGTATTGACTATTATATTTCCCTCCATTAAGTGATTTATGTAATTTTTGTAGGCACTCAGACTACGTTCTAATGAGCTAAAGCTGGAGAGGCAATTGGAGAACTCACATGCTGAAATCGCGTCATATAAGTAATAAATTTACCTTAGTTTGACTGTAAATGGAGAATTTGTATGTATATCTTTGTAGTAATGATTTGCTTGTGCTGTTGCACCTGTTCAACTAATAGTCTACACTAATTGTTTTATACTAAACAATAGTGACAACCGAAGTGGAATTTCCTTTTTAAAGTACCGCGAACCTGATCCTGGATTGTAATTTATTTGCTGAGATTTTTTGTGTGACTGTTACCTTAAGTTTGAGGAATGTGCAAGTTACAACACATTGTGAATTTTGCAGAAAGAAAATGTCCAGCCTAGAGAAGGATCGTCAGGACTTGCAATCAACAATTGATGCTCTTCAAGAAGGTATTTTGTTTATATATTGGTGGAAAAAACTTCTATTAGAACCTCAAAGTAGTCAATTCAGTCCATCTCTTTTCTGATGACAGAGAAGAAATTATTGCAGTCAAAGTTACGGAAAGCTTCAGCAAGCAGAAATTCTATTGATGTTGGGCAAATTCCTACTAATAAGAAGGATATGTCAACCTCTACAGAAGATTTAGGTAAAAAATTTGTGAAATGAAGTTTTTACGTGGTACGGTAAATAATTGCATACACGTCTTTGGCAAAATTTTGAACACCTGATTAGATGGGCCCAAGTCTAAACATTTTTCCCTCCCTATTATTTTTGATGAGTTCACAGTTCAATGACAGCAATACTCTGAAACAAGATTATGCCAGCATCAGTTGGTATTAAGTTTGTGGGTTCCATTTCTTTGAGTGTTTCTGAAACAGTTCTTCTTATGTTGGCTTGTGTATGATCTCTGCGATTCTCATGAAATGAGAGGATTTGCTGATTTAAGTTTTTGTCGTCACCTGTACTTTTTAGGGGCTTGCTCTGTATTTTATGTTGTCCTGGAAGTGTCCTAGATTTGAGGTTGATGGCCATGGTTGCCAATTTTTATTGTTATCTCTAGTGAAACTGGGGTTTCAGATGTAAATCTTGATGACCATGGACCACTAGACTAGATTCTATTGTGACTTTTCTTTAAAGTTTTCTCACTCTACTTTTAAACTCATGGTTTCTTATTTTGGTTCAAATACAGAGGCCATGCCTGGCATTTCTAACCAAGAAAACCATGATACTACTACTTTTATTGGAAACGAAGGTTTTCCCATGCCACCTGAAAATGAAGAGTCAAATCTTGAATTTTCCTCTGTGCATATTCCTTCAGATCAAATGAGGATGATTGAAAACATCAATACTCTAATTTCTGAGGTAATCTTCAGATACTGTTTCTTGAAATTCTATGCTTCTAGCCCTTCCATAATTTGTCGCCCCCACTCCCCTTTTTTTTCTTTTTTTTCTTTTTGAACTGCAAGTAAACACAATTATTTATTGTAAGAAATGGCTTTCTGTATGATGCAGTTGGCATTGGAAAAAGAAGAGTTGATACAAGCTTTGGCGTCTGAGTCATCTCATTGTTCCCAGCTTAAGGTAATTTTAAACTGAAATGAACTTATGCGATGGCATTTAGCAGCTTGGTGCTCAGTAAAGATTAATCTGTTCTTGGATGGCAAATTTACTCAAAATGAGTGGATTTTATTAGTTATGAAGGTGGAATACTCCTAAAAGTGAGGTTCTCTATGATCTGCTGGTTGATGCCATATTATAGTTTACTAGAAAAAACTTGTCATGTTTTGAATTTTAGTCGATCATCTGATTGGAGTTATTTTGAGAGATATTTGCTTTGCTATTTATTATAAACAATTTTTAGATTGAACATTTATTGATTCTGCCATTGCTTGGTCATACATTTGGATAGGCTCAGCTTTTTTTTTTTTTTTTTTTTCTGCTGGTTGATGCGCATACTTATAGTTACTAGAAAAACTTGTCCATGTTTTGAATTTTAGTCGATCATTCTGATTGGAGTTAATTTTGAAGAAGATATTTGCTTTGCAATTATTATAAACAATTTTTTAGATTGAAAACATTTATTGATTCTGCCATTGCTTGGTATACATTTGGGATAGGCCTCAGGCTTTTTTTTTTTTTTTTTTTTTTTCTCTCGCAAAATGTTGTTGGCTGCCAAACTACAAAAATAGAACAAAGCTTCACGAATAGATGTAAGTCCACTAAGAAGTGTTGGCATTCAAGTGGCACTGCTTGTTTAATTAGGTAGCGGTTTGTTAATTCTAAGTGTACTTTAAGACAGATGAGGAAAATATAATTTTTTTTTTTTTTTTTTTTTCTCTCGCAAATGTGGTTGCTGCCACTACAAAATAGACAAGCTTCACAATGATGTAGTCCACTAAGAAGTGTGCATTCAAGTGGCACTGCTGTTAATTAGGTAGCTGGTTGTTAATTCTTTAGTGTACTTTAGACTAGATGAGGAAATATAATATTTGATTAGATATCTGAAGAGACTGGCGAGGTTGCTGCTAAGCTTAGGTAAAATTTTTATGTTTTTTAATTTTATTCTACTATTGTTTTTTTCCCAGCTCTGAATGGTCAGTGTTTTTTTTTTCTGTGCACGCGCACATCTAGTTTGTTTATGCAAATCACCTATAATTTTTGTTTTTCAATAATGAAGGATTTAAATACCGAGTTGTCACGTAAACTTGAGGTTCAAACTCAAAGATTAGAGTTTTTGACTGCTAAGAATATGGCAATTGAGAGTGCTCCAGCAAGGTTACCCGATACCCGTGGCACACAGGAGAACCCTACATATGCAGATGAGGGTGATGAGGTATGATAACTAACACCAACTATTTTTTTATTACCATTGTAGTTTTCAGAATTATTATGGAATTAAAAATATCAAAATGTTTAATTTGTCAAAATTTACGGAATTAAAACATGGATTTTAAGTTCATGGATATATGCAATCTTGAGTGGTTTTTGGTAAAATCCCACTTCTTATGTGGGATTTTAAATAAGGATTTTGTAGGTTCAGGAATTTCACATAATCCAAGGATTTTATGTTCTTTTTACCAACCAAATGATGGAATTTGGAGAGATCTTTATATTGTCTGAAATTCCTCATCCAAAGTCCCTCAATCCAAACATTGAGGTTTTATGCTCCCATCTGTTGATTGCTAACGAGTATTTCTTCAAATAGGTGGTTGAAAGGGTTTTGGGTTGGATAATGAAGCTATTTCCTGGAGGGCCATCAAGACGGAGAACCAGCAAACTTCTTTGATACATTTGTCAGGATTTTGCTCATCAAATGGAGATGCTCAATTCTGCCACAATTTCCTCTCTGCTCCCTTAGTGTTGGCAATACGCCGGAGGTTGTAATCTGTATATTTCGAGTAATTATACCATCCATTCGTTTGTAAGAGATGAAAAATTAGGGTTCTTTTAAAAGGCCTTCTCATTAATTGGCAAATCTAATTGTCATTTTTTGATTGATGACAATAAGGGTGTCCCTTTTTACTGTAATTTGGACATTTAAATTTAGCGGGACGTTGTTTGGCTGTGGAAGGATAGAAAGCACTGCTATAGACAAAAATATGAGTAATTTTTAGTGTGCTTTGTTGTTTTAAGTCTATTGCCTATATAATTTTACTTCAAAAAAAAAAAAAAAGGGTTATTGCATGTATTAATTGAATATTTAATGATCACACTACTCAAACCCGATAATTTTGAGTTCAATGTACTGGAATAGTAATAGTATGATTTATTTGTTTCTGTGAAGGATTATTGAAGTCCTAAGCTAATTTTGTGAAAAAGAAAACAACTTGTCACTCTTCTTTCATTTGTAGAGGAGCGGGATGGCGTTACACAGTAAGGGGAATTAATGTTTTGTCGTTCAGGTCCTAGACACCAAGAACACAGTAAGCAAGGCAGCCCACATAATATGACATCTCATCAAGTCCATATAGAAGCCCGCTGTATCGATAAAATTAAACCCCTAAAGCCCAGAGGCAAAATAGATGACCAAACGTGTCCATATAAAACGACTTGTCGTTCGACCTATTTGATTAAAAAGCCATGACCTGTTGTTAAAGGTAACGTAACCCAACGGATAACCTCTAACAAGATTATCCTGGACGATTTCACATTCAAAACGCTGTCGTTCGTTTTAGTTCAGCGCTTCTAACAACAAATCCGAACGTTGATACGTGTGGTGAAGAGCTTTTCTCTCTTGCAATTCCGTCCAGTGTCTCCCCTCTCTCTCTCTGCACAATGAATGGTATAATTTGCAAGCTTTCACTTCCCACACTCACCTCATCATATTCTCATTCGAAAGGTACGCAATAATCACCTCTTTCTTTACATATTCATGTCTGTCTGTGTGTGTTTCTATAGAATCTCTTATACTAAGTATGAGGTTGCGGTTATTTTCGTTGTGTTAACAGATGCCAAAGAAAACTCTAAATCCTCAAACAAGTCAGTTCAGCTAAGAGAGGATTGGAGACAACGCTCCAGACCTATCCCTCCTGGTGGCACGTATCCTGCAAAGGACCATTGCAGGTCTTATCAGAGTTTTTGTTTTCTCTTGCCCCATTTTTCACCTATAAAGCTTAATTATCAATGTCCTGCTCTATTCTTATTATTACTTGATTTTATAACAGTTTCTGTTTTTTTCTCTTTTGAACAGTCGATGCGGGCTGTGTGATACATATTATATTGCTCATGTGAAGAATGCTTGTGCCTTTCTTGGTGATGGAATGTCTAGAATTGAAGTAAGTTATTTTTCCTTTATTTTTCCGCTCCTAACAGCTCGAAATTTGAAATTTAAGGGTTTTGGTAGAGGAGCTTTTTATGAGAAACTGGCAGTACTGACTTATTACTTTCAATCCTTTTGTTATTTATGAATGTTTATGATACGACAATAAATTGTATATATCTGTTTTATTCATGTGTCCGTGTCCGTGGTTATTCATGTATTTTTTGATAATCCTCAAATGTTCAATAACTAATCTCTTGCTCAGGGTTTGGAACCTGTTGTCCATGGTAGAGGAAGAGAAAAGGATTCTTTAGATGAAATGTACTTAGGGGTCCATGAAGAGCTGTTATATGCTCGTAAAACTAATCCTGTACAAGGTATGCCTTTTTTTTTTTTGTATGTAGTTATGTGCAAAATTGAAGTGTATTACATGTTGGAATCTTTTATCACCTCATGCACTCATGCTCAATAACTGTTTACACTTGTAAATTGTAGTTACCTTGGATTGTCTGAAAAAATAATTCAAAGAAATTATCAAAAATCTTCTTTTTTACATATTTGTTTATTGCATTGCTGACATGATTTCAAATCTTGGTTCCTTGTCAATATGTGTTAATGTCATTTGAAAATTTTGGATGGGGTGAAACTTCAAGAGAAGTCAGCATATTTTCATGAAGCTTCCAGCATGATTGTTTTAGTCTTGGAAGGCTTGTGGTTCATTGTTAATATGGTTCCTTTCAAATTTGAGTACCTTATCTGAGTTTTAGAATGTTACTTCTCCTTTAAATGAAATAATCCTATTTTAACTTTAATAATACTTATTATTTTAAGCAAAAGTTTCAAGTTACACCTCTGCACGAATTTGTCCATTGCTTCGACTACTTCTGAAAACTATCCAGAATGTCTTATTTAACTTTTAAAGTAGATTATGATGCCAGTTTGATGACAATTTGTGCATGGTTTGAATTCATATGTGCATAACTTTTTTGGATGGCAGGAGCTCAATGGACAGGAATAGTAACTACTATTGCGATTGAGATGCTAAAAGCTGGCATGGTTGATGCTGTTATATGTGTACAGAGGTGGGGCAAAAAAATTATATTAAATAAACAAGTAAAATAGTCACATTTTCTTCTTGGAGCTATTGTCGCTCATTTGGTTTATGAACTTTCACTAAACTTTTTTTTTCCCCTTTTTTTATGAGACAGTGATCCAGAGGATAGACTCTCTCCAAGGCCTGTGTTAGCCAGGTATATGATGATAATTTCTAATTTAAGGCATGGCCTTATCTAGTGTTAAGTGGTTATTTCCATTTGTTTGTTTAGAAAGGTTACTCGTTTTTCCTGAAGATCTTTCCCCCTTATGTTGTAATAGGACACCAGAAGAAGTTCTAGCTGCTAAAGGCGTCAAGCCAACATTATCTCCTAATCTAAACACACTTGCTTTGGTTGAGGTACCTGGCAGCTATGCTTATAACTGATCCATTCTATGGTTTATCTGCTTTCTCTTTCTCTCAAGTGAGAGCTCCTCATCCTTCATTTATAACATTTCCCCTCCAGTTTCTGGGGAAAGGGCTTGACCTTTGCATCCATGGTGTCATAGAGGATTTTCCTACGTGTACTGTGTCTCGATTGAGCAAATACAAGTTGATCATCTTTATTTATATTTCCCTATCTGATGTTCATATATTTTATAAAGAAATAGAATGCTCAATTTTCTGCATATTGGTGGTCAGCCAGAATGATTTATTTCAAACGTACATTTCTTTATATTAGAAGTAATAATGAGAAGCCTACATTCACATGTTAATTTGGAATTTTCCCTCTAAAGTGTTAGGAACTGGTACTTTAGGAGAACTATTTTGGGAGAGTTTAAGTTAATCTAATAATGCTTTGGCTACCCATAAGTATTTTTGCACATATCTGAAGAAGTTAGTCATTGGAGGAATGTGCCAAAGATCTTTTTAGTCAAAATAAAAGTACTTTAATCAATGAAAAACATTAGTATTATACAAAGTACAAGAATTCTGCATTCATAATTTTTGCTCTTTATGTCTGTATAGTGATGGCTGTTGTGTTTATATTAGCTTACTGGTTAATAAGGAAGTTCTCTTCAATTCTGAATTATGTTACTTCAAAAGTTTAGTGAGGCAATGGTTCATTTCTCTCATACAACAGGCTGCAGGCGTGAAGCGTCTTCTCTTTTGTGGTGTTGGTTGCCAGGTGCAAGGTATAATTGATAGTCCTCTGGAAATTTCTTTTTTGAGCTATTTCTTTATTGTGACTTGTACTATTGTAATGCAGATTAATTTCTTAAACTGCAGCGTTAAGATCTATAGAGCACCATTTGAATTTGGAGAAGCTTTATGTATTGGGCACCAATTGTGGTAAGCAGATGCTTTATATTCTGTGATTTCTTTGAATTTGCTAAATTTGCAATATGCTGGTTTTGAGTTGAAAGACTTGTCAAATGTTCAAGGAAAGAACTAGGAATGTCAATGATAACCCAAAATCCTATTGGATTTAGCTTAATTAGTTGCAATCAAAAGTATGAGCATTATGTCGGAAGCATACCCAATTAAACTTAGAAGAGGAGGCCCCCTAATTATGCAGTTTTACCCAGGATATTAGCCAAATTTGTGATTTATAATCCTATTCATTTGGGCTATACTGAGTCTAAAAATAGCATAATTTAAGTTTCTTCTCCATTTCTAGTTGTGGATGGGAAATCTATGGGAAATCTATGGCCATATCTAGTTATCTATTATCTATTTACCAAAATTGCTGCAGAATTTAATTTATGACCAACACTTTAAATTTTAACAGTGGATAATGGAACTCGAGAAGGGCTTGATAAGTTTCTAAAGGCTGCGAGTGATGAACCAGAAACAGTTCTTCACTATGAGTTTATGCAAGATTACAAGGTTTCTTCTTATTAAGCACTTGTATTGGAAACTATTATTCTACTTTGTTTATTTTTCGCTAAGCACCAATATTCATGATGTCAATTGCCTACTTATCCAAAAGAATAGAGTAGAAAAATAAGTAAGCGATTGTGTCTTTGTTTGTGGATGTGACCAGCCTATCATAATGTGCCAGGTAGCCTATGTTGCAAAATAGTTGCATCAATATTTTCCCTAATTTTCATGAAGATATACTATCATCATTATTTTCAGTTATCTTAGCTGAAAGAGAAAACAGGACCAGTATGTTGGAAATTTTAGAATGGAGGGAAGAAGAGCTATATCAATTTGTTGTTTGTAACACTTCTTTGTTATGTCAAATAAATTATCCTATTAAAAATTTTTTAATAGTTGTATCATTTGATACTTTGTTGTGATCATAGGTCCATTTGAAGCACTTGGATGGTCGCATTGAAGAGGTAACCCTTTTTCTCTGTTTTGAGCTTTGTCCAGGTTTATATTTTTTGCTGCTTCATCTATTTTCCAATCTTAACTAAAGCAGGTTCCTTATTTCTGTCTACCAGCAAATGATTTAGTTGATGTTATTGCTCCATCTTGCTACAGGTAGCTCTTTGTAATTTTTATGGAGCACTATTTACACTGATTAATCCAGCTATAATATTTGCCCTTGCTGGAGAATATTATGAATCAATTTACTTTGATGTTGTTAATCTTAATTGGATGAAGATACATTCTTTCATTCTCTGGAGCTTGTATCATGTAGAATGCCTTTAAAAGTTAAGAATGTGTAGTTTTGCCGAAGAACAATAAATCTAATTTGGCATCTGATATTCTAACTAATTAAAGTTCTTTTGTGTTATACAGCTGTTTTGACTACACAAATGCTTTAGCGGTGAGCTTCTGTCAACTTACTCAAACAAACATTTCTCTTCTCTGATTTGGTTAAAATTATCACGGCGCTGTTGCTGCTTTATTTCCAGTTTCCTTGATCTATTTCTGCCACCTCCCATCTGTCTGTCTGTCTTTCTTTTTGTCACATAGCTTTTAGCAATGTCAGTGTGTCACAGTTAGTAACCTGCACATGAAGAATTTTGTTACGTGAATTTAGTTTTGTCTTTTACCGTATGTGAGCAACTCTTTTGCCACAGATTACTACCAAACTGATAAGACAATTTTTTTTTTCTGGCTGACATGACCTGATTTTGCTTATGCTGTCAGGATCTGGTAGTTGGGTATATGGGTGTGCCAAAATATCCTGGAGTCAGCATGACGCAGCATCCACAATATGTAACAGTCAGGTAACTTGATTTAAGAGGGGTCCTGGCAGCTTCTAAAATTAATTATTTTTTATCATTTGCTGATGTTTTCATGAGAATTAACGCACCCTTTCTCATTCATATAAATGTTCCAAATTGCAGGAATGAACGGGGGAGAGAAATGCTAGGTTTGATAAAAGATCTACTGGAGATCACTCCAACAACTAGTAGCGTAAAACCCTAGACCATATCATGCTTAGGTTTTTCTAGTTTCTAGGCTAAATTATGACTTAAAAGTACAAATATGTTATTTCAGGGTGACCGAAGACCATTTGTTATGGAAACTGTCAAGGCAGATGACAATGCAAAGATGGGTATGTACTATCATGTTTTGAAAATCTCCCTCTTACCCATCTGCCTCTAAGCATGAGTTATGTGCTCTTTAAATGGAGATGGAAAGGGAAAATCCACTATGTGGCACATATCTAACTTTCATAAGTCTCATTTTTTGGAAAATATCTAGCATCCAAGTCCTTTATTGTTTTTCCTCAGGGAAAGGTCCTTCTCAACCTGCCCCAAAGTTTGTTGGAAATTTTATAGCTTTTATACTGAACTTGGTAAGGATTTTCTTATGATGCATTTAATGATAAAACAACCGAGACAAGTATTTCTTTTAATTGTAACTTGGCCTTTGGAACCAGATTGGCCCGAAAGGTCTGGAATTTGCCCGTTATTCACTGGACTACCATACCATTCGGAACTATTTATACACAAACCGCACTTGGGGAAAAGAAAGGTATACTTCAGTGATTTGTGGATCTCAGGATATTACATTGGAATTGCTTTTGATATTTGTAAATGGTTACATATGCAGAGCTGACAGGCACGCACCTTCATATGCTAAGAAAATTGTAGAATTGTACAACCAGAATGGTCAAATCGATAGAATGCTACAGAATAAGTGACTATAACACGTTGCCATGTATGTGGCAATTTTGAACATGTATGAATTTCTGAGTGTTAACTTTATAGTTCTTGTAACTTAATGTGGGTTTGAAATTATGTTTCTTGTTCCCACAAATGTACAGTTGTATGCTTGGTTTCTGCATTTAAAAGTTTGTAATTATTAACTTGCACCATGAAACTCCAAATTATTTGGCGGATGAGTTGAGAAGTCACTATTATTTTGTGGGTCTCATTTATAAATTTGATCTTTGAACTTTGCTTGATTCTCCTTGTAGCCCCTTGAACTTTATGGGGGGATTCAATCATATGACATTTTATTTTCAGGTTTCAGTAATAATTTTGCTCTTTGCCAAAACGAAGTAATTTTGCAAGGGTTCAATCATGATCCTGTACTTTCATATTTCATTTTGATGAGAGAGACAATTATTACCGAAATGTGAAAGTATAAGGTCATGATGGATTCTTACAAAGTTCAGAAGGCCATAAGGATAGTCGCAAAAACATGAAGTCAAATTTTTGCATTAGGACCGTTTGTGTGACAACTAAAGCAAGTAACTTACTTTAATATCCTGCTGAATATTTCAGTCAAGAAAAAAAAAAATCCTGCTAAATGTTGCATGATTCTTCTAGGGTACAAATTTGATGTTGAACACTGTTCTCTTTCTCCACCTGATCATATAGCCTAATAATATTACTATCCTATTAGATTTGCGGTGTTAAAATCACTCGGTTTCTGTTGATACTATGTTCTAAGTGAATATAATTAGTCCTTTTATTTTGAATATTTGAAGGTCTCATTTTAAAAAGAATGATGTTGAAGAAAAAGAGAGAACGCTAATGCATTCTCACCCAACAGATTTCAAGAGACTAGAAGCAGCATTCAATCTGCAGGATGATCCATGATCATAAATTTCCATGACAATTAACATTGGTGCTGCTCATTTTTTTACTCCCCTTCCAAAACAGAGGTATAATTCTTTGAGACAATATCAAATCATTAAAAAAATTATTTATTTTTACATTAAAAAATATCCTTTCGTTATGGGATCGCAGTAGCTGCCCCTGTCCTGTTTCACTATTAGCTGCCAGAAATTTGGATAGACAATGGGGCTTTTAGTACATTGTCTACCAAGTGCCCACCTCTGCAGCTCTGCCATTCGAGGATTCTCCTGCCAGAACTTTAGTACAAGTTAATGATGTTCTGTTGGTAGCAGGGCCAGTGCATTTGGATGGGATGGGTTCACTAGCTTGTTCCATTACCAGCTAGGGAAGATACCATGCACTTTGGAATATCAGTAGATAATTGGCTTCCGTTAGTATGTCTGATGTTGATGATATAGATGTGCCATGAAGTGTTGCTGAGTTCTTTGCAATGCTAATCAAAGCATTTTATTTTCAGTTATGAAAATAGTCAGGTAGTCCTGTGAGCATGCTTCCTCTTTCACATTGATGTGACCTGCATCTAGACATGTGGGGTCCAGTTTTTCTAATAGGATCAGACCATTAGCTATCCTTCATTTTTTTTTTTTTTTTTTTTTTTTCCTTCCATTTTCTTTTTCTTTTTTTGTCCTGGCATGGAGCATCTGTGTCAGAGTCCGCGTCTTTTTTTTTTTTTTTTTTTTTTGTCCTGATGAGCATGTGTCAGAGTCGGTCTTTCCTCTGTGGTTTAGGCTATTTTTAACTGGGAATTGTCTATAGGAACTATTGCAAATGGTTAATAAGCTAAATCGAAGGAAGTCCACATATTCATTAGCATTTTCAGCTGTCAATTTCTGAACCAAGTTACGAATTGCACAAAAACAGGGATATTATATATATAAAATTCCCCTGCTTTGTCCATAGAATTTAGTGTACTTTTATACCTTTAAGAATTACATGCTAGGTGAAACTGCTAAAAGAATTAGATATCATGAGCCAACAGTTTCTTTTAACAACACCTAATTATGGTGGGTATTTCCTTCTTCAACTGTATGAATCTGATTTATATCAACACATGTTCAACTTAACTAAGTTTTGTTCTCTTCTTGCATTCAGTAGTAACTCGCTTTAAGCATGTGTACTTAAGGCATACGTCCGTCTACCTATAGGAATATCTTAGTACGCAATGTCTGTAGAGGACAACTATTATTTACAGTTTATGTCAATTCTGTTATGAGAATCTAAGCACAAGCAACTTGCATTCATGCACAAACACACACGATCACATATTACCTGCATTTTATATACAGTCCAAAAACAATTTACAATATATATAGTAATTTGTATCACAAGATTCAGAACAAGCAGGAATGGGCTTTTGCTTGTTAGGAATCAGCTCTGATACCACTTGTTGGGCATCAGCTCTGATACCACTCGTTGGGAATCAGCTCTGATACCAGTTGTTGGGCATCAGCTCTGATACCACTCATTGGGCCCTTTCAACCGATTAAGAGAAAATTAATCCCTCCGACATGTGGGACCTACACGCTTTGAATGAAAGGAAAAAAAAAAAAAGGAGAAAACGTGTTATACTGTACACGCGTAGAGAGAACAAATTAATCCCTCCGACATTTGTGTGACCTACACGCTGAAATGAAAAGCGAAAAAAAAAACAAAAAAAACGGAACCGAAAACGCTCGTTATACTGTACACGCGTCATGCAAACACCGCTTTCCTTTAAAAAGGAACGGATGAACGCGTTAATAACGCCGTCCTTCATTCTCTATAAATAGAGGCAATTGCCCAACACTCTCAAAATACCACACACCAGAAAGAAAGAACGAAACATGCTACGCAACGCGAGAGTGTTTATTAGTTTTAGCCGCATGGGGTCTTCCTACAAACACTGGGAGAGGAAAAATAGTGAGGATTATTTTGGAAGTGTTTTCTGGGAAACACTTTGTGTGCCCACTATTTTTCTGTATTACTCTCATTTGTGTACTTTACTATTTTAATAACGTCGGAAACGAATCGATTATCGGAGTTTCTCCCGTGCGACGTAGCCCTAAACAATGAGGGTGAACCACGTAAATTGTTGTGTGTCCTCCATATTTTCTATTTTCTTCCGCTGTGTTATTTAACTTCTCGTCAATTCTCCTTGCCGCCCTAAACATTGCTCGTGGAACTTAAAAGAGATCACAAGAATGCCATGGTCAAGTTGGGCCACCACCCATGTGTCCTTCATCACTTTCTTGCGGTAATCTCGTCGCATGTCTAAGTTAAGAGGTTTGCGAAGACCACTGTCGATAATTACTAGAATTTCTACTGGAACTCTGGACAGAAGTACACGTATAAGTTTTCAATGTTCTGCCAGTGCAGGAGAGTAATGCCATTTCTCAAACTGTTCTCCCGTGGACGTAGCCCTAAACAATTGAGGGTGAACCACGTAAATTGTTGTGTGTCTCATATTTCTATTTTTCCGCTGTGTTATTATTCTCGTAATTTCCTTGCCGGCCCCTAACATTGCTGTGGAACTTAAAAGAGATACAAGATGATGGTCAGTGGCCACCACCCCATGTGTTTCATCATTTCTTGGTAATTGTGATGTCTAAGTAAGAGGTTGCAAGACTGTGATAATACTAGAATTTCTACTGGAATTGGACAGAAGTACACGTATAGTTTCAATGTTGCAGTGCAGAGAGTAATGCAATTTCTAAACTGTCAAATCTTTGCTCCTTCTGCTAAAAACAAGTTGACAGAAGAGAGGTGAAGATAGAATTCGCTACTGAAGTTGACTGTATATATATATATTCTTTTCAGATTGTGGTGGTGATTTGAAATTCTAGAAGAACCAATGAGTTAGTTTTGTGCATGTGAATCAACAGCATGGGTACTCATATGGGTTGTCTTCTTCACTTGCATTCACATTTCTTTTTCGTTAAAAAATTGTTGGGCAATTTACTTTTAAATGTATAGGAGAGACTATTTGTAGCAGAACCAGAGCAGAAAGTGAAAAAGTTGCATAAACAAGTAACAATTCTTTGGCTGCATATGCTGAATTGTTGTGGGGTGGTGCTCTCTTTCTATGCATGCTTAATTATTTATATGTGGATGCGATTGCTTCGATATATATTATATATAATGTAAAGGAGAAGATTGTGCATCTAGTGGTAGTATGTATTACATAGTTTCTAGCAAGTTCATTAGCAAATCTTCTAGTGATTCCCAACTCACAATTCTCATTGAAATCAAATATGGAGCTACTAAAGTATGTGTAGGAGTTGAAAGCTTTTCATATGCAAACAAATATTTGCATGTCTAACTCTAAAAAGTGGAAGCAGTGGGCGGAAGGTGCTTGCAAAGTTATGGTAGACCCCTTTTCTAGTATATAAATTATAAAGGCTAGCTAGCATGTGCATAAAAGAGTGATCCAATACAGTTTAATGACGGCAAAATTACTCCACTTGTTACCTAAAAGTCATGAATTCAAGCCAGGGAAACAGTCTCTTTACAAAACAAATACTGTAGATATTATTTTTGTAGCTAGATATAGTATCATGTACTATTATTATTACCACGCTTGACTCATCCTGTCCTCTCAAAACCAAAGCTCTCGTACTTAAATTTTCAATACTTTTACAAAAACATGTTACAATGTAAGAATTGAATGAATAGATATAAAATGAATGGATAAGCTTAAAGTGAATAAACTACGAGTTAAGTATCATTTGGTAGAGCTACTTCTTGTACTACATTTTGCAAGTGTAAAGACTCATCCATCCTCTCTTTATAGTGGGCTCTATTCCATGTGCAAGGCAACGCGAAATGAGTTCTAAACCTATTTTGCTGTTCTTTTGGGTTAAAAAAACAAAAAAGAAAAAAAAAAGAAAAGTCGAAATCATTCATATGCTTATGCAAAACTAGTCAGAATCAGGATCATGGTGATGAGATCTATTATGTTGGACCTGGGGTCCACAATATTTATTGGGCCCTTGGTGGACCTACAGAGGAGATATAGCCCATCAGTTGTATTAATTACTGAGTATACTGGAGAGGGGAAACTATTCCTTTTTATTTGACTTGAATTATTAAATTTTGACACATGGTACATTTGAAAAAAATTAATAAAATAAGAAAAAAATTACACATAAGTACACACTCTATTAAGCCTCATCTTCCTTTGTACAAAAAATTAAAAAAAGAAAAATAAAATCCCAATTATTTGCAAGTCTTGGGGTTTCTTCAGGAGAGGGCTTGTTGTTGGATAGTGTGTTAATTTTCTTGTGCTCTACATTATTATTTTCTACATGAAACTGATCCCTTTTTTGACAGATCAGTCATAAATAAAACCAATTGATCATTAGTTCTTAAACTGGCTTCAGAAATGTGAAATGCATCTTCTGTGACGAGCAGCAACTGTTTTCTTTTTTTGCTTTGTTTCTTCTTTCCAGCTCTTGGCTATGTCAAGTGCGACACTAATTGCATCAAGAGATGCACCTGATAAACCTCTCCTGGTAAACCCAACAGCATATAGCCCTGCCTTTCCTTTCCACCCATTTGGAAATGGGTTTTTGGGAATCCCATCTTCTGAAAAGAATTCATTTTCCTGTAAAACAATAAATTATTCAATCAAGTTCAGCCAATTTACATTTTTCTTTTTAAAAAAAATTATCATTTCAATACTATTGAGTCAAAACTTATTGAATAGTTTTAATCATACTATTGTTGAATCCGTTGAATTCAACTATTCGAGAGGTATGGTAGATAAACCACCGGACCCTCTTCAAAATTTTAAAAAAAAGTTCCAAAAACAGAGATTTACAGGCTATCAGATTTTTTTTCCTTTTATAAATGAATGAGACAAAAAATAGACCATCCAACAAAACTAACAATCTAACCACAGTTTCAAAATTTCTACTAAAACAATCATGTAAGAAAAAAGAATTTGAAGATAATGAAGAGACAGAACAGAACTCGAACCAATCCTAACTTCCGTAACTGTCACATGAATACCAAGAATATAAAAATCAAAAAAATTAGTTACTCACCCTTAGCCATGAAGGAACATTGCTACGATATCCAGTTGCTAGAATTACAGAATCAATTTCAAGCTTTTCCCCATTGACGAGTTCCACTCTGCCATTAAAGAACCTCTTGATTCCAGGGACAACCTTGATTTGACCAGATCTTATTTTGTCTAATGCACCAATGTCCAATACTGGAGTCTTCCCTTCAGAATTCTTGAGTTGTAAAGGTCCTATAAACGGCCTTTTTAGCCCAAATTTTTCAAGATTTCCAAGAATTAACCAGGCAAGAATTAAAAGTATCTTGTCAACCAACCAAAGTGGCAGCCAGTTCATCAATGTCACAGCTAATTCAAATGTTGAGTTTCCAAATATTTCTCTAGGCAAGACATGAACCTGCAAATTATAATTAAATAAATAAACCATTTTATATTTTAACTCTCAAAACCCGAAAGAAAGTATTAGAATAGCAGAATTTGTTTTAAAAGACATTTGCTGCTTACCGAACTTCTAACCACCATTGATGGGCTTGCTTTGTGATTACACAGATCAAGAGAAATTTCCATGCCTGAATTGCCACAGCCAACGACTAGTACACGCTTTCCACTATAATTTTGGCCGGATTTATAGTCACAGGCATGCATAATATTGCCACCAAATTCTTGTACACCTTCGAACTCTGGCACTACCTTCTCTGCATTTTCACCTGTGGCCACCACAAGCCACCGGCAAATGTACTCCACTTCAGTTGAAATAGAACCAGTTATTATCGAAATGGTTTTGACCCGCCACAAGCCAAAAGTCTCATCATACTTAGCGGACTGCACAGTCTCATTAAATTGTGGCGTTATATCGTAATGTTTCGCGTAAGATTCAAGATAGCTAATAAACTGGTACTTTGTCGGGTATTCAGGAAAGTCCTCGGGAAATGGAAAGTTGGGTAGTTGACAGAATTGTTTAGGAAGGTGAAGTTTGAGGCGATCATACGTTCTGGTTTGCCAAAGAGAGGCAATGCAGTTAGCTCTTTCAAGAATTATGAATGGAACGCCTTGTTGTTTAAGGCCAGCACCAACAGCTAAACCAGAAGGACCAGCCCCCACAATAACAGGACCATTCACCCATACACATCGGCGAGAAAGAAAGTCTTCTTGAGGAGAAGATTGAAACATGGTTGGTAAATTAAGACAAGTAGTATTGTTATACATTAAGAAGTATTTATTTTCTTGGTTTTCAAGATAATGAGGCTAAAGAAAAAGCAGAATGGTTTATAGAAATTGTTTCCCAACGAAGGAATTCTTTGTGTGGAAATTGAATTAAGATATGGAAATTAAGGACAAAGAGGAATGGAGAGTAAGAACAAAATTGGAATTTGTTTGAATTGATATTTGTGAAAGGGGAAGGAGGGGATGGAGGGGTTTAAATAGACAAGAGGTATTGGCAGATGGCCATGAGAGTAGAGCATGTGCTTGGGATTTGAAAATGGTCTTTTCTCTAATGCCAAGTTTGTGGCCGTCTTCTTTATTTGTTTAATGTTTATATATTGCATTGTTGCTATTATGCCATTAATTATATATAATCTTATAATATCTTAAAGGAGTCATTTAGTATCTATGTCCATAACCCCTTCCTCATAGGTCTTCTTACTTAAGACTTTGTAATTATTGTTTCCATCAGAAGTCATCAAAACTCCAATCAAAAATTTGTTTTCTTAAATGGGTTCTAATTTGATTCAAATGGGTTCATTCCTTTGAGTTTGAAATCACGAGCCCTTTCTTTTGGTAAATAAAACCACGTTCTGCCCATTGTACAAACTGCCTGTTTCTTGCCACAAACATGTGTTTGGTTGTACCAAAGAAGCTGTGCAGATTCCATTGGAGCTATAATGCTTATCATGCCTTAAAGACAACTAATCTTCAAATTAATTTGTTGCTCTAATCCTATAATAGCATCAAAGGATCCCACATTGTATAGGTAAGAGACAGAGAGATGATGGGCTTATAAGTGTGGGAGCTACACACTCCATTAGAGTTATCTTTTGGGTAGAGAGCACAATGGCCCTGAGAAGTAAGAAGTAAAAAACTTTTCCTTGAATTGTCCTTATTACAACTATTTATTTAGGTATTTTTGCTTTAATATTTGGATATGGTTTTCATATTCTCAAATCATCTCAGCATTCTCTTACTCAATTTTGTGTTACATATCTTAAACAACAAGTCTGGTATATAAATTTTTGCCCTTGCAATGCACATGCTCATATAATATGAGCCATGTGTGGAGGTTGCTTAATTTTTTTTTTTTTCAGTACTGGGTAGGGAGATTCAAACTTTAATCTATTTTCAGATCGTATATGCACTTACCATTAGTACATAGAAGTTGTTTAATTGCAACAAATATATTAACCAATTTCTGTGTAAAGCATAAGCTCCACCAACAAAAGCCTATTATACATAGTCATATAGATATTGATGCAACGCAATTATCATGAAATTAACTAATTTGTTGTTTCCTACTTAGGCAAATTTAATTATTTACTTATTATTATTATTTTGGTAAACTGGAATATAACAATTATTAAAATTTCAAGTGGAAAATTTATAATTAGAGTTGAGGCATGCTTGTTGATGAACACAATTAATATTGGTGATGAGCACATGAAAGCTCCTCCTTTTTTTCTCGTAGCACTATTTTTAAAGTACTTTTTTGTGTACCAAACATTTAGCCATTATAGAACCCTAATGAAATAATGTTTTTTTTTTTTTTTTTTTTTTTTTTTTAAAAAAAAAGCATAAGCCTTCCACCAACACAAACGCCTATCTATACCATCATTCATCATACGATAATTGATGCCCAACGCAATTCATTCATGAAATTAACTTAATTTGTTGTTTTCCCTAACTTAGGCCAAATTTAATTACTTTACTTACTTACTTATCTATTTTTGGGCTAAACGTGGAATATAACAATTATTAGAAAATTTCAAGTGGAAAAATTTTCTATAATTAGAGTGAGGCATTGCTTGTTTTTGATGAAACCACACATTAATATTGGTGCATGAAGCAACACTGAAAAGGCTTCCTCCTTTTTTTTCTCGTAGCACTACTTTTTAAAGTTACTTTCTTTTGTCTGTACCAAACACTTTAGCCATTATCAGAACCCTAATGGAAATTAATGTTTTTTTTTTTTTTTTTTTTTTTTTTTAGACGAAAAAAAACATTAACTTACATATTATCAATCAGCTTTTTTTTTTTTTTTTTTTTTTTTTTAGAAAAAAAACATTAATTAATATTATCAATAGCTAAAACACATTTATGAATTTATTTCCCTTTTTTTAGACATACGTGAAAAAGTTGTTATAGGAAAGAAACTGCTGTAAGCCCAAATTAATCCATCAATAAAAAGCTAGTAGTTGATTTAAATTAGTTAAAAACATATTAATGCCATGGTCAAACAATTACAATTAATTAATTAACCAACATAAGGAAGCCTGTAGTTAATTGCAATCCATTTGCTAATTAAGAATTTAAATGTGGAAATGGTGTTAGTGATGATGATGATGAGGTACATGCTTCTTCAAGTACCAAGGAAGTCTGTTGGGTGGGCTTTGAAAATGGAGAAATAGGCATAGCCAGCTACACAATATTCCACAAATGCAATTACTGTTTCTACTTAATTTGCAAAGACGTGTATTGAAGAAATACAAATTAAGGATTTGATTGTTTTGATTTTGTATTTTAAATGTGCAATCATAAATATTTCTACTATCTTTCAACAAATTTTGATAAATAAAAAACACAGTAATTATGAGATGGATTATGGCAAAGTTGACGGATTCCCCAAATGGCAAAAGGCAAGTGTTATTCAATCTCTTTGAAAGGGAAATACTAGATTGACAATTATGCTCTTCTCCTAAAGATTTGAGTTTGGATTGGATTGGATTGAGAGCCATCTTTCTGGCATTTAATTAAGACATTATTAATATAACATAAATATAAATCGATTTCAATGTCCAAGAGGCATTGCTGATTAGGATATGTGTGTGCCCACGTGGAGTGTGAATATTTGCACACCTTGGATGCCTCATTCCCCTATTGGAATTCGTATCCTCTAGCTGCCAATATGTGAAATTCTTGGACACACCCGATGGTCCGTTTCCTTTTGGATCATATAATATGATTATAGAATGAGTGAATAGAAATCCACTAGTTTTGCAATTTTGAAGCTGGTGGGTTTGATGGAATTTGAGTGACAAAATTAAATATTTTGTGGGCTAGTTAAATTTTTTGTTTGATTGAAAAAAAATATGAATTGATAAATTTTATTACAGCCTCAATTCTTCTATCATTTTAAAAGAAAAAGAAATGCAATAATTAACTCAACTGGAAATTCTTATTTGGTTCATCTTAGAATCAAAATGAGTTAATGAACTTGAATATATTCAAGTTTTAAAGAATTGTATTTCAAATAATTAAACAAAATGTGAAATTTAAGAATATAAATTAAGACATATATTATTTTCAATATACATCAAAGTTATTCAAATATTAAAAATTAAAAAAAATATTTTCTTATTTTGAAAATTTACATTATATTTTCAACGTCGAAGCCAGCCAAATACAAATATATATAATGGAATGGACTAATGTTACTATAAGGGTAGAAGTTAGAAGCGTGTCATGGGAAAAAGAGGCGGCTACGCCTGCACGTGCATGGAGCCTCGGTTTGTAAAAAAGCAGACTCTTCATGCACGTTAGATAAGAAGGATAAGTGTTTGTTATTTTGGTGGGTAAAAATATTTGTATAAGCTTTGGAATTACAAGAATCTTCTATCATTCCTAAATATTGCTACACCCTCCCAAGTCCCATTTTGATTTACTGGAAATTTGGCTATAATCTTAACTTTTTGATATTTTTTATTACATAGTAACTTTTTTTTTTTAGATACATGGGAGATTCAACTGACCAAAATAATATTATGAGCTACACATAAGAGGACAGCCCTTCCTTTCGAATAACATTTACCAAATTGGTGATAACTTTATAGTAGAAAGGGCTTAAACTTGAGATCTCTCACTCTCTACATTTACTAAGAGAGATAGAAAGACCAATCAAACTACATCTAATTGGTACATAATAACTTTTTTTAATCATTGAATTCAATAAAATGTTATTCAAAAATAGAACCCTACCATAATTAGATAATGTATGATTTAAAAAAAAAAAGGATAGTAGCCGGCTTTGACATGACCTAACTTGCTACTATAGTGACCATATGTTGGTAGCTAATTAATACCAAAAATCAAAGTGGGGTAACAAATCTTTTCTTCAGACTTGTTTCATTTTCATGATGGTTCGAAAGTCGAAACATGGCTGTGGGCACCATTTTAATTAAATTAAAATAATTATGTATGCATTTTAATCTTATTCCCTATAAATTAAAGTTAATCTTCTTTCTTTAAGTTAATTGTATTCTTCTTCTCTTCAAAAAAAAAAAATAAAAAAATAAATATTAATAAATGATGATCAAATTCAATGTATAATTATCAAAATTTGAATATTATTAAATTTTTCAGAACGTCTGCTTAGCATGAATATGAACGAATTAAAAGAATAGCTTAATTAGTATATTTCATGAAAACTAATTAATTTGATATTATTTGACTACTAAAATAAAATATTATTAGATTCCATTTCTAATAATATTCTCCACTCATGGATTTTTGAGTGTCCTTCAATATCATTTGTCGTTTTTCATCGGTCAACCAATAGGTTAGGATTTAAATGTGTATGTATGAAAAAATAATACTAAGGTTTCTATTCAAAAAAAACAAGAAAATTAGAGAGTAATTATATATAAATTTCAAACAAATCATAAAATCGATCTTCAGGGTTTATTTAGTTTGCGAATCTTTTGGCAAATCTTTATGTCCCTAATTTCTTAATTAATTAGTTATTAACATTGTATTTTATAATTAAGCACAGGATTTAAAATAATGTATAGCATATCAAATGAAGCAACTAGAAGCCTCTAATTCTTTCCTTTCTACTAATCAATATTGTAATAAAATAGGAATCATAAAATTAAATTGTATTTTTAGACTAACTTTATATGTAAGTTTCAAAATTTGAAACTCATCCCTTTCATCGTAAATGGTCCGTTTATTTCGAAATACCCGACTAAATAGGATAATTTTATATGTATGTATATTATCTGAATTTGAGCGTGAAAACACCTGTACAGATAGAAAAAAAATGGATTGCAAATGTTTGTTAATAGAAATTAATCAATTAATAATGGTCACATGGAAACTTGAGAAGCTGAGAACCGTTGACATAATAATAAATTGTAATATCCCTCCTCCTTACGAGCCTACGTATATATGCATCATTTGCGGGAACACATTGCTTCAGAACCTTAATACAGATTTAAAAAAATGTATTTATATTTATAATTTATTATGCTATTTATGGTCCAAGGGAAAATCAAAATTAGATAACTAATAATAATTAGACTTGTAATTTATCAAATTATAGCATATATTAGTGTAATTATTACATCATATATAACAAAAAAAAGACATTTCTCTTATTTAATAATATTTTTGCATTTTTTTTCTATAATAAGAAAATATTGTGGAGTTAACTTGAGAGAAATCCACCACATTTTTCAACTTTTATCTTGAAATAATATCTAAATGGAGGCATATATCTCTAATTAATTTAATTCTATTAGAATTAGTAACTATTTATGATACAAAAATGAATATATAAAAATCCACCACATTTTTCAAACTTATTCTTTGAAATAATATCTAAATGGAGGCACTATATCTCTAATTAATTTTTAATTCTATTAGGAATTAGTAACTATTTTGATACAAAAAATGAATATATTATATATATATATAATAAATATATATATATATATAAAAGATGCCATTAGATTCTAAAAGATGATATTTTGAAAGGCCACATGTGGGACCTATCAATGAGTTCTGAAGTCTCTATCATATCATCAAGTTTCCAACTACTAAATCCAATATATATAAAGATGCCATAGATCTAAAGATGATATTTGAAAGGCCACATGTGACCTAATCAAGAGTTGAAGTCTCTCATCATCATCATCAGTTTCCAACTACTAAATCAATCATTCAGCATTTTTGTTATGATATATATATCTTTATTTGTTCATATAAATATTTTTGTTAGTACAAAATATATTCATATATCTAAACAATCATTTCATTTGTCTTTTCTCAAAAGATATATATTTTTCTCATTTTCTTTCTTTTTTCCTTCTCTTTTGGAGTTAGAACTTGATTTTTGTAATCTGAAAACAATCAAATTTAGAAAATAATAATAATAATAATAATATAACTAAGATTAGAGAAAGGATTATCAAATTAAAAACCAATTAATTAGGAGGATATAATGATTATGGGCATATGGGAGGGATAATTCTCCTGCTGATAAGATTAGGATAATGAAGGTCGGTTGTGAAATTTGAATAAATCAACTTTTAATTAATTTGTGTTCGAGATTGCATTGCATTTGTCTTAATTACCCAAAATCTTTCAAGTGCTAAATCCTCTATTTTTTTATTGAGATTCTTATTATTTTCATAATTTAACTCTCTAAATGTCTACAAATTTACGAAAATGATCATGTGATGTCTCATGTTGGGATGCACTAATCTACTTATTTGACTGTTAAGATATTATCTTCTTTTTTATTTTTTTTTTAAATTATTCATAGTTTTTTAAATGTATAAAACCAATAACTAACCGCCACATGTCCAATTAATCATAATGAAACTTGATGGTCTTATACTCAAAACCTATCATTTATAAATAATGTTTTTACTTTAAAGACTATATTGGCTATATCACGTATCGAAATGTAACGTAATCAAAAGGTTAAAATTTACACTGAAAAGGCGATCCTGCATAAAAAATATATTAATTATGTTTCATCATGTTTCTAATATAATCAAAAGTGTAAGATTTACACTGACAAGACGATCTTACGTACGAAATATATTTAATTATGTTTCATCACGTTTCATTATGGTTCACTGAAATAATATAAATTCATTTATATTAGAAAAAAAGTTTGTATGAGCATAGTCATAAATGTTATCCCCACAACATTATCTTTAACAATAAAGACCAAATCAGAAGGTGGATTCTGGCAAATTAAATTCAATGTGCTGCAAAAAAAATAATGAAAGTTCTATATATGCTTGATCCAAATATTACCCAAGAAAGGATCCCAATTAATGCTGAATGCACCATGAAACATGACACATAAAACTTGTATGCACATGCTAATATATAATAATATTTGAAGGTGCAACTAACTCCATAACTGTAATAACTGAAAGAGAATCAGAAATATAATTTTCAGTCAAATATTCCACAGTAGGAGAATCATTAGAAAAGAAACATGTGGTGACACATGTGATCACATGAATTTTGGAAGAGTTTTTGTTTGTTAGAGCATTTGGTGAAGAAGATGGTCAACAATAGCCTTTAATGGCGAAATTTTCAAGTCCAGGATTGGACATGTGCTCTTACAGTAAATTAATCATTTGGTGACCACACATTGCTCTTCTACATACATTTCACAGAGAGACACAGACACTGCCTTCAATTTTTGGGTTTATAAAAAATATATCTAAAGCTATAAATGAGTCCAGCCACGTTTGACCTATTTTTGAAATTTCTATTAAAAAAATAAAAAATATTCAATGAACTTAACGAGCTAAACTCGATTCTACTTATTAAGCTTATTTAATAAATAAACTATTTGCAAATGAATCCGATTTTAAACTCATTAGTTTGGCTCGTCTATATCCCTAAGTACAAACACATTACATAAACTAAATAGATAACCAGCTCAGAGCTTTGAGGTAAAACAGAAAGGCAAAAAGAAAATATATAAATTTTATTGTTTATATATGGCAGTAACTGTGCAACAGTTATGCAAAAACCTTATGGCCAAAATAACTTCACTGTAAATATGAAGGCCTGTTTCAGGACTCTGTACAACATGCAATTTGAGGAGGCTGAATAGCTTCTGAGAACAGCACCCCATCATATTACCTCGAAAAATTTCTCTTCCTACCATCCCTAAAAAGAATGCTGGTAAAGGAAAAAAATATATATCTAGAGCCCCATCAACTATAAGAACAGATCTAATGAGATTTTTACAACTATAATTAATGTAAAAGAATGATATTACATATGGGGCAATGGATGTTAAAAATGATGTTGGGGGGGGGGGGGGGAATGATATTACTATGAGGCAATGGGATGTTAAAAAATTTGATGTTGGGGGGGGGGGGGGGGGAATATAAAAAAAATGGAGGCCAATTTACTGTCGTTAATGCATTGACTGGAACTTTCCACTGATAAAATTAAGAACTGCAAGCCTTATTTCCTTTAAAATTCGAAGTCCGGATTTCTCGAGAAGTTTCTAAAGCAGGTTTTTACATACTGGAAAAAATCATTGTCTTTGGAGAAGACGATAAACCTTCATCGATTGAGAAAAAGGGAATACTGCATTTTAAAAAAAGGCTTAAATGGAGCATGAGCTTGCAGGCATAAGTTATGCATTTCAAAGGAAGCGACTTTCATTTTCTCACCTTTGGAATCTTTCATCGCAATGAAAGGGTTTTTTGGGGGGGGGGGGGGGGAATATAAAAAAATGGAGGCCAATTTACTGTCGTATGGCATTGACTGGAACTTCACTGATAAAATTAAGAACTGCAGCCTTATTCCTTTAAAAATTCGAAGTCCGGATTCTCGAGAAGTTCTAAAGCAGGTTTTACATCTGAAAAATCATTGTCTTGGAGAGAACGAGAAACCTCATCGATTGAGAAAGGAATACTGCATTAAAAAGGCTTAATGAGCATGAGCTGCAGGCATAAGTTATGCATTTCAAAGGAAGCGACTTTCATTTCTCACCTGGAATCTTCATGCAATGAAAGGGTTTTGATATCTTCAATGTTGGAGTCCTCCGTCTGAGCTTTCATGTTGGAAATGATCTACACAAAAACAAAATGGATTGCTACATCAAATATTAAGAGAGATGGGAATTGATTGTGATCTTTCAAAAGGGAAACTAATTGATCTTACATCTGGAGAAACACTTTCAGTATTGTGATCTTCATCCCCATATTGCATGCATACTTTGTAAAGCTGTTCAACACTCAGGACCTGAAAACAATGTGAATTGATGAGAGAGACGGGGGCAGATAATTCAACACAAAAATCATAATTTTTTAACATTATTTTTATATATAATTTAAAAACAGAAGTTTCAAATCTTGTCATTATCAAGTAAACTCATGCTAACAAATAAATACATTTTCCTTTTCCAGTCCCCTTTCTACCTTCCAAGCAGTTGCTTCATTCTTCATATGTTGCCAAAGATATACATGCCTCCATTCAGGTTCTTTCAAATATTTTTCTAAATCTTTTAAATTTTTTTCTAAGACTATTATTTGTAACATTTTTACAATTTCATTATAGATATCTCCAGATCCCAAAAGAGGGAGAGGGAAGCCTTACAGGGCAAAGGTCATTTTTAATTTCTTCATAGGACATTTTTGACTTCTGGTGTATAACCTGAAAAGAAAATTTTGCATAAATTAGGTTATCAAGAAAAATAATAATAAAAAAAATCGTCATTTGAGCTAAAAACAGAGTAACAGCCAACAGTTTTCATGTGCCATTCTTCAAAGAACAAAATTTTACAGCAAATAGTTAGTAACAAAAACAATTTGAGTTAAAAATGCAGTAACAGTCAACAGCATGCTTTATTATCCAATGACAGAATTCAATACACAAATGCATTCAAGATTCCACATATTAATCATAAAATTTTCCAAAGATCTTCAAAATCTCCATTTCAAAATATAGTCTTAAAATAAGCATCTATCTACAAAGCCCAACCATTAGCTTATATTTTTAATTAACTCATAAACTTATAATAGAAATCTTGAAATATAAAGCCATTCAATTGTATTACTATTTTATTTTGCCAAGTGAACAAATAGTTAAAAAAGATAATATCCACTTTATTCACGAAGGTGAATTCCAGCCACATGAAACCATGATTACAAGTAGACATCAATGAATCATATCAGTTTGACCGTCTGTTAGGAAATGGATGTAATTGCAATATTGATTTCTATTGTAATTGGGATTAATTGAGAATTGTTTTGCTGTTTTCTGATTGAATTGTATTTTCCATTTGACTTATAATTGAAAGTTGCTGATGTAGAAATATCTGCTGTGTTGCTTATGTGTAGCTCACACATTAGCCTATAAATAGCTAAGCTGTAAAGTTGTTGATTTTGGTGAAATAAAAGCCTAGATATTTTCACTCTCCTCATTTTTTCCTTTCTCTCTCCTAATTCTGGATCTCTCTTTCTCTCCTGTTGCTTTCACTTTCACAGTTTTTCTCGCATTTTTTCAGCTCACAAACACACTAATGAGGGTTGGATGACAACCAATCCTATATTTTCATAGATAACAAGATAATAGATATTGCAACAATAGAGTAAGAGTATTGCACAAATTGGAAGAACAACGTAATTGAATACGCAACACTGAAAGAAACATACCAAGAATCCAACAGCTTGCCTTGTATGTCTAAGTTCATCCCAAGATGAGCCTACAAACTGCAAAGAAAAGAATGATTACAAATGATAATGCAAACAAATAATACTAGTAAGTCTTTTGAAAAAAAAAAAAATTCTTTTATCCATAAAAACCAGAAAGATTAATCATCTTATCCAGTGCGTATTTTCTCCTAGGAGGAACACAAAATAACGGAATCATCATAAGGATGGAAATATCCTATACTTCTTAAGTAGAAACAGGAATTTTGGACATACAAGTTGAAACTCAAAATGACCTAAAAGTACAGTTGGCCCTTTGGGACCTCATCCACCACAAAAACTGAAGGGTTAGATTTAAGACAAAATGAGCCAAACAGAACCCACTAAATTCAGATTGTTTGCCAATTTGCCTCTAATTCAGGTGCTTTCTTCTTTTACTTTTTCAAAGAATTTCCACATTCAAGAATTTTTTTCTTGTGCTTCTTTTCGCACTTACAATATCTTCAAGGAAAATACTGTGGTGATTGTAGCATTTCATAAGAGAATACTTAAAAAACGGTACCTCTTCTTTTGCTTGGCCACACCATAGTTCTAATTCAGCAAGACCAGCCTTGACATATTCCCCATTGCTGAATGTGCAGCATTCTCGATGAAGAAGAAGACTGCGGAGGCATACAACAAATGAAAATGTCAAATTTATTTGGTAAATACAAGATTGTGCATCCATTTTCAATAAACATAGAACAATAATTTACCTATTAAACAACTGCACATTGATGTGTGAGAAAATTTGAGTAAAAATCTTCTGCACAAGAATCTGAGGTACCTACAAGACACCAATGATTGAGTCATAGAGCTTAAATAGAAGGCAACACATCACTTCTATATTGTGAAAATGAAAATCCCTTACAAAATTTTCTTTGAATTTGATCAGCATCCCATCCAGGCTCTCAACCATGCTGTGCCAGTGATTAGCCGGATTTGAATTTAATGCAGTTCCTTCTGATGCACTGGGTACCTGGAAAAATCCAGTATAGCTAAAATATGAGGTGAATAAAGAATGTATAAGGAAAAGGGTGGTTTAGTGCTTAAGAACGAATGATCCCGTTTTTGAGAACTACCACAGCTCAAACCCAACATGGTTAAAGAAGAAAATCCAGCATTCGGGTGAAAAAGATGAACTATATATGAAGATAAAATTTCAGATAAAATACTAGTAATAATAATAAAAGAAGAAGAATAAGACTTGGTCAATGATGTAAGAAGAATGATGTAATGTATTCATGATAGCAAAACCCTTCTATCAAGGAATTAAGGAAAGATCTCCACTCCTTTTTGAAGGCTTATTAACTTTTGATTGATCATGCAGCAAACATGATCCTGGAAGAAAATATAATGGATCAAAAGCCTCTAAATCCCAAAATGTATAAAATCACAAAATAAATCTATCATTTTGCCCGGATACAATTTTACCTGGATACAGGAAGAAACCAGTGGTGACAACTCTTTCTTTAAATTGTCTCGAATGATTGCATATAGTGTTTCGACATATGCTGTAAGCTGCTGCTTAAACAACAGTGCTGGATATTTAGCCTCAACAAGCTGTATTGTATCTTTTCCAACTCTAAGGCTTGATGAAGAAGGGGATGAACGAAAACTCTGGGAAAAATCAGGCCAAATTACTTCTTTGTATATGCAGGATTTTCGAATCCAAACATTTCTAGCATTAAATACCTACTATATTGTCTGAACTCTGAACTAGAATTACTAAGTTATTTTTGTGCAAGAAGTCCTGCAAATAAGCTTCAATAAGAAAGTATCTCATTACCTGAGTCATCCTGCCAAAAAATGACGTTGGGACAGGTGGCTTTTGACTTCCTTTTAAAGTCCGATGAAGTAAGCATAACAGCAAAGATGTATTAGATAACCAATAGGCCATATGATCATTGTCATCTGGGTTCTGCAAAATATTGTACAAAATGTCAAACTTGTCAAGTGTCAATTTGTATAATGAAAGATGTATCTCTTCTTTTCTTTTCCTCTTTTCAATTCATAGCAAATTCTTGAAGTGAACGAAGCATGCTAGTGATTCAACCCAATGGTTTACGAAGCCAATGGTTTAATCTATTTCTTCAGTTCTCTTCTTGCCAAGGCAATTTTTCTAATAAGAGGGAGTAATGGAGAAAATTCCAAGAGAAAAGGAGACCTCCATATGACTTTTATCAAATATAAACAAAAGCTTACGACACATTCCCAAGAAATGTTCTATAGTGGCCCTTGAATAGATAGGAGTCCATTAGATATATAGAGATTTTGAAAGCTGTTTTAGAGGGGAAATCATTAAAGTTTGGACAGCTAGAGTAATACAAAGGATTTCTCTACCACAATTGGACTATACCAATGATTGACTTGAGCCCCTATATGTTTGCATTGGTCACAAATAAGTTAGAAAAGCACATTGAAAAAAAGATATTCCTTGGTGTAAAATATTTGCAAATGACATGATTGTAATGGATAAAACTTGAGTAAGAGTTACCAGGAAGTTTTCTAGGTTCACTATTCAACTAGCTCTGGTTTATGATAGCAAGTCTTATATGATGAAGAAATAACATAAGATCAATCTGGCAGAAATGGAGATGCTCTTTTGTATATATATATATATATATGGAAAGACATGGATGAACTGGATAAGGAATGTCTGCATTCATGTGAAGATGGAAGTGACACCTATAGAGGATGATGGAGAAACAAAATCAGGTGGTTTGGACATGTGCTTCATAGGCCAGAAAATGCACCAGGATGAAATATTGAGCACATCAAAATTGTAGGAGATAAAAAATGAAGGAATCAAGTCTAAGATGACATAGAGAAAGTAGCGAGAAAGAACTTGGCTCTTGTAAACAAAAGATGGGGCCCTAAATAGAGTGCGAATGGAAGAAACAAATATATGTAACAAACTCCAACTTATTTGAGTTAAAGCTTCGTTGAGTTAACATTTTTTCCACCTTGGTTTAAGGCAAGATGATTTCTATTTTCAAACATGCTTAAACAAGTACCTCCATAGCAGAACCAATTGTTTGAATGAGACGATCAAATACACTAGTTTTTTCTACTTCAAATGATCTCCAATGAACAAGGCATCTATATATAGTAATTGCTGCAACAGGTTTTCCTTGACAAAAACCAAGATTTTGTTCTACGCATTTAATCAGAGCATCCACACTCTCCTGCATCAGAAATAATACAAATCAAAATAAAGAATTAAACACAAAAATTTTAGAAAGAAGTGTCACTCTTCGCACTCCCTTTAAGCACATACATGTAACCGTTCAATCCTAAACTTTTTGTCTTCATCTGTACCCAACGTTTTCTGAGGTGACGGACTCTGTGGTTCCTGTGGAAAGTAAGCTTAGTGAAGACCATAGATGATACAAGAACCAAATATGAACACAGAAAAAAAAATCATATATAAATCAAGATAAAGTGGTTTTATTTTCTCTTACATGATGACCATTCTCGAGAGCCTGCAAGAACTCAGAAGGAAAAAGAAAAAATGTTAGCATGTTTTCAAATGATGATGTAGGACCAAAAACAATTGCTTTTCTTCCTAACAAAATTGCAAACATTTACCTGAGATGTAATTGCTAAATGTTCTGATAGTGTTTTGCCAGATGAAATGGACAATGCTTGCTGCCGAACTTCATCTTTAGCCTCCAAATCAGCAAGTTTTTCTTCGAGCCTGACATAAGATAGAAATTAAATCCAAGTTAGTCATGGAGAAACCCGATCATCCTGCCTCCATATTGACTTAAAGATGCATCTTTAAAGATTTTAACACAACTGTAACCTCTGCATGGAAGTTTTCAACTCAATAATTTTTGTCTCTGCATCCAATGCTTGCTTTAATCGTTCTTCACTAAGCTTAAATGTTTCTTCATATTTCCCCTCTGTTTCATCAATTTTCTTCTCCAGTGAACTTACCATATCCTATTGAGAACCATTAAGACCAAAAAAATCCTTTAGAAGAATCAAATTAACCATTTTCAATATTTTATTCATTTCTTTTTCTTAGATTTCTAATTGCACTTATTCAAGAAGCAAATTTAAAAGCAACGTAAGTAGGACTCTACCTTGAGCTTTACATTTTCAGCAGTAAGTTTACTCACTAATTCATGGTCAACAACTGAGACCTGTGGATGAGTCATTCAGGAAATATCATTATAGAAGTTAAATTTTACCATGGATAAATAATATTTATCCATTTCCTTTTCTTATATTGCTCAATGCACTCATTCAAGAAGCCTTGTATTGGCATTCAGAACCGAAGGCCCATTTAAAAGCAACATATGTAGAACCTTACCTTGAGCATTTCATTTTCAGCAGTAAGTTTACTGATTAATTCATGGTCAACAGCTGAGACCTGTGGAGAGGCATTCTGAAAATATGGGCAGTTTAAGTTAATTCCCACCATGTTCAATACTTTATTTATTTTCTTTTTCTTAGATTACTGAATGCGCTCATTATAGAAGCCTTAACATCAATATTCAAAATGGAAGGTCCATTTAAAAGCAACATATATAGAACCTTACCTTGAGCATTTCATTATCAGCAGTAAGTTTACTGATTAATTCATGGTCAACAGCTGAAACCTGTGGAGAGCCATTCTGAAAATATTGTGTAGTATAAGTTAAATCTCACCATGTTCAGTACTTCATCTATTTGCTTTTTCTTAGATTACTGAATGCACTCGTCGTAGAAGCCTTAACATCAATATTCAAAATGGAAGGTGCATTTAAAAGCATCGCTTTAGAACCTTACCTTGAGCATTTCATTTTCAGCAGTGAGTTTACCCACTAACTCATGGTCAACAGCTGAGACCTGTGGCGATTCATTCAGAAAATATCATTTAGTAAAGTTAAATTTTACCGGGATCAATATTTTATTCATTTTTCCTTATAGCAGATTGCTGAAGTCACTATTTGAGAGGCTTGAATCAGCATTTAGAACCTAGATTCATTTGAAAGCTAATGAGAAGAACCTTACCTTGCGCAGTTCATTTTCAGCAGTTAGTTTATTCGCTAATTCATGGTTGGCGGCTGAGATCTGTAGGGGGTCAAATGACAAATATTATTTACTAAAAGTCAAATTTTATCATGTTCAATATTTTGTTCATTTGAGAAGCCCTGTATCAGTTTGAAAGCAACTTATGCAGCACCTTACCTTGAGCATTTCAATTTCAGCAGTGAGCTTATTCACTAATTCATGGTCAACAACTGAAACCTCCTGTATGATAGGTGCTTGTTCACTAGCTTTCCTTGCAGCCTCACGCTCCTTAATAAGCAGAGCTTTAGTGTTGATCTTATCATTTAAAATTTAATTTTGCTTTTAGTGTTGGATCTTTATCATTTAAAATTTAATTTTAATTATCTAAAATATTAAAAATTATATCTTAATAAGTTCCCTTTTTAAAATGCTCACGCTCCTTAATAAGCAGAGCTTTAGTGTTGATCTTATCATTTAAAATTTAATTTTATTATCTAAATATTAAAAATTATATCTAATAATTTCCTTTTAAAAGTTACCATATTGCTTGTAAAAAAATTATATTATCTACATCTAGAGCTTAAGTTTGAATTTTTATATTTTTCATCTCTTATTCTTATTTTTTAAAAACAATAATCAGGGTACACGGTGCTTTTATAACTTATATATCAGAAAAACATGTTTGAGGTAGGAAAAAAAATTTTTTGCTCAGTTTTATATTTTTTTAGTCAATAAATTGTATTAATTGTTTTATTTCTCATTTTTATTTTAAAATAAAGTTTATCTAAATTTTTTAAATTTACAAATTATATTATATAGCCTCACGCGAAGAACAGGTTTACGACTAGTTATTTACTAAAAGTTAAATTTTGTCATGTTGAATATTTTGTTCATTTCCGTTTTCTTAGAATGCTGAATGTACTCATTTGAGAAGCCCTGTATCAGTTTGAAAGCAACATATGCAGAACATTACCTTGAGCATTTCAATTTCAGCAGTGAGTTTATTCACTAATTCATGGTCAACAACTGAAACCTCCTGTATGATAGGTGCTTGTTCACTAGCTTTCTTTGCAGCCTCACGCTCCTTAATAAGCAGAGCTTTAGTTTCGTCGAATTCAAGTTGCATCTCTTGCAAAGCTGATTGTAATTTTGCAGTTTCCTGTGTTTTGGCTTGCTCGAGATCAGCCTGCATTAAACAGAATGCTTAATTACAAACAAGGAACAGCCAAGAAATATGTCACAATAAATTCTGGAAAGCATAACTTGGTAGCTCTCTTCGTACGTCCAAACTATGGTATTTAGCCCATAGGCACAGATACTCAAAGCATTCCTTAAACTCTTTCTCCAAGTCATCTCATTAGAAATGAATACTCTAACATAGATATTTAAGATGCCAATGTATCAGAAGATATTAGATTGCAGAAGAGCTTTAACAGTGAAGTAGTACGGGTTCATTTATTTAGGTGGAGAAACATCAAACAGAAAACCCTTACCCTCATTCTTTTCTCCTGCTCCAGACACAAGGTAAGTTCTTTAACTTGCTCTTCAAGCTTAACTTTGGCCTCTTGCAGAGCACCAGTCTCCTTAGCAGCCTGTAGATGTATGTTATGAATCATAAATTTGACACATGTAAGAAAAACGGTCAAGGAACTGCAGCAACTGATTCATACAGCATCAGGATTCCAAGATGTGGAACTTCACAGGAGAAAAAGCTAAAATTAACCAAATGCACAATTTCTAACCGCTAAATCTTGGAATGGCTACGCAAGCAAGAGGACGATTAGGAGTAAGATCATTTGTTTGAAGTCATTAAATAAATTTTTGCCTCACATTTTTTGCATTAAAAATTTTCAAAGGATTAGGAGCAAATCATTTATTTGACATCAGTTCTTCAACTTATTTCAGTTAGTTCAGTTCTTAGACTATTGAATTTCAGTAATTTAGGCTTTATCTAAATTTTGAACCTACCTACCAATGCTCATCCATAGTTGAGATGTGTCATGAAAGGGGAAGAAAATAAGCAAGCATAAATCCAAAAGGCAGAAAGATGAGCTTAAAGGTAAATCATGAAAAGAAGGTAGAAGATAAGAACAAAGAAGAAAATGAAGACAAGGAGGATAAATAGGAGGTTACCATTTTAAGCTTACGTAGTTCTCTGCGTGCAACTCTTCTCCTCCAGGCGCATTGCATGATAAGTGCTGCTTTCTTTAACCTCGAATAATAACGGGAGGCTAAATATTTTCGGCAATAACTCTGTAAAAGCATGAAGTCCAATCAAATCAAATCAAATAAATGATACACAAACACAAAAAAAATGAACAAGAAGAGAATTCTGTATATGGATACAACAAATAACATTATAAACTATCTTGCTCAGAAGTCAGAACTAGATGGTTAAAGTGAGGAACTTTGGTTCAATGCATAATATGCTACTCACCATTCAATAACTTTTCTTCCATCCTCTCAGTGAAACCAAAATGTCATCCTAGGTGTCTGGGTAATGGTGGTGATTTTCTTGATTACAACTAAGATGGTCTACACCAGGTTGCTTCGGGTTTGAATTGGGGACTCTTCGTAAAACCAAGCAAGATGGCTATTATCGCTGTGTTGGTTTCACTATACCTTCATTTCACTAATAAATGAGATTTACTCAATTCAAAATTGAGCAAACCGGTTTTGGAGAGACTAATTACAACATATACTGACACTGTACTGTCCCTGGTTCTAGCACTCTTTAAGATTGAGTTTTTCTCCAAAAAATTATACTCCCTTCCCTTTGTCCCAAATTTAATTTCCGGCTTAACTTTGTCATGGAGATGAAGAAGGGTCTTGTGATGATGTGAGTGAAGGATTATTGATGGTTTACTAATTCAGGCCTACTCATAATTTTAGTGTAAAATGGAATAAAAATCAAAGTGAATTATTTAAAGGGTATTATGGAGAAAACAACCTATTGAATTATTGACTTTTAATTAAAATAGGAAAATGAACAATTAATTTGACACCCGAATTAGTAATGTAGGCGCTTATTATGGGCAGAATGACTATTTAAGATTATCAACGATAAACTAAGGCCTATTCCATCCCTTTTCATTTTTTTTCATATGGTGGGTCAAGAAAGCGGACAACTTGTTACTGACAATTTAATTATTGTCCAACACACCAAACCACAAATATTCAATCATCATTAATCTATTTATTAATCACATTAATTGGTTGGAGAAATATGAAATCTATTAGTTCCATACTTGTCACTTTGTATGGTAGGAAAAAGAGGTAAAAGGACTAGAAATTAACAAAATATTCAAATAATTCCATGTGCAAACATTTCAACTTTACCTGGATCACAATCGCAGCTCTTTTCCGTCTCCTGAACTCAAGCTCAAGACAAGCAGCCATTCTACGCATGCCTGTCTGAATAGAAATAGATGAAGCACACAGACTCTTGTAAGCTTTCCTTGCAAGATACTTCCGACAATTTTTCTGGATCTTCAGAGAAGCAGCTTCTCTTCTCAGGCATTCATACTGATGACGTGCTATTTGGCCTGCAAAATACCCAAAATAAGACAAAACTTATAAAATTTCGTTTAGAGAGAAAAAAGTTCTTGATTAATTTTATTCGCCTGTAACACATTCACTTGCTTGCATGCATTTCTATAAAGCTAAACAATACCTCTGCACAATTTTTGGATATCAATGGCAGACTGCCGCAATAAGAGAAAGGCTTTGCGACAAAAATATGTACGAACTTTCCTCTGAATGATGGCTGCAGATCTTCCTAACACCTCACTTCGACGAGCATCTAGTTCTGCCATTTGACCGGCTCTGAGAAACACTTTTGTTTTGCCAATCTGCAAGATAAATGAATCAGTAAAACTGTTTCTTCAAATGTTAGAAAGTGTCTGCAATTATTTGACACTGCATATTGTCATCTCAAAGATAGGCATATGCAATAAACAAAAATTCAAAACCCACTAAGTGACTGACAGACTGCTGCCTCATATGCACATGTTCATGTATCATATACAGGAAGAAAAATTCAAGCAGTTTCAGACTATTTGCAAAAGTAGTAGTAGAAAAATATACCTGAAAACCTTGAAGCTTTGCACTCTCCAAAAGCTTCTGGCAAGCGGTAGGCCCTTTACAGCTATAAATATATAATTACATCAAAGGGGAAAAAAGAGTTAATGCAACTCAAATGGAAAATCCCATAAATTCAATTAGTAATGTTTCATAACCACAGAGAAAACTAAAGCAACATTCGATGAAAGCAAAATTTAGTAAAGCTACCTTTTGACAACATTTGGTCCCAAGATGCCAAAACGACTAACAAATTCATCAAACATCTTCCTAGTGGGATATCCTGCACAACTAATCCGAATTGCCTCCATGACTCCCTGGAATCAAATGCATATCAAATCCATTACACATGAATGTGACAAATATTAAATTCAACATCAAGAAAAATGAAATGGTCAAAAACTCAAAACTTACACCACAACGTAGTTGCTGTAAAACATTAGTGTTCTCAAAGATGGCTGGCTTCAGAACATTATTTGGCTTTACACAGCGAATATAGTGTGGCTCAGTGGCACTCAGTGTTTCAAGCAAAGCTTGCAGTTGTTGCTGCATGAAGTACAGAAATTAAGATTGTAGTATATGAAGTAAGCAAACTATGTGCATCAAACCCATGGGCAATATGCTAAGCTGACCTTAAAGCGAGAACCTATTGATGAGAACTTTGATGATTTTGAAGAATCCTCAGGCAATGGTGGGAAAAGGCTTGAAACAAATGAGCATTTGGATGCGCTAAGGAGAGCTTGGTGCTCGGCAACAACATAATCTTTGTTTTTATCCAGAAATTGCTCAGTTTGGTATGTTACCTACAGTAAATAAACACCACTGATTTGAGAATTGAGCAGCAATGAACCTTTTCCTTACTAGGGGGAGGATAAACATACTCACATCACCAGCATAATGACAAATAGTGAAATCAGTGCGTGACAACTTAGGCTTGCTGAAGCGCTTGTGATCTTTAAAAGTCTGATAAAGCTTTTGAGCAAATGTCTCATATGTTGATCTGGGAAACATACTATAAGAACAAACAAAAACCATTAAGAATAATATAAAATAAAAGGAAAATTATTTCCTAGACATAACAAAATTAGTTTTAATAAAAACTGTGATATCTTCTTTTTATTATTATTTTTAACTTACCAAGCCTCATCAAGAAGAGCAATGATGCCGCCTGGTTTCTGAAATTGTAAAAACTACAAATTAGAATGATCAAACACAATTGAAACCGCCCCCCCCCCCCCCCCCCCCCCCCCCCCCCCCCCCCCCAAAAAAAAAAAATAAATAATTATATATTATATATATATATATATTAATCATTAAATGATGTCCCGTGTTATGGCTTTGAGAAAAAACACTAAATTAGAAAGAAACCAGAATTCATTCAGCCTACAAATTATGGTGCAACAAGTGAAACAAAGGCCCAGCTAACTTTAAGCCAACGTCTAATTCGCTCCATGGATAATAACAAACTTGAAAAAATTCTCTTGTCCAAGGGAAACATAACTTATTGAAAATTTGTCTCAACACCTATTTTCTATTTTCTTTTCCTAAAATATATTTTTTAGAGATATTAATCATTAAATGATGTCCCGTTGTTATGGCTTGAGAAAACACTAAATTAGAAAGAACCAGAATACATTCAGGCCTACAAATTATGTGCACAAGTGAAACAGGCCCAGCTAACTTAAAGCCAACGTCTAATTGGAGTCATGATAATAACAAACTTGAAAAATCCTCTTGTCCAAGGAAACAATAACTTATTGATTTTGTCTCAACACTTTTTCTATTTTCTTTTCCTAAAATATATTTTTAGAGAACCAAGACACCATTGTATTGACATTCTGATTTATATGGAGAAAATTTAATTCCTTAAGGTGCACAAACAAACAAATGTTTTAGCAGTTTTCATGTCCTGGAGTCATTTTTCCTTGATGTAAATAGTGATTTCACAATATACTTGCATGATAACTAGGATAATATAGGCACTTATGAGGTAAGTCAAGCACATTCAAAAAACTTATTGAAAACCAAATCCACAAGACTTTATTTTTTCATGTCTGTAAACCAGATAATGCATTTTTTTGCTGTTGACTAAAATTGAGTTACATCCCTTGCATTGCTGATTTGCATTAACACTTGTATGTGATAAAGTTTCAGTAGTAACAGCTCACAAATTCACAATCAAAGTCACATCGAATGAAGCTTGAGAGAAAATAGCAACTAAATAAGCAGAGCGCATGAACCACTAGTAAAATTAGCAACAACTGATAATAAGTTATGGACAAGAGAAACAAAATTGGGCGATGAGTACTAAAAGAAAAAAATAGTTACGCCAAAGTTAAATGTAGTTAAATGTTCATGATAAGTAATATAGTAACAGAGAGAGCAGGGAAAAGGGAGGAATAAAACAATGGTAATAATCATGATAAGTAGAAAGGGAAGAAGCAAATTCATTAATAGTAGTGTCAAACTCTTGCTCATGAAATTGAGAAATGAGATTATGAAAAACGGTGAAATGTTTTATTTGGATATAATATCAAATAAAATCAAATTAATCCTGCCAAAATGGTTTGCTCATTCTTGCAAAGGTAAACTGAAAGGTAAATATTTACTAGTTTTGATACTGGACCACAATATAATTAAACATAATATGACATAAACCACACCTTTTCAATAAGATCAAGGACATCCTGATTATCAATGAATTCTATGTAACTCCAATTAATTTCTTCTTTTGTATATTCTTCTTGCTCCATCTTGAAAACGTGCTGTCCAACGAAATATTTTAAATCAAAAGAAGGGATTAGATTTGGAGGTTCCTGGGAATACTACAAAACAAAAGAATATTATATTGTGTGGAAAACCTGATTGAAATGTTGCTGCAGCTTTTCATTGGTTAAATTGATACAAAACTGCTCAAAACTACAACAAACAAGTAACATTGTAAAACTAGATACAAGCATCTACAACAGGATAATTACAAATACAACATATGATGAAATGGCAAAAGCATATTTACATATTGGAATATGAACATATGATACTGTTGGTTTAATATCTGAAAATTTCATCGCAGAGTTCTTAATATTTTCAAGACGTAGGCCTTCACTTTTGAACCTTGTTTATTTTGAATTCACTTCAGATTTTTACAGGTAACATAATATTTTTATTAATTAATAGTTCTAATTTTATGGGCCTCCTTGTTCCTTGCTGGATTATTTCATTTTTTTGAATTTTATCTATTCCTTTTTATTCATGGCCTCTGTTCCTGAATTCTTGCAACTAACAAATTCTTGATTATCTTTGAATATTGTTATGCGCTTATTTAATTGTGCATATGCTTAGATCTTATATTCATATTTAGCTAACCTAACTTGTATTCAGTTAAGTTTGAATTTATTCATGCAGAGTTGAAGCCCACCCTGTGGCTTATCATGTATTAACCTTGTGCAGATTTTAAGCATCCTTAGGTTCATGTTGGCCCCAAATCCACCTGGCCTAGGTTCAAATCATTGCACCTGACCAAATTCCAGCATCAAGACAAAAAAGCAACCATGCGCCTATGACTAATAAGACCTGTACATCAATTGGGCTACCTTGGAAAATATAGCCCACCGATCCACGTTTGCTTCATATATCAAAGTTTGTAGCCCAGATCACAAATGGGTCTATTAAGTAATAATGAATTTATCATGACGTAGGTACAAAATATGCCACCTAAGACGTGTAAAGAGCATGAAAAATTGGATCATGGCTTCATTTATGGTGGTGTGTTTTGTGAGTTAATGCAAGTATAACACTTACCTACACCCGTTGTATGGGCCCACCCATATATCAAGCCAATCTAATGAAGACACATAAGATAAACGAGGGATATTACTTCCCATTTACTGAGAAAAAAGGACAAAAGAGTCCTCAATGATAAAATTTTTTTTTTGAAATAATAGTTATCCATACAGAAGTAGGTAAGTAATTTCCTTGATGCAACTAATGCAATCTACATGTAGTCTCCTAATATATCAATCAATCTAATCTTTTGATTTTCCACTCTAAGAAATTAAAATGTTTTCTTTGGTCATCAGTCAATGTTTAGCTTCAGGCTTTGAATTTGTTAGTCTGAGTCCTTAATTAAGGTTCTAGGAGTCCTATACAATGAGGTCTAGGAAAAATTTAAAAAGATGAAAGAAAAAAATCAACATAATTTATTTCATTAGTATCAAGGTTAACACCTTTTCAAGGTCTATCCAAGAAGGTAAACTACTCCCACACTCATTCCTATCTTGGAATTCCATCCATTTATCTTCAATTTAACACTTTAAAGGAACTTCTCAGTTAAAGGTCACTTGCACGAGAAAAACAACCCCAACCCTAACGGTAGATATAAACAGAAAAAAGTAAATAAATAAATAAAAACATAATAAACATACAAATGGGATAATAAGCACCGACGTCTGAAATTTTCTTGGTAGCCATTTCATCAAAAGAAATACAAGTATTCCAAGCATTTATTTTGAAGGAAATTAACATCTATAATGATGAAAACAAAAGCATACCGGTTAAGCACCTGTTTGTCTTGAAACTCTCGAATCCATATATATCCAGAACCCCAATTAAGGATGTGGAATCAGGGTCTTGACCAATAGAGTTATTAATCTTGTCCACAAGCCTGAAGGATGAGTAATCAGGAAGTTAAGAAATTGTAGTGGCTGAATGCTATGGCCGAAAGAGAAGGGTACTTTAGAACAAAAGCATGAAGTGCATTACAGCATACCAATCAAATAATCTCGAATAGACAGTTTTGGCGAAAGCATCTCTATTGATAGCTGCAGCACCAGGATCAAGTGCTTTTGTTATGCTCTCATCACGAGTCACGATCACACGTTTGCATAAGGAGTCCTCAAGAGCCTTTTCATCACACCTAAACCAAACTTGCAGATTATAGAATTGCCATAACTATTTTAGACATCAAAAGAATAGATTAAATTAATGTTGAGTTACATGAACAGTTCAGCCGCTGTCTTCAGATGGAACCAAGCTTTATCATCCTTGGGCTGAGAAGAATCTACTTCATCTCCCTTTCCAAACTCAACGTTGCCTATATGTAGTATTGCAGCCACAACTCGAAATATTGCATCCTATCAAGAAAATTTTAGAAGAAATTTTTCATTTTAAAAAACCCTATTACAAAATCGGTAAATACACTACCTGCTCATCAGAATTTATCCCCACGACATCCATAGCCCTTCTAGTAGCGAGATACTCATCAGAATCATCCACTCCATCCAGTTCGCAGCAGTTTGATTGATTGAGATAATGAAACGTTTTAGGATTTCCCAACTTGTACTTCTTGACATCCTGATGGATACGTTAAGAAACACATGGTATAAGACAGCTAAACTCCTAACAGTTTATATCATTTTAAGGTACCCCGCCTTGGCTGGGAACTTAAACAGTGGACATAAAAGAACAACAGCCAAAATAAAACTAACAAAACGACATTAACAAAAATTGTTTGGCTTTCCATCAGTATACAGTGGACATCATTTACTGACACATATAATAGGCAATGTATGTTTCTTGAAGGCTTTCAGTAAGGTTAATACAGATCTAGACATGAAAATGGCTTTCAATGGTTGTTAGTACTTATGGGAATGAGGTTGAAAGTGCTTTTTCAGGGAAAAATCCTTTTAGATATTGTTGCAAGAAGCTGTTGGAACTGCTATTTAATTGTTTGTCATGATAACTGAACTGAAACATGTGAAATACACCTTAAAAGAAATTTACTTGCCTTTGGTCAATATATTCAAGATTGTGCTTCTCTCAACCACAACTAAAACAAACGCCCAAAAATACTAGATATCACATCAACCACTCACCATCTAAGGAAATTTGTAGAAAATAAAAGATGCCAAATTTAAACTTTTACTAAAACAAAAATTCAATTTCTAATGATCTTTGCACCAGAACCTAGCATCTCTAGGAAGAAATTTTCAGATGCATGCATAACATCAATTTACCTCCTGAGGAGCAGCACACAGCATGTAAAAGCAGTGATAATTTCTCTCAGGATCAGACACTTGGCAAACACGGGATCGTTCCAGTAGATAAGTCCTAATGGCAGCTCCTGATATCTTCCCCATCTTGTTAAACTGAATCTCCACAAACTTACCAAAACGACTGGAATTTAAGAAAGGAAAGAGCATAAACCTTGTGCCATAATATGACAAAATTCAAACATTTTCAGTAACGATTTACCACCTTGAATTGTTATTCCTGACAGTCTTAGCATTACCAAATGCTTCCAGAACAGGATTGGACTGCCAAAGTAAAACATAAAAAATGAATTGAATCTATCATTTTCCAAAAGGAAATAGTTGCATCTCTTGGTCCAGAAACATGCAACTAATAGGATCAGTAGAAAAATAAAGGCAATGGTACCTCTAAAACTTGTTGCTCCACAGACCTTCCCTCAGATCCAGGTTTCCCACCCATATAGGCTAAATACCGCATAAGCATCTTTGTACTCTCTGTTTTACCAGCTCCACTTTCCCCACTAACCAAAATTGCTTGACTTATTCCCTCGTTGATCATTTGTCTGCAAGTTTAGATTCTCTATACTTATGAGGGAATGCTATTCAAAACAACATTCAATGATTAGACAGACAATTTCATATGACAATCACCTGTATGCTGAATCTGCAACAGCAAATGGATGCGGGCTTAGCTCACCAATGGCTGCCCCTTTATACTTTCCCATTATATCATTACCATATAAATGAGGAAGTCTTCGAAAAGGATTGACAGCAATCAATATATTTCCCGTGTAAGTCTGGAATTACCACAACCAAGTTTAGCCTCATATCCCAAATAAAGTACCTCAGGAAGAGGTTGCCTATATTTTATGGCTAATATAGCAAAGATAATGCAGCAAAAAATAAATCTGTTCAGCCTGCAACAAAAGTTTCTACTGGACACCAAAGAGAATATCATAAAAAGATGTAAATCATCTGCTCAACTTACATATATTTCATTTGTATCATATCTACATTTAAGATTGAACAGAACCCCTGGCTCATGCAAATATGCCAGCTTTGTCATATCATCCACACCATCTAGAGGAAATTCAGGATCCTTTGGATGAACATCAGATGCTTTAACAACAACCTAAAGTAGACAGAAAAAAATAAGCGGAGAAGGAAATAAACCTGAACCTTGAATTTTATGCAATTGGAAAATAATAGCATAAGCACAACATACACCAATGGGATCAACGAGAAATCTCGCTTAACATAAAAGGAAGAATGTACATGAAAGTATGCATAATTGTACAAGTCCAGACACATGAACAGATGCATAGACTATCAACTTGCGACCATCCAATGCAAATGAATAATGTATATTTTTAGATTTATTAGAATCTCATGCTAAATTTAAACTTCTAAACTAAAAACTTCATATATAGTCTGACAAGAAAAACTCACTGTCTTTCCAGATGAAACTTTCACTGTAATCTCTTCACCGTTAACTTTCAAAACTTCTCCATCAATCCAAGTTACCTCAGGATCCAACACCCAAACAAAAGATCCAACAAGTATATTTGTCGAAGCAACCTGCATGATCAAGTCATCAGTAAAGTCCATCAGAAAGGTGAAAATATGCTTTCGAAAATAACAAAGGCATTCATAAAATTTAGTTAAAAATAATCAAAGGGTAGACAGTTGCATCTACACAAACACACATGCGAGCCTCTAAGCCAACTGGGAGCTAGTAATAGTAAGAACTAGTGACGACAGAATATTACTGGGTGCAAAAACAAAATGACAGAAGTGCTCCTTCCCTCTCAGCAGATTCAAGTGGTGTAGGAAATGTTTCTTTGTTTTTTCATTCTTTTTTTTTTTCTTCTCAGATATAACATTCTAAAGCTGGTCATTCTATACATCTTACAACATGTTTGTTCCAATCTAAAGACTTCCAGTAAATCAGAATGGTATTCCGTTCTTAATTTTATGAGAACTTTAACAATGTCCAAAAGAAAGCAGCCAATGAACAAAAGCATAATTAAGAACACAGTAAAACCCAATGGTCATACAAAGAAATACATACTCTATGACAACGACGACGACGACAACAATAATTTCCAAAAGTAATTCATAAAGACAAGTTAAGAAATATAAAATGTGAGACCACAGAATATAATGTAGCAATTGCACTATAAAGGAGTGAAAGGATAATCCGTATTAGTTCCTAACCTTTAGTTAGCATTTTTTAAAATTGTCTCACCTAAATGTTCAAAAATCATAACAGCACAAATTTGCTTGGCATCATGGGAAATAACAATTGCAGGCTTCTAATAAATTTCTATAGAAAAAGAAGTTAAGAATTCAAAAGGGCAACTCTAGAATAATAGAGCAGTATCTTTCCTAACAATTTATTCGCTGATGCTTCTACGCTCTCACTACGTTACCCTATTAAGGACATAAAACAGATGCTTCAAAATTTTTTCCTTTTTTCCTTTTAAGATAAGCTGCATTTAAGTGCATTAAATATATATAGCAACAGAGTCTAAAAAGTGAACAATGAAACTCAAATGTTATATAATCTTCCATTAAATATTTGGATTTTCAATGAAAAGTAAATGATTGGAACAACTTCTTTTTCCAAAAAAAAGAAACCATAAGCAAAAAAATTAATTATATGCATAGCCATAAAATGTATGAACTAATTGCATTTTTGGTAGACCATAATGAAGCGTGATTTAATACAATGAAATAAATTTAGCATTCATTGTTCTTTTCTATTGGATTTTCATTTGGTTACATTCTTTAATAAACATATCTATTTCAGGTTCCACATCAACAAATTGAGCTTAAAAGTTAACAAAGGAATATATTGATCAATAGAAATACCAGAAACAACATTTGAGAAATAAGAAAAGGAATAATTAACGTACCATTTTTTACAATATTGTTTATCAGATTAGATTCGATATCAATAAAATGCCAATGTATCATCAATAGATTCTTCCATTCCGACAAAATGCCGTTGCTAAAAGATCCAATCTCTTCCCTAAAACCAAACGAGACATTCGCTCCTCAGGCTTTGCCTCTACCTCTCTATCCATCAATAAATTTAACGTCATTATAACTGCATTTTTTTGGTTTTCTTTTTCCGGGAAGAAATGAAGGAGCAGAGGGGAGGTCACGTTAAGGAAGCTATTGTTGCAGAAAGCTGACAATGCCGGACCTTAAACCCCCTTCTGTGAAACCAGAACTGAAATCCGAACCCTCTTCTCTGCAACTATTTTCTCGCGCTTTCCTTCCCTTTCTCTTCCTCTTGAAGAAATTTGTTTTCTCGTTAGCTGTGTCTCTGCGTTTGTTTGGCTTTCCTTTCGAACGCAAAACAACGTCAACTCGAACATCACGTATTTTTTTCTACATTCCCTTATTTGTCCCCAGTAATTAAAATAATATTTTTTACACAAATAAATAACCATATTTATAATTACATATATTAAAAATTACTATTAATTTTTATGGCCTCAAAATTACAATGAGATTAAATAAGATCTTCATTTGCACTTTTTTTTTTTTATTCGTTAGGATGCTAATATGTCGAAATAACAATAAAAAATAGATCTTTTCTTAATTTATCAATTATTGAAAATTTTTTTAATTAAAATCTTAACATGTCTTACTTCCTTATCAACGAGAAACCAATCACAATGAAATCTTTGTCTAATAAAATCATGTTTCTAATAGTTGCAATATATATTTTGTTTTATTTTGTTAGACATAATACCATAAATTAGCTCGGTTTTATTTTAATTGGTTTTATTTCATTTTTAGTATTTTTTTTTTTTGGAAAATTTTTTTTTTCTAATAGTTGCAATATATATTTGGTTCGGTTTTCATCTAAAATAAAATCATACATATTTGATCACAAAAGGTGCTTCCATCTGGTAAAACCAAATACTTACTCCAGAAATAGCATTATTCATACACTATTAAAAATCATTAAAAATTTCAAGATAATCAAAGCAAAAGCCAAAAATGTTTATTTTTTTAATTTATCAGAGATTCAATAAGCTGAAATAATATTGTGAATTACACAACATGATTTGTTCTTTCATAAGCCAAAAATGTATATTAATTATTGTAATAAATAATTGAATTAAAGCTCAATCTGCTTTTTGAACTTGGACACAACATATAATTTGTCCAAAAATTAATTTGCCCCATGAATTTGCAGAAAAAAAATAAAAATACCCAATTTTTAAGAAAAAATTTGTATATAGTTTTTTTAACTAATAAAAAATTACTTAAAATTTTAAAATTAGAAAATAAAAATTATTTTAAAATTCTGAATTAAAGCTCAATCTGCTTTTTTGAACTTGGGACACCAACATATAATTTGTTCCAAAAATTAATTTGCCCCATGAATTTTGCCAGAAAAAAATAAAAAATACCCAATTTTTTAAGAAAAAATTTGTATATAGTTTTTTAACTAATAAAAAAATTACTTAAAATTTAAAAATTAGAAAATAAAAATTATTTTAAAATATACATAATTATAAAAAATTTACACTATTTGATTTAAAAAAAATTTAAACAAAAAAATAAAAATTATTTTAAAATATAATAATTATAAAAATTTACACTATTTGATTTAAAAAAAATTTAACAAATATTTGATTTGTAAAAAATTTTAGAATCAGAAAAGATTTGATTATATTGAAATCTTTGGTTAGAAAAATATTTATTACTTTTTTGTTTGATTATTTTGAATTATATTTGATTTACATTAAATATTTCATTATTTTTTTAGTCATATTTGATTTGTATTAAATAATTTATTTTTTGGGACTAAAATTGAGCAATTTATATTATTGGTATAAATTTAAGAAATAATTTATAAAGAAAAATTAATTTCTGGACGGTACGGTACGGCCACGGGTGACGAAATTGATCACGAGCAGGCAATGACGCGAGTCCGATATTGGGCAGAAAAGTAATGATTGACTTTAGATTAGGTTAATCGGTGAGTATGATGAATATATAAATATAAATGGTTTGGTCGGTCACAGGCCATAGAATGCAATCACATGATATCATACGTGACAGATTTTCGAACTTTCCATATCATCACATCGTTAACCTAATTATTTATTCTTATCTTTATACCCATTTCTTTCTCTACGCTTCACCTCAAAGCCAAAAGGATCTCTGCCTTTTATTATATTATACCCTAAATTGAATTCAATCTCTAAGATATTTCAATTTAAAAAGTTTTGGCACAATTTAGAGTATAATTATTAAAAATGGAACAAAACTGAAAAAAGAAATTTTATAATTTAATATTTTTTTTTACTGAAAAAGGAAATTTAAATCTGGATGAATTGTTAGATTGTATATGCAATTATCATTATCTTATACTTTAATTTACTATAATTCAATAGCTTTGAACCTTGATAAAATAACCTTATTGTGAGTTAGCACTTGGGCCTGTTGGGCCTATTTTGTCTGGCTTAATATTTTCTGGACAAAATACAGGATGGGCTAGACCCAAAATCCGTACATAAGATAGAGGTATCTTGAGCCATGTGGCAAAAGAAGAGCGGTTGGAGACTGAAAGCTTCCGTGTCAGAGAGTGATTGGAAAAGAAAATGACTTATGTAATTTTTTTTTGTCAATGTTTAGTATATATAATGATTATTATACATTTTACACTATTGGCGGCAGTGAAAACAGCTTCAGACCCATAAAAGTAGTAGAGTTCATTATAAAAAGATAGGACTTCATATAGAAAAAGACAAGTTTCAAGCGCGTTAAGAACAATACTATTGACAGAAGCTACAACAGCTTCAAGCCCATCAGAATCAGCACTGTTGGCAGCGATTACTACAAGAGCTTCAAGCCTATCATAACCAGCTCAGTGCTTCACGAAAACAGAAAACTTCCCCTAAAATTTGATTGCTCATCAATGCCCATACCAATAGGTCTATTTAAACATACTATATTAGACTTGGGGAAAGAATTCTATTTATATGTACTTAGAAAAGCTAGTCTATGTTAGTTGGTAACAAACTTTATAATAAAACATTAACTAAATGTTGTCATGAAATCGTCACCATTACATTACATGACTATGATTATAATTATATTAAGAATTTAGTAATTAATTAAGTTAATGATCCAATAATCAAAGATTTACATTAAACGTAGTACTTCTAATCCTTGGCTGCGGCCCCACCCTTTTCAGAACTAGTATATTTTAGCATTATGAGCTTATTTTGTCCATAAGCCATATATAAAAGTTGTTGTCAACTAACCAATAAACCTATGGTAAAGCATCAAGAGAGATTTCAACAAAATCTTCTTATAGACGCAGAAAGCCACAAACAGAAGTTCTGTTTGTCTTGTTGCTATATGTCTTATTCTTTTTCTCAAACTATACGAATATATCTAATTTAAGAGAGAACTCTAAAATTAATATATGTGGTTTCATTTACAGAGTAAGCTTTTACAGCCATTTTGCACAATCTCTTGTATATCTAGCTAGTTGCCTGATGCTCTAGGAGTGAAAGGTATCTGGTTTAAACCTACGTTATCTCTTTTAATTAATTTATAATTACTGCCTCTTATTTGTCCGGTATCCTTAATGGGTTTTAATGTAATTTATGTCTGAAGTTATAATTATGTAAATTGTGTTCGACAATAATTTTTACAGTATTCGGTAATATAGCATTTATAATATAGCATTTAAAGTAATGTTTACAGATTAAGATATCATTTTATAAAATGTTAACTCATGTAATCTTTAGCTTTTAGCATTATATGAAAAGTTACTTAAATAATTACTAGCTATTTAAACATCTAAAATAGCTAGTTTTGCCGAACAAATCATAAATTGCAATGATGAATGATGCAGATTGCAATATACAGTATCAAATGGCAAAAACAAAAGTAGCTAGCTAGTTAGAAGACAAATCAGGTACAAGGAACCTAATATCATTACACAAACCCTATTTGCAATACAACTAAAATATCATCAAGCACAAACGCACAATAATTCATTTTCACATTGATATAGTATGTACCATCAATCCATTACTAGATAGAAGAATTGTTCATGAAAAATAACAAAACTATAGGTGTCACAATTAATGAAATTGGACCCACTATTTCATTTTCCATTCTTAATTGCACCGAATCGGATTCCATAAGTACCGTAACTACAAGTCATTTTCTAGCAGGGAATCCAAAGACAGTCTACCTATAAATGTATCTTTTATGCGTATATATAGGAAAATTTCTGTACAGAGATGATTCTCTCGGGGTGAGGTATTTCGTTTGCTACAAAACTCAGAAAGAAACATATCAGTGAATATGCTTTGGACGTGTCTGAAACGATAATACTGTTCTTTCATATAACATCTTTTGGTCTTGAAAAATCAAAGAAGTGTATATACATAAACGTTAAGACAGAATATGAGACAAACTGTTTGATTTTTTTTTTTTTTTTTTAGGAAATTTGGACGTGTCTGAAACGATAATACTGTTTCTTTCATTATACATCTTTTGGTCTTGAAAATCAAAAGAAGCTGTATTATACATAAACGTTCAGACAGATATATTGAGGACAAACTGTTTGATTTTTTTTTTTTTTTTTTTTTAGCAGCGGAGCAGTGTTTTATTTTTTTTTTTTTTTTTTTAGGCAGGACAGTGTTTTAAGAGACGCAGAGCTTAAAAGTGTTTTGATCTTTCAACAAGTGTGCTTTTACTAAAATTAAGGCAGTTTAGCTGTGCCTTTTGAGATGCAGAGCGTAAAAGTATTTTACTCTTTTAATAAGTGTGCCTTTTTATGAGAATTTTTAGAAAATTAAGACAGCTTATCACTTCGATCAATATGTTATTAGTAATTGAATCATGATATTAATAGAGTAGATAGTGATATTAATTAATTGATATTAACTAATTATGTAAGTTAATTGTTTTTTTTTTTTTTTTTTTTTAAAAAAAAAAAACAAAAAACCAAAATTTTTTTTTTTTTTTTTTTTTTAAAAAAAAAAAACCAAAATAAGGGGGTTGGAGATACTTGAACCAGCCAACCAGGCAAGGTCCATCAGACCATCACCCACTTACATCTAAATCAATCAAAATTGTATATCTACTTGATATGATGAGGACCACCGGGTGAGGTGAAATTCTTTATTAATGGTATTAGCGTCCATTCATAATTTCATTCTGAATAAATGGTTTTACTTTTATTATTAGATTAATATATTAATTTCAATTTTTTTATAATTACATATTTTCCAATAATTATGTACTATTCACATTGTATACCCTTTATTTATTTATTTATATTTTTAATTGCACTTTAATTCTATCAACTAAATTCGCACACCAAAGCATAGCTTAATGATAAGTGCATATACAACTTATAATTGTATCTAGGTTTAAAAAAAAGATCAACATTATTTAATACATTGAAAATTTTTGAAAGGAAAAAAGATTATCAAAAGACGGACAAATAATCAATTATTAGATTTATTATTATTAGTTACATGGTTTAAGCAAATGTATAATATTTTCTTTTTCTCTGGATCCAAACAAACAAGAGATAACAAAAAATTCTCATAGCAATTATTAAGCTAAAAGCAAAAGCAACGATACGAGTGTACAAACCTAACACTGTTGAAAGCAGAGTGGCAGATTGGCTCAGTTGAGAAACAAAGTAACTACTAAGGAGACGATTTCAGCTACTCTATAAATGCTAATTGCCATTTCTCAAACTACCAAAACGGCACTGTCACCTCTCACTAATAATACTAACACTTTGATGTACAAAGAATTCAATGCTCATCCACCCTTTTTTTTTTTTTTTAAAAGCCCTTTTTTTTTTTTTTTTTAATAACTATAATAAATATATGCCTTTTCAGGTAGATTCAATTAGCTCTTTCAATTTTCCTAACAACCCCATTTAAACAATACTAATAAGGCCAATATCATCGTTGAAATACAAATCCATTCATATTGATAACTCCCCTTTTTTTTTTTTTTTAATAACTATATATAAATAATATGCCTTTCAGGTAATTAATTAGTCTTCAATTTTCCTAACAAACCCTCATTTAACAAATACTAATAGCAATATCATCGTTGAAATACAAATCCATTATTTATAACTAAAAAAAGCATTTTAAGACTTTGTAATAATTTGGGAAGTACTAAAATTAGTATTTATTTATTTTTCTTAATTAAGAATATTAATTACTCCAATAATAGAGTTTAAAAGATGCTCAATTATATTGTAAAAGTCATAATTATGCATAGTGTCCTTGAAAAATAATGTAGGACCAATTCAAAGATGTCATTATATAGGTTAATAATGCATCTAACTATCTCTCTCTCTCTCTCAATATGTGCCCCAGAAATAATACATGTGAATAGCCAGAATACATGTCTATATATTTGCATACATTTCTTATTCACATCATCATCTTTTATATAACTCAGACATTAGACATAGACCCTTCTTCACGGGCATATTTTAGCAACTTCAATTATTTAAGTTATATATAAAGAGGGGGAGAGAGAGAGAGAGAGAGAGAGAAGGGTCTGTAACTTTGTATATGTATATGGCCTAATGGTGTCAAAGCAAAATGTGGGTTTTGATGATGGGTAGATCTCTTCATTGATGAAGGAGCCTCTGCAGAGAATTTATGTCAGTCACACACTTCTTTTCTAACCCTAAAACCCACCATATCTCTGTCTCTTTCTCTTTTCTCTTTTCCCTATATTATTATCAAACTATAAAGAAAACATTTACTCGTCTCCACTACTACTGCCACCACTACTAATGATGAGTGGTATCAAGAAAGGCAAATTAGAGGGAAAAAGAAATAATTCTTTACTTATGGATTGTTTTGGTGGTAGCAAGAATAGGAGTAGCAAGTGTGAGAAGGATTTCAGAGGGTTGTTAGAGAAAGTGAGGCTTCTTCAAGATGAAATGAAAGCTATAATGTGTGAAAGAGAGAAAGAGAGTAGAGCTTATGAAAGAGATGTTATGGTTTTTGCATTTAAAGAAGCTGAATGGAAACAAGAAAAGAAAAAGCTTAAAGAAGAAGTGAAAAGGTTGAGAAAGATTGTAGAAGAGAAAGAAGAGAAAATTAAAGGAATGGAAGATGGGTTATTATTAGTAGGAGAGAAAGGTGAGAAAAGTCATAATTGGTTACTTTCCGGTAATACTAGTTTTTGGGTTGAGCAAATGAGAGAAGAGAGACTATGGAGAGATGAAGCTGTGGATAAGTGGAAGAAACTGTATCTTGCTATCAAGACTGAGCTTGATGATCTTATTCAGAAAACTCAAGGTGGTGCCTTTTCTCTCTCTCTCTCTCTCTCTCTCCCTCTCTTGCATTTAGTGATACAGATACAGAATCATATACTGAGTAGCCTGTATGTCCATGCACAAGTTCGTATGTGCACTAATTTACCGAAAATTATTGCTAGAGGACATTAGATATGCACTGTAGAATCACTTTATTTCATTTCATATTGTCATATCACAGTCATATATCTCCATGCACAGGTGAATAAATGCGCTAATTAGTAGAAACTTATTACTAGAGGACATTATTAGCTATGCACTGTGGATTCACTTTATCTCATTTCATAGGGATTCTCTCTTTCTTTTCCCATTCTGATTCTTATTGGCAGACTAGCAAAAATGTGGATTTGAAATTATTTTACATTTTATTTTTTGCTGTGTGTAAAAATGGTTGAGATTTTCTTTCGTTTAATTTGACTCCAGTTAGTATTATAACTTGTATTTTTACAGTTCTGGAAAGACGATTCCTAATAAAAATTGTTCAAGTTTTTGATGATATATATGAAAGAGCTTGCAATTTTGTTTTCCTTTCTTTAGGGGATGGACTATACTGGAAAGCTGAGGAAGAAGAGATGATTGAAGAGCTAAAGATGGAAGTGAAGGCAAAAGAGGACACCATTGAAGAGCTGAAAGCAAGATTAGCTTTAGTAGAGCGTGAAGAGTACAAAAGGGCAAGAGAGGTTGATATATTAAGGCAAAGCTTGAGAATTATGAGCAGTAGAAAGACTGTTCCAAGCTTTACCATTAGCAAATCCAAGCTGCGGATTGTTAAACAGGCTAAAAACCATAAAGTTCCAAGTTGCAGTTCTGCCTGGTAGATTGTATGGCTATTAAAGTTGTAGTGCAACAAAAGAAATTGTAATTTTTAATTGCTATAAATTGCTTGTCGGTCAAATTCAATATCTATAGGAAATATTGTCTGGATCAATAAATACGAGTAAGTAGACCTTCAGAGAAAAGACAGCAAAATGTGGGACACCATACCAAGATAAGACTTACAGCATTAGATTCTTCTCTTCTCCATCCCTGACTCAACTTCAGCTAAACTCATCAATTTGTAAGTGTTCCTGAAGGGTCATATTTCATCTCAGATAAATACTTAAATGTTAGTTTCCTAAAATATTAAATGCTTCATAAAATCGTTTTGAGGATATTCCAAGGAATATTCCTTAAAAGGAGAAAGATGAGATATATATATTCTTACTGATCAAAATCAAGTAACAGAGACTGGACTTTTCTTGGCAACACACGTTGTCTGTGCTATAGAAGCGAAGCATAGATAAACAAATTAATCACTATTTAGTGGCTGCTTTCGTAAAAGTGTCTTTTCTTTGCTGTTGAAAATTTGAAATGCTTTATAATTTTCTGTTCAAAGAATAATTTAAGTCTTGAATTCTTTATTTACAACCCCTAAAAAACCTCTTACTAAACACACAGTAGTTTTTGCTCTGAAGAAGAAATTAATAAACGAAATATAATGTCACACAAGACAAGAATTTGAGAAAACATATTCTCACAGCATTTCAGATGGTTTCAGAGCTTATGATCCACCACGAATGAGTGCCAACTGTAGTCAAAACGAAGCACAAGAATTCGAAGCAACACCAGAAAGAAAAAGATAAAGATTATATAGAAACAATAAGACCAAAAAACCAGAATGAGAGAATTAGAAATGTCTATGGAGAATAATTAGGTAACATTGGATACCATACTCTTAAATACCTTGTATAGAATGCTTACTATCTTTGAAAAATCCCAAAAAAAAAATTGCTGTACAAGTACAGGTTTCTGTTTCTTCCTCTATGCATATACAAGTAATCTTTCAATGGGATTCTCTATATGCATGTACAAGTAATCTTTTCATGGGATTCCCACTGGACTTACAGTTTATAGAGCCTGCCTGACAAATGCAAAGAATTATTCTGTATTCTGTAATAAGTTCAGAAAAGTCAGTAGACAAACTTTGGTAGCAATGTTACTATCTCTTTAGCTGACCGATACACTATCTTGTTCATTATTTTCTCGTCTTGCAGCAATCTGATAATTTGATCTCACATTCTGAAGAAAGCCAAAAGAGATTGAATAAATTTCTGACAGTAAATACTAGTCTTAATAATTAAGTAGCTTTTAGAAATGCATACTTCTCACTTTAATCCAAGAACCAATTCTCATGTGCTATGCTCCTCACAAGAACCATTAAGGTAACCAAAGAAAGTGCAGGGAACATAAATATAATTATTTGACTAAATGAGAAGTACCTCTAGCAATGTGATGTAATAGAAATCCTCCATGTGCTGCATCAGTGCAGTACCATCTCTAATGGCACGAAATATATTTATTTCAGTTTGCAATATTTTTTCAATGAGTTCCTTCTCACCTTTCATCTGTATGCATAAAATCAATCTGAGAGACAACTCTAAGGAGAGCATAAAAATGTAGAGAAAGAGTGCCGGCAGCATGGATATTATTAAAGAAATAATACAATTATACCATATTATGATGCATTTAAAAAAGGAAAATTGTTGCAATCATGATTAGAATAGCAATAGATATTGGTACAAATTTGAGGTAGTTTGATCATTCGAGTTATATTAGAATAGCAATCAAAACAAGTATGACTGTGTCTTAGAACATTATATTTATAAAAAAGTCACAAATGATGTGACATAATGCAAACAATGTATAGTGACTCGATGCACCTCACAAACTAAAAATAACTGCTGCTTGCATTTTAGATTTTAGTTCCTAAATAAACAAAACTAGTCATAAATCATAGTAGGATTAGATCAGTTTTTATTTCCTATATTTATTCCCTGGTTTAACCATGTGAAGGGTTATTTATGATATAGATACTGAAAAGAAAAAGGGTACTATTAAGGAACTTACAAATTCATGGACGATAGCATCTGGTGTTGACTCTGCAATCACATCAACTGGATATCCATCTTTTGAGAGCTCCAAATTTTCCTGGAAGATAAATTTTAAAAACCCATAAATAGATGAATTCACAAACTAATTTGAAAATAAAACAACATAAACGGCAATAATATGATTTTTTTACCATCTTTTCCATGTGCCATGCATTGTAACAAGTTTACAGTGATGTGAATAATAGTTAAACAATTAGTGTAACCAACTCCAAAAATTATCAGAAATAGAATTGATTAGTCTTTTCTTTTTTTTTTTTTTTTTTTTTTTTGAATTCACAAAACTAATTTTGAAAATACAATACAACATAAACGCAATTAATATGATTTTATTTACCATCTTTTCCATGTGCCATGCATTCTGTAACAAGTTTACCAGTGATTGAATAATTAGTTAAACAATTAGTGTAACCCAGACTCCAAAAATTATCAGAAAAATAGAATTGATTAGTCTTTCTTTTTCTTTTTTTTTTTCTTTTTTTTTTTTAACAATGACAATATATTTAAAACAAAGTTAAAAAAAAAAAAAAGTTCTTGGGCCATTTTCCATTGCGTCAGAATTCCACCACCGTCACGCTAAGACAACGGAATTAGAAGAAAAAGGCCAAAGATAAGTAAAAAACTAGGAACTGCCAACATCTATATTAATTATGAAGATCAGATCAAAGGGACATGATGGATTGAGTCGCAGTATTCAGAACTGTGCTTGCAAACGACTCTGGACCAAAGGATTACCTGGCAGCAAATGGAATTTTTTTTTTTTTTTTTTTTTTTTTTTAACAAATGACAATATATTTAAAACAAAGTAAAAAAAAAAAAAAAGGTTCTTGGGCAGTTCATTGCAGATCCAACACGTACGCTAAGACAACGGATTAGAAGAAAAGTGCAAGATAAGTAAAACTAGAACTGCAAATCCTATATAATTATGAGATCACGATCAAAGGACATGATGGATGATGCAGTTTCAGAATGTGTTGCAACGACTTGGACAAAGGATTACCTGGCAGCAATGGAAAGCTGCATATAGTTCTGTGCATGCAGTGGCAGTTGATGAATTATTATCAGTGCTGGAGTGATGAGTTTTTTTATTAATTTATTTTTATTTTTTATTTTTTTTGCAGAAATACAATCTAGAATAGTAAAGTGTGATGTTAATGTAATTCAACTTGCTTGTATCTTGTTAGGAACTTTCAGAGTTTACATGTTAATGGAGGTAGGTGACAGGTATGGGCTTTAGATCGAGTGTTTTAGTCAGCTACGTATGACTTAATTAAGATGCAAAGATAAGAAAGAATAGTTAGGAATGGCTGAAATCTACTTTTCTAAACAATATCCAGTAACTACATTGCTATATGCATGTTCCAAAGCAATCAAAGAAAATCACAGCCTAAGATTATAGAACAACATGTATTTGCCGTCTTCGTGAGTGTCTTTGTACTCATTGGAAGTTCATATTTCAAAACCTCGTTTTCTGAGTGTATATGCTGTAAATAAGACATATTTGCCCTACCCTTTCCCAACAAAAATCAAACTAATACATATAAAATCTTTGTAAACAAGCAATAAAGTTAAGTCAATTGGTGCCATTGATATGCATGCAAGAGGACAGCTAAAGCCTAAAGGTACATTCAAAATGAACCTCAAGAATACAACTTGTAAAACATGAAGCAAATAACAGGCGATGTACATTCAGAAAAATAGTTGGCTGCTGAAAAACGACCTACCAAAGCATCTCTTAATTCTCCAGCTGCTAGATAAACAGGCTGAGCCACGTGGCAATAACCCATCAAGCGAGGAACAGTTGGTATGATATCTCTATGGTTCACAACTCTCCAGCTGTCTTTAACTTTCTGCAAATATGAGCATTAAATGTTGCTCTAACACTCCCATCAAAATTTTAGGAGCTCAAGACACTCGACATGTAATATCTTTTACATACAAATAAATGCAGTAAAAGAGTAAAGTCCATGCAAGCAATGTATATTCTGAAGTTTAAAATGCAATTTCTGATGATTTTAAGGACAAAACGAGATTTCTGACATGAGAGTGAATCAATGATTTATGATCCAAAAAACCTTAAATTGCACGCTGACCACCGAGTAAGCTTACTTTGATAAAAAAATTTGTTAGGGAAATTTGGTGCTTGTTTTGAAGATTGCCTTGTACTCTATATTGAGATTTGGATTTGGAAATATGTTTTTTGGCATTTTAATCTTGTCAATTGCAAATGCTGAACACTGTAGGTGATATGTGGAAATGATGGCACATACCATAAAATCAACAAAAACCTTATTTTCGTAGCATCTTTCAACCTCCTATTTATTGAAATTGTTGGCTCCTCAAAACTTATGAATCAATTACTAAAAAATTTTATAAACATAAATTAAAGTAAACAACTCAGACTTAGCAATGTCCACAATACCTTCATAACAAGGCACAATCTCATAGCAGACCGGCATAATAACAAACAAAATTCTAATTTTTATTGTAAATTAAAGAAACCAATTTAATCATTATAAAATTCTCTATTACCTGATTATAAACTTCTGCAAATCTTCTGTTACCAACTCTAGGAGACCCAAAGTTGTACATAGTCAGAGAAATTGCACCACGCCTAATCACACAATGAAATAGAATTAAATATATATTTGCATATCATAGAAAAGTTCCCACTTGCAATGCACTTAACCAGGACCCAGTATGTAAAAGGAGAAGAAACTCACTTTAAGAGCTGACTGGATGAAAGTTCCAAAGCAAGAAGTGTGGCTAATGCACCACCCAAACTATGACCAGTAACATAAACATGCCATTTAACTGGTGGTTCAGCTTCATCATCGCTGTCAACATGATTAAAAGAAAAAGGAAAAGAAAATGTCAATCAACATATTCACATTCGAAGATATAAAAATATATTCAACTCAAGTCTTAATCCCAAAAATTTCAAGCATGTGCCCCGGTTGTTTTATGTCACCCCAGGTAACTTGGAGCAAAATGGTGAGTGAGTGTAGACTAGGAGAAAAGTACAACTAAAAGATGAAAATCCTATGGTAAAACAGAAGCTAAACAATCTACAAAGGAACTGAGGGATTTACTGATCATTTTCTTTGTCCATCATTGAAATTTAGCCCAAGCTCAATTCGAGATAGTTAAACAGGATGAATAATGCAACTTACTTATAACCAATCGCCAGTTTAATGATGGAGATGATCCTTATCCTGACCGAATCATAAGCACTTAGAAAACCACTATGAACCTGAAAAGCTTTGGAAGTATCAACTAAATTGTAAAAGTTAATGCGGTTTCCATGAACACTGCATTTTATGAATATTCTCCAAAATAATAGCCAATCCTGTGGATGCATACCTGGATTTCTTGCTTAAAATCTCCACCAATCCTTTCAGGATTTAGGCTGCAGAACCAGACTAGAAGTTTGCATTAGAAAAGAAGCATGATACAGACAAATCAGTTAACAAAATGTTGAGAAAACTTGGTGCACTAGAATTGCTTCCAAAGGCAAGCTAGAATAACCTCATTAAAAAAGAATTGCTTAGATGATTCATTCATGTTAATCTGACGATGTATACAGTAACCAAACACGATACTTATATTCATTTATTGCCTGCAGAAACATTGTGGAATTACTTCATCTGATATTGCTCAGTTGGATTGGAACACTTCTGCGCTTTTTTTTTTTTTAGTCTCTCTGAATAGCTAGTTTCTTGAAAAGATCGAGTATTTGGAATTTAGCATCATGCTGAGGTTTTTTAAGATCTTACAGTTGAACCACATTCATTTCACATGACTATAAGGAATTTCAATATATAACGAATGAGAGATTCTAAATTCCAAGCACATGGTGCAAATCAACCTCCAACAAAAGCAAAGCATGTTTTTTACAGAATGTAATGATAGCCAATAAATTTGTATATGTTGACAATAAGAACCCTCAAACTACAAAGAAAAAATTAAACAAGAAAACATGAGGTTAGGATAGATATTTGACATTACCCAGCAGGAACTAGCATTAAATCAGTTCGGAAGTCCTTCCATTTTGTCTGGAAAAAGAACAAATAAGCAATTCAGATCAATATCTAATTTCACAATCGCAGTTAGAGAGTGGAAGATATATCATACTTGTTCTGTCCCCCTGAAAGCAACAACTAATCTTTTCCTTGCAGAATCACGCCAGATTGCTACCTGTGACTCTCTACAGATTATTAACGATTGGAACATGATATTGCTGGCGTTATTAAGGATATTATAAGAAAAATAATTTTTTTTGTGATGACATAAAAGCTGACCTGTGTATCTGTGGACGCATTATCTAAAAAGCATATTTTCTCAAATTCAGACTTAATAAAACTTGGATGGCCCAGTGAAGTAGCAAGCATTGCCCAAGCCTCCATTGCACTTTCTGCAGTTGAAAATAGTGCTCTCATCTCCTCAGCTTTCTTCTCATCATATGCAGATAAGTCCAGAGAGCCAATAAACTTCTCACGATCAGAGGAACCCTTTCCCAAAAGCCGTGCTTCTTTGTTTAATTTAGAAACCGTTGATGTCAAAACCATCAATGCTCCTAAGACAGAATCAGTTTGCCTTAGTAAATCCTCTGTTGCTTTCTTTACATCTGGAAGCGAAGACTGAATTGTGCTAATGTCAAATGGGCCACTTGCTTTGTCAATATCGCCATTCTGACCTTGAGGCGTTGCGAGTCCTGACTCAATATAACCTGCTTCAGCAATCTTTTGTGACTGCAAACCAATTTTGTTCAACAAGTCAAATCCATCCCACTTTAATTCCAGAGAAACAGGGTGACCAAGTTTCTGAACAATACTTTGATTGATAACATCAGCAAAATTCTTCCAGAAATGTTTATTTGATTGCATAGTCTCACCAGCTTTTGCCATCAATTCTGCTACATGTCCATTATCTAAGCCATCAGTATCTGTCTGCAACCGCTCTAAATTACTTTCTCCACTGCTACTTGTTTCGTTAAAAGAGGCTTCGGAAAGGTTCTCTATCTGTGAAGTAGTGTCTGCTGCTAAAGAATTGTTGGAATTCCCAGAAACTTCCGAGTCATTGGTGTTTGAAAATTGATCTTTCGTAACGTATGCATCATTGAATGACTTCAATTGACCAAAAGCATATTCTACAAACTGACTTGCTGGCACAGTCTCAGAGCCAACAACCTTTTTCAATGCAGAATCAAAACCATTTCTTCGGAGAAATTCTGTAACAAGGGGGAGCTTCCACCATTTTTTTTCTTCTTCAATTTCACCAAAACTTTTATACTTAACCTGAAAACCTCATCAGTAGCCCAAAAGCATCAATAGTAAAAATATTGAATATACATTGGTTCAGTTGTAAGCCTAAGTATTGCTGGAGTAAAATGTATTAACAAATTTCTCTTTCATCACAAGGGCTTACCTCTAGCTGCAACTTTCCACCACCACCCATCCCTTCCAAATCCAACAGCACGTCGTGCAAGTTCCCTAGCAAAAGACATTAGTTTATAAAACATTAATAAAACGACCAGCAGTCCCTGTATCCAAACTGGATCTGCTTAACAGCAGTAAGCACAATATCAGATCTGCTTAGCTAGTGCAACTGATAATTTAACAGCAATCCTATTGTTTTAGTTTCCCATATTCCACTTGCAGCATAAATAGCAACACGGTACAATGACAAGTATGAAACGGACTCGAGCCACTTATGCACTAGGTCAACATGCATCAACTCAAAGCATCAAAATCAGGTGCGTGTTTCACTGAATCCTCACCATCATAGAAATCCTCCAAACTGATGACTGCATTACCCATACGCTTATGTGGAGTTACAAGATTGGCATCCCAAGCAGCAACCTGAAGGTCATTACTGCATGTCAGAGAACAAGTTGCAATTATAAATACTGCATAATATTTTATTTTGGATACCTGCACTTTATGAAATACCAATACGTGATGTATTAGATCATGAACGCACATATTAATCAATCATTAAAATTGTTATTTGTACCCTACGAGCACTGACAGTAGTAAACTAGAAAATTGGTAAAATGAAGAAGCAAATGCAGATATGTGACTCATGTAACTCATCACTATAACAGAAACTAGAAAGAAAATAAACGTGACATATTGGAAGTTCAAATGTATCCAAGTGGTTGCCACATGAAAAATACTAGACATTCAAAGAGAAAAAGTGTTCACCTGAAGATTTTTTATTGCATGCTGCTTAATATTGAAAGTGAAGTCCTCATTCCAAGTTGGCTCCTTTTTCCTGTCATCATTCAATTATATATCAACAAATTAAGTGCTATTTGTTAATAGTTGCAGGGCAATGTCGCAAGAATTTTCTGGGCTAAATATTGGAATATTATCTCCATTAAAAGTGCTCAATGAATCAATAAAGGTACTTAAATAGTCAATAAAGGCATGACTAATCATAGAGTTTCAGCCCCAGTTTTTTGGAAAAACAAGGAGAAATCTCATATCGGAAAAGGTCAAATTTTAACATAAGGATAAATTTTAGTGGGGTACCGATAGATTCAACTTTAAGCACATATCATTTAGTTTCACATACAAAATAACATACCCCCATTTAACCTTGCTTTTGACAACCTGACCATCCAATTGCATGACCACATAAGGATCACTTGTTCCCTGGAAGTACATCACAAGTTGAACAAACAAGACTACAATAAAAATCAGGGTAAAATGGCTGCCTATTAGTTGTTCCAAATAGATCACAAAGGCAAGGAGAGAAAAAGGGTGCTCTTATTCTGAGCGCCTAAAATTCACCAAACCATATAGGTGTGCTAGTGTTTGTGCGTGTGTGCACATGCTAAAAGCCACAGTTCCAAATGCAGAAAAGGGTAATAGATAACACACCCAGGGATCCATTGCAGGCAAATCAATCCCCTTTTTTAGTTTTATAAACAATTGGCCATCATATATCTCACGTACAAATGTCCTGCAAACATATAAAACAGACTTCTTTTAAATGGTAAGCAATGTAACTTAATTCCGAGTTTGATATTAGCATGTGTTCCAAAGAAAGTTAAACTAATGTGACCAGGAATTGATTGCTGCGATGAGAAGTACAGTTAGTCATGTCGATGCATTTAGTCTAAGAAAGCAACGAGAACAACTAATATTTAAGCCTTAACTGTTAAAATCAGAATGATCACATACTCTGAGAGGTACACAGTCTTACAACCAGCAGCATCAACCTCACGCCTACCAATCTTTTCCTGATCAAATAAATCCAGCATAACAAAAATATCAAAATTCTACTGATTTTAACACTTTAATATCAAAGACTTGGCGTTTCCAGTTCAAATTACAAACTTATCTATTTCCTCAGACTTCTAATTTCTGAATGCTACCCTAAACCAAACAACTAACATAGCAAATAAAGATTCCATAACTAAACTGATGAACTAAGCGTTCAATTTTTCAGCTTGTCTCCAACTTGAAGATAATCAAAGTATAAAGCTAGGAGAAAGAATAAGTTACAGGAGGACTTGTATATGCTTCAAATGCGAAACCAGCTAGAATGACAGCGAGATTTATATCAAAAGGAGGCCTTTCGTTCTCTTCCTCAACGGAAACATTCTCAGTTGCAGTAACATTCGCTTTACAAAAGCAACTATTCGAGTAAATTCCATCTCTATTTCGACGACCATCCCGCAAAGTAAAAACCATAACTTTTCGAGAAATTGAAGCCGGAAACCGCCGATAAAAGGTCAAATTCCGATTTCTAACCGAAGGGGGACTGAGACGGCAATAAAATTGAGGATTCGCTTGCAGAGAAGCCATGGGTAAGTGATAACGGAAAAGAATAGTTTGAAGCTATGTGCAGTGAAGATGAATGAATGATAGACTGATAGTGGAAGATGATAGTTTGAAGTTCAATTTTATTTTTTAATTATTTTTTTGTCTGGGTGTGGTTTTAGCGCGAAGAACGTGCACGCAATTGGAGAAGGAGAAAGCAAGAACCTTTGAGAAATCTGTGGAGGCGACAAATTGGGTAAACGGTCGGTAATGTGGCATTGCCTTGACTGTTCAGGAAACCCAAAATTAAAAATAAAAAATAAAAAAAGCGGTTGATGGTCGTTGATAGTTTTTGATACTAATTTTTTTATTTTAGCTCTCATTTCAATCTGAATTTATTATTAGATTGAATTTCTAAATAGTTTCAAACTAGTATAAAAATTAAATTAATAAGATATATTTTTATTACATATTTTATTATATATTTTTAAGGATGAAAATTCCTAATCGTAGTGATTTTTTGGATCAATAATATAGTCATATTATTACTCATTCAGAAAAATAAATAAATAAGTTCTTAATTGTTTTAATTCACATGTCTTATAAATCTATAAATGTTCCATATAGTAGATGTGAATATAATTTAATACTTGAAGAACATTTAAAATTTCATTTTTATTATTAATTAAAAAAAGAATGGGAATACTTTTGTATTTACAATTTGATTTTTAGTTATAATTGGAGAAATTATTATTATGAAAGGTCGAAATTAGGATAAAATTAATAAAACAAATTAAAATAGAGTGAAATTGCAAATATTTATAAATTTCCGTGTATTGTGATATATTGGCCCATTATAAATATGCAGAAGTTATCATGGTCTAACTATGGAGTAGCAATTTGTCATGGTGGGTAGATATCACATGGAACGTCATCTTAAAGGCTAAAAATGGTTAAAGCCATTGAATCAAATGAAGAAGAAAACAAAATTGAGACTTAAACCCATCCTTGATCAATCAGAAGAACATCAGCTGACAATTCAATATACATGGAGGGTTGCATTTTATCACATGCTCCCCGTGCTTCAAATTAACAGATAATATAATAATATTCAACTTGTCAACTCAATTAATACAATAATTTATAGTAATAACATATATCAGAAATTCAAATCCAGACAACTTGCATCTCCACACGTGACTTACTTTCCTTCTTTTGTTTTATGCAAGACCTGAGGATCTGCAGTGAAACTATGACTTGACATTTGAATTAGAAATAGAGATGATTTTTTTTATTAACAGCAACCTGTTGATGATTTTTGTTTTTTGGAAAAAAATAAAATGTTCTTTGTATTTTAACAACTTAAATATCCAGAATCCCTTATTATAGTACAACATAGCACATTGATATATATCCCAAGTGCTACCCTTTTTTTTTTGGGGTGCTCAGCTGGGGAACATTTCTATAGCTACAACATAAAAAAGGCAGCTATAACAAAGCAAACCCAACTAAATTCTTTAATGCATTAGAGCCACGGCAGCTTCTTGAACTAGAGGCCGACTTAAGTGAACAAAATGCTCAGCCTCTCGCTCAACCTGTTCGCGACACTGTTTAGCATTCTTCCCTTCCTTCATCTTCTTCACAAATGCGACAAACCTTCTCCAGTTATCTTCTTGGAATAAATGAGGATTCATTCTCAAGTATGTGAAAGCGCACATCTCTCTATCATCAGAATTCTCATCAATACTTAACGATGATGCCCTCAAGATTTGCTCGTGTGCATAATCATCATATCTTGGCAAGGCATTTTCACCTGCAAGTGGAACCTGTGCTTCCTGAGTTGCTAAAGCCACTTGCCTAACAAGCTTCTCAGGTGCACAAAGGGCATCTTGTGGTTGCTCGTGATCGCGCATTTCGATACATGTGAAATTGAATACTGCACCATGTCGTGCTAGCATTTGTGCAATAGGAAGGTAACCATCGCGGAATCTTGTGTTATAATACCCAGCCGTAAGCTCTGGGGCATGAGAGCGTGTTCCGTAGTGCCAGTGAATTCCTGCAACCTTTACTGAAATCTTTACGCCAGTATTCTCAAAGATTGCCTTGGATGATGATAGTATTCTCTCACCATGGTCTATGAGCATTTGAGAGTACCAGTTAAGGAAGAATTCACCATAAGGACTAGTCCAACCACCATTTTCTTTGCGGAAGAACTGAGTATCTTCTGGCCAGTTGTTGTAGTGACCAGCATCAGTAGGGCCTGTGCTACCCCATTCTGGCTTACCAGCAGCTTCAGCTGCAGCTTTCAGGCTGCTAAGCATATACTGCAACATTTTACACATATTAAGTTGGAATCAGAAAATTGCGATCAAACTGCAGAATTTTTTATTTTGAAAGGTGAAAAAATTGTAAATACCTTGTCATAACATTGAAAGGCACCAATTCCTGGAAATTTCCATGTCCCATTTTGCTCTGGATACGAAGGATAGCGAAGTTCACCTGCTGGACCCATTCCCACTTGAATTTCCTAAATTGAAAAAGTTTCAAATAGTTAACTAGAGATCAACTAATCTTCTTCAATCCAAAACGCATGCATAATCTAAAAGGCTTAATTATATAAACAGACTAATAAGTAATTACCACAATAGTATCTCCAAGAAGGTGTTTGAAGTTGTCCCTGAAAGCCCGCATAAAGTCGGAGTAACATTGCACTGGCGTCCTCCCTTTGAGGACTGGAAGGGTATCACAGCCAAGAGATAAATACTCATGATTCCTTCTTCCCCACTGATCCGTGTATGCAAGGTCTGGGTCTTTGTTAATCTCCTCCACAACCCACTGGGGCAATGGGATACTGCATCCAACAAACCAACCATTACTCACATAGAAAACAATCACCAATAGAACACAAACTTGGAAAAAAAAAAGAAAAAAAAAGCAATAAGCTTCCATTTAAGTGCGACAAAGCACTTAAATCAAATAAAATTTGAGAAATAATTCGAATCTCTGTGATAAAAAAACGACTTTTTGACATGTTTCTTGCGATCAACTAGTGGTCCACTTGCCATAGCTAGCTATGATTTGTCCGTAGACACAAAGGTCAGTTTCAAATGTGCAAGCAATGCCTAGCGGCTTGCGTGGCATCCTTTTCCAATCCGAGGAAACAAACAACCAAAAACCAAGTAAATTCAATACTCACTAATGAACTCTTGGAAAAAGATTGAACACGCAAGTTCCACTCTCTTGTATTATACGCTTGCAAGTGGGATTGCTATCCTAACGTGTGAACAAACATGAGCGCGTGTACTCCACGCCCATAACAGTGACGTGATAAGATAGCGAATTCGTTTCAAAATCCCAAAAGTGAACAGAAGATCAGAGATGAAAGGCCCACAAAAAACAGAGAAAAACGGTTTTCGAAAAACTGAAATTAAAATTACTTACGTGCAAGAGTCGCCGACGTTGCCTCCGCACTGGTGAAACGACATCACTGCCTGAACTTTAAGTCCATGTCGTTTCGCCATTTCGAAAAGCTCAGCATACCCTCCCCAGTTATATGATCCGGGCGCTTCTCTCTCTACCAATCCCCACCATACGTCCATCATCACTCCCTCAACTCCGGCGCTCTTCAACGCCTGCAAACTGGCGTTCATAGCCTTTCTCCGGTTAACAGTGTTGCCCATAGTAACGCTATCCAACGGCATCATGACAAACACCGGCACTCCCTTACCTTTCTCCTTGCCAGAACCTCCTCTATACATCCTCTCTTCTAGTCCTTCAATTGCTGTCTCTAATGCCGAAGTCTCCGTCACAAATGCGCGGCAAGCCACCGAAAGATCTGCCCGAATTCCGCTTAGTATAGGAGACCTGCACGGGCTCGTCGGCTGCGATTTCTGCTCTACTGCGTCTGGCTTTTGAATTTTGCACATAAGAGTTGTCGTCGGCGATTTCCACACCGCAGCAGCGCTGACCGTCGCCGTAGATTCACTTGTGGTAGTAGTGATTGGTTCTATCGAGATTGGAGTTCCGGCGAGAGCTCCGATCTGATGAGTAATATTCATAGCCATACTACACAGATTTTTCCTTCCTTTTTCTAGAGAAAGAGAGAGAAATGCGAAAGATAGATTTAGCTTTTTTTAGTCTTTCTTTCGAAAATAGAAATATGTTTTATCAGTTTATCGAATTGTGAGCTTCAGAACTTAGAAAGTGGTGGTTGATGTTGGAGCGTGGGGATATATCGTATTTATAGAGATTGAGAGGATAACATTAAAATAATTTTAAGCTTAACCACCCATTTATTGACACGCGTCCAACATGCTACGTGGCAGCAGCAGATGCGAGTTAAAAGGCAACGGCTACGATCGCTCCATTGCACGTGAGGATGGACGGTGGGATACGAATATGCGTGAAGGTTCCAACGCGCTTTTTACGGAGTTAAAAAGAAAATTAAAAAGAAAACTAATATGGAGTGGCGGAGGGAACGGGTGGAGACACGTGCGAGACAGAGACGGGTCACATACTCACATGTCCAGCCCTTTTGCCTGAACTCTTAAGATATGGAATCAGTTGGTTTCGTCTTTTGTCAGTTAATTTTTTTTATAACGCTACGTTGACGTCCACGAAAAAAAAATTTTGGGCAGCTGATGACACGTGGCTGGCGGTGGAGAAAGGAGGTGGGAAATGAAGGGTCCATGATATGTCAGTTCTTGACACGTATGGGCCTAATTTTAGGCATTTGTGGCAGTGGCATGATCTTGGAAAGGAGGATGGTGTCTCTAGGCATAGCCGGTTCCAGTATTACGGAACCACGGTTCAAAATTTTAAAATATTAAATCTGTAAATCTAGTTTTAATTCAGGACAATTTTAGTATTTTCGATCATAATTTTCAGCAATATATATATATATATATATTAAAAATCTATCGTTTCATTTTTTTTTTTAAATCTTTCGAAAATATTAATACGAGTATAAAAAATATTGATAAATTTTATTTTAAATAAATTTTAGAATACTCATACTTATATAGGAATAAAATTAATTAATTTTATAAAATAATTAAATAAGTTAAATATTATTAAACTTATTAATTAAATGTAAATAAATGCTATTAATTAAATAAATTATAAAAAATTTTGAAAAATACTTCAAAAGAATGTAATTTTAAACTTAGTAAACAATTTAAAAAGGTAAAAAAAAGAGAGTTAAAAACGATATAAGTTTAGATTAAATATTTCTCTCTTTTTTTTACCATTTTACTTTTTAAATTTTTAACTTTTAAAGCAAAATGTATTTAAAAAAATATATCTTAAGTAAAGTATATCATGTAGCAAAATATTATTGAAACTTTTAGAAATGTACAAAATATGCTAAGTAATTATTATTTTGAAAATAAAAATAGAAAATTTATGGTTCAAAACGAACCAAAATTGCCTGTTAACAGCTGGTTCATGGTCGGTTCAAGTTCAGATTTTAACATTTATATGAGCTTTAATGGGCCATTGAACCGCCAATTTCGGTTTAAATTTTTGAACCGACGATTCAATTCGATTCCGATTCATCTATAGTATAATTCAACTCCGATTCAAGTTTAGTTTGATTCAAAATGAATCTGTGTATCCACGAGTGGGTGTCTCGATGGTTCCTAGATTGTGGATTAGTGGTTCTGATTTTTTAACTAGTGGGCACAACTTAATCAGGTTTTGATTTGAAGGAACGAGATAGTATGTTCTAATCAAGTATATCCAGGTGTCATCTATATTTTGACACGCAAGAAATGGAGGAGCTCGGGTTGCTGCTAAATGCAAAAGAAACCTGCTTGCTCCGCCACAAAATTGGATCAATGTCCTTTTTGGAATAATTATCTTTCAAGTATCAAAATTTTTTAAAATTTTCTAATTAGTCCTTGATTGGAATAAATGAATTTTATAAATTTATTTATAAATCTAAATTTTTGTGTTTGGTATTAAAGATAAATAAAGATTTAAATTATATGAATCCAATTCTATTTATTTAAGTATAACTAAATCAAATTTTATAAAAAATATTGAATTTTCAAATGAATTCTGTAAATTTAAACGACCAAAACTTTATTAAAAGCTATCCGCTCTTTTAATTTTCTAAAATTATTATGTGAAGAATATTTTTAAAAATAAAATCAAATAAATTTTAAAATTTTAAATTTATTTTACATATAATAAATTTATTTATAAATAAATTTTATTTAAAATTGAGCAACTTAATATTACCCACATTGAATAATAAGGTTATTATACATTTGTATCGTCTTTGTTTTGTAAAGCAAAGATGCGTTTGGACTTCTATTTGCAACTAGAAATTTGTTAATTTCTTCTTTTCCGGCTTTTGAATTTTGATTATTTTCGTATTTTGTTTTCTTTCTTGCCAATTTTCTTTTATACATGTTCAAATGTTTGAATATTTTGAACTGATGCATTGACATTTGAAAATATATATTGTATGACGTGGACCTGGGATGCAATAGAAAAAAGAGTTGGGGCCAAAAGAGGGTTTTCATTTTTTATTTTCATATGCAACTCACGTGCATAGTTGAGGATTTGACAAAAAAATAATTTTATTTCGACTTAAATCAACATTTCCGCGAGTCAAATTAGTGTGTTAAACAATTGCAATGTTTTAAATAATTTCGTCCTTTCTTAGGCCTCTTAACGAATATGCTACGGTACGACCACTGAATCGAGACGACAACTCCATATTTCTTTCAAGGAATGTGGGCCTGGGTGTTTATGCCCAAAGAAGAAAGTTTAGTCATAGGTTTGGCCCAGCCTAATTAAAGTTCATTGCTTTGGACTTAGGTGAGTTAGGTTCAGAAATGTGATTCCACAGAGACTGCATTCCCCGATAATTTTCATCGTAATTTTTAGTATTTTGATTAAATCGAACTATTATTATTATTTTTTAATATTCGGTTGGTAGCATATGTACGATGAAACGTCAGTTAAACAGCTGATAACTACTTTCGGAAGCATGAGGTGCAAATTGTCATAGTTTTCAAAGATAATAATAGGACATATAAAAGATAAGGTCATGTACACTGAATATCATTTTCGGTCTAAGTATAATAATTCTTGTTTTTGAACTAAAAAAAAAAAGGTCACGTGCATGTAGCTACTTTTTTTGAAGTAGAATCCAGAGTTCCAACACTGTACGTAGTCGTTTTCTCTATCTGGTTCTAATTAAGTAATTTCATGCAAAAATCTAAATAGCCATTAATTAATAATAATCAATTTCTAATCTGCAGGAAAGATTATTCTGCAGAAGTAATGATTTATTTTTAATTATGCATTTTGATTGGATGGTCAAGTTTCCACATTAAATTAGTAACTATTAATTAATTCTTTGTTGTTACGTATATAATAACAGCCAACCAGGTAACAAAAATATGCTTCAATCTGACTTATCTTTTTCCACTCACAAAATGCATTATCATATCATTGTTCTCTCCTCAATCACTTTTTTGCTTTCTTTTTCCCATTTTTCTGCTCCTTTTAATACTAGAGATGGAGAAGTAGCTGCAGAAGCACTTCTCAAATGGAATAACAGCCTTCAAGATGACCCAACTCATTCTCTTCTCTCATCTTGATAATTCAACCAAACCTCAATCAAACCTTCTAACTCTTCTTTTGTTGGTTTAGAAGAGCAGAAAATTAAGGAAGAGAAGGAAATTCTGTAGAAAATGAAAAAAGCTGCAGATTTTGTAAGTGTGAAGAAACAAACCTCAATCAAATCCCTTCTAACCTTCTTTTGTTGGTTTAGAAGAAGCAGAAAATTAGGAAGAGAAGGAAAATTTGTAGAAAATGAAAAAGCTGGCAGATTTTGTAAAGTGTGAAGAAACAAATATTTCACTTTTTATTGATTCCATTACAAGCTAATGTAAACAGTTTATAGTAGAAGCCATGTTCTAAAAGTTTGTTCCACAGCACCTCCATAAGTAAGGAAGGTTGTTCACCAAACCTACTTAAGCAAGGTAGTTCAAATACCTCTTGACTTCAACAAAATACAACACTATGACTTTAACAAAATTTCTCCAAGAACTGTCATACTAACACTTGCATCAATTTTACTATCAATGGAGCTGTAACTGTAACTTTAACACTCCTGCCTTGTATGCAAGAGTTTAGACAAACATCAAGTCTGATTCCCTAAGAAATTCAATCTTGTTTTGTTTGGGCAATGCCTTGGTGGTGAATAATATCTGCCTGCTTGGTCTTCCCGAACTGCAATGAACAATCTGAATTTTAATTTTCCTTTTCAAGCTTCATCAATTGCAGTGGTACTGTGATTTTTGTATGCTTGGTTTTTCTATGGAAGATTGGATTCTTAACCTATAGTGATCAGCTGATTTGTTGTCCACAAAAGTATTTTAAAGTTGGGATTTGTCTTGCTGAAAATTCATCATAATCATCTTCAACTCCTCCATGGCAGCTCTCCACTCAGGCAATTTTAAGGCTTCATCCACCTGAGTTGGTTCAAGTGAGACATCATTACATCTGCTGTAAATTTCATCTAGGGATCTAGTCCCTCTAATTGCATAATCATCTTCATTATCAACTGGAAGTTTTTGCTCTTGCTGAAAATGATCTTGTTCAAGAACTGATTTAGAATTTTCTGGTTCCATTTTACTCCAATCCCATTCACCTTTTTCATCGAATTTGACACTCTTGCTGACATACACTTGTTTAGTAATAGGATTCAAAATTCTGTAGGCTTTGGATTCATTGTTGTTTTCAACTACAGATGGCAAATCAGCAACTAACTTCTTGGATTGTTGGATTGCAGCAATTTTAATGAATTGAGATTGGTGTAACCAAGTCTCTTATGCCACAAATCAGATTCTTCTTTATGACTCGAGCAAGATTCTTCTTGATTCTTTCTTCGATCTTCTTTAAGTTAGAGGGAAAGCTTCTTCGTTTCATTTTGACAGCTAAAATAGACTTGAGGCCAAAAGGATTCACTTTATTTTCATTAAAGTTTTTATTCTTTAAAATAGCAACTATAATTCTTATCTGCACGCAATTGAACCAAGCCGAAGAAACCTAAGCTTTGATTTAGTTCCGGTACGTAAAGAACATGCGGAAAGACAAGCTTTGTAACCTGAAGGATTTGGGTTACAATCAATCTCCTTTGCCTTTGACATCAACAAGCCTACCACCTCCAAGTCTGACTTTGAAGAATAGTTTGTATCCAAGCTATCGAAATTCACCAAGTTTGGTGTCATGTGGTTAGTGCAGCCACTATCAACAAGTCATGCTTCTTTAGCTTCAATTGAGACACCACATTTTTCAATTTCATTTGCAGAAAATAGTTGTTCTTCATACTTTTCAAAATTTTTGGTGACTTGTGCATGATGGGCTTGTGTTTGTTAATTCTGGTTTGTAGAACAAACTTTCTCGGTGTGACCAAACTGCTTACAAAACTTACATTGAGCTCCAGGTCTGAACCAGCAGTAGTTCTCAGTGTCTCAGTGTGGTTTGTTTTTTTTTACAATGTGGACAAGGTGGAAATCTGTCTTTCCTCCAATTTTTTCTGAAATTCTTGTTCATTTTTGGTTGTTGAGTCACTACAAGTGCCTTCTCTCCAATGGTTTCTTCTTCCCTATAGGCTTTTCTTTATTCTACAGCTTGTAAAGCATTTGAAAGCACATTCAATGATATTTGTGACATGTCCCAAGTATCTTCAAGAGAAGAAATCTTGGCTTCAAATTTTTCAGGGAGAGTCAGCATAACTTTCTCCACAATTCTCTTCTCTTCTAACTCTTCTCCCAACAATCGAATTTGGTTTACAATTTTCATAACTCTATCAATGTAATCTTTCACCTTTTCATTACTCTAGACAACCATAATCTTTCACCTTTTTTGTCCTTCATTTTCAACATTTCAAATTCTTTTCTTAAATTAAATATCTGCATCTGTCTAGTTTTTTCAGATCCATGATACTCAATTTTTAACTTCTCTCAAGCTTCATGTTTTGTCTCACATGTCATAATCTTGGTGAAGATAGGATCTGCAACAGCTGCATGGATATAGGATAGAGCTTTTGGAGCCTTAGCAACCTCTTCTTCTCGTTGTCTAATCTGCTGAAGGGTTGGATTTTGATTAAGAGGTGGAGGTACTCTGTTTTCCTCCACATACTGCCATAATCCAAGCCCCTTAAAATAAGCTCTCATCTTCACTTTCAAATCTTCAAACAGCCCAAACATGGACAGACCAAACATGATAGTTTTTCCCATTAAAATGAGGTGGTGAAAGAGACATGCTGCTGGAAGCCATTTGAGGAAAAGCAAATAAACAGAAAAACTTCATAAATTCTGGTTTATTTGGTGGCTTTCTCTATGATTTTCACTCAAACACACACACAGCCCTTTCAGATCAAGGAAGCTTTGATACCACTTGTTAGTTTAGAAGAGCAGAAAATTAATGAAGAGAAGGAAAATTCTACAGAGAATGAAAAATCTGCAGATTTTGTAAGTGTGGAGAAACAAATATTCACATCTCATTGATTCCATTACAGCATAATGTAAATATTTATAGTAGAGCCATTCTAAAGTTTGTTCACCAACCTTCCATAAGTCAAGGAAGGTTGTTCACCAAACCTACCTAAAAGCAAGGTAGTTTAACTATTTCTTGACTTCAACAAAGTACAACAACAAAAACAGACAAAATCTAAATGAACTTAACAAAATTTCTCCAAAAAACTGTAACAACACTTGCATCACATTTTACTTCAATGGAGCTGTAACTGTAACTTTAAAACATCTTTAAACAGTCACTGTAGCTGGGCAGAATCTTGTGTCTGAGTTGGGATATGTATCAACTCGTATTCGATGTTAGCAGGTACTAACTTGAGAGGTAACACTCATACAACAAAATCTAAATGACTTTAACAAAATTTCTCCAAAAACTGTCAACAACACTTGCATCAATTTTACTTCAATGGAGCTGTAACTGTAACTTTAACATCTTTAAACAGTCACTGTAGCTGGGCAGGAATTTCTTGTTCTGAGTTGGGAATTATCACTCGTATCGATGTTAGCAGTACTAACTTGAGAGGTACACTCTATAATCTTGATTTTTCTCGCTTTGATAGCCTTCTTGAGCTTGATTACCATAATAACTCACTTTATGAGACTATTCCATATCACATCAGTAACCTTCCAAACCTCACAGGCCTTGATTTCAGTTACAATAAACTATCAGGACGCATTCCGTCGAAGAAAGGTCTCGTTTCGGGTCTTCAAGAACTTCACTTGCAAGAAAATGAGATAACAGGTTCTATACCTCAGGAAATAGGAAACCTGTCAAAACTGATCTATCTTGACCTAAGTCATAATTTTCTGTCAGGAAACATTCCATCTGAGATGGGCTCTATTTCGAGGCTTGCAAAAATTTATCTGAATAATAATGAGATAAATGGGTCTATACATCAGGAAATAGGAATGTTGAGATCTCTTGAAATGCTGATTAGTGGTGTGAATTCCTTGTCAGTTTCAATTCCTTCATCTCTCGCAAATATGAGTAAACTTTCATATATATGGCTTAATGATAACAAACTTACAGGATCCATCCCTCAGGAAGTAGGAATGCTTAAATCACTTACTGACCTTTCTTTGCAACTCAACTTTCTAACAGGTCCTATACCTGCCTCTATTGGAAACTTGAGCAATTTGAATATCATAAATATATTTGAAAATCAACTTTCAGGAACTATTCCTCAGGAAATTGGAAATCTGAAATCCCTTTCTTACCGAAGTTTTTCCTATAACAAACTCACTGGACAAATCAGTCCGAAACTGAACAGTTTTAACTTCATTAATTTCATTGCAATTGACAGATAACATGTTTTCCAGCTTCCTTCCTCCAAATATGTGCCTTGCTGGAAAACTTAAAACACTTAAGCGCTCATCACAACAATTTCACATGTCAATACCCAAGAGCTTGAAGAACTGCACTACCTTAGTTAGGATTCGACTTCAAGAGAACCAACTTACAGGAAACATATCCGAAGATTTAGGCTTATATCCAAACTTGTACTACATGACCTGAGTTACAATAAATTTTATGGGGAAATATCAAAAAAATGGGGCAAGTTACAAAATTTAACAAGATTGATAATTTCCAACAACCAAATTTCTGGTAGCATACCAACTGAGATTGCCAAAACCACTCGATAGCAGGAGCTTGACCTTTCCTCCAATGAACTAGCAGGAGAGATCCCAAAAGAACTAGGCAAGATGCCATTATGGGTTCTTGAGTTGAATAACAACAAGCTCTCAAGCAATATTCCTATTGAGCTTGGAACGTTGTTTAATCTAGAGCAGCTAAACCTCGCAGCAAACCGCCTACATGGATCTATTCCTGAAGAACTAAAACATTGTTCAAGGCTGATTTTCTTGAATTTGAGCTGCAATACACTTAGCAACAACATTCCTTTTCAGATTGGCAATTGACGCACTCTTCAAAATCTCAAGTCACAGTATGCTTTCAGGAGAATTACCGTACGAGCTCGGGTCTCTGCTTGGTTTAGAAATGTTAAACATCTCGCACAATGGGCTTTCTTGCGCAATCCCGACAACATTTATACAAATGGTTAGCTTGACAACTGTTGATTTGTCCCAAAATCTATTGGAGGGTCCTCTCCCAAATATTCAAGCTTTCGCCAATGCATCAATAGAAATGCAAAAGAATAACAAAGGTTTATGTGGTAACAATGCTGCCTTAGATCCATTTCGCTCAACATCTAAAGGGAAGCACGGCAAGAGAAGAGTATTACTAATCGTTGCATCTATTTTTAGCACTGTATTTCAATGTCTGCCGTACTTCGCAAGATATATGTTCCTTGCAGAAAACACATGAATAGAGATGAACCAGTAGCAGCAGTTAGTGAACTTTGCATGATGATATTGGCCTATGCAGATGGGAAGATGGCGCATCAAAGCATCATTGATGCAACTGAGGAATTCAATTCCAGATATTGCATTGGAACCGGAGGAAGTGCAAATGTTTATAAAGCTGAGCATCCAACAGGTCAAGTTGTTGCTGTCAAGAAACTTCACCAATCAGAAGAAGGTGGAATGGTCAATCTCAAAGCTTTTGAAAATGAGATTAATGCGTTGGCTCAACTGCGACACCGAAATATTGTTAGATTCTATGGTTATTGTTTGCACCCCAGACACTCATTTTTGGTGTATGAGTTCGTGGAAGGAGGGAGTTTGGCAAAGGTGCTAAGAAATGAGTCAACAACAGCGGAGTTAGATTGGATTACCAGGGTGAACGTTATTAAGGGAGTAGCAAATGCTTTATATTATATGCACCACGAATGCTTTCTTTCGATAATACATCGAAATATATCAAGCAATAATATTTTGTTGGGTTCAGGCCATATAGTACGTGTTTCTGACTTTCGCACGGCCAGAATCGTGAAGCCTAGCTCATCCAACTGGACCTTATTTGTAGGCACATTCGGGTACTCAGCTCCAGGTATGCATAAAGTTATTCTGTTCGTTCATTTTTGTACTATAAATTCTAAGTCAGTTTCTATTTAATTTTGTTTGTAGAGCTTGCCTATACGATGGAAGCAAACGAGAAATGTGATGTCTACAGTTTTGGAGTTGTAACATTGGAAGTGATCATGGGAAGGCATCCAGGGGATCTTATCTCGTCTATATCAGCTTCATCATCTGACCTTCAAAATTCTATTCAAGGATGTGTTGGACCAACGCCTTCCTCTTCCTACAAACGAAGTAGCAGAGGAATTAGTCAGTATTGCAAGGCTGGCATTTCCTTGCCTTGATGCTACTCCAGAATCGCGGCCGACAATGCAACGAGTTTCTCTGAAGTTGTCGAACGGAAAGCACAGTCAACCAAGGACATTTGACAGAGTAGAGTTAGCAGAACTTCTTTGATTTTGCTTCTTTGTTTGGTTTCCTTCAATTACTTATCTCCAGCTTTCACAACCAACAAATAAAAACTTCAATGGCTCAATTTCTTTATGTCATATATCATATATCTTCGCTTGAGCTTTTTGAAAATCATTGTCATGAAGTAAAATAATTAAAATATGATCCACATTAATATTTAAGATAAAAACTCGCATGTTCTGCTCCTGTTAAAATATTAATTACGGGTAATTAAATATTAATTACTACCAATCAACCTCACATGTGGATTAGAATATTGTACTACTTTAGATGTGAGATTTGGTTCTTTACTGTGCGTGTCATCTCCTTCATCATCCCATGCTTGACAATTCATAGAGGATAAAGGTTTCTTTAGAGGTGGGCTTTAAGTAAAGCAATATACTTTGGAGTAGAAATAATTACTTTATACTTACTACATAGGAAGAAAGTTTAGTTGCTGGCTTTAATAATTTAACTTATATATTCTTTTTGTCGTTCTTATTTGTTGTCTATATTGTGGGCTATACAGTAGAAATAATTCTCTCCTTTGATTAATATTTATTAAGTTTATAATAATTTTATGGTGGAGAAATTCGAACTCGAGACCTCTCACTCTCCAAATTAGAGTCTATTTAATTCCACCTATCCTGAAAAATTCATAATAGGATAAATATTTCTTTCGTAATATATTTTGTCGAATTCCTTAATTCTTAAGGCCACCGTTACCAAAAGAAATTGCCTGACTAATTTGCTATGGAATATTAAATTTTATTTATTTGATTTATAAAAGGACATGAACTAGATATATATAAGTTTTTTCTGGTGTATTAATATTTTATTGTTTGCCGACAGATATAACATCTGTATGTGATTACGCAGTTTATATTAATTAACTTAACATTACTGGAATATTCCGGAATATTTTTTAGAGGCATTCACATGTTAATCTGAGTATGTAATTTTTTTTAATGATGAGTTGGTATCACAAGCTCATTTCCTTACACTGTATCAAGACTCCAGTCCAATTAAAGATAGACCATTTTGTCACCAGGAGATTTGTAAATAAAGAAAAGTCTTTATTTATATGAATGTCACTTTGAATGCAACAATCTTAATTTTCACAAATTAATAATAACCCAAGTCCCAATCAACATACCATAAAAGAAATAATTTTTCTGCAAAAGTTGAATTATGCATTTTGATTCTATGGTCCAGTTTTCACATTAATTGCTCTTGGTTCTTTGTTGTTACATATAACCCCAACCAGGTAAGTGTTATGCTTCATTGATTTAGCTGTTCCTTCTCAAAGATGAATTATCATGTTATTGTTCTTTCCTCGATCACTCTTCTGCTTTCTTTCACCCGTTCTTCTGCTTCTTCTAATACTAGAGATCATGAACAAGCAGAAGCACTTCTCAGATGGAAAAACAGCCTTCAAGATGACCCAACTCATTCTCTTCTCTCATCTTGGATTCTTGATAATTCAACCAAACCTTCTAATTCTTCTGTAAACAGTCACTGTAGCTGGGCGGGAATTTCTTGTACTGAGTCAGGAAGTATCTCACGTATCGATGTTAGCAGTAGTAATTTGAGAGGTACACTCTATAATCTTGAGTTTTCTTGCTTTTCTAGCCTTCTCGAGCTTGATCTTCATAACAACTCACTTTATGGAACTATTCCATCTCAAATTAGTAATCTTTCGAAACTCACAAGCCTTGATTTGAGTTACAATAACCTGTCGGGATCCATTCCATCTAAGATAGGGCTCGTTTGGGGTCTTCAAGAACTTCACTTGCAAGAAAATGAGTTAACAGGTACTATACCTCAGGGAATAGGAAACCTGTCACAACTGATCTATCTTGACCTAAGTCATAATTTTCTCTCAGGAAACGTTCCATCTGAGATAGGCTTTATGTCGACGCTTGAAGAAATTTATCTGAATAAAAATGAGATAAATGGGTCCATACCTCAGCAAATGGGAATGTTAAAATCTCTTAAAGTGCTGATTAGTGGTGAGAATTCCCTGTCAGGTTCAATTCCTTCATCTCTTGCAAATCTGAGTACACTTTCATATATATGGCTTAATGATAACAAACTTACAGGACCGATCCCTCAGGAAGTAGGGATGCTTAAATCACTTATTGACCTTTCTTTGCAAATCAACCTCCTAACAGGTCCTATACCGGCTTCTATTGGAAACTTGAGCAATTTGAATATCATAAATATATTTGAAAATCAACTTTCAGGAACTATTCCTCAGGAAATTGGAAATCTGAAATCCCTTTCTTACCTAAATGTGCTCTCTAACAAACTCACCGGCCAAATCAGTCCGAAACTGAACAATCTAACTTCATTAATTTCATTGCAGTTGAGAGAGAACATGTTTTCTGGCTTCCTGCCACCAAATATGTGTCTTGCTGGACAACTTAAGTTTTTGGGTGCAGATTACAACAATTTCACAGGTCCAGTACCCAAGTCCTTGAAGAACTGCACTACTTTAGTTAAGGTTCGACTTAAAGGGAACCAACTTACAGGAAACATATCAGAAGATTTAGGCTTATATCCAAGCTTGGATTATATTGACCTGAGTTACAATAAATTTTGTGGGGAAATATCAGAAAATTGGGGGAAGTTAGAAAATCTAACAAGCTTGAAAATTTCAAACAACCAAATTTCTGGCAGCATACCAATTGAGATAGCCAATGCAACCCAATTGCAGGAGCTTGACCTTTCCTCCAATGAGCTAGCAGGAGAGATCCCAAAAGAACTAGGCAAGATGCCATTGTGGGTTCTTAAGCTGAACAACAACAAGCTCTCAAGCAATATTCCTAAAGAGCTTGGGATGTTGTCTAATTTAGAGCAGCTTAACCTAGCAGCAAATCACCTACACGGATCTATTCCTGAAGAAATAGGCCAATGCTCAAGATTGATTTTCTTGAATTTGAGCTGCAATACACTGAGTAACAACGTGCCCTTTCAGATTGGCAATTTAGGCACTCTTCAAAGTCTTGACTTGAGTGACAATATGCTTTCAGGAGAATTGCCAAACAAGCTGGGGTCTCTGCTCAGCTTAGAAATGTTAAACATCTCACACAACGAGCTTTCTGGCTCAATCCCGACAACATTTAGCCAAATGGTTAGCTTGACAACTGTTGATATATCCAACAATCTATTGGAAGGCCCTCTCCCAAATACTCGTGCTTTTGCCAGAGCATCAATAGAACTGCTACAGAATAACAAAGGCTTGTGTGGTAGCAATGCTGTCTTGAATTCATGCCATTTGACATCTAAAGGGAAGCACATCAAGAGAACAGTGTTACTAATCATGGCACCTATTTTGAGCACTGTACTTCTAGTATGTGTCATACTTTGCATGATATATTTTCCTCGCAGAAAACACAAGAATAGAGACGAACCATTAGAAGCAGTTAGCGAAAGTTTCATGCCGATATTGGGCTATGCAGACGGGAAGATGGCTTATCAAAGCATAATTGACGCAACCAAGGAATTCAATTCCAATTACTGCATAGGAAGTGGAGGAAGCGCAAATGTCTATAAAGCCGAGTTGCCAACAGGTCAAGTTGTCGCTGTCAAGAAACTTAACCTATCAGAAGATGATGGAATGATTAATATCAGAGCTTTTAAAAGTGAGATAAATGCATTGGCTCAAGTGCGACACAGAAATATTGTTAGATTCTATGGTTATTGTTTCCATCCAATACACTCATTTTTAGTGTATGAGTTCTTGGAAGGAGGGAGTCTAGCAAAGTTACTAAGCAACGAGGCAACAGCTGCAGAGTTAGATTGGGTTAAGAGGGTGGATGTTATTAAGGGAGTAGCAAATGCTTTATATTATATGCACCATGAGTGCTTTCCTCCCATACTACATCGAGACATATCAAGCAATAATATTTTGTTGGATTATGACTATACAGTACGTGTTTCTGACTTTGGCGCAGCCAGAATTGTGAAGCCTAACTCATCCAATTGGACTTCATTTGTAGGCACATTCGGATACTCGGCTCCAGGTATAATAACTCATTCATTTTTGTACTGCAATTTGTAATTGTTATAATTACGTATAAGTTTATTTTCTTTGTAGAGCTCGCCTACATGTTGGAACCAAATGAGAAATGTGATGTGTACAGTTTTGGAGTTGTTATATGGGAAGTGATAATGGGAAGGCATCCAGGGGATCTCATATCGTCTATATCAGCTTCATCATCTGCCCTTCAAATTCTATTCAAGGATGTGGTGGACCAACGCCTTCCTCCTCCTACAGATGAAGTAGCAGAGGAATTGGTTAGTATTGCAAGGCTAGCATTTGCTTGCCTTGATGCTAGTCCAGGGTCGCGGCCGACAATGCAACTAGTTTCGCACAAGTTGTCGAATGGGAAGCACAGTCTGTCAAGACCATTTGACAGAGTAGAGTTAGCAGAACTGCTTTGATTTTTGCTTCTTTGTTTCGTTTCCTCCAATATTTGCAGCTTTCATCCATACAAAATCTAGCCTGACTTGATTCTATTATTGGTAATAAAATGCATTATATTTTTATATAAATTCTCCTTTCTGTTTCTTTTCCTCATATTCCTTGGTTAGGAACTAACAAAGATAGAATTGAAAATAGAGAGGAAAAATGAAATTAGGTTTTCTTGTATTATAGGAAAAGTATTTTCCATTAGTAAAATAGAGGGGATTTGTTAAATGGAATCGCCATTGTTTAATGACATCCATAAAACGAAGCCAAAAATAAATAATAATAATAATAATAAAATCTTTTATACATTTTAGTAAGAGTTGAGTTTAAAATAATAATTAAATTAGAATATAAAAAAATTCATATTTGGCCATTGAAAGTAGAGAATCCAAATTCAATCTTTGAATATATTTACAATGAAAAATAGATCCATTATTTTTTGAATATCAAACTTGGATATATTGTTAGGTCGGACGTGCACTTACTACTAGTATATAATTTGATATACAAAAGAAATGAGTAATTATAAATTTTTGTTAAGAAGAATAACATTTAATTAAATCTTATGAAAGTTTGCTTTTTAAATTACCTGCACCTAATAGTTATATAGTCACACAGACACAGTCGCGTGATAATCACTTGCCGCCTCCCACCGATGCATGTATCAACTGCACATCACCATGACGTATCCTCTCTCTTTATATGCATAGATGATGCCTGCCTGCACTGGAATACTATATTTTTTGAAATTTTAATATAAATATACTTTATCTGTTTCCACTCAAAGATGTATATTGTTGTTCTTTCCTCGATCACTTTCTTGCTTTCTTTCTCCCATTTTTATGCTTCTTCCAATACTAGAGATGGACGAGCAGCAGAAGCACTTCTCAAATGGAAAAACAGCCTTCAAAGTGACCCAACTCATTCTCTTCTCCCATCTTGGAATCCTTCTAATTATTATTTAAACAGTCACTGTGGCTGGGCAGGAATTTCTTGCTCTAAGGCAGGAATTATCACACGTATTGATGTTAGCAGTAGTAACGTGAGAGGTACACTCTATAATCTTGATTTTTCTTGCTTTTCTAGCCTCCTCGAGCTTGATCTCCATAACAACTTACTTTCTGGAACTATTCCATCTCAAATTAGTAATCTTTGAAGACTCACAAGCCTTGATTTGAGTTACAATAACTTGTCGGGACACATTCCGTCTAAGATAGGCCTTGTTTCGGGTCTTCAAGAACTTTACTCGCAAGAAAATGAGCCAACAGGTACTGTACCTCGGGAAATAGGAAACCTGTCAAAACTGATCTATCTTGACCTAAGTCATAATTTTCTCTCAGCAAACATTCCATCTGAGATGGGCTCTATTTCGAGGCTTGCAAAAATTTATCTGAATAATAATGAGATAAATGGGTCTATACCTCAGGAAATAGGAATGTTGAAATCTCTTGAAGTGCGATTAGTGGTGCGAATTCCCTGTTGCAAATATGAGTAAACTTTCATATATATGGCTTAATGATAACAAACTTACAGGACCGATCCCTCAGGAAGTGGGAATGCTTAAATCACTTATTGACCTTTCTTTGCAAATCAACTTTCTAACAGGTCCTATACCTGCCTCTGTTGGAAACTTGAGCAATTTGAATATCATAAATATATTTGAAAATCAACTTTCAGGAACTATTCCTCAGGAAATTGGAAATCTGAAATCCCTTTCTTACCTAAATGTGCTCTCTAACAAAATCACCGGCCAAATCAGTCCGAAGCTGAATAATCTAACTTCATTAATTTCATTGCAGTTGAGAGACAACATGTTTTCTGGCTTCCTGCCACCAAATATGTGTCTTGCTGGACAACTTAAGTTTTTGGGTGCAGATCACAACAATTTCACAGGTCCAATACCCAAGACCTTGAAGAACTGCACTACCCTAGTTAAGCTTCGACTTAAAGGGAACCAACTTACAGGAAACATATCAGAAGATTTAGGCTTATATCCAAACTTGGATTATATTGATCTGAGTTTCAATAAAATTTATGGGGAAATATCAGAAAATTGGGGGAAGTTACAAAATTTAACAAGCTTGAAACTTTCCAACAACCAAATTTCTGATAGCATACCAACTGAGATTGCCAAAGCAACTCAATTGCAGGAGCTTGACCTTTCCTCCAATGAACTAGTCGGAGAGATCCCAAAAGAATTGGGCAAGATGCCATTATGGGTTCTTAAGTTGAATAACAACAAGCTTTCAAGTAATATTCCTATTGAACTTGGAACGTTGTCTAACTTGGAGCAGCTTAACCTTGCAGCAAATGGCCTACATGGATCTATTCCTGAAGAACTAGAACATTGTTCAAGGCTGATTTTCTTGGATTTGAGCTGCAACACACTCAGCAACAACATCCCTTTTCAGATTGGCAATTTACGCACTCTTCAAAGTCTTGACCTGAGTCACGATATGCTTTCAGGAGAATTGCCAAACAAGCTCGGATTTCTGCTTAGCTTAGAAATATTAAACATCTCACACAACGAGCTTTCTGGTTCAATCCCGACAACATTTAGCCAGATGGTGAGCCTTACAAATGTTGATATATCCAACAATCTATTGGAGGGTGCTCTCCCAAATATTCAAGCTTTCGTCAATGCATCAACAGAAATGCTAAAGAATAACAAAGGCTTGTGTGGTAACAATACCGCCTTGAATCCATGCCACTCAACATCTAAAGGGAAGAACAGCAAGAGAACAGTTTTACTAATCACGGCACCTATTTTTAGCACTCTATTGCTATTATCTATCATACTTTGTTTGATATATGTCCCTTTCAGAAAACATGTGAATAAAGATGAACTAGTAGAAGCAACTATTGAAAATTTCATGACGATATTGGATTTTGAAGATGGGAAGATGATGCATCAAAACAGCATTGATGCAACCGAGGAATTCAATTCCAAGTATTGAATAGGAATTGGAGGAACTGCAAAAGTTTATAAAGCTGAGTTGCCAACTGGTCAAGTTGTTGCTGTCAAGAAACTTAACCAATCAGAAGATTATGGAATGATTAATCTCAGAGCTTTTAAAAATGAGATAAATGCATTAGCACAAGTGCGACATCGAAATATTGTTAGATTTTATAGTTATTGTTTGAACCCAAGACACTCATTTTTGGTGTATGAGTTCTTGGAAGGAGGGAGTCTGGCGAAGGTACTACGAAATGAGTCAACAGCTGCAGGATTGGATTGGATTACAAGGGTGAACATTATTAAGGGAGTAGCAAATGCTTTATATTATATGCACCATGAATGCTTTCCTCCGATAATACACAGAGACATATCAAGCAATAATGTTTTGTCGGATACGGATTTTACTGTACGTGTTTCTGACTTTGGCACAGCCAGAATTGTGAAACCTAACTCATCCAATTGGACTTCATTTGTAGGCACATTTGGATACTCAGCTCCAGGTACAAGGTTATTGTGTTCCTTCATTTTTGTCACTGTAATTTGCAATTGTTATAATCAATCTCTGCTTTATTGTAGAGCTTGCCTTCACGATGGAAGCAAATGAGAAATGTGATGTGTGCAGCTTTGGAGTTGTGACATGGGAAGTGATCAAGGGAAGGCATCCAGGGGATCTCATTTCGTCAATATCAATTTCATCATCTGCCCTTCAAATTTTATTCAAGGATGTGTTGGACCAACGCCTTCCTTCTCCTACAAATGAAGTAGCAGAGGAATTGGTTAATATTGCAAGGCTAGCATTTTCTTGCCTTGATGCTAGTCCAGAGTCGCGGCCAACAATGCAACAAGTCTCTCGAACTTGTCGACTGGAATTCAGACACTTTCAAGACCATTTCACAAAGTACAGTTAGCGGAACTGCTTTGATTTTTGCTTCTTTGTTTGGTTTGCATCAATAACTCATCTCCAGCTTTCACCATTACAAGCAGTTGGAGTTTCTAACCTCCTTCCAGAAACCAGAATTAGGCAGACTGGTTGCAATGGTGAATATCACTTTTGCCGTTAGTTCAAATTAAATGTCCTTATTTTAGAGAGTTTTCACATAAAGCAAAAATATACAATTTCACTGCTCTTGGCTTGCTACTTGTAGTACAGACAATATCCTCAGCCAAGCTTCTCCCTTTAAAGGAAAAGAAACAATCTTTACAGAATTTGCAGACATTTAACAAGACTAACACACGTGTAATACGGTTATCACAACCATAAAGTAACAGTTAAATTTTCCTAAGCACCAACTAAAGATTCATATCGCATACACCGAGAAACATTTCAAGGCAGTTACTCAACAAAATGGCCCAAAAACAACAAGCAAGCACAATTTTTATAGAGACCATCCAGGATTAAAAGAGATAATTGACAATGTTCATCAAATCACCAGGCTTGAGCTCCCAAAACTTTATTTAAATCATTTCAACAGTTCAAATCGGAGATTAGGAACCTATGTACACCCAGCATTGAGAGGTGATTGCTTATGTTGCACTCCTTGAGACTTCATAATAACTTGATAAATTAATCACACGATCAAACAAGGATAAAAGTTCAAAACCCATCATTAAGATTAGTGGTAAAATAATCAGCAGTTTACTCAGGGTATCTCATCACTTTTCAACGACATGATACTTGCAGATTCAAGGATGAATCCACAAAAATTTCCCTACTGAAAATCCATTTCAAGTGTCTAATAAACCAAAAGCAGCAATTTTTGAAGGATTGCAAGTTTAACCAAAAAAGTGATTATTGAACAAAAATAGCAACAACTAAATACAAAAGAAAATTTTAGGTTTTTCATGCTCACTTAAAGGCAAGGCCACACAAGGGGCAAGATCGGTGTTAGCAATAGTCTTCCCATCACAAATAGCCTAAGCCAACCTAAAGTTGGCTTCTCTTCACTATATTAAGACTGTTTAGAGCAGACCTCTTTAGTGCATAAACAGAAGCAAAAACATTGATCCAAAACCAAACAGACAAGCAACTAACCAAAAATTGATTTTTCTGTAAAACCAGATAGTTTCAACAGTATAAAAAGCGGAAATAGCACTAGCAAATTCACAAAAGAGAGAATTGAAAATGTTTCTGCAAATATTTAACTAGAGCGCATATATATATGATTTGACAACATATAATTTCCAATACACTCTTCTCTTTTCCTCTCAAATGATGATTAACGGATAAAAAAGCAAACCCTATCCTCCTAAGATAGAAAGAAAAAGGGACACAGATAGCGCCACGGTAGAGATTGAGAATACAAGAGAATCAGTTGATGTCGGAGTCATCGAAATCGTCCTCGAAATTGTTGAAGAAATCCGCGTCGGCGAGCTTGTTGTCGATGTTGATGACACCTTCGCCGAAAATCTCGAGTGGGTCCACATCGTCCACCTCCATCGCCATCGTCGACCCCTGCTCTTCCATGTCGGCGAAGAAGTCCATCTGCATTGGCCTCATCTCACTTTCTCTCTCTCTCTCTCTCTCTCCCTCTCTCTCAATGAAATTGCTCGGATTTGAGCTATGAACTTCAATTGCCGACCTCAGCAAGGGTTTATATAGAAAATCATTCACTGCAATACGACGTCGTTTCGGAAACGTCAAAAAAAAAAAAGATGGATATTAACGACGTCGTTGACGCTCGGGATTATTAAGTTTTCCTTTAAAAAAAAAAAAAAAATGAATGAATTAGATTCGCCCTTTCTTGGTCCTAAAATTGGAACGATCAAAATTTAGTAATTAATAGAGGGGATAATGAGAGTGTGGCAAATGGAGAAGCTTCGTAGCAGTAGCAGTGCAGCTTCTGCTGGCGCTATTGGCTACAAATGGAGAGTGGTGGTGTCGCCACCATCCGCGGCGGCGGACTTCTCCTGTTAGCAAAACCCCGCTCCAAATTTCTATTCAAAAGCCCCAGTTTTTACTCTCCTATTATTACAACCACCAGCACCTTCTCCGCCAGGTATAGTCGCTGGGATTCCAATGCCGAGACCGTTGGGTCCAAGAAATTCAACTTCAAGTTTCGAGATGGAGAAAATGATGATATTGAAGAACAAAACGAAGAAGTAGAAGGCTATAGAAGGAAGGGCAAGAAGAGGAGGTGGTGGTCGGGTGAGTCACCAGATATGGAGGAAGAAGAAGCTCCCGGGATTTTGGAAGCAGCTATTGATAGTTTATGGATTTTTGAGGTAATTCATTTCTGCTTCTTTTTCTGATTTATAGTACATTCACCTTAAGGATACCCTATTTCTATTGTGCTTTCTATTTTGATTTATATTAATTTTTGAGAATTACTTTCATGTTATGCAAGAATCTAATCTGGCATTTCTGTAAGAGAACTGAATTTGAAATATGTTACCAGAAGGTCTGAATAGTATTTGCTCATTTGGTCAGTGCAGGTAGTTAAATCCTATGGTTGGCTTCTGCCACCCATCGTCATATCTTGGTTGCTAGCTTCTGGCCCTAAAGCTTTCCTTATGACATTAGCAATCCCTCTTGGGCTATCAGCCTTAACTTTTGTGTATAAACTGTTGTGGGGGAGGAGACAAAGTAAACCTAAACGCAAGGCAAGAAAGAGAATGAAGCCATTTTCGAGGAAGCCAAGCAATGTTGAAATGGATGAGAAAGAACAAGAAGAAATGCAGGAGGCTGGAAAGGGAGATAGAGGGTTTCGGTCTTGGGTAGTTAACGATGATGTTTCGGTTAATGAGGAGAGACGAGATGCATCCTACTTTGGTGGATGGGATGAGCTGGATGGAATGGAATCGAAGAAGCACCCACCTCGAAGGGCAGGCCAGTCTCGAAGAGCACCATCTAGAAATGGCAAATTGGGTAAGAGAGAGAAAACAAGTGATGCACCTTTGCTCTTGAGATTGTTGATTGCTGTTTTCCCATTTTTAGGTTCCTGGACAAAGATGCTTTAGTGACTTCTATATTTCCAACATGCAAAGATTGATTGTGGCGTATGATTATTATGAGTTTTACTTGCAAGTTTGAAGCAGGAGTCCAGGATTTCAAAGGGGTTGTTTATCTTCGTTCTTACTGAGGACCTTCCACGCCATTGGGATAGTATAAATCCAAGCTTTATGGAATCAATAAGTACATCCTCATCATCTTAGTAGCTGCTTCTTATCCGGGATGTAGGTCTTCTTTTGTTTCCCCAAATTTTCAAACGGATTGAATTTTTTCCTCGCTGTATATCATAAACATCATGATTTTGAAATCATACTATTTAGATTATATTAAAACCATACTGTTCCAATACAAGCGACTCACTACAGTAACAAACATTATGCTATTGTGTTAAGGAAAAAAATGTAGGAACCGTTCCCAAGTAGGAACAGCTACTTTCTAAAAATGGCGATTGTATTTTTCCTACGATAAAGCCGCAATACACAGATTGACTGATACCCATAGCATAGTATACTCGAATTTGTTCGACTGGCAACGTAGGATAAGCCATGAGCAATTATATTCGTGGGTACTTTCTGCCCTTCCCTTTTCAAATCCTTCAAAAATGTTTTTGGAAATTTACACTGATAAATGTCAATGAACTACAGAAGAATGTTGTAACTATACTTTTGCTGCCCCCCTAACAACAAATGACAAAATAAAAAGGAACTGTCATCTCGCAAATAGTTGGGTTCTGTTGATGTAGCAAGCAGATTCAGGGTCTTGGAGACAGGCACAAAAACTCCCCTCATCCTTGGGGAATGACTTTGGTAGTGGATGATCTGGAATAACACCAACCTGTGCAAGAACAATAGGGAGGTTAAATGTGAAAGAGGAAACCCGTGCAAAATAGCTTTACGCGTAGCAGCATGATGGACCTTGTCAATATCAATGTGTGCAGGTGTCTCATATCGGGCAACTGTAACAGCCATGCCAGAGCCATCTGATAGCTGAAAGACTGATTGAATCTTGCTGCAGAATGGATGAATACTTCAATTAGAAACAATAACTAATATTGTTCATATAAGCAATTATATTCGCAAATGTTATAGATGCAGAAGAGATTACCCTTTCCCAAATGTGGGTTCTCCAAACACCACAGCACGTTTGTTGTCCTTCAATGCACCAGCTAATATTTCACTTGCACTTGCAGTTCCCTTGTTCACCTAATTAGAACTCAGAAGAGAGATGTCAACGGATTCAGGTTGATCATTTTCTAATCAAAATTTGAAGTTCAAGCATATATTTAACGTTAGACACTTTACAGGTGAAGCTCAATGCCCAGGCATAGGCGCTGAGAGAGAAACCAATAATATGGTATAGCGGTATGGTTAGTGATAAAATTTAGCAACACAGAACAAATGGAAGAAGGAACTGAACAATAATTTGCAATAGTATGAAGCAGTGACACCATCTAATCAGAAAGTGAAACAGAGAGAGAGAGAGAGAGAGAGAGAGAGAGAGGAGTTTGTGACTGTTGATTACACGGAGAACCAATCAAATGAAAAAACTGAGGCAGAAGGCATGACCTTCAATTCAATGATGTAAGTTTCAATAAATTTGAAAGATTTGTGGCAATTTTAGACTTTAGTATAAGAAAGCATACCAGCACAGCTAGGGGTTCTGAAGCAGCAATTGCACCACTTCCTTCTGCATCATATATGTCTCGAACACCACGGCTATCACAAATATATACAATCACACCTTTGTCTAACCTAAATGGCATCAGCAAACTTAAATTAATAATCATAACTTGAATCAGGCAGAGAAAACAATAGCCAATTATTTGGATGCTTAGTGTTGTCACTATATACCATTTATTCGCTTCATGCTTGTTCTCATAATTTTTTTAGTACAAAATAAATAAAACAGAAAGTTTTCACTAAATGTCTACGGCTTTAAACATAAATCATATCCAACAAAAGTTCTATGTTACCTCAGAAAAATCAAACCAGAAACTTGTTTAAGATAAGGTAACAGGTCACATATATCTTAAGCAAGCATATATCAGAATCTTCAGATAACATGTTCACCTCTGGTCATCTCATTTAACTTACCAAATCTTGGCAATCTCAATTCCTTCTGGAAATAGACCACCACTGCAGCAAATTTAAGCTTTCAGAAAAGCTGATATAGGACCAAGTTTAAACTGTGGTATGTTGAAAGCTTATCACCTATTGTCTCGAAGGTCTAACACAAAGGCATCAACACTGTTACTCCTCAAATTACCAATAGCTTCTTTGACAGCACCTGCAAAAAAAGTAATTGTCAAAAAGCATGTTAAATGGAGCACATTTTGTTCCTAATTGAAAATGAGAGAGAGAAATCATCTGCAACGCTTCAGTACAATTTCTTGAGATAAAAACAGTTATCTCCACCTACCTGAAGCATTTTGGTTGAATGATGTTAGTTTAATATACCCAATCTTGGGAGAATCCTTCCCTGAGCCAGGTATTTGACAAAGTTTCGACTTCACTGGATTTAGAGACACCCTCTCTCTACTGGAAAGCAACAATTGGTCAGTTTAAAATCCACTGCGGATGTAATGGCAATATTAATAGTTCACTGAAGGAGATCAGTTGGCAGCAATAAAGCACAATAAAGACCAAATCGCCTATAGAGTCAAGAACCAAATTTCTACTCAACTCAAATAAACCTTAAACCTGGACAAGTTGGGGCACTGGTACAAACAAATTTCTATTCATAAAAAAAAAAATACATACAAAAGATAAATAAAGTGGCAAACTTACATCAAAGATAGATGCTTTATTTCAGGTCCACTGCGAATGGTTAATTCCACTGGACTTCCTTCAGGTCCCCTAAAATTCATTAGAGTAGCTTAGGCACAACATTAAATAAAAGGTGAAGCAAAAATCTTTCTTTATTTTCTTTCCCCTTTTTCTTTTTGCGGGGGAGGCAGGGGAGAAAAGTTGCACTTATGGATTAACTGTCAACATATTAATAGAAGGAGAACTCTATAAAATATGGAAAGAAAAACCCCTCATCTCTGCATTATTATGAAATACAGAAGAGAATACTTCCTCTAAAGGTAAGCCTCAAATATTTGATGATATGTCTATTAAATGCTTCAAATGAATATTTTAAAATAAAAATCCTTTGCTGAAATTATTTTCTAAGGCCCTTGTGCTGGAAATCTGGATGACTTCTAGCTCTGTATAATTTTAGACAACACAGAACAGAACAATTATAAGCCAAGATACATACTGCAACCTCTCTGCAGCATCATATATTCCCATGCTCTCTGTACGTGTATCACCTATTGCCAAAATCACGTCCCCTGATAAAATGCCAGCCCTACTCGCTGGACCTCCAGGAGCTGCTGAAATAACAACAAGTCCAGCAGGTGATCCATCAGTGCCTGTAGGATAGCCAATTGACAGCCCCACACCTGTAAGAGCACCTTGTGTTCCAGACTGCCTTCAGAGAAGATAAACTAATTTAAATAAGACTTTTAAATTTACATCCTTCGGCTATAGGCAATGATGTGTTTCAATTTGCACACTGGCTTCCAGAACAGTCAAGCAAAAGGAAATAAAGTATGATAATGCGAAGAAAATGCCTCATACCCGCAAACTCTTAAACTTTTCCGGCTCTAGAAACCTGGTGAAAGGATCATTCAATGATGCAAGCATCTTCCTTATAGCTGCATCTGTTTCCAAAATATGCCAGAGAATTAAATGGGCGGTGCATTACTAAAATGCCACTTTAACTACTAGCATTGAAATGATGCAACAAAGGTTGATTCTTCAGTAACTGGCTTTGAGATAAAGCAGTGAAACGTTATTCATCAAAAAGGAAAAAAAAATGTCCATTCTATAACTGCACCTTTTTACATGATAATTACCAACTTATCAGTAAGCTCTTTCTTGTTTAACGCATTTAATTATCTGATAAAACAGGAAAGAGAATGAAACTTTCTCCTTCGACTGAGCAACCATGTTTTATCAGTGTAACTATATGAAACATACAAACTCAGCCTATTAAGATAAAATATGTTCTCATAGTTAATGCAGGGTACATGTAATTCCTTGCTAGCAGTGAAAATAGTTGATGCATGTATTTTGCGCATGAGCGAAAGTAAGAGAGACAGGAAATGTCAATAAAAAATATGGTAACAAAAAGTAGGTTGCTGAACATTCATCAAGTCTATTATGGACCTTGAGCCCTAAGTCTACACGGACCATCCATCAAGTCTACCCAAGAAATATGTCAAAACACCGTCAAGTAAAAATTTAACAGCATAAGGATGGCGGTTGACATACTGAGACAATATAACAGGTACCCTGCAATTGTCATGATATCTGGGTACTTCCATAGTCCATTGTACAATAACACATTAGACACAGGACAAATCAATCATATAGCCAAGTAGGTATCAGCTAACTATTTTAAACAATACAGATTTCAAAGCACAGTGCTGATTAAGTAACATCATAATATAAAGCAATTTAGAAAATACAGACATACATGCTCGTGTGTGAGAGGGCAGATATAAAATCCTGCTATTTCAACACAATTGATGAGGTGCAGCAAACCATCAAAGTAAATAATTTAAAGAACAAACTCATACATGTCTCTTCTCGCGTGTTCATTGGTTCATTGCGCAGAGCATTTTCTCTGTACCTAAACCAACTCTGTCCGTTAAAAGTTTTGTCAACATAAGCACGATCAATCGTTCTCCACGCCTCCAGAAACAGAAGATTCTCTTCACTAAGCGCCCCTAAACAATACAAACAACAAAAATCAGAACCAAAATGAAACGATCGTTCCTCATACAAAACCGTCTGCGTAACTAATAAGTCAAATTGAACTCACACGCTGGAGTATTCCTGGCAGCCATAGGAACAGAGGTAACAAGCAGCATGGCCACAAGTAACCGGAGGAAAAGAACCGAAGCACGCTTTCTAATACTTCCCGTACAATTGACTACATGCTCGATCCTTCTCCGACATAAGAAGCCTTTCCTGAGCATACGTATCGGATTAAACAGCAACAGCTCCGGTCTAGAAGGTAATGCTTCATAGTTACTGTAATTTCCACACCTTTTATTCAATGGACGCCATAATCGAGCTTCTAGTACTCGTACAGGTAGGGCTTTCGACTTCCATCGCAGAACCTATATTCAAAAAGCCCAACAAGGAAAAGAGGAAATATTAATCGGAATTACCTCTAAACATTGCAAGTAATGAAGAAAATTTGGTAGTATATAGATTGTACCTGAGCATTAGCAGAGCTTAAAAGGAAATGAGGGTTCCTGTTTGAGGAAAAGAAGTGAGGAGAAAGGGAGAGAGTAGCCGAGCTTGCAAGAACCGCCATGGCAAGGCGTAGGACAGCTATTTTCAGTTGCTCATTTTTTGGGCATTCCCTTATCGTCGTCTTTTATAATTGTTAAAAATTTTTATTCGAGAGAAACATTTCCTTCAAATTTTTGAGGGAAAGGTTTCCCTTTGGTTAATATAAAGCCCAATTCCGTGACATTCACATTTATGCCCATTGTTTGGGCTTCAGCATTGGGCCAGTCGCTGAACATTAATAGAAGTGTTGAGTTGTCCATTACACCCAAATTAAATTAATTGATATTACGGGCCCAAATCTAAAACATATGCAGCCCATGAATAGTTTATCGGGCAGTTGGATCTTACGGAGTAATAGGGATAGAATTGTCAAAACAACTACTACAAATTGACAGATTTTAGTTCAAGCTAAATAAAACATTTTATTTTACATTTTTGCCGTTTTCTAAAAGAATATTTCTTTCGAGCTTAATGTAAGTCGAAGAATTTCTGTTTCCTACAATTTTTCCGAATGAAATGCAAATAAAAATTATTATAATATTTTGTTAAGTCTCGAGTTTCTTTTCTTTTAATCAAAAATCTTAAGCTCAAACTTTAAATAAATAGTTATTAAACACTCAAGAAGAAGCATTAGTGTTAATAACATTGATCAAAGAAGGATTTAGAGCCATTTATATTAGAATGAGTACACGAATATAACTCATTTTAGTTAAACATTAATCCAATACCGCTAGATATATAGTTCTGCTCGGTTTAAATTGTGATTAGTCAAATATCTGAGCTTCCAATACTGAATAGTCTAGTATCAAAAAATAAATTTTAATTTTGTATTATTAAAATTAATATAATTATTTTAATTTGACAAAGAATAAAAAGAAATCAAAATATTGTTTTATTCAATGCATTCAAAGTGTTTATTTCAATTAATTGAACTGGGAACATTCGTTCAATGTTCGGACTTGGAAAGACATAGGGTTTACAGTTTCTAGAACCATAAAGCCGCCACCGTATAAACTACAAGAGTTACTTTTTGAAGTTATAATAATGCTACTGCAGTCGACTTTTCTTCCACAGTTATGAAAAGTCAACAAAGTAAATTTCAAAGTCATCTCTGACAAAAGGTATATGATACCGATACATACCTAATCGTACCATATCATATCATTGCTTTGGGTGAAAGCCCTTCTACTTTGATTTTTGACTGACCACCTTCAAGGAAGCTCATCTACTCTAATGATATCAAAATGCTTTCTTAGATATGAACTGAACGACCAACCTTTTCATGTCTTATAGAATATATGTAAAGTAAATTCATAAAAAAATTATTATCAATTTAGTAGACGTTATATTATTGAAAAAAAAGACTGTCTTTAATTTTGTAGTCCATATATTTTTCCGATATCTCCTGATTTTTATATAATTTGTGATTTATATTTATTGCTATGTTGCAATATATAAAAAAAAATAATGATGGTCATGGGGCACCAATAAGGCCTCCATTCATTGAAATGCCCACAACCATAAAAGATATGGGAGAAATTAAAGTTGCATTCCTACTGTCCACATTTTGTGACTTTCATAGCATCAACTTATTTACTAGTCAAATGGGAATCAATGTGCTATCATCCTTTCCATATTAGAATAAATAAAGAAGGTTAAGTAATCATAATGTTTACCTACACGTTCGGCCTCAATTTGCAATACCGACTAATTATGTGAAAAGAATTTTCAGATTCGATTCCAACTAAACATATACGTATAAAGAGGTAAAGAGTTTTAACTGTATCTAAGCCCTAAATTGAATTTAATTTGTCCTGATAACAGTATTAGGATACTTGATATATGTTTATTCAATTCCATTCAATATTTTTTTTTTTGGGCTTTATAATTCTTGATATATGTTTGTGTCATAAACTTTGCAGTCAATGGTATTCAGTGTGTTTAAAAAATAAATATGTTATTTTTTTTAAAGAATAAATAAACGTGTCATTATTTCATATCTTTGTGTCATGTCTTATAAATAAAAATATTTTTTAAAAAAATATAAATTTATAAGTAAAATCACAAATAAGTAAGTTCATTAATGGTATAACTAAAAAGAGAAAGGAAAATCCACTAATAGATGGACAATAGATTCAGAAATAAGAGTGTGAAATTGATTAATTTGATTTCAAAATTAAATCAAACCGATAAAAATAAAAATCAAATTATATTTGAACATATATTTGTTTTTAAGTTGCTCAAACCCTATTTGGAAATATTGAAATTCCGATATTCATTTCCTTAATTGGTGATTTTATTTCTAAATTGAGATAATAGTTAATAGGAATTTTGTCGTTGAGATCCTATATAGATTCCAAGGTGAACAGAACCACCGATTTGAGGAATTTTAACTGAATAAACTTCATTGAGTGAACAATGTGAATAAAAAAGATACTCAAATCTTCTTTCTGCAAAGTTCTCCATATAATGTGATTTAGATATACGAACATGATTGATGCCAAAAAGAGCTATTAAATTGCACATGTAAAATGTTTTTGCAAAATTAGAAACAATTTTTGCACATGGCTGCAACTTGCCACTTCAACTCTCTCGCTGTATATTTTTTTTTTCTGGGGAAGTGCACCACAGCATGCGCTCCATTACAACTTACAAGGCTATGGGACTAACTTTTCAGACTTTCTTTTGGCTTCTTCCACTTCTTTTGGAGTATAAAATAATAAGCAGAGATTTAAATCTTCCATGTAAATAGAATTATATGATTGGCCAGAATACAAAAAAAGCATTACAAGAAGATTCAAAGCGAACTACCAGTTCCAACTTTATTGCATCATGAGATTCTTCCTTTTCCACAGGAGCGGGGCCCAAAGAATGGCCCACAACCCATGTTGTGTTTTTGTCAAAGATCAAACCTTGACTAAGGAAAAATCAAACTAATACACACAAAAATTACGTATTCACATCTTTATAAAGGTAAAAAACAAAAGCATTTCCACTTCAAATTCAACGATTTTGACCCTCCAGCCATAATATTACAGATCCCCATTGTAGTCCAAGTCTTCTTTATCCCCATTATGCACCACCCACCCACTAAAATCCTTAAATTTATCTAACACAATTCCTACAAAGATAACATCTTTACTAAAAGAAACAATAATCAAACAGTAGATGAATTATTAGGAGCTGTGCTTGATGGTTCAATTTTCCTTAACTTGATTCCCTGCTTTTGAGTCTCCTCTTCATCATGGTAAATGTAAGCAAATCCACCATGTCGGGTCAGATCCATACCCGCCATCTCATCCTCCGCTGAGATTCTTAAAAGCTTAAGCTTATGTAGAACTAAAAACAATGGACCCATTGTAACACTCACCCATCCGATAATCACGAGAATTTGAATTACATGAGCAGCCAGAAGCCTTCCACCGCCACCCATGAATAACCCGTGATTTACACCCGCCCCGTAAATCTGAGCCACGTACTTCTCTCTAGCAAACAACGCCGTGAAAATCACACCCCAAGCACCACAACCTCCGTGAAGCTGCGCAGCCTCTAATGGATCATCATATTTGAACTTCTCAGCCAATTTGTTGCACCCAATTAAAACCAGAGCGGCGACAAAACCGCATATAATCGCCGCCCATGGCTCTACAACGGCGCAACCAGCAGTGATGGCAGCAAAACCACCGAGCAAACCATTACAAACGTCCGTCACGTTCCAATGGCCAGATAAAATTCTTTTACCAAAAAGAGTAGTCAAAGCCGCAGTGCAACCAGCTAGTGTGGTTGTAACGGCGGTTCTACCAACTGCACTCCATTGACCGTTATAGCTATCGGCGGTGTAAGCAACCAAGATTTTGTTGAAAGAACCGGGATTAAACCCATACCAACCGAACCAAAGCAAGAAAGTGCCAAGAACAACTAAAGAAGCGCTGTGTCCGCGTAAAGAAACAGAACGGCCTGTATGGTCAAAACGGCCAATTCTTGGTCCTTCAATAAGAGCGCCCCAAAAACCAGCAATACCACCTACCATATGCACGACACCAGATCCGGCGAAATCGATTACTCCACTACTAAACAACAAATTATCTGTGTTGAATGCAGAAGCCCAACCGTCGGTTGCCCAGAACCAGTGCGACACAACTGGATAAACAAAGCCCGTTAAAAAGGAAGAGTATATTAAGTAAGCTACAAATTGGGTTCTTTCCGCTATGGAACCGCTAGTGATTCCAGCTGCGGCTATCGCAAACGCCCATTGATAAAGAAAGTTGCTGTAATCGAAAGTTTCTGATGGGATTGCTTTTAGACCGAAGTTGTGTTTGCCGATGAAGCCATTTGATGGACCACCGAAGGCAAAGGCAAAACCGAAAAGGTAATAGAAAAGACCACCGGTTGCGGCGTCGAGGACATTCGTAAGCATAATGTTCATGGTGTTTTTTGCCCTAACTGAGCCGGCACAGAGCATGGCGAATCCTAGTTGCATGGAGAAGACGAGATAGGCAGAGAAGAGGAGGTAGGTGTTGTCAACGGCGTATCTGGTAGCGGTGAAGTTTGCGTCGGAGGTGTTGAAACGGGAACAGATGAAGTCTGCAGCCGCGTTGGCGTTGGTTACGTTGGAGCCAAAGAGCCGAGCTAGCTCGTCGGCCGAGCAGACAACGGAATCCATGGAAGCGGCAGAGGGGGAGGAGGTCAAGAGACCAGTGTGTGTGAGTAGAGAAACTAAATATTCAAGAAAAAGAAATATTAAGAATGTATATAATAAGGTGTAGAGAGAGTTCTTTTCGAAGGACACAGAAAAGTAGTTTTAAGATCCAAATATATAGTGGAAGAAAATTGGTGTGTAGTGACGGAAAGGAAAGAGAAGACTCTTTCCGTTTTTTTTTTTTTAAATACTAGGAAAAAGAGGACTCTCTTTTTTACAATTTATGCATATAGGGATTTTGATTTTGATTAATCATATAATTAGATTAATTATATAATTTGTATACTAATCTGTTTTCTTTTTGTAAGTAAGGACATGAAAAAAATAGTACTGTTTTTCTCTTCATATTGAGATATTTAAATATTAATTAGTATTTCAATATTTAGTTTCTAAGAGCATAAACACTTTTTATTTTAAATTGAATAATTAAATACGAGAAAAACATAAAAATTATCAATTATAAATTATAAATTATGGTAGTTGTTTGTGATCCATGGTAATCACAGCAAAATTTATCAATATTTAGAAATGTTTGCATCTCTTAAAAGAATTAAATTATTTTCCTTCAATATAGTTTCATTTTGACTTTGATCATAAAAATATTTTTCTTGCTTAATTTTCCCAAGTGCTTTGGCAGTTAAAAGAAAATCTGAAATAAAATATTTTCGAACAACAAAAGAGCAAATGGATTCATTTGGTATTGAGATTAGGGCGTTCTTTCTTTGTACATTGGCTTTTCCTTTTCTAACGTATTTATATTAAAAAAAAAAAATAATTCGTAAATACCAGGTGTTTGGCTAACATTTGGGATACTGCCCTAGCAATGCAAGGTAGTCTAGCTTTGACTTTTTTTTAAAAAAAATTATAATAATATTTTGATATTAAATGCAATCTTTATTAATTAAGTTAATTCCATTTGACAGCTAAGCTTGAGTTGGCTCATTTTATTCTGGAAAACATTTTTGACATAACTTGTGTTATGCACGGCCACAATGCAAATGGCGTTAAAGGATTGTAATGCGCCTAAAAGACCCTTTTAACATTTTTTTCATCACTATATCATATAAGGGATGTAACTGTAAATACACACAAGATACTGTCATTTAGCGAAATTATTATTCTTCTTTCAATTTCTAATTTGTTATAAAATCAGATTAATTCATCTTTTTTAATTTCCCATCTTTGCTCATGAACTGGATAAGGCACTAATTTCCAGCCAGGAATTCGGTTTAATATATAATTTAAAGCAATTGACAACGGATTCCTCACATGTCTCTCCTGAAACTAATAAGTTAAAAAACAGTGAAAGGGATAGTGAGGAATCTTTAAGCCTTTCATTAGAATCTTAGAATCAGTGGCCAAAAAAAAAAAAAAAAAAGGGAATTCGGGCACGTTTAATATATAATTTAAAAGAATTGACCCCAACGGGGATTCCTCACATTGTCTCTCCTGCAAACTATAATTTTAAAAAACAGTGAAAAAAGGATAGTGAGGAATCTTTAAGCCTTTTCATTAGAATCTAAGAATCAGTGGCCAAAAAAAAAAAAAAAAAAGGAGGAAGTGTTTCTGTTTCCGTGTTATATATATATATAGTTAATTGTCCCATTCTAAAATGAAGGCAGAAGGGGAAAATGCTGGCTGAGGACAGGACTAGCGATAGGATAGTCATACATTATTTACCAAATATACCCAAAGTCCCCTTCACTGGGAGACTTTGTTATTATTATTTGTAAGGAAATTTTTTTGAAAATTTGTGGTGTAAATATTTTAAAAACATGCCCCCATTTCTACTTAAGAACAATATGTTTTCGTGTCTTTATAGTTGTTTTGATGGACTTGGGTGAAGCCTACAAAGGAGAAAAGAAGAAAGAAAAAAGGAAAGAAGAAAGAAGGAGAAAGAGTCAATTGTGAAGAAAAGCATGACATTGACAAAATTAAAAAAAAAAAAAAAAAAGGAGGAAAGTGTTCTCTGTTTCCGTGTATATATATATATATAGTTATTGTCCCATTCTAAAATGGAAGGCAGAAGGAAAATTGCTGGCTGAGGACAGGATAGGATAGGATAGATCATACATTATTTACCAAATATACAAAGTCCCCTTCACTGGAGACTTTGTTATTAATTTGGTAAGGAAAAATTTTTGAAAAATTTGTGGTGTAAATATAAAACACATGCCCATTTCTACTTAAGAACAATGTTTTCGTGTCTTATAGTGTGATGACTTGGGGAAGCCACAAGGAGAAAGAAGAAAGAAGAAAGAAGAAAGAAGGAGAAGAGTCCAATTGTGAAGAAAGCAATTGACATTGATCAAAATTAATATCACTTACTAATGTATATTTTGTGTGAAAAAAATAATAAATCCACTTTAATATAAAAAATAAATTTCAATGGAGGGTATATCCTCAGAATATCTACTATCTATACATACATACATTCGAAACAATATTTTAAAATCATACAATAATGTTTAAGCTTCAAATTCAAATATATTTCAATTTAAAAATTTAACAGTTTAGAGCATCAACGAGTTAAAAATGAAACATATTATCTATGTATAATATATAAATAATTTTTTCCTTGAGGTTATAAAAGAATATTAAATTTTATTGAAAAAAAAAATAATTCATAATCTTGTCCTTTGCTTGTTGCTGCATTTAAGAGATTTGTACACTTGTGCTGCATAATTTAATTACATTTCTTTATTAATTATGCACCGCATCTAGCACCAGAAAATTATCCTAGGTACCCGTGTTCACACTAGGGCCGTTGAATTCGAGTGAATGAGACACGAAGGAATTTTTATTACTTTTCAAAATTTAACTGTTAGCTTTTCAATTTCAGCAAATCCTAATTTAGATATCAGTTAGTGGTTATATAACTGTTCAAAACAGAAATATTTAATAAAATTAATTGTTGAATATAAAATAATTTTAAAAAATTCAATTAACTATTAGGGCGATTCATATTTTAAAAAACTACCTCATCGTCTAAACGGAACTATAAATATAATATAATTAACAGAGATCCTTGTGACATTTTCTTTTCCTAAATAACTTAACAGAGGTACGGAAGATGATTTAATACTGGGTCAATGTCAAAATTAGAAAACTTGATTGATAGCTTCCTAATACGCAATCAGTTATATGTTAGGTTTGGCATTTTACTTGTTTGTGGTAAGACCGTTTGCTTTATATGTAAACAGGAAACCATGAAATAAATAATAAAAAAATGTTATTATTTAAATTTGAATTAAAAAAAAAAATGGGGGCTCGACCTCCGTTCAACGAATTGATGAAAACTATATTTGTCAAGTTAAGCAAAGAAGGTACAATTTGCAATGTAAAAGGATCATTATCATTAAATAAATCCTGGTAGACTTGTGCATATTCCATGGTAAGTCAACAAAATAAATATTACTCTCTCCACATAATAATAATAATAATAATAATAATCCAGTCTAATTTTGACACCAAGATTAAAGAATATTTAGATTTAACGACTTAAATTAGCTTTTCAATTTTTTTAATAAAAAGATGAAACAAAAAATAACTTGAATAGTTTAAAAATTATTATTAATAAAATAATTTTTTGAGACATAAATCTTTAACTAAAATAAGAAAGTTATTTCAGAGAAAAAAAAAATACATGAAATAAGAAGTAAGCATGCAATTAATTTAAAACATTTTTAAGTTGTTTGTAAAATGATAACAGTGACATTATGCAACATATACGATAAAAAAATAATGATAATAATTTAAAAAAGAATAATGACAATAAAGGAAAATCATACTATTTTCTTGTTTTTTTTTTTTTTCACATATGACATCATGCTTTCATTTGTGACTTTGCAATTTATTAGTTCCAATCACTGAGCCATCCAACTGTACATTAACTAATTTATGTTTAAATAGAAAATTCAAATAATATTAAATTTGCATATATGAAAAATTCAGAAATGGAGGGCACCTTGTTCAGCAAAACTGTTGACTTTAGCAGATCGCCTGTAACTGTAATGCCCCTGCTTAAACAAGGAGCTTCTTACTCTTCAACGACGTGCTTAATCATCTAAGCCCTTTGAAAAAGTCAGAAAACTTTCTTTTTACTTACAGCGATTAGAATCAGCTTGTTAGTTAGCAATTTTAACAGCCAATCTCTCAAATTGGCTCGGTGCATACTGTATTACATTACATTCCATTACAGTTTATCAAACAGAACCTAATATTATTCTTAAGACGCTCCAAACAATGTCAATGAAATTTTTAAAGATAAGAACAAATGATCTTACAAACAGACTCAAATTATTTCGCAGTAATCTTGTATGCTTTTGTCCACTTAAAATTCCATGTTCACGAATCCAAATATTTTCTCAATAATAAACAGCTTATAGACAGCCGCAACTGGACTAGGAAAATGTATTCAGTTTTTTACACAAAAAACTAACAGTAGATGAGAAAAGTCAGAAGTCAATTTAACTAATTGATCAATGCATACATACCTTCTCAAGCTATCTTCTATATTAAATAATAATATATCGAGCAAGTGGGCAACAAATGTGGACTTCCCAAATCCCGTATGTTCAAGACCTACACAGCAATTCAATGGCTCACACATAGTTTAGAGATTTTTGGTTCAACAGAAATTGGCAGCAACAAATATTGTTTTTGTTATTTTATGAATTTCTTTTTAAGCAATATTTGGACATCGATAAAAATAAATATGAGATGTTATCATAGATTAAATTATATTAAGCCTGCATCTTTATTTAGTGTAACTTCATACATTAGAAAAACAAAAATAAATAGCATATCATGCTATCACAAAGTAAAGGCAAAATATAAAATATATCGTGACATTTCAAAAAGATACTATTGGCAATTCAAAAATTATACCTTGAATGTAAAAGAGCTATTTGCTCTTTTTATATGAAATTTAATAATAAAGATGAAAGATTACTATTAAGAATATATGGTTCTAATTACTAATCTCAGAATTGACGGAAAAAAACTTGTTACCATAGTGACAAATAGAGGGCCAGTAGCTATTTGACTTCTAATATCTATTCTCCAGTGAACTTTTTCTTCTGCCTCCTCCGCTGATCTCTTAATCCTGCAAGTGAATGTAAAGAGAACTGAGAATGATGCATAAACCAAACTAGGGAGGGCTAGAAAAAAGGAAGAATGATAAATTAACAAAGAATAAGATAAGGAGCAAAGTATACGTTTCTTCTCTTCTTTTCTTTTCCTCCTCAATTCCACCATACTTCTGCGTTTTTCGGCCATCTCTTTCATGTCCATGCGCACCTGACAATTGGACGAAGAATGAACATGAAAAGCTCAAAATTTGCAAGTCAGACAAAAGTAAATAGATTAAATTTATAAATAAGTAGAATCATGAACAAGCAGATGTTGAACATATTGCAAGATTTTTTATCCACAAAGTGAATTTGAAACAATCATGAAACAAGAGGGAGTATAAAGAGGAAGAATTTGCAACCAAGCATAATACCTCATGACCAGCGCTTCGGAGTGCCTGGAGAGGCTCCACGCAATCCTGACCAATAACCACCAATTTCCTTCTTTTATTACCTCCCATGTTCACATCACTGCCTGAAGTCTGCCTAGCTAGTTGTTCTAGCTGCTGTTGAAGGAGAGGTGAAACGCCAGCCTGCAAGAAAATTTGAAGTCAGCAGGAAGATTATTGCATTCTGAGATTTCATTTGATTTATTAAACATACAGTGATGCATAATATAATGATAATTCTTGCATCAATTGAGATCACAAATATAATGTTATTCTTCCATCAATGAAATCAAGGACCATAAGAAGACAAATTCTAGCCAAATAGGCTCACAAGTGCAGCCTGCCTGCTGCTAACGTCCCCTGTGAACACTGTAGATATACAAACACCATGCAATATGAAAAGATATTATGCTTTATTGACTATAACAACTTGATATCCAGGTTTTAGAAAACCTTTATATGGCCACATTCAAAAATTACATTAGAGTTGGCTTGTTATAAAATATTCTATAAATTTTTGTGGAATTCGTTTACAAATACTCATTTCCATGTTTGATATAAATGAAAATTTATTTAGAATTTTATAACTTTTAATTCAGTGGAATTCATCATATTTGAACCAAATCCTATCAATATTGATAAAATCTAGAAACAAACTTTAAACTTAACAATGTACAAGCTATTAAAACTAATGAATTCTAGGCGTAGTAAAGCTGTATATTTGAAATGAATTCTATAGTTAATACGAACATGAGAATCCATTTGCATGTGAATTTTTTTAATAAAAATCATTTGCAAATGAATGAATTCCACGTGAATTTATTTCAAATACTATGTAGAGAACTGAGTAGTAGCTGCAGGTTCCTAGCAGAATAACACAGTTTAGTCCTAATACAGAGTGTTTTTAAGAAATTTTTTAGTAATTTTGCGTTCAATGCAACTATAATATTAATGCACCGGTACAAATATACGAGTATAACCAGCAATTAAACATCACATTCGAAAAAAAAAAAAAAAGGAAGACATGTACAGCCCCTTAGCATAAATTATTAGTAAACTTTTTGGGAATCAAACTGAGGAGAATATTAGGAAAACTACATATAAGTACCCCTGCCAAATAGCGATGTGAAAATGTTTTTGGTTGCAATGGTCGTGAAAGCAATGTATTGAGCTCCTGCAATTTAAATTATAAAGCAATTAGCACATGCAAGTTGCAACTGATTTAAGGAAAATGGATAGGCCAACTTTCAAATCCCGGAGAAGGGAATCCAAATTAAAACAAGAATTATCTGTAGCAGATCAAACCTGCCGTAATTTGTTCAATTGCATGGAGGTGATTTTCTTTCTATGATACTTGTTCACTCTTTCATCCTCACTGTCATCCTTCTCAACAATTAACTCTATTGATTCGGCATTCTGTTCAAACCAGGTTTTCTTTGCCTTCTCCTAAAGAATTGGACAAACATGAGTTAAAAAAGATACACTTGTGATATTTTAGGAAACCAGGTTGGAATATCTCTACAGCTCATGGCGTAAGAAATTACTTAGCAGGGAAAACTAAAGAATTTCCTGGGGCTATAACCATTAACATATCTTGTCTGACAAAAGTCATGCACATCAATTTTGGGACAAGAAATATTTATTGCAACATATAAATCATAAGAGAAATAAGAACAAAATTTAAAAGGAAAAAGAAAAAAAAAAAACACAGCAGAAGGAGAGGATAAAGACGATCAATATTTCAAATATGAATGAACCACAAAAAAAACATCGAATTTACAGCATAACTTTTGTACAGGTAGGGGATGGAACCTAATCTAGTACACTTACTTCTACACCGACTTTAACACATAATGAAAATCATCATAGAAGTAAAAGATTCATGCCTGCGAGTCCTTTCGTGTAATCTTGTCAATTTGACGTGCAAGAGACAATCGTTTCTTCACCTCAGGCATGTATGATTCCTCTAAAGGAAATCTCTGAAAACTTTCCTGTGCAGAAAAGGGGACAGTTAAATGCATATAAACTTATAATTAGACTAAAAGCATCATATCAAGCTCAAGACACTCAGCATTATAACTTCTTCATTAACGACGACTGAATTGGAGGTTAAGAAAACAGAAAGAGGAAGAAGTACCATAATTTTTGTAAGTGTACTCAAATTTAGAAAAAGCATTAAAGCATTGAAAACTTCCTTATGTAATGTAACTACCTTCGAAAATGATTTGCATAAAGAGGCAAACTTTGAGGTATCATTCGGAGAAATTAAAGCAATGCTGCATCCATCAGCAAAAGCTCTAGCAGTTCTCCCACTTCTGTGAACATAAACCTAACATAAAAGGAAAAATAATCATGAGAAAAAAAAGCGATCACTTCGATCGAAACATGGTAAAAAATGAAATGTTTGCTTACTTCTGCTGAATGTGGAAGCTGATAGTGAACAACAGTTCGAACACCAGGAATATCAAGGCCTCTTGCAGCAACATCAGTAGCAACAAGAATACCATGTTCATTTGAGCGAAAACGGTCAATTGCCTGCATTAAACATGGCATACAAAAGGGGGTTGGTATTGTGGACAAAAAGGAAGTTGCTGCAATATGTAAATGAAAAGTGACAAAATCATAGTTTTATATCTAGATTGAGCTATATCATTATTAATAAACTATTAGCAGACATTTTTATAGTCATATACACTGCCAAACAAAAATCATAGTTTTATCTGCATGTGCTTTACCAACAATTTGTATGGCTCCACTTCAAGGTAGAGTATCTCATGCATGGATCTTAAACATAAAACCTAAAGGCTACATCAGTTTCCAATATAATTGTATCACTTAACCCTGGAAAATCAAATATCAAACTACATCTCAAAGTCGCAAACCTTCAAACGAGCTCGCTGCTGCATCTGGGCATGAAGCGTCCAAACATTTACTTCAAGAATTCGCAAGAGTGCAGAAATATGGCGCAAAGCTGCAATTGATGTGCAGAAAACAAGTGTGCGACCTTGACCATGAACACTCAATATGTAGTAAAGGTAAGCATCCTTATCTTCTTCACTGCATCTGCGAAGTCATTGTATAGCAATGAGGAGAAAACATCAAAGTCATAAATTACATATGAATCAAGGCAGCCACTCTATAATGAAACTTTTATCATATGATACTGATTGAATACTTGAAACCTAAGTGGGAATTCACCTAATCATTCAGTTATTATTGAAATCAGACCACATTAAGGAACCAAAAACAATGATTCTAAGTGGAGGTGTAACTATGATAGAAAATTTACTGTAAGCTTGTAATATAAATAAGAGGATGCCTGAAGGGGGCACGTCACGTTGGAATTCACATTTTTTACCTCCCATTTTCATTAAATCATACTGTACAATGACCCTTACCCTTAGTTATAACAAATTCAAGGATGTTTCGCTGCAAAAAGAGGACACGAGTAACTTCCCCCTATCACTTAAATGCCAGGAGAGTCTTTTGATTTCCCACAAAATGAATGTAGCATGATGCTTTTCTGCTAATAAGCTACATATATATGTGAATTTACATTTTTCCATTGTACATTTAAATCATCTAGCTTAAACATGAATGTATTATATTATGTATCCCATTTATGGGCAGCACAAGAAGCAACTGACTAAAGAATTCAGAATCTGTCACTACTGAATGGTTGGGATTTCAAACAAGAATTTCACTCGACAAAATGGACAAAAAGCTTCATTATAACACCCCCTAAGAGATATTCCTAAAGCACAAAGTAATCAAATCCAGGGAAGAAAAAATTCCATACAGAAATGTGCTATTTGCCAGGCAAAGCAATTCCATTATGCCCCAAAATATGAAAACTTATTATTGGATAGAGAATATTCATGTTTTAACAGATTTTACAGAGGCCGTGAGAAGAAAGGTGGAGGAGGGGAATTTAGGTTTACTATGACCATTTAAGCATCCATTACTACACATGCATCAGAAACAATTAGGTACAGTCAAAATATGACAATCAAGAGGTAGCTTCAAAACATCATACTATGAGATGGCACTGCCCTGTATAATAAATTGCATAAATCATTCCGATGCTGGATGCCATTCTAGATGTGATGTAAAATACATACTCGATAAATGATTCCTCAAGCTTATGTGCCATGATTGATGCATTTGTCAAATCAATTATGGCAGTATCAGCTCTCATTCCAGCACGTTCAGAGAGAATTTCTATAGAATTAAGTCCATCAGCCATTCCCTGATTTGATTTTAGCAAACCCCTCTTCAGCTTCTTGCGGAAATCAGCAGATAATGCTATAGTTGCAGAGAAAACAAATGTTTGTCTTTTCTTTCTTTGCAAGGTTGAGAGAGTCACACAATTTTCTGTATTTTGAGATTGGCCTTCAACAGAGCCACTGGCCACAGGCAGCATGTCAATTATTGACTGCAACTCACGAAAATGTCCATTTTCAATCATTCGATCAGCTTCATCCAGCACAAAGAATGACAACGAATGCAACTGCAGAAATGGAAAAGATAGATAAATATTCATTAAATAACACTTCAATATAAAGTTACCGGTTTCCGTGGCTTGAAATATGTTATTCAACCATTTTCAACAGTATTTACTACTAGTTTTGTTTTGGCTGATCTCTAATAACTAATAAGATATCAGCTAAGGCAGTGGCAAAAGAAACTGGTGCTACTCTACTGTAAAAGGTACTGGACATGGAATATAGCAATCCATAACTGCAATCACATTGAGAAGACAATGTATTTAATTTTGGACATCTAGAAAAGAGGTTGTACCATTGTTAAGACATTATGCCAGTTATGGCAACAATCCGCATATGATAATCACTAGCAGCACAATTCTGTGCTTGAAATAAAAATTTGATTATATATTCGATTCTTTATTGGATACTAACAGCACATTTTTGGTTGTTCAGAAAAAGGGGATAATGGCTTAGCTGCTGCTATTGTTGTTAAGAAAAGGGGGTGGAAAGCCAGAAAATCCTTGCTTGTTTATATGGCATTAACAATGAGCAATAAAAAAACAAAGTCAAATCTGGACTGAATTGCCTTCTTGATATCCCATGGGTCAGCACTTACCTCAACTAGATGTTTTTCTCCTCCTGACATAAGTTCCCAAAACCGACCAGGAGTTCCAACTATAATCTCAGGCCCTGCTTTTAAAAGTCTCTCCTGCTTCTCTGTTGACATCCCACCAACAATAGGAACTACTCTAATGTTAATACCCTTAGCTGCTTCCTTAAGATGATCAGTGACCTAGGAAAGAAAGATAAATAATCAAATTAAAGATATTAATAAACCAACCAATCAGTAAATTAAGAGAGAAAGGAACTCCCATGAAGAGTTCAAATCTAGAAAATTAGTGAGATAAGCTTTCATGTACAAATTGCAGAACATTCTATTTCCTGATACCATAACCCTTTCTTTTTCCTCAGTGTGTTCTCTTTTAGGAAACCGCCTTTTCCACCATTACATCTGTTCTTACCCATCAATCTTTTTTTTTCCCCCTCGGTGTGAAAATGCAAGTTTACTTTCCATTGTGATGAATCAAATACCTTTTATATAAGAACCTCCATTCTAGACACAGTTTTATGGCTTCAATGCCAAAAGAAAACCAAAGTAACTGATAACATTCCTTCTAAGGAGTTAAAATACAATCGAACTGCAAGAAAACATTAGAGAAATTTAGAAGCTTCCATCATGCAAGTTCAAAATATTTTATCGTCTTAATCGAGTCTATCTGTCAAAGACTACAGGAGCATCCGACAAATTTCACAATTCCTTATAGCAAAAGAGCAACTGAGAGATCACATAAATAGAAGTGAAATTGTGACATACCTGAATTGCAAGCTCCCTTGTAGGAGTGATGACAAGTGCACGCAAAAAGCCTTTTGGGGCAAACTTTTCAGCTTCCTCACCCATTTCTTCAAACTTTTTTGCAGCTTTATCTCTTTCCTCTAAAAGACGCTGCAAAATGGGCAAACCAAAGGCAAGTGTCTTCCCAGAACCAGTCTCTGCAGCACCTATAACATCCTGTCACATAAAAGAACAGCAATGACTACCAAAGAAAACACCATTACCCATGCAGAAGATTTAAGAAACAATCTGCACTGACTTTCCCTTGATGAGCTGCAGCAGGAATACAAGCTTTTTGTATTGGTGTTGGCTCCTTGAACCCAAGCCGGTATATTGATCTCATGAGCAAAGGATGAAGTCTCAGCTCATTCCATGCATGAAATTCAGATTCATCAGCTGACTCTCCATCAACCTTATCAGTCCCATTGCTAACTACATTCAGAATGCAAAGCGCACACACAAATTAACACACATCAAAATTAGCTTTAATGACCTGAACATGGCAAATTGCCATCAAATACTCTAGTGCTGAACCATTATAACATGCACAACTAACAAAACTCAATGAGCTATCAAATCAATTGCTCATTAAGTGACATAAAAGAATCAAATCAAATTAATAATAGAAACAGAATGCAGGCCCAGAAACTAAACTGACTACATCAATCTGTACCAAGAATCCAGTATTTAAAGAGAACTAACCAGCTTCCGGTTCCTCATTTTTCTCGATTTCCCTTAATTTCTTTTTTTGCTCCTTCTTCCTCTTCTTCTTCTTCTTCTTTTTCATTTTCTCATTCTCTACAGTCTTCTCCTCTTCCACTGTTTCTTCGACCCTATCCTCATCATCATTATGCTTTTGTTTCTTTACCTTTATATTTTTCTCTTTCTTCCCCTTTGGAGGATTAGGAACATCTAAACTAAAATCAGCTTCATCAATCTCTTCAAGCGAAAGAAAACCTACATATCACCAGTGTTCAACAAAGCAGGAAGAAGAAAAGAATCAGAAGCAAGCTTAAATACTATAAGCCCCACTGGTACACCCAATTACCAAAAAATAAATAAAAACAAACATAAATTAACTATAAAGATGAGATTTCCCATTGGAAGTGAAACAAAACACCCGTTCATTGAAATTGAGCAATCATTACGCAATTAACAAATAAGCTTGGGTACAAAACCCTTTTTTTTTTTCCAAAAGTTCAATTGAGGATATCTAGAGTTTTAAAAACTTTAACAAGACAAGTACATAACAAGGTCCTAAAATTCTTATATTCGTTGTTTTCCATGCTTGTTTTGTTGCTTTCTTCAAAATCCTTCATTCAACTGCAGGGGAGTAATCCGTGTATTTATGATAGCAAGTAAGGTACAAATAAATAATCTATTATTGCAGCGTTAATGTACAAAATAATAGGAAGATAGATAGATAAAAAGCTTAAACCCCTAAAACCCTGCAATGCATTGCCAGGTTCATAATAAACTGTTTATAAATGCATTCAAGAGCAAAAAGATAGATAGATATAGAGAGAGGGATTAAATTGGAGAACCTCCTCCGAGCTCGTCAGAGCCCACAAAAGCAGAGAAGGGATCGTCTTCTGACAGAGACGGATTCCAGTTGAGTGAATTAACCCGGTCGAGTTCCGGTTTATGTGGTTTTCTCTGTCTCTTTCCCTTTCCCTTTTTGTTTGAGGACTTAGAGGAGAGCGGCGGCTGTGATGAAAGTGGCGAATCGGCGGCCATGTGAGCAGAGCTTCTGAGCTAACCACAGTGAGAGAGAGCGCGCAGTTAAGATACGCAGTGTCGTACAATTTGGTAAATCAGAGTTTACTTGTAAAGATTGAGCCTATTACGATGTCATAATAAAGAACTAAATATTTAAGGTCCAAAATAGGACCGGCCTTTTGCGACATTACTCGTGTTTTTAAGGAATGAAGCTTAATTTGTTCATGAATTTGGAAGTCGATTTGTTCAAAAATTAATTTTTTATATAATTTGTCTTTAAATTTGCAAAAAAAAAATAAAATGTTTAATTTATTATTTAAAAGAATTATAATTTAAAACAAGATTTATTATTTAAAAGAATTTTAATTTAAAAAAAAAATATAATTATAAAATAACAAAATATTTCATTTAAATCAAACCAAATCAATAAATAATTGAAAAATATATAATTGAATTTTTTAAACCAAATATTCATATAATCAAATATTTTTCTAATTTTTTAATCAAATATTTATTTAGTTATTCTTTTAAATTAAAGATAAGACACTATAACTTTTTATAATTATTGTTATGTTTAAACTTTTTTTTTTCTTGATTTTGAACTTTATAAATAATTTTTGTTAGTTAAAAATATTTAAAAAATATATTTTTTATGATGAGACATTGTATGGTATCTATGTAGCAATTGGACAGAAATGCTCAACTGTGGCACTGTTAGTTCAAATTCTTTCAGAAGCGAATGCTTTAGAATATTCCATTCTTGTAGCAACCACCACCTCGAATGTGTCCACAGTACAAATCCCATTTGAATGGATTGTGTGAGTTTGTGAAATGCTCAACAAGCCGTTACATTAGCGGCGCATAAATGTCACGATCCGTTTTCATGGGCCGGACCGACACTAGAACTTGGGTGGGCTTAAGGCCCCCGAAACCCATAGTAAGCCTATATTATACAAACGTCATTTCCTATTCATAACTGTGGATGCAAGCCCAATAATTTATTTCAGTTACGTATCACTAATACAGTTCATATATTTAATATGGACTTTTATTATTCATTTACAACCCAACTGGAATACAATTACGGAACTCTACCTTTACATTTACATCGTGTAAGAGCTTTTCAAGGCCAATTGCCATTATCTTTTCAATCATCTTCTCAATTTCAGAGACAGGAATACTGGGCTTACCCATATTATCAACTGATGCAGAAGCTAAAACTAACAAATCAGCTTGAATCGAAAAATTCTCAATCTCTGTGTGGCAGCCCAAAGAACTAGTAGGTACTAAATCAGGCAAATCAGAGGGGGTTGAAGGTTCTTCAACTCTAACTAGGCGATTGTCTGCTCTTAACCAACTGATCTCTTGTGGAGCTTTATCCCTTCGAGGTACTATAAGCCCCACTGGTTACACCCAATTAAACCAAAAAATAAATTAAAAACAAACATAAATTACTATTAAGATGGAGATTTTCCTCATTGGAAGTTGAAACAAAAAACACCCGTTCATTTGAAATTGAGCAATCATTACGCAATTAACAAATTAAATGCTTGGGTACAAAAACCCTTTTTTTTTTTTCCAAAAGTTCAATTGAGGATATTCTAGAGTTTTTAAAAACTTTAAACAAGACAAGTACATAACAAGGTCCTAAATTCTTATATTCGTTGTTTTCCATGCTTGTTTTTGTGCTTTCTTCACAAATTCCTTCATTCAACTTGCAGGGGAGTAATCCGTGTATTTATTGATAGCAGTAGGTACAAAATAAAAATCTATTATTTGCAGGCGTTAAATGTTACAAAATATGGAAAGATAGATAGATTAAAAAGCTTAAACCCCCTTTAAAACCCTGCAATTGCATTTGCCAGGTTTCATTAAATAAACTGTTTTAAATGCATTCAAGACCAAAAGATCGATAGATTAGAGAGAGGGATTAAATTGGAGAACCTCCTCCAGCTCGTCAGAGCCACCAAGAAGCCAGAGAAGGGATTCTTTCTTCTGACAGAAGACGGATTCCAGTTGAGTGAATTAAACCCCGGTCGAGTCCGGTTTATGTGGTTTTCTCTGTCTCTTTCCCTTTTCCCTTTATTTGTTTGAGGACTATAGGAGGAAGAGCGGCGGCTGTGATGAAAGTGGCGAATCGGCGGCATGTGAGCAAGATGCTTCTGAGCTTAAACCACAGTGAGAGAGAGGGCGCGGCAGTTAAGATACGCGTGTCGTTACCAATTTGGGTTAAATCAGAGTTTACTTGTAAAGATTAGGGGCCTATTTTACGATGTCAAATAAAGAACTAAATATTTAAGGGTTTCCAAAAATAGGACCGGCCTTTTGCGACATTACTCGTGTTTTTTAAGGAATTGAAGGCTTAAATTTGTTCATGAATTTTGGAAGTCGATTTGTTCAAAAATTAATTTTTTTATATAATTGTCTTTTAAATTTGCAAAAAAAAAAATTAAAAATGTTTAATTTATTATTTAAAAAGAATTTTTATAATTTTAAAACAAATTTATTATTTAAAAGAAATTTTAATTTAAAAAAAAAATATAATTATAAAATAACCAATATTCATTTTAAATCAAACCCAAATCAATAAATAATTGAAAAATATATAATGAAATTTTTTTAAACCAAATTTTTTCATATAATCAATATTTTTTCTAATTTTTTAATCAAATATTTATTTTAGTTATTCTTTTAATATTTAAAGATAAGACACTATAACTTTTTATTAATTATTTGTTATGTTTAAACTTTTTTTTTTCTTGATTTTGAACTTTATAAAATTTAATTTTTGTTTAGTTTAAAAAATATTTTAAATTTAAAAATATATTTTTTATGATTGAGGACATTGTTATGTATCATGTAGCAAATTGGACAGAACATGTCAACGTGTGGCACTGTTAGTTCAAATTCTTTTCAGAAGCGAATGCTTTTAGAATATTCTTCTTGTAGCAAACCACCACTCGAAGGTGTCCACAGTTACAAATCCCATTGAATGGATTGTCGTTGAGTTTGTTGAAATGCTCAAACAAGCCGTTTACATTAGCGGCGCATTAAATGTCACGATCCGTTTTCGATGGGCCGGTACCGACACTTAGGGACTTTGGGTGGGCTTAAGGCCCCGAAACCCATAGTAAGCCTATATTATACAAAAAACGTTCATTCCTATTTTCATAACTAGTTGATGCAAGCCCAATAATTTTATTCAGATTACGTAATCACTAATAAAGTTCATATATTTAATATGGGGACTTTATTATTCATTTCCAACCCAACTGCTTGAATACAATTACGGAACTTCTACCTTTACATTTTACAATCGTCATTTTCTATCATTTAAACAATCTTCTATAATTTATTGTCTCAACTCCCAGGGATTTTTCTTTCTTCTTATTACCTGGAAAAAAAAAATAGGTAGCAGGGATGAGCGCCCCAAACTCCAATGAGTAGGGTTTTAGATGACCCTCTCACCCCCACACAATTCCACATAGATGCGAAAAATATTTTTATCTGTTACCGTTTTAATTATATTGATCATGCACGGTTTGTCACACAAATTGGCAATAAACAGCAATTTCACAAAGTAATTATTCACCTTTCATTAATCACATCACGTTGGAAAATTAGTCAGTGGAGTCACCGGAAAACCCCGATGAGCCGTCCTCCCACATGAGCCCATCCTCTTCACGTTTGCACCAGGGAGCTGAATCCCCTATTTCTGGGCCGACCGGGTTCTAATCCTCACTGGACCAGCCCTCTCATTGTTTTTCCATTCTCTCTTTTTTTTTTTTATACCAACGGAGGGGGCAACCCCGGTCGTTTCTCCTTCAAATCTAGATTCAAATCAGGCGCTCACAACAGGAGGCCACCCTGCGGGCTGCGATTCAAACCTAAGATTATCCAGTTGCGGCCCAAATAAAAGAAGGTCAAGCCTGTGGTTAACAGTTAACGGGTAACAGTAGGTGCACACGGGGAGCGCCGATCTCCCATTTTACCCGGCTAACAGTAAATCAGTATCAGTATTCCATATTCAACATATATCATTCTCACAACCCATGGATGACCCCCACTTCATCCCCAATTCCACACAAACCAAGACCACAACAATATCCAGCACCAAGTAATCAAGCCCAATATTTAATCATCAACCAAATAGTGCATCCACAATATGGCGGATAATCATGATAACATTTAACCGTGAATGCATGAATGCAGGCAATGAGGCGATATTATCTTAACACTACTCACAAATCTTTATTGTCTTCTAAGGGGACTGCCTTTCTAGCCACGTGCTTCCAGCCTTTGTCCTCGCATTTCAGAATTTTATAAACCTCCAAAATCTTGCTGCCGGAATTGTTCGACTGGAAAAAGGGAGCTACGCGTGCCGGAACTAAGAGCAAGTGAGAGCAATGGCGTTGAGTCGACCAAACTAAGTTGCTGCGCTCACTGGAACTGCGAGCAGGTGGCGCGATGAGCTAGAGGAGGAGCTGGCGCTGCACGATCTGGCCGAGGGTAAGGCGAGACTGCTGGCGGAGCTGCTACGGCGGCCAGTTGCGGCGAGGAGCACCGGTGGCGCACGATGGCGTGGGTGGCGCGGCTCTGTTGCTCTGTCTCACCAGAAATGCAGGCGCAGTGAAGAAAGGAAGAAAGAAAGAAAGAAAATAAAAGAAAGAAAAGTTTAACTTTTCCCTTCCTCCATCTGAACATCAATATCCACACTACCTTACATCCATAATTTATAAATTAATGTTACCTACCAAATAATCTACCTTACATCCACATTTAAATTCCATAAATTTATTATTATCAAATTTTCCTAATAAATTTATGTAATACTAGAAATAAATTTAATTAGTCAACACTAATTTAAATTAATTCATCTACTCACAATTTACTTAAATTAATTAACCAATCGAGATTACGTAAATTAAATCAATTAACTAAAATTACTAAAATTAATTAACTACAATTAAATTAATTAGTTAAAAATTACTAAAATTAATTTAATTAACTAAAAATTTACTAACATTAATTTATACCGCAAAAATTAATTAGTTTTTGTCGCAGATTGCTAGATCGAGGAACTGCGAGCAGGTGGCGCGATGAGCTAGAGGAGGAGCTGGCGCTGCACGATCTGGCCGAGGGTAAGGCGGGACTGCTGGCGGAGCTATTGCGGCGGCCAGTTGCGGCGAGGAGCACCGGTGGCGCGCGATGGCGTGGGTGGCGCGGCTCTGCTGCTCTGTCTCACCAGAAATGCAGGCGCAGTGAAGAAAGGAAGAAGGCCGCAGTGAAGAAAGGAAGAAAGAAAGAAAGAAAATAAAAAGAAAGAAAAGAAGAAGAAAGAAGAAGAAAGTGGAGGAGAAGGCTGTGGTGGTGCTGCCCGTACAGGTGGAGGCACAGAAATGGTGTAGGGGAGGGTGAAGATATGCGCTGGAAATAGGGGAGAAAGAGGGTTCTAGATGTGATTTGGGTGGGTTTTGGGCTGCGTTCGGTTCGATTCAGCCCAAATCTCGATTTTTAACTTGATTTTTTTTTTTTTACTTTTCAATTAGTTTCATTCAGTTTATCACTGTACGAATTATTAATTTGCCATTTAAATAATATACATTTAATTATTAATTTGCATTTAAATAATTAGATACATTTTCCACACTGTCAATTTATTAAATTTAAATGAAAAATCTTTGAAAATAAAAATTCGGGTTATTTCAATAAACTATGTTCGTCAACCAAGTTTGTTCATTGATCATAAAACTTGATGTTTTATTGATTTGATGCAAGTTAAAGGGGTAAATTGAACAGATAGTTGATTTTTGGACAAATTAAATATTACTTGCAAGTTCGCTGAGAAACTTGAATTTTATTTCTATTTTTAAATGTTATTTTATACATTATTAAACACAACAGAATATATTATTTAATATTTTTCTTCGTATTTAATATTAAATTAAAAGAATACGTTATGCAAAACAGTGCATGCCATTTATTTTCCGTGCAATTACATAATAAAGATTTTCTGAAGCTAAATATTTATTCTGTATATATATACGTAATTTTTTCCAGCTATACACGTAATATGTGCAAGTGTATATATATAATTTCTTCTGCTAAAAGTCAAAATTAAGTCTGTATCCTTATAACGCCTTGCATTGTCTTCATCTATGAGTTTTGGCGACAGTCGAATTGTGCTACTAAAAGTAAAAAGGTAAACTATGTAATGAAGCAATGGAGATTCTTGACTTTGAAGGATTTACAAGTACTCTGTGGACTACACTTGTGTATCTCCCATCGCTAAATATCTGAAAAAAAAAAAAGAGTATTATTTTTATCTCATTAATAATAATAATAATATTTTTATCTCATTAATAATAATCTTTAAAAGTAAATTGCTAATTAATATGCTTTAAAATATTACCACATGGTAAATTCAAGTAATGGTGGGATTCATTAGTGAAAGTAAATATCTTGAGAGAATTTTAAGTATAAACGCTTTTATTTTTAAAAATATTAGTCTCTCATTTAATCGTTAAATAAGAATAAGTAGGTAGATTTGAAAGTACTCATAAAAAGATACATTAATTAGCCGTCAGCTAAAGGTAAAATGAGGCAAATCACTAGTAAAGTGCTCGAAATTCAATTCAAAACTCATTTGATAAACTTAACAAGTCGAACTTGAACTTACTTATAGAGCTCGTCTGATAAATTATTCTGGAGTAGTGGAGTTAATATTCTGGGAAAGGCTTTAAGTATAAACGCTCTTAGCCTTAAAGAGACTAGTTAATACTAAAATATATTTAATATTAATTTCACAATTAATACACACAAAAAAAAAAAAAAAAAAAAAAAACAAAAAAAAAAAAAAAAAAAAAAAAAAACAAACACCTCCATAAAAATATGTAAATGTAGATTTTATGATTTAGTATCAAATGATAAAATCAAATGATTCAATTATTCCAACTATTAGAGCATAAAGTTTAATGGTTAATTTTTACTATAAAATTTTTTTTTTTGATGTACATCATATATGTATAGAATGTATTACTCCTTCTGTTCTAAAATTATAATCCCACTTTCTTTTTAAGGTGTCTCGAAATAAGAGTCCTATTTTATTTTTAAAAATATATTTTTTTCACTTTTTACAATATTTTTATATAATAATTCATGTAAATAATTAATATTCGTGGAGAAAAAGTTTTAAAATAGTTAAAGTTGAAACATTAGTATTCGACAATTCATCCTAGTTTAAGAAATTATTAGTATGTAAGTTTTAAGATCTTTAAGGATATATATAAAAAAATAAGAAAAAAATTATAGTAATTAAACTAATTTAATTAGCTTTTGGTAAAAGATATGAAATTCAGCTAAAATAATAATTTTGAGTTGGATGAAGTATTATTTTTAATATAAATTTATTATTACAAAGATATACACGAATACACGCCTATAAATTTTTTTTTGAAGGAATCGCCTATAAATTAAGAGGAGTTGCAGATCATTATTATAGCTCAACATTAAATGTGTGGTTTACCAGTACAGGAAAGAGTTTTTCTTCTTTCTGACAAGAAAATGTTTCTATGTCTTCTCTTGCCAGGAAAACGTTTCCCTCGTGGTATTGTTAGGACACTTCAATAATAATGCAGTGAGCAAAGAGCCAAATACTAAATTCCGTTTTATATATTTTTCAGAGAGGGAAAAATTATCCTCCACTGATTTTTGGGAATGAAAGCACAGTGACATTAAATCCAACCGGCGGTCAGAAGAATAATAAAGCTCGAAAAAATCGCGCTCTCTCTCTCTCTTTCTATCCCATGCCTGCTCTCCTCTCCAAATCCTTTCTCTTTCTGCACCCAAAATCCATTTCTCACTCTTCGATGGCCATAAGCGCTAAAGCTCGATTACGCGGTGTCGTTTTCGACATGGACGGAACCCTAACGGTCCCCGTAATCGATTTCGCCGCAATGTACAAGAGCGTGCTCGGAGAAGACGAGTATCGCAGAGTCAAAGCAGAAAATCCTTCAGGGATTGATATATTACATCATATTGAGAGTTGGAGTGCCGATAAGCAACGCAAGGCTCTTGAAATTATCACTGATTTTGAGCGCCAAGGCCTCGATCGCCTCCAAATCATGCCTGGTTAGTATATTTTTTATTGGTACGGTGTCATTCATTTGAATTTCTATTTGGGGGTTAATGGAAAATGTTAATTGATTTTATAGTTATCTACGGTGCAGGCGCAGTAGAGCTCTGTGGGTTTCTCGATTCAAAGAAAATCAGGTCAAGTCTCCATGCTGACAATCGTGTTAATTTTTCCTTTTGAATTGTGCAAAGTACATTGGATAGTCGGTTCATATACTTTTGATGATATTACTGTTCACCTGTTAGCTTTGTATGTATTCTACTGTGCATTCGTGATAGTATAAGGTGCTTGCAATTGCTTCCAACCCTTTATAATGACGTTGGTACTTGCAACAAGTTTTTGATTTGTGGGATGGTAACGAAACTCTGACTCTTTTCTTTTTCCTTTTTTTACAGAAGAGGATTAATTACTCGAAATGTGATGGAAGCAGTTGATCTTTTCCATTTAAAATCCGGGGTAAGTTTAGTTTAGTTTGTATTAAGTAAAGATTGTTAGTTCTGCATATGCTTCAGTGATTTGCTTAGAACAGCTGTGATACTCAGAACTATTTTATTGTATTGAGAGAGCCTATCAGATGAATTTACTTAAAAAGAGTGCAAGAGCGGTACACTGTCATGTTAAGCATTTAGAGACGAATCCACTGTAAACGCATTATGTGGAAATGGGGACCATGGATTAAGGAATGGGAGCTTGATGATGCTGTAAACTTTTTCCCATCTCTCTCATACTTCAGAAACATCTGCCCTTTTCTTGCTGAACATGGAGATCTGTTTGGTTTTTATATACATCACTCATCACTGTGATTCTTCTCACCCTTGAGTTTGATGCCTTAAACACTTTGTATAAAAGATGCTTTGCTGATGCTTACCAGTGCTTAATTTGCTTTAGGCTGAGAGCTGACCTGGATTCAGCTATGCATTCCTCTCACCAATACTATTTTTTCCATGTTGTTACTAGCTTGAACATGTAATCTATATATACAGCACATGCATGCTCTCTCTCTCTCTCTGCATTGACGTGCATACTTTCTTGTTGATATTTTATTTTCTTAAGCTTTTCCTTTCAAGTAGTTTGCAATCTTAATCTTGTCAGCTGTACTATAACTGCAGATGATATTTTCACCAGCATTAAGTAGAGAGTTCCGTCCTTATAAACCAGACCCAGCTCCTCTCCTGCATATCTGTTCAATGTGGGAAGTTCAGCCTAATGAAGTCATGATGGTTGGTGATAGCCTCAAAGATGATGTGAGCATGATCCTCTTTTCTCAAAAAAATTTTTCCCTGATACTTTTGACGTGTTGGTTTAGCATTTTGTTGTCTCTGATGCATTTATGAAAAGCACTGTTTTTCGCTACTGCCTCAAAACATTTTATACGTAACTGATGAGATAATCACTATCAGATTATATAGGATTACGTGTTTTCTTGTTCTTGTTGAGAACATATCTAGTTCTGATGAATTAGGGGTTTGTAATATTGATGAATTCATGATCCTGTGCATTGGGTGATTGATATTTGGATATCGCAGGTAGCTTGTGGGAAACGAGCTGGAGCATTCACATGCTTACTTGATGAGAAAGGGAGGTACAGCTCTCATGATTTTACCAATTTGGATCTACAGCCAGATTTTACAGTTTCTTCCCTTGCTGAGATTCATTCACTATTGGAGTCAAATTTTGATTTGATGCCATGATTTTTAGTTATTGATGAAGAGTTAGATTACGCTTTACCTGTATCATTTTAGATTAGAACAAAAAGATTCCTAATGTAAAGTGGTGGGGAACAAAAGCCAAGAAATCAACAAAGCATAAGAAGAGAATCAAGAGGCTTCTTGACCTTTGTTTCCTGAAAGGAGAAACAGAGCTGACTTCACTCTGTTTTTGTTGTTGTGGTATTGGATGATAAAGTATTTCAAACCTGTATTAATGTGTAGTATATATTCGTATTTTAGACGAGGTGTGTGTATAAAAAAATATAGATCGCCCACCGTGGGGCTCGAACCCACGACCACAAGGTTAAGAGCCTTGCGCTCTACCGACTGAGCTAGACGGGCTTGCTGATAATGACCATATAATGTACATATCTATTTCGTATTTTAGATTTTATGTGAATTAAATAAAATATAAATCGCCAGCCAGAAGTTTCAAACCTACGACCACAAGGGGAAGAGCCGAGCCGGACTTGCTGGCAATACAAATATACACGTACCATGTGCTGTACATACAATTATACATGTTTAAGAAAATAAAAATCACCCACCATGAGCCCGAATCCCCGACTACAAGGTTAGAGCCTTGCGCTCTACCGACTATGCTAGACGGCCTTACTGGCATGTTTAATTGATGAGTTTGTAACTTGATCCTAAAGTCTTTCCATGCTCAACAAGAAGATATCAGCAGATATTGATAATGAGTGGTTAACCATTTTACAACTCTAGTAACTAGAATTAAGATTAAATTTAAAAAATAACTGATATTATCATTATATTTTAGTGTATATATTAGAACATAATTATCTATATTACAATAACAATTAGTATTATAATATTACTATAGTTATAATTGTTTTAAGTATCATTTTCCTATTGAATGATCATAAACATCGTTGTCTTAAAAAATATATAATTTCATTGATTTAATCCATGAGTGAGGTCATAGATTGGATTTAGGTAAGTCATTCTCTGTAGCAAAATGTATCAAATAAAATGATTTACAAATTAGGTCACAATGTTAAATATTCAATTTAAATTTTCATAATTTTTTGCTTATAAAAATTTACGATCTGCTTTAAGTTCAACTAACATCTTGGCTATTTTCTTTATTAAAGTGCACTTGGACCACGAATCGTTTGTTTTATTTTATGAAACAAAAGTTCAACCATAGTTTGTGAAATGCACGGGGAGCGTACTACTAGTAAAATACAAAACAAAAACATTATTTAATCAAAATAATGAATCTTTACTCTTTAGTTGTACGGTGTATATTTTATTTTTTAACCATTACGGTTTACGAATTTAGCCGCATCTGATGTCGTTTTTATGAAGCCGCTGATGGCTTTCTCAATCTCAGCCTGTCCTTCAACGACATGACGTTGCGTTTGATAAAATAATAAGCCTACAATTAATGGCCCTCCATTTAAGGCCGTAGTAGCTGCTATAGTTCTGTTAAACTTGGCGCCAAAATTCTGTTTCAAAAATCTTCCCTTCGAGGTGCTTAAGCCACGTCGGCAATGTGCCGTGTATTCATTGGCTAACCGGTAACTGAATCACGGTGTATTTCTCTTGCTCTATAAAACCATGGTAGACCTCCATTTCTTTCAACTTACAAGAGATAGAAGCCAGGTAGAGCATCGATCAACAAAGAAATTCAAGAAAAAATGAGTGAACCCAATCAAGAACTTGAAATCTCCACCACATCCGATGGCGGCAATACCATCCCTGATAACCTCTCGGAGGAATCCATTGATTTTACCCTTCTCCGCCTCAACAGTTTCAATTCTTCGGATAATAATACGAACACAGACAACCCCACCGCCGCCACCCACTGCCATACCCCTTGCACCGCCTGTGGCTGCCGTCGCTCTTCCTTTCCGCCCACCAATATCTCTTCTTCGACCAACAAACGCCGCTCTCCTGACCTCAACGCTACTAAACTGGACCCAGAAGATCAAATCCCCAAAAAACCCAAGAAACTCTTTCTTGAACCTCAGGAGAAGACCGTCAGCACTCCTTCTCTCTATGGTTTCTCCAAGATCACTCTACCTTTCAGTATTGGATCGGACAACTCGGCTCAGGCCCCCGCCATAGACCCGGTTCCTTTACTGCGTCGCTGCCATTCTGATCCTTACAACCCACCAGTGGCAGGATCCGACTCTCTTTCTGGGTCGTGTATGGGTTCGGCATCAAAGCTTGCTCCGCAGTCCCCGCCAGAGAATTCCAAAATTGTGGGGGCCACCGATGTGACAACGCCTGCATCAAAGGCAACTGCTTCTCTGCCACCACGGCCGCCGATTCTCAGGAGATGCGTGTCAGACCCATCACCTAACAAGAGCTATTCAAGATCATCGAGCTCTAATGATATGACTGTTGATGGGACTCCTCACTATGAGGTTAGTGGTAGTTGCATTGGGGTCTCAACGAATTTTGGGATTGTTAAGCTTTATTTGGATTCTTCGTGTTCTTTAATTAAAAGATGGCTTCCTGGGTTTTGGGTGTATTGTCAATTCTTAATTTCTCATATTGTCAGCTTGCTCTTTTCTTTTCTTTCTCAGAAAGTATGGATAATTGGGCTAAAGATGGGATCTTTTTGTGTTGATGGCTGGAATTTGATTAGTATAATTTTAGACTTTTTAGTTGTTTGGTTAATGTGGATTTTTGCAATTCTTTTGGATTGGTTAATGAGTTAATGGCTAATGACAGTGGCTGAAGAGAATGAGGGATCGCATGAAGGAAATGAATCAGTGGTGGGATGAACTAATGCTTGATGAAGCGAGATGTGAAGAGGAACAAGAAGATAAAGGCACTGAAGAAAACGAAACTACCATTGCTGCTGTACAGGTATATATTCTAAACATGTATATTTTACAATTGAATCTTGTATCTGATTCTGCTTAATTATAGATAACTCCAAGATTCAGAATTTGATATTTTAATCCCAAATGTGTCTAAATGCTTGTTTTATGGTATTTGACAGTGTGGAGTTAATTGGGTTTATCTTCCTGTGTTATTTGCAGGGTGGATCAGTGAGAGAACACGATGAATCTGTCTCTGTAGAGAAAATTGAAGGATGCTTTGTTGCCTGCTTTCGGTGTCCCTGTGGCAAAAGCTATCGTATCCTTTTTTCTGGAAAAGATTGTTACTACAAGCTCATATAGTCTGGGAGTTCCATTCTTTCTGGGTTTCAATCCTTTTTGTTAAAAATGTTGTTCTTATTCATTCTTTAATTTCTTATTTTCTGATTGTTTTAAGGATGCTTCTTGTGGTAAAATACTGATCTTTAGATGAGGTCAATTTCAGTAGTTGTTATTCAATGATATTCGTGTCATCTGATTGCTAGAACATCACCCTGTTGATGGTGTTGTGCTGATAGGAAGATAAATAAGTGTACTTTGTGGGAAACCTTGTACAGAATGGTTAATAAATGAATTGTGCAGGTTCTTTTCTTGACAGCTATGGTTGATGTGCAGCTACCGTTCTTATGGCTTAAAGGCAAAATATTAACAATAAAACAGGCAAAATTTTCAAGGAAGTGGATAATTTTTTGCTAGAACAATAAAACCATATATATACTCCAGCCTTTTGGAGGGTTAGCTTGCTAACCTATAGTCTATATTCTATATTTGTCAAATTGATACCTTGGATCCATGAATATTGATTTGCGGATCTTTCAAGTAAGTGTTATTTTCCTCGAATGAATGGATTGACCTGCTCAGTCATCAAGGTACATCAACCAAAAAAAAAGGAAAGATGAAAAGGCTTAGGATGACCCTTTCTTTCATTTCTTAAGAAGAGGAAGAGGAGGAGCTTAACGCACTTTGTTTGGCAATAGGGATTTCTTTTTTAATGCTAAATACAAAGTTAAGTCGAAGGATTAAGTAAATATTTTATAGAAATTAAGTAATATTTTTACTCCTATTGGAAATCAAGATTCATCTAACATTGTCCAACGGTAAAAAGAATCCCCTAAAATCTGAAGAAAAGGTTATAATCACGCGAATCTACCGGATCCTACCAAGAAATTTGAAAACAAATGAAATGATGAGGGGAGTGAGAGTGAGAGTTGAGAGAAAAAAACAAAAAAACCCCAAAGCCAAAGCCTTTCTGACACGTCATCATTTCCTATATTGTCTTATACTAATAACGGTGCATATTCATCCATTGTCAAGGTCATACGCTTCACTTCACTGGCCAATATTTTACCATATTAAATCCTCTGCTGCTCTGCTGTGTTATATCATATGGGACCAGACATATCTTTTTTCTTCTGTACTTGATTGTGGCCCCTTCATATCCCCCATGACAATCAACAAACCAACAAACAAGGTATCATGGGCAATGAGAAATTCCTGATCTCTCTCTTGACCAGCCTGGTTTAAATTTTATTTAATTATTAATAAAATAATAAAATACCCCTTGCCTACACCATTCTAGTTCTAGATCCCTCTCCACTCTTTATATCATTATATTCATATTCTTTCTTCTTCTTTGAGCAATTCATAAGGTGAGTTTTCCCCATATTATGCGTTCACAGACAAACTTCGAGTAAGTTTGTTTGTTTCGGGTGGGTCAAATACTACATTGAAACTTTGAAGTTTCGAACTTTCCTATTAGAATCATGATTAGTTCATCAACTCCTACTAAAAACCCAATTATAACAATTATTCCTAAAAATCTGAAATTGTCTTTACGGCCTCAGAATTTATCTCGCCTCCATTTGAGATCAATTCAATGCTCTTTTCAAAATCAAAATCCCAATACTTTGAAGAGGCCTGCAAATCCAAAAACGCATCTTTTTGGAGTCATAACCCCAGGTCCTGTTTTTACCCAGAAAGGCAATACAAGGAGGGGTAATGAGGAAAACAGAGGTTTTGCCCAAGTGGGTAGTCAACAGATGGCAGTATTATGTGGGTTTGGGTATTGGGTGCAGGGTTTCAGGTGCTTTCCATGGTTGGCTCTCAACTTTCACATGGCCAACAATCTAAACCTGCAACCATTAACATTGCAGCTCGTCCAGCACTGTGGTAACCTTCCCATGGTGGCCAAGCCTCTCTATGGAATCCTCTCTGATGCTATTTATATTGGTGGTGCTCATAGAATACCTTATATTCTCATTGGAGGTTAGTTTAGACATATCTTATTTTTTCTTGTTTACTTTATGATTCCCATTTTGAATTCTGTGTTGAATAGATTGTCAATTTTTGCATTCTTCATGGCTCGTTTTTTGTTTAGCCTTAATTTCTTATTTTAGAGTTTTCTAGGCTTTTCTCAAAAAAAGAAGAAAAAAAAATTTGTAGGCTTTGTTTGTCATCTTTTGTGAATTTATATTATTGTTGCATCCTCTGTTTCAAACCACTCCGGATAAATATTCTTGGTGTTATTTTGCACCTGTATTAGCACGCTTAAGATTCTCTGTCATTTCCATGTCCAAAACTTATCCCGATGGGTAATGCAATGTAAACTTAGCTTCACATCTTAGATTCCTCAGAATAGTATAAATTTACTTGGGCGTTGGTTAACATTTGCTGTCTTATTTATCGTCAATGTAAAGGTTTGCTTAATGAGTTAAGTTACGGTTTAAATTATCGTTAATCTTAACGCTCTCAAAAGGTTCAAATTTCGTATAGCATGCTAGAATATGGCAAATCGATCTTTTTTTAAGAAAGAAAGGGTCCAAACTCATTCATGTAAAAAAAAATCTTTTTTATGTATTTTTAGATGACTTTATAATCATATGGTTCTGCTTCTGAAAATAAACAAATGCATCTTCATTAGGGAGATAGGTATTAAATATGCAATACAATCTGTAACTAGAAACTTGAAGCTTATTGCTAGATTAAGACTGTAAGAGCTGAGAGCTAAACTGTAAGTGGAGAAAAAATCCATTTCTAATTTTCAAGGCCTAATAAAGGCCAGCTGATCAGTCAAACTAATGAAAGAGTCTGACACAGAAAAATTTCTCAGTCTTGTTGCAGATCCTATCTTGGGGGCCATTGGCGTTCATCCCACTTGCCCGTGAAGCTCTTCCTATCCTTTTGGCATGCATTCTTCTTGGAAATCTCGGTGCATCAGTTGCAGAAGTTGCAAAGGATGCTCTTGTTGCAGAGTATGGCCAGAAACATAAAATTAGAGGCCTCCAGTCCTATTCATTCATGGCTTTAGCTGTTGGTGGAATCCTAGGAAACTTGCTTGGCGGTTACTTCTTAATGAAAGCACCACCCAAGAACGTCTTTCTCATATTTTCCTATCTATTATCTATTCAATTTGCAATTTCATTAACAGCTAGGGAGGTGTCGCTTGGTTTATCACGAACATCAGATCAAAAACTTGCTAAGGAATCAATCTGGGAAAATATCACAAAAAAGCTAAGTGATCTTAAAATGGCATTAGGTGAAGACATTATTTCTCGCCCTCTTACCTGGATTGTAGCTTCCATTGCTGCAGTCCCAGTTCTATCAGGTTCTATCTTTTGCTATCAAACACAATGCCTAAATTTAGATCCTTCAATTATTGGAATGTCAAAGGTAATTGGGCAGTTGATGCTTCTTTCATTGACTGTACTCTATGACCGATACTGGAAAGGAGTGCCCATGAGGAAATTGATAGCTTCAACCCAGGTTCTATACGCTTCTTCTCTTCTTCTTGATGTTGTGCTAGTGAGACAGATAAATCTTAGAGTGGGAATTCCCAATGATGTATTTGTTTGTTGTTTTTCGGGCTTAGCTGAAACCCTTGCACAATTTAAGCTTCTTCCCTTTTCAGTGCTATTAGCAAGTTTATGTCCAAAGGGTTGTGAAGGGTCTCTTACTTCTTTCTTGGCATCAACATTGTGTTTATCATCAATTGTCAGTGGGTTTTTGGGTGTTGGCTTAGCTTCCCTGATGGGGATAACAGCTGGTGATTACTCACGCCTGCCTGTGGGAATTTTGATACAGTTCATTTTAGCATTACTGCCTTTGGGATGGATTCATTATGTACCTTCCCAATCCACGGTTGAGAAGAATAGAAAGAGAGGTATCAGCAAAAGAAGTAGAAAAGTTAGGAGGATTGGAAGAGTTGTGTTAGGCTCCATTTATTTTTATCGGAGAGAGAGAGAATCTGAGGCACAGGGATAATTATACTTGGTGTAATATTAGCTTTCTTTTATCATAAAGAGGAGAGAAAATTTGAAACAGTTGGATTATTCAAGTCTCTTGCTGATGGATCAATCAGCCATCTGAGAAGGTGAGGTGGTATCAGTTCGTAACGGCCAGTCAGCCACAACTCTGCAAAAGGCAATCAATTTATTCAACTGCACATTGCCCTTCTGATGTATATTAATCAGATCTGTGCTCCGTTAGGGTGTTGCTGTTGGGTGTCAAGACCAGCTTTTAATTCTGCATGTTAAATTACCGATTAGGCAGCTTAAAGGATGGTAATTAAGCAGGAGGCAATCCAAATGAATTGTACAATCTCAATGCACCTTATGTTGAACTCGCCTGGTGGAACTCTGTTTCTGGCCTTCTGATATGTAACTGTAATGAACTTGTAACAGGGCATCCACATTCCCTTACTAGGAAACTGTTGCAAGTTTGAAATTTTTTTTTTTTCTCGTAAATCCAAAACAGAAAAGCAGAACGGACTTCTGCTTTCAATTTTTCTATTTAAGATTTGGAGCTCGTATTACAGTCTCAAGCTATGTCTATGCTTGTTAAGTGATCATTTTTGTCATTTTTATTGAGTGAAGTGCCTTTAAGAGTCTGATTATTTCTTTTGTTGTGTCATTTTCGGGGATATTTCTTATTATCTTTGAATGCTGAAAAGAGGAGGGGAGGGAGTTGGTGGAGTTTCATTAAAAAAACCAACCAATTGAATGCGCCTTCAAAGATAAGAATTTCCAATATATTACCATACAAATTAAAATTCATGCTATTGTAGCATTGTTTGAACCACATGCTACCCTTAATAATAAGGATCCACAAAATAACCCACCAATGAGCAATGCTCGACACCTACATAACACACTGAAATTCAGGAGAATGAGCAGTTCCCTTCATGAACAATATAAGAGCATCTAGCATTTTATATATCGAGTTCGAACAAGGATGTGCTTTATCAGCAGCATAGAAACAATGAGTTTTGTCATTAATGCTTATCCAACTGCACCCAGGAGTTTTCCTTAAACCCTTTTCTTTCATTATTGTTCTTACTTCAGCTACAACATCCCATCTCCTAGAAGAAGCATGTAAGTTCGATAGTGAGACATAATTTGAGGGGTTCCCAGGTTCTAACTGAATAAGGAACTTGTAAGCTAGATCCTGCAACTCGGTACTCCCATGCATTATGGAAGCACTAACAAGAGCCCCCCAAACACTTGGACCGGGTTCCATAGGCATTTTCTTAATAAAATCTAACGCCAGTCCAAGCTGGCCTGATCTGCCTAACATATCAACGACACAAGCACAAATCTCTGCTGTTGGCTTAATTTTATAGTCATTGATTGCAGAGTTATAGATGCGAAGGCCTTCATCGACCAAACCTGCCCTGCTACAGGCAGAAAGAACCCCTACAACTGTTATCATATCTGGTTTGTTCCCTATCTGAAGCATCCTGTCATATATAAAGACAGCTTCCTCTCCCATTCCATGTAATCCATATCCACAAACCATGGAACTCCAAGATATTACATCTCTACAAAAAGATACATCCTCAAACACTCGCCTTGCATGCTTCAAGTTACCACACTTTGAATACATGTCGATCAAAGCATTACTTAGAGACACATCATGATTCAATTTTTTCCTAATTGCATATCCATGAATTTGTTTCCCACTAGTTAAACTAGCGAGTGAGCCACAAGTAGGAAGAAGACTCACTAGCGATACCCTGCTAGGTTCTACTCCACCTTTCAGCTGCATTTCACGAAAAAGAACCAAGGCTTCTTCTAGAGCTCCAGCTTGCACATAACCATTGATCATTGCCGTCCAGGCATATACATTTCTCCTGTTCATTTGATCAAACACTCGTTTAGCCACATCAACTTTGTTAATCCTCGAATACATATCAATCAAACAAGATCCCAAATGAACATCTGAAACCGAGTTCCAACCCCAACCCAATTCATTTCTCACTATAAACCCATGAAGCTCCCTTCCATAATCCCATTTCCCAATGTCACAATTACACAAAAGCAAAAGACTTGAAACTGTAAATTCATTGGGCTTGAAACCTTCAATTTGCATATCTTCAACTAATCCCGTCACCTCCTTGTTGAGATTCCGATCCCCCGAATCCACATATCCCGCTATAACAATATTCCAAGAACCCATATTTCTCTCTGGCATTTCATCAAATAGTTTCAAACATGTTTCAAATTCACGACATTTACAATACATAGACATAAGAGAGTTAGCAACAATAGTATCCGAAACAAACCCAGTCGTTATACTTTTCCCATGAATCAGTTTCCCTGTACTCAAGTCACCCACCTTACTGCAAATTTTTGATAGCGTTGAAAAGGTATAATCGTCCGCCAACACGCCACAATATAACATTTGACAAAACAGATGAAAAGATTTGTTGTACATGTGATTTTTCACATACCCATTGATGAGGGAGTTCCATAGATGCACACTTTTCTCTTCTAGAGAGTCAAAAACGAGTTTGGACTCGGTTGGGACACCGCAAACAGCGTACGCACAAATGAGTTTTGTAGCCAAAAAGGGATTCTGAGAGAAACCTAGAGTGAGGATTCGAGTATGGCATTGTTGGGTGAGATGGAGAGAGTTGCGGGCAATTGAGAGCTGAAGCAAATAGAGAAGATTGCGAGATGGAGATTGCAGAGTGGCAGAATGGTAATAGCGGGAGAGTAGGATCATTTAGAGCTCTCGTACGCCGGTTGTAGCTCGTTTTGAATTTGGCGGGTTATTCTTGAATGATGAAATGCAACGAACCAAATGCCAATCGATGCGGATTAATCGGGCTTGGGCTTAGATATGATCCAGCCTGGCCTACCAAAGACCAGTTGATTAATCCAGTACGGCTATGACCTCGGTTTGTTAAATAATGTTGGGCTTTTGTTAAGATGGAATTAATATTTGGAAATTTATTTTTTTTTCTAGAAAAAAAAAGAGAAAATTTTCACTTATTTCTATTTATCAATTATGAAAATTATGTGTCTAGATCACATTTGATAGTGTTTCTTTATAAAACAATTAAATTTTATTAAGAAATGTGCGTTGTTGTGCGCTTCATATTTTACTGATTAAAAAAATTTTCATTTATTTAAGAATAAGAATCTATATCAGTCTTTTTATCAAGTAATAATTCTCTCCATATTTATTAGATTAATTAATATAAATAATGAATTGATCCTCTTTAAAGTACCTTGTTTAAGACACATATTTAATTTTAATTTATTTGTTATATTCAAGATAAGATTCTTTTCCTCTTTGTTAGGATGTTTCTTCTTTATACAGTTTCAAATTTCAATACTAAAGTATCTAAAATTATACTATAAAGAAGAATGTAATGTCGTAATTAGTTGTGAATGAGTATAATATAATATCCCAATTAGGGTTTAAGGACAACTAATATCCTCCTGCCACAATATAGGACATATGTTAAGAGAATGTCAAATTAATTACTTAATTAAATGTTAATTACCCACAAAGAATATGCAAAAAGGGTGGGATTAGGAAATCAAGAAAAGATTGCAAGTGAATTAAGTGCCAAAGAAGAGAATCTAGTTCTAATCTTAATGAGTGAAATAAATTGATTAAATAAGGTAGAATTTGCTTATGTCATAAGCTTTATGGACAGAAAATGAAGACAAAAGAAAGCTAAAAAGGCCAGCACGGATTGTACTAAATCGAAAGTACTCCATAATCTATTTTTTTAATTTTTCATATCTTTTCTTTTTTTTCTTGTTTATAATTTATGTTTTTTTTTTTTTAATTTTAATTGACTTGTGGTTAATTCTTGTCGAGCTATCCCATCAAATAATATTCTTCTATTGATGGTCATATGAATAAAAAAATTTCTTAATTTTGATGTTTTTATAATTTCAATTAATCCCTTTTTTTTATTTTTATCAATTCATACACTATATTTTATTTTTCATAATAATTTTGGATCCTCTAAATTTAGCTGACCTGAAAATTAATATTTAATCTGCTTCACAGACTCAAAAACTTAAATGTATTAAGTTAATTAAAATTAATATGATATTAAATGCAGTTACTCTTTTATTTCAAATTACCATACTAAATCCTAAACGATTTTTGTTCTCAAAATTCTATTTCTCATTTGGATCCAAATAGGTAAATTTCTAGCATTAGAAATGAGTTTATTTGTTTTAATTTGACCTAAAAGATGAAAATTTAATTTAATTGTTTGATACATTAAAATATTGAAATATTTCTAAGTAGTCATAGTTGAGAAGTAGGGTTGCTAGGCAAATTATAAACATCATCATATCTACACATGTCTGTTAAGAATTAATTATACATAGTGGAAAAATTAATATAATACCATACCTTAAAAAATATCTTAAAAAATTTACACTTTAGATTATCAAACTTGAACTGAGAAAAAATAATGCTTAAATTGGAAAATTTTATTACTAATCAAAGAGGGTACATGCTCTGGGATGATTTTTTTTTTTTTTTTTTTTTTTTTTTTTTTTGATTTTTTTTTTTTTTTTTTTTTTTGTTTTTTTTTTTTTGTTTTTTTTTTTTTTTTTTTTTTTTTTTTTTGGTGGGGGGTTACAAACCAAAATTTTACACCTTTGAGCATCAATCCATGAGCTCCAAAGTTAAGAGCTTTCTCATTTGATTGAACACACTAAGAGATTTTTTGAAGAAACCCAATAGAAAAAAGCAGAAGTTAACAGAAGGGTGCAACTAAATTGTGCATGCCAGCTTTGCTTGTCACACCGAAATTGACATGAACATCATCTAAGTTCCATAATCCATCCCACAAAATATCTTCATTGCTGGCTTCAGGAACTGAACCATTATTAGCAGCATTAAACATACTATATAGTACCCCATGTTCCTCTGTTGTGTTGGGGTAGAGTAAATTATTGGCCATTTCTTGCCTTATCTGGGGCAAATAAGCCAATTTACTGTTATTATTTTCAGTTTCATCGAGTAAAGACATGATCTTTTTCATGTCCAATTGGTTAAGTTGAAGCTGCTGCTGTTGCTGAAGCTGCTGCTGCTGTTGTTGCTGCTGCTGAAATTGTTGCCTTTTCAAGAAACGAGTTCTTGCTTTCTCCGAATTTTCTGGAGCGAGTTTGGCCTTTTTCTTGAAATGGGTCCTCCAGTAGTTCTTTATCTCATTGTCTGTTCTTCCCGGCAAGCTTCTTGCAATTGTGGACCACCTGAAAATTTTTATTAATTTTTCAATTTTAGCACTTAAGCTTTTCTTAAAAGGCCAACAATAAAGATCTCTTTCACTAATAATCCAATTTTACCTGTTCCCCCACCTAGCATGCAACTCAAGGATAATGCTTTCCTCATGTGGAGTTATTTGTCCTCTCTTCAAGTCTGGCCTCAGATAATTCACCCACCTCAATCTGCAACTCTTTCCATTCCTTTTCAATCCTGTTAAACCAAAAATTGAAAATTAAAACCAGATCAAGAAAATCCATATCCATATATCAAGAAAATTGAGCTAAAATGTGCAAAGAGAAAAAAGAGAAAAGAACCTGCAAGCCTAGCCACAGAATTCCATCTTCCTTCTCCATGCAACCTTACATACTCCATGAGCAATCTGTCTTCTTCAGCGGTCCAAGGACCTTTCCTCCAACCCTCTTCAATGAGGCCACCCCAACCCAGGTGTCCTCCCATCACTCCCCAAGACATGTATAAAGAAAAAGGGTTTGGTTTTTTTCTCTCAATAGGGTTCCAAATGAGTTGGTTTTTGTCTTCAAAATCCTATGCAAAATGGGGTCAGTGTCTATTGCATATTTATACCTGCACTAAAGTCCTTAATGTCTACTGGTACTCACATTACTTAATTTCGTGTCACTGTCAAATCATCCCTATCCTTTCTTCTTCTTCTCATAAGGTACTTTGTAATCTCTCTCAAGATACCATCATCATTTTCCTTATTTACCTCTACACCCTCTCTCCTTTTTTTTTTTTTTTTATACACCCTCTCTCCTTTTTTTTTTTTTTTTTAATTGCCAGAAAAGTGGCATTTGCAAAAAATAAATAATAAATAATAATAACCTTTTTTTTTTTTTTTTAATTGCAGAAAAGTGGCATTGCAAAATAATAATAATAATAATAATAATAATAATAAATAATAGTAAAGTTGGATTTGGATATCAATTAACTGAGGTAAGTCGAGAATTTTATAGACCAAAATCATAAATATGTCCTTAGACTCCTAAAAAAAAGAAAATATTGTTGGATAACATATATTAGTATAAAATATAATTTAAATAATAAGAAAATATTTATAAATCAATTTTCATACATTATATATTAAATTATTTGGATAAATTTTTCATATTAAAATTAAGAAATATATATTATGAGTAATTGGAAAATCAAACTTGGACACCAGAGACTCAACGAGTGTTTTATTGAAATTTTAGGCATGAGTGGGTATCCAATTGCAAAAAAGAAATGGACCACATAAAAGATAAATAAGTGGAAAGCACATTAAAATTTATTGTCTTATGTTTTATTTCAAAAGGAGGAAGAAAATTAATGAAGGATTGTCAATCTTTTCTGCATAGTTATTTTGCATGCTTACCTTTGAATATAACAAAAGGAAAGAAATGGATTTATTTTTTTATTTAGAAAGGAAAAAATTTTAGAAAAAATAAATTGTTATTATTGAACAATAAAATGTAATTTTAGTTATTTTAAGATATTTGGCAATTTAATAAAAATAAATATAATATCCACTTTTCTCTATTATTTTCTTTTCAAATTTAAAAAATTCAAAATATATAAATCTGAATGAAAATAAGTAAAATATAACTTTTTGCAACATCTTTATCCTCTTTCTCAAACAAGAAAAAACACATTTTCTCAAAATATTTTCCATAATCCAAACATACGCCTACAGTTTTCAAAGTGTATTTACACACAGTGCGGTGAAGTAAATCACCCAAAGAAGCTTCCCAATCCTAACGAATTGTATCAAAGCTTAATTTGGTAATGACAAATATAACCTTTTAAAAAAAAAGAAAAAAGGAAAACCAAAATTATTATTTTTTAAATCGCGGTTGAGAAACTATTGACCCAATTCGAGCTAGCTAGTGAGACCCGAAACCAGCAATTACATGACCCGGCCGGCCCTAGGTGTGATCAGATAGATCATAAGGATCAATTGTTCTAGAAATAGATAAACGCCTGATAGGTGTAAGGAAAGTTGCTAAGGGTACAACATGTGACACACAAAAGGGCACTTGGGAAATCCAAAAAAATGTCAAGACATTGGGTGACATGTCCTAATAAGGATCAAATCTTAATTAGATTATATTTATTGATGCTAAAGCTTACGACAAAAAAAAGTAAGAGTGGTCTCGTGGTCTTATGCCACGTATGGTTTAGGGTTTATGAATCTGGACATAAATAACTAATAGCCCAAAGCATAATCCAAGATTTAGCAAATAAAAAAATTAGTGGGTGGTGGAATTTTTTAACTTGAAAATTACTGGTGTACCAATGGATTTTTACCGTGTGGTGTTGTCTTGCTTTCTTCTTAAGGAGATTAATACAACTATACAAGTAGTCTCCATTAAACTTAATTAAATATTAATTTGTTGGATACCATTTTGGGTATTGGGGCTATTAAAATATTTAAACTATTGATGGGTTTTCCACGTCACCTTGGGGACAGGTGGAACTTTTTGGTGTTCTGTTTGCAAAGGAAAGTCTCATGTGACCGTTGGAGTTTATATTTTCCATGTTTTTAACGTAATTGTGAGTTTTCTTATTTATATTCAACAATATTTTACTAATAAAATAAAATGACAAGCCTATTTCTTTATTATAAAATTGAAATTATAATAAGTGCATGCATTGTGCTACATATAGTTAGAATTTAAAAATCACCGAATATATAAATTAATCCATGAGTTTTATAGTTTTAACTCCGCAACAAGTTGAATTTTATGAATAATCTATCGTACATTTGAATTTAAAAATATTGATAACATTATATATATTCTTACACTAATAACAATAGTTTTTCGAGTTTTTGACTTTTTTTATGCAAAATGTTCATTTAATGTGTAATTACCGTTTAGAATAATAACTTTTATATTCAACTATTTAACATGTGTTTGATTGATCTTATTTTATAAATTATAGTATTCAATAAAATAATTTTATAAATTAAAATATTTAATAAATATAATTTTATAAATGGAATAGTTCTATAATCAAATTAAAAGCTGAATATCATGAGATAAAATAATAAAATTCATGGATAAATTTATATATCCAGCCATTCAAAATTTTTTTAACTTGCATAAGTTTGATAGTACACAAATAAAAAAAATACAAAAACATAAATTAATAGATTACGACATCCACATATATATGTTAAGATTTAGTTAATCTAATCTCATGACATCATTCCATAATAAAGAGTTAGAATTCGTTGTCGTTTAATGTAAAATCATACTATTTTTTATATATATATGAAATGAGATTATCATTTCAAAACTTTCTTTTAAAGAAAAAAAAAAAATCAAACTTTCTCTAACTCTACAATCTTCTGTAGCTTTGGGGCTGATCATGGATGATATGTCATAATCCACATGCATAATCACTTTCAAATTAATAAAAGTGTAGCTTGACTAGTCAATTACCTATGCATCAACAGGCAATTTAACTTCAAAGTTCGAAATAAATGTTTAAGGGAGAATTACTGTTTAGTCCTTAAAGTTGAACTGAAATTACTTACTCACTCTCCTTCTTTGGTAAAACTACTGATTTATCCTAAGATTTAGTCTCATCAAACTATTTAGTTTTTTTTTCTTATCTCAAAAGACATATTTTAACTGTTAAATATTGATAAAATAATGAATACGAGAGATTAATATTATTTTAAATTGAGGGACTAAAGAAGTAAATAATTATAAAATATTTAACAGTAAAAAATCAGGCATTTTATATAAATTTATATTTTTTAAGTAAAACAACACTAATTATTTTTATTTGTGTTAATTATTATTATTAAATTTGCTGAATATGTACACGTTGACATAGAAAACCCTTCCCCAAATGATTGTCCACTGCTTTAAGTCATCCTATCAAATCAAATATAATATCAAAACCCTACAATTAATCAAATCTTAATTAGACACTAATAATCCGTGTTTTGTACGGATTTTTCACTAAAGAAATTAAGATGGGTTATTTGTCCTTTCCCTTATAAATTAATTAAACAATACTTAATTTTGTTTAACAGCTAAGCATGTTTATATAAAAATATTAGTCACCCTCCAAAGTCCAAAATACTTGTTCTGCTTAAACTTTGTTTTGACAGCTAAGCACGTGTGCACTTTAAGCTTTTAGGGAAAATCAAGTAGACGTCCTTAGATCTCATTTTGCGATTCTTTGTATTTTTTATTTTATTTTAATGATTCACTGTCCCAGGTTTATATGTCAATTAATTCGGACTTGCGTATGTCAACTCATAAAAAAGTAAAGTGTTTTCTCGCAAATATTTAAGATTTAAACTTAAGACCTCTAATTAAAATAGAAAAAATTTATATCATCTCATTTTATCTATCGAGTTTCGGTTCTTTGTATTTTAATAATTATTTTATTTTTAATTTTATTTAATATTTTGATGTCTTTTCAAAGTAGATTAGGGTGCGATGGTGTGGGGTTAGAATGGGTATTTAATAACTAATTCTATTTTGTTTTTTACTTCATCGTAAAAGAATGTTTGTTTGTGGCATGCCCATGACATTCTAGAAAAGTTTTAACCACTTTTTCTTTAATTATGATATTCAATTAACATATTATTTATTTATACCAATTTTTTTTTTTTTTTGTTTCAATCAATTAGTATCTCAACTTGTAGGTTTGTTTTTAAATTATTATATTAAGGTTCTATTTAACGGTGGTGTTGTTGCTAATGTTAAAAAATTATATCATCTTGAATTATAGGCCGTTATTTATTTATTTTTAAATACGTCTAGCCTTTTATTTATAATTTTTTAAATTAGAATCCACAAAATGAAAAGCATATCTTTTAATTTATAGATAAGCTACTATTTTGTTCCCTTTAATTGGGAGAAATTAACTATTTAATATTATCTTTTTAAAAGTATATTAATGCGTGTCTGTAAATCCTTCCGTCTAAGATTTGTGTTCTTTGTTGTTAATTTTTCATAAAAGATTAGAATATTCTTTATCAAATTTTTATTGTATTTCTTCTTATGCTAAAAACAAAATATTAATTTCTTTATATTATAATGAATTTTATTAAAATAATAATTATCTATATCTAATTTGTTGAGAGACAGAGGTTATTACTGTCAATATACAAATGACATATGCATTTTTCATTGAAATTTAACGGTAAAAAATGTAAAATTTTGACCACATCACCGAATTGTTTAAAAATGTAAAATTTACCCATATGAAATTGTTGTCCTATTTTATCGTTTAGAAGTGAATAATAATATTTAAAATTTACGTTTTATCCTTATTTAATATTTTTATTTGGCAACAAATATAGTAATCAAACTACTGTATTACCATTAATTAAATCTTGATATAAACAATATCAACCTATAATCTTCTCGATAGAATTATTTAGTCAAATGTTTGATTAATTTCAAAAATAATTTAATATTTATGGATATGAAAATAAGGGTATACCAGGAAAAAAAGGAAGTAAAAATTATAATTTAATTAAATTTTTTTAATCAGTCAAACCGGAACACAAATTATGGGAGAGAGAAGTAAATTATATTGTTGAATAAAGTTTATGTAAATCTGGTTTTGAGCACTTCCTTAAATAGTAAATATGTAATCCTTAATATTTGAGCTGAGTCAGAATTTCACTAGCAAGCTGAACCTATGAGGTGCAGTTAACTAAAGCTCAGAGAAATCTGGCATATTTATTCCTCTTTGATGAAATTAGAAATAAATGCCTCTTTTAGAATGATTTCAAAATCTTAATTTAAACTATTTAATTAACACAAGATGTCAAATTCTTCTATTTGTACTTTGCACCAAGCATTATTATGCAAGTTGTCTTATCTTGCTAAGACACGTTTTTCTTTCTTTTCTTAAATTATATCATAAAAAATAATATTATTATACATGGAATATGTTAGAATAATATATATAATTATATATGGAGAAAAATTATGTTTATTTTTTCAAAATCAACAAGATAACAAATTTCATTTTTAACCAATTAATATATTAGCAGCTTACAGACAATCTATCCTCAAACCCTTGGATTGGCCAAGTTGGATATTAATGAGGTAGGTAGGTGATTAAGCTGGGAATATGCAGAGCAGAACACTAACCATCTTGGATTGAAATTTTGACTTTGGATATGGAGTTGACTGTATCTATCAAGGAAGGTAAAAAGATAACTGATTTAAAATTTCTGTGATGTGATGAACTCAAAACTCATAAGAACCAATCCCAACTTAAGTCAAATTGCTCCTCAATAACTTTGACCATACCTGTAAAAGCCCACAAAAACCTGTCCAATAGGACTTATTGGAACAACTTTGTTAAGAGCGGGGACCTAACGCAAATTTTTCATATCATTCATGTGTTTAGAAATTCAGCCGGTAGATGCAAACATTACTTTTCTTTTTCAATTTTCAATATCTTATTTTTACAGCCATTATGCAATTTACCTTTTAATTTCATTTTTGAAATGTTGGCCTAAAGGTTCTGAGCAGCTTTTTTGTCGTATTAAAAATGATAATAATAATAAAAAAAAGACCGCAGTGATGACGGATGACAACCTGCAAGTTCCGTGTCGTTTGTTTCCAGTTAAACAATTGCAGTTTAAAGACCAATAATGGAACAAAAGACAGGGTGACGTTCATTATTCAGCGCCCCTCGCAGATTTAGGCGTGTGGTCGTTTATAATTTTTTATTCTTAAAATTACAGTTCTAACCCCACGTCTAGTTGTCATCTTCTTCTATCTTTCTTCATCAAATTATTTTTTATTCTGAATAATTTTTTTTATTCAGTAATTTTTTTACTGAATATAAATTTAATTTTTGTAATATATTTTTAAGAGGGTAAAAAATGTTTATATTCAGGAGATTATAATTCTAAAAAGAAAATTTGTTTATGTAATTTATGTTAGTATACAAAGTACAGTTCATTTTTGTATTTAATATTGTATTATAATAATTAGAAAAAAAGGAAGAAGAAGAAGAGTGGAAGTCCGAATCTCTAATCGTCAGCAACTCAGCATTGTAAAAGTAATTACTTTTAATTAAATAATGATTTTATTTTATCCAAATATCAATGTCATTTGCACAGGAGCAAGAAGAGTAATTGGTGAGCTTTCACTGTAGAGTAGGTAAACATAATTGATGCCTATTTAATCAATAATATCTATGTAATGTATTACTGTATATTAGAGATTAGTTTAATTTAATCAATAAAATACAATATATATATATATATATATATAAGTAGTAGGTAAATAATTTGTATGCCTATTTATCAATAATATCTATGTAATGTATTACTGATATTAGAGATTAGTTTTAATTTTAATCAATAAAATACTAATATAGTATATAAAATATATTATATAGAAAATTGATTATTTACTTCGAAGGAAATAATTAAAATTAAATTATTTTTTCATAATTTAAAAAGACAATTGAATTTCAAAGCATTCACAATTTTACTTGGTCTTTATTATTTGAAAAAATTTGTGGAATAACTAACAAATACAATATATATATATATATATATATAGAAAATTGATATTTACTCGAGGAAATATTAAATTAATTATTTTTCATAATTTAAAAAGAAATGAATTCAAAGATTAATATTTTACTGGTCTTTATTATTTGAAAATTTGAATAATTAACTACTTGGTCCATGAATAATTAGGCAAAATTACTACTATATCTTCATTGTTTGGCAAAATTATTGATTTACCCATGAAGATATATTAGTAATTTTGCCTAAAACTCATGGGTAAATCAATAATTTTATTGATTAAATAGTCAAATATTGCATTGTAGTATTTAAAAGCAAAAACTTTTTTTTTTTTGAACTGAACGACTAAAAAGTTTAGTAGGTTAATCTTACACTCAGTGCGAATGAGATTATTTTTTTGAACAAAAGAAAATAATTATGGAAAATATATGGAGAAAGGTAACTCTTTTTTAAATACCTACGAATTAAATGACTAAATAGTTTAATATGTTAAATCTTAAAGACAAGTCGATAATTTTGTTAAATAATATCGACCTAATAACAAAAACTGAGAGACTAATATATAATTACTTATCCAAAACATTATGAAAACACACTTTAATTATCCTCAATAATCATAAATTACAACCTTAAATTAAAACTTTAGAAACAAAAGTAATAACCAAACTAGTTGTCGTCAAAACTCCAAATTGTAATCCTTCTTCTTCTTAGGCTGTTGGGCACTACCGACCAATCTCCAAAATGTTTCCATTCACTTAGACAATGTTTGCTGACACTAACTAAAGTGACTAACTATGTCTTTTGGATACAGTAATTTAATTGTTCTTTTCTTGTCATCCCTATCCTTACCAATAATTTTATTTCTCAGCTCCCAATTTTTTATGCCTTATTACCTTCCTAACCATACTTTTTGACCGCTGAAAATCAATATTGATGTTGTAATGCTGGTCAATCGGTCAACCCTTTGGCTATCTCTTCCTAATGCTTGCTTCGAGCACAATTGGGGTAGGCATACTTTGTTTTCATTTGCTTGGTATAATTTTGAGCAAAATTACGATTTTATCTTATTTGGTTAGAGGTAAATAGACCAGGAAAAATATATAAAATCTATTTTCTCAATTTATATTATGAATATTTTAGCCTTTTGTAACTTGAAAGCAACTTTCCAAAAATGTAATTTCCATATAGTGTAATAGCAAAACGCACTAGCTAGCTGCGAGGGCAGGACATGCAAGAGCAAGATTTCACTTTCATCGCTTTTAGCTGCAGGTAAACAATGCTTTCAATCACTTCAATCGTAGAGTGGAGTCATTGATTTCATTTTAGACTTCCAATTCCCACTTCCCTTCTCAACTATCCATTTTTGCTTTGGACCCAATGAGTAATTAAGGAAATTATTTAGTAAGTGGACACTATATTGCTTAAGTATTATTAATTTTAATATATGATTTTTTGATTGTCTTTAGTTGGATATATGATTAAATTCATGAATATCTGTATAATTTTTTTAAACAAGTGTTAGAAAAAAAATTGTCATTTCAACTGTACCTTCTAACTTCTTTTTCAAATAGTTTGTGTTTTTTTATAGGCGCCTTGCTTAAACTGATTAATTTAAATTAAAAACTCAAAATAAAATCTTTAATCCTTCTGTTTTCCAAATGCATCATGATGGATCTCAATTGCTAATTAGGTTTGAGTTGACGTATTATATTTTTATCCGTCTCATTAGATACTCATTCAAATTTAATTTAAATAAAGTAGGTAAAAGCCGATCAATTTAAAGATGAAGTTGTACTTTTTTATTTTTTAAAATAAAATATGAATTAAATACGTTTTATTTTATCATGTTACAATATAGATGACGAAGTGGATACATATTTATTTTTGTTTGACTGATCAAATATATACTAAAAATATATTTAATTACGTTACGTTTTATTATAATTCACCGAATAGAACATAAAATCTATGACAAATTTTATAGCTAATCTAGCAAGCTTTTGTGATTAATGAAATAAAATTAGGGTAAAATGATTCCATCTAAATGATTTTAAAAAAAAAAAGTAACAAGAAAGTTATTCTTTTAGAATATTTGTCAACATTATCCTTTTACCTAGGCAAACCTAGGAATTGGGCTTAGGCCTATAGAAGGACTGAGTTGATTTGGGCTACTCTAACCCAAATCTCCTTTGGGCTGAAATAATAAGATGTTTCAAGTAATCCAACTTGAGCTGAACCGGCCCGTCTTTGAAGTATAGACCAGTACCGAATTTGCAATTTCAATTCGTTGGTTATTTCGATTCTTCTCTCTTATATAACGCGTCTGTCTTTTTTTCTCGCTCTAGGGTTTCCAACAGTCTTCTTCACTCGGTCAATTGCCCAGGTTTCTCTCCAGCCTCTCTTTGCTAATCTGTTTTTGTTGTTCATTTTCTATAAATAATGACAAAACATCGCTAGTGTGCTTTTAAATGCCTGTGCTTTCCGGTTAGCCATACTGGTTAATTAGCGTTCGGGTTAGGAGATGAATCTGAAAGTTTAACTAATAGAAGTTATTTTGACGATTATTTCGTTTAATTGAAATCTTAAGCTTCTCTTATTTTTCATTTCTTTTTCTCAATTGGGAATTTCGTGTTTCTTCGCTGGAAACTGAGTAGATGCTTAATTTTTTGATTATAACATGTAATCTTGTAGATGTAAAAGATAGATATCCAATTTTTGGTGATAGGCTTAATACATAAATCGATTGTGCCTTATATTAAGTTCTCGAGTATTTGTCAGCAGAACTGTTTAGTGTCATGCTTGTAGATTTGTGTATAAGCTTGTTGTTTTGGAATTTAGCTTGTCTTTCTTTCAACTTTATTTGCTGAATATTTGAAATGTTGTATTCAATTGCTTGCATATAATCTGATAAAAGAATTGATGAATGGGTTACATTGTCGTAAAGGTGTCTGTACAATTGATCATATGAATAGGAGAACATTTATGTTTTCTCATTTTGGAGTGTTTAACTATAAAAAGAGGACAAAAGCAAATTAGTAACTCATATCTGTTTCCTAAATGTAATTATTTATTCTTTTCTGCTTGTACCCTGTTGTTGTTCAATTTCAGTTTCGGCACAAATGAAGAAGAGACAGAATATTGATAATGAATCCAGTCCTTATATTGATCTGAATTCTCTCATTCATGAGAATTCTCTGTTCTTTGATAAGTTGATTGAGCTCATCCCTGCTAAGTTCTATCTTCCAGTTGATGATAAAGAGAAGAAATGGTTCCAAGGCCTTAGCAAGGATGAAAAAGCTTTGGCAAAGAAGGAAACAAGGGAAAACATCAAGAAAGCACGGAGAGATCGGCTTGACCCAGAGAAGTCTTCTACAACCACCTTAGATTTGCTTATGAAAAATTTGGAGAAGGAAAAATCAACTGATGAGAGTGATGAGGAAGAAGTGGAGATTAATCCGATGATATCTGGTCTAGAAGGTGATGGTCAGTCAGCAACATATGAAGATCTCCGACAACGACTTCAACGCAAAATTGTAGAGCTTCGAGGAAATCGAAACATGAGTCAAAAGACGAAAGATAAGAAAAAAGGAATGCAGGAAAGGAAACGCAAGAGGGAATCTGAATCTGATAAAAGGAAGCCTACAACAAGTACTTCAATGGAAAAAGGGGAGAAGGATGCAGCAGAGGCTGCAAAAGAGCTCAAATTTAGCCATGTTAAACTTGGGAAAGATGAGGAGCTTGGAAAGAAGAAGAGGAGGAAACTATCGAAGTTAAAGGAACTTGAAATGGCAAAAGAATTGGAGGAAGCTAAGAAGGATCCAGAAAAAGGGGATGTAATTGCAAAGAAGCATTCATGGAAAACAGCAACAAACAAAGCTGCAGGCATTAAGGTTCATGATAATCCAAAGCTGTTGAAAGATAGCATAAAGAAGGAGAAGAAGAGACATCAAAAGAATGCTGAGAAATGGAAAGACAGGATTGAAAACCAACAGAAAATGAAAGCAGAAAAACAGCAGACAAGATCGCAGAACATAGCTGATAGAATTCAGCAGAAAAAGATGCGACGGATTGCAAAGAGAGAGAAAAAGCTATCACGGCCTGGGTTTGAAGGTCGCAAGGAAGGTTATATCAATGATGGTGAAGGTGCTCAGGCCTAGAAGTTTGTATCAGCATCTTAATCTGTTCCTATTAACTCTTTTTCACACCTGCAATAGAATTGGTTTAAGCCTTACCATCATAGCCAAAAGAAAATGTTTTAGGAGCCTCTTCTGAAAGAACCTGTTAGTCTTTCATTTCATCTTTAATCATTTAGTAAAAGGGTGTTGTTTAAATATTTTTGCAATGATTTTATGGGCATGTAAGTCCCACTAGAATAGTCTTGTAACACTTCTCAATATTTTCCTTCTCTTCTGGAATTTTAGTGTCAAATCACCTTGCATTCATAAAATATGAGTGTTTTGAATATTTTTATTTATATACCAAAAATTAAAATGCAACTGAGATCATGCAAGGTTATACTAAAATGCTTAAAATTTGATTGAAATATACTTTCCACAAAAAGGATATCTAGCTACTCCGAATACAAATTAGATATACAAAATTACCACATAAATCTCTATATTATTTCTTTATTTTTTCTTAATTAAAATCAATCTTCCACAAAAAGTAATTGCGTGCCGATTTTTATGCACCTTCATTTTATAAACTACTTGGTACATATATTTTTTTAATAACATTCAAAAAACTACTCTTTCAAAAAAAAAAAAAAAAAAAAAAAAAAAAAACACCTTCATTTATAAACTACTGATGGTCACATATAATTTTTTTAAATAAACATTACCAAAAAACTACTCTTTCCAAAAAAAAAAAAAAAAAAAAAAAAAAAAAAAAAAAAAAAAAAAAAAAAAAACATTCAAAAAACTAAATGAAAGCAACTTAATTAAGATGAGCAGTCTCTTCCCGTAATAGGTATTCATTTCCAACGAACCATGTCGTTCCGATTCAAGTTCAGAACTTCCATCTAAAAATTCTAATTACCCAAAGCATCAAAATCTCCAGAAAAAATCTTAACATTTGCCCGTTATTTTGGAGTATTAAGCAGACATTCTTCACATTGGGAGGGATTCTTGGATAGGGTAAAACAATTTCCACTATACAGTATATGAACACCATTAAAATAGACGTAACGATATATATTGAACACTGACTTTTTATACGTACATGAACACAAGTGGATTAATTAAACATAAAGGACGATCAAAGTCCAAAGTCCAAAGTCCAAACCAGACCCAGATACATCCCCGCCAAAAGGGGATATGTAAATGACACAAGATAATTCTTTTAGCATTACATGTACATATATTATTACATTGTTGTTGCTTAAACCCGAGTCCCTGTCACTGCTGTGCCACCCTTTGGAATTGGTTCCCCACCAGCTCCTACAGCGTATTCGGTGTCCCTGTAACCAGGGCCATACCTGCTGCTAAATACCCCAGCATGAAGCAACAGGACATACAAGAGTTGGGTAAATGTCAAGATTATCATGAATGCCTCTAATACCCTCAGTCTCCATCCTCTGTGCCCTCCTAGGTTTATTTCCTTGCATGCCAACCTACAAATAAAAATTTCAGTCAATAAGATTGTTTAATTATATATGACTTTAAATTCTATATATAATGGGACTATAATATGGTACCCAAAAGCTAGGGCAGTGATGGCCCAAGTCACAAGTGAAGAAGAGCCTGCAGAGGCTAGACTGTCATTTCTCCAGCTCCTGATATGAAGGCCACCTGCCAACTTGGATACTATACCAACAATAGAAGCTAATATAGCAAAAGTCAAAAAGAAAGCTGTTGCTCCATTCCCTCCAAAACCTGAAATTTTTTTTTTCCAGGTTAATTAGCCAAGCAAAAATTATTTATGTAGAATGAGAGAGAGATAGAGAGAAGGGGGTTAAACTTACTTGGATGGTAGGTTTGTCCATTGATATACTTATTAAGGCACCAACTGGCAAAACCTAAAGCAATAGCATACATGATTAAGTTAAGAAACAGCAATGGAGCTGCTATGTTCCTGCCCACAGTTGCCATCTTTTGTCCTTTTAATTCAAAGCCTAACACGAAAGAAAGATAGAGCTTTTAGTATTTCTTACAGTAAAACTTTCACTTTCGTTAAATTTTGGTAATGGAAGCGTAGAGAGTCGAAGTGGTGAGAGTCGAGGTAGAGAAGCTAATATAGAGAAGATGGAGGTAGAGTTGCGAGTACACGTGTAAACCAATAAGGCATTACATGGTTGCTTTGTATTACAGGTGGTAGGACAGATGTCAGCTTCCATGGATCTTTACGTTTCTTCTGAAACCTTGTGTCTTGGAATCTCGAAATCTATCTAAACGGTGCATATCCATTTTTTGATTGTCTAGTTGTGTAGAAAAATCTAGCAAAGCTAAGTTGGCTTCCTACTTTTCTGCTTCGTTCTTTTGCAGATTGTCCAGAGTCACTGAATCCCGTTCGTGTCTGAATCAAACGGTTCCCCGTTTAAGTTATTAATTTTATTACTTTGGCAAAAGAAGTTTCAATTTTGTAAGTTCCAAATTCCTTTTTCGATGTAGAGGATTATAAAAGGAAAAACTCCTTTTAATTAAAATCTCAATTCAAAACAAAAAACCTAACTACAACTCTGAGATGCATAGAAATCTTAGAATTTAAAATTTTGAAGTTTCAGAATTTCAGCATTAGCCATTTGAATTAAATATTATTTATTATGTGAAAATTAATAATAAATTTTTAAATAAAGATGGAATTTTGGCTTCAAAGTTTAGGGAAAAAAAAAAAACTTCTGCTTAGAAGGCACTTAAATTTTGGCTGAACTGAACTTTGCTTTTCAAAAGATGATTCTTCGACATATGGGCTTGCAAAACCATTGGTCATTGCTTCGGCTAGGGATGATGTTTTCTCCTTTCGCCACGTGGTTTAAAAGTTAGAACTAGGTATAGATGGTCTCTTCTCTTCTCTCTACCACCTGACTGACTCGCTCCCAAGATGGAATAATATTTATTAATGAACAATTGATCGCACATTTCATCTTGGACTTCAAAGGCGGGCTTCTGTAGTGGCCCAAGTTATTATCTCTATATGGACTAAGCCCAATTTTGTTTTGGCCCTCGTTTTAACGACAACGTTTAAGTATTGCCCTTGTTTTATTTATTTATAATAATAATAATAATAATAATAAATAATTAACCCCTTTGTAATCATTATCTTGATTGTGTGCTCAAAGCTCAAAATTTTGCAGTGGTTGAGAATAAGACCTCACTGAAGTTGGCAGGTTTAAACGGTTGGTGAACCGTCCAATTTTGAGAATATCTTCTATCATAAAAAAAAATCTATTTATTGTAAAAAAACTGAAATAATAGTGGTATTATTCTTCTATTTATTACTTTCGAATACGATTGATGATATTAATAATTTTCTTAATTATTAAAATAATTAAAACATTTTATTACTTTGAACGAATATTAATGATATAATTAATTTTAATACTTATTCCTTAAAAAATAATTTCACTTATTATTGAAAAAAAATAAATTAAAATGTTTTATTATTTCAAAAGTTACGTAACCTGTATATGTACTCTTCCTCCGTTACATAAAAATAGATTCACTTTCCTTTTTTAACTTATCCTGGATTATAATTTTATTTCTTTTCAAAGAAGAGAATAATATTTATAGTTTTTTATTTTATTTCCATTTAATATGCATTTCTCTCAATAAATATATTGCTATTATCATTATCTAATTTTTTTAAAAAATTATTATTGTTGTCATAAGTATTAGCCAATTCTTTAATTTTTAGAAAATAAATAAAAGATAACACGATGCCAACTCAACAAAAATGCTTAGTTATGTTTCTCTAGTGACTAGTCTAACATCTATGTTTCCCATTTTAGTTATGTTTTTTAAATAAGTATATTGACAAAAATAAACAATTTGTAGGGTATTGGTGATATTTTTTTTTTTGATATATTAAAAGAAATTGGAAATATCTTTAAATATCACAATTGATTAAATTAAAATTGTTATATTCTTTGAATCTCCAATCACATTATAAAAAGAAAAAAATAGGAGGATATTATATTAAATTATGAAGGTTTGATTTATCAGGGATATGTTAGGTAAGGATTTATTTAATTATTCTCACTCCTACCAACTTCAACTGCAGTCAACTTTATTTTATATTTAAAAAAAAAAGATTATGTTATTGTCACACCTTACCCTACTGTAAGACATGGCATGTCGCCCGTAATATAATTAATAAGCACTTAATTCTTGTAAATGCTTACTAAGTATACTACAAGGGACTTAAACCTTTTTATTTCATTCATTTTTTTTTTTTTTATATCTTGTAGCAATACTTTAGTTATCAAATGTATAACTTATTTTGGTTCGTTCACCTGTTAGAAAGAAATGTCTATAATAAAGATATACTACCAGGGACTTAAACCTTTTATTTCATTCATTTTTTTTTTTTTATATCTTGATAGCAATACTTTACGTTATCAAATGTATAAACTATTTTGGTTCGTTCACCTGTAGAAAGACACATGAAAGAAATGTCTATAATTTACTAACTAGTAATCTCAATATAATTTCTTAAACATATTATTAAAAACATAAAATGGTTCCATAACCCATAAGTCCATAGATGATTTAATTACATATTGGAGTTCTGTTCAAATCTTAGATACATAATAGAAATTAATTACTTAATAGACTATAAATTTTCAAATTCATACAATCATAATTCACATGAATCTGCTCAAATATACATAGATGATCTGTTAATGTTTAATACATCATACATATTCTAAAAGAAGTCAAATATACAATAGCTACATCAGTAGCATACTATCTACATCAAATAAAAATGATCCTCTCTTGGTTCTTTTTCCTTTTCTTTACCTGTTCCTTTTTCTTTACCTGCCGAATAGTACAAAAGCAACTATCGCTAAGCATATGCTTAGTGGGGTGTTACTAATGAAAAATAATAAAGACATGACAATTCATTAAAGTCACCATGGTAAAAGAAAATTTAAGAAACAAATAAATCAATACCATTTAAATCATCAATTCATATATTGTTCTCTATACAGCTTTTCTATAGAGTCAAAAAAAATTCTGAGCGGGCCATCAGTATTCTATGTGCACATCAAGACTTGTAATCTACTATGATTTTTTACAACCTCGAATGTGATATTGATATTCAACAGAAGAGGGAGCAAATCTACAACCTCAACATGGAGGGAAGAAATTTCATATCAATCATATATAATCTGTGATGATATTCCATTGTTCAAATCGATTCGTATATCAACTTCAACGAAATGAAAATGATATTCGGGCGGTAGATAACCATATCATATGATCAGCATGTAAGAACTTATTAAACCAATTCTATTTACCTGTACTTGAATATCAAAATCGCACAAGTAGACAATATTTATTTCACAACCACTGTGTGTGCTAAAAAACATTCAATCCACGGCCACCCCTCATAACTTACAGATATCAATTGGCCACATCCTCCTCTTATACGTATAAGAAATCATAAAATTCATTTACAAAATTATCATTTCCATGGTTATGCTTTCATAATCTTTTTCTCTTTAAAAAACTTATGAATATAATTATAATTATTACGACAAAAATACCATTGAAAAATATTTTGCAAAATCAAGTTTTCATTTTGTTTAAATAAAGTAGGAAAGGGAATGAATAATATACACTAACCGGAACTAGATGGCTCCCCTAGCCCTTTTCCTCTAGTAATCACCCTCTCCTCAACTCCCTTTCTCTCAGTAGCTGTAGCATGATATAGGCATGGCCGGTTCAGTGAACCGCCGGTTCTGGTTCACTGAACCGCCGGTTCGAGATGTTTAAAATTTTGAACCGGAACTGACCCTTGAACCTTCGTTTCCGGCACGATTCCGGTGAACCGACGGTTCGAATTACGGTTCCGATACGGTTCCGGCATTACACAAATTTTTTTAAAAATAATAAAATTTTGATTCCGATTTCCGAATTCATAATTGAATAATAATTTTAAAATGTTTAGATTTTATTAAAATGTTTTAAGATTTTATTAACTAAATAAATTATTATAAAATTTATAAAAACAAAAACTCTCCTATTTAACTTGAGAACTAATTATTAGCCATTTGAGTTTACAAATTTTGCTAAATTCAACTAATATAGAAAATTATAATTTTTTTATTTTTTGAGGCTTGAACTTAAATTAAAGCAATTTAAATTAAATTGAAAAATTTATTAATTTGCCTACGATATTTCCTCTTGAAAGATTAGAGAAAATCAAGCCACGTAGTTCTGTTTTTTTATTCCCATTGGAAATAACCTCCAATTATCTTACAATTAATTTTAGTCATTTGGTGCCACTAGTCCCCTGAGTCCCCGTTAATGAGTCGGAATCATCATCATCGCTTGAATTTTGCTGGTATTGAGTTCTCAACGCCGCTCTAGTCCAATCGTCAATACACTCTTGCATTGCCACATTATTTGGCGATAATCTTAACCGTGCTGGATCTAAAATTTGTCCACCCGCACTAAAAGCTTGTTCCACTCCAACAGTAGAAATTGGACAAGCAAGAATATCTTTTGCAATTGAAGCTAATACTGGAAAGCGATTTGCATGTTTTTTCCACCAACCCAAAATATCAAATTTTGTTGGGTCTTCATCCGCATCATCACCTAAAAACTCAAAATCTGTGCTAATGTGCTAATATATGTCTCAATTTCTGTGTATAAATGTGGACCCTCCTTTGGTTTTTTTGAAACATTTTGCATGAAGGTAAATTGTGTAGAATGAAATTTAGCGGATTGTGTAGTTTGTGGATTTGATACTTGAGGAAGGGGAGATACGAATTTAGAATACTCATCATATAATTGACGGACATACCTTAAAATATTATTAGTAAGAGAAAAATAATCTGCCTCAATTTTAAAAGATCTATAATAAAGACGAAAAAATTCTTGTAATGACGAAAAATTCTAATGTAATGCAAACTAACTTTAAATCTAGGACAAAGAAAAATGCAACTAAAATTTAAATCCGGAATTTTCAGATATATATATTTTAACAATTTGTTTTATTCATGAATATTACATTTTGGGTTAATCACTCAATTCATTTTCCATTTCTCATTATAT